ATCAAGGTCATCCTATTTAATCAAGGCCATCCTATTTAATCAAGGCCATCCTATTCGATCAAGGTCATCCTATTTAATCAAGGCCATCCTATTCAATCAAGGTCATCCTATTCGATCAAGGTCATCCTATTTAATCAAGGCCATCCTATTCAATCAAGGTCATCCTATTCGATCAAGGTCATCCTATTCAATCAAGGCCATCCAGCTTATAAGTAGTCATACTGCCTAAAAATTAAGGCATATTTTAGCCTTGCAGAGGCCTTATAAGGCGCTGTAACTAAGAAAATACAGTACATATACTGTGCATACACTGTATCTTTTTAGTTTTTAGTTTTCTTGTTTTTTTAGAAAATTGGGGTTTTTGCACTCTTGCACACCCTATCTAAGGTGCCACCGTATTGTACTGCTGATTGAACAGGCAGGTATAGAGAAAATTGCTACCTACCTACTAAGGTAAGCTTACATGTAATGAAACGAACAAAATGGTCAGCTGTATATACATTTCATTTCTCTTGAGCTTTTTTTCTATCCCTCTCTTTATATGTTGGAGATTATCTATGTATCATCAAAATCCTACATGCCAGACTTTCCAAGGTCACTCATCTCCAGTCTCATCAATACAGCTAATTGTACAGGGTCTTTCCAGCCACACACACATATATTTCCTCCGTTGTCGTAGTAAAATGCTAAACCGTATACCGTAGAAAAGAGATAGATCATATGTAATTCGTCATTATTGCTTAGATGAGCGCCTGGCCCATGAACATGCTGTTCTTCACTTCTGCAACGACATCTCTCCTGTCATCGTTTCCTACAAGGACAATGCCTCTTCCACGTCGCCCCATCCGACCAGCTCGGCCTAAGCGGTGGATAAAATCAATAGTTGTATGGGGTACATCATATAAGATGACGTGTCGAACAGCAAGCGTATCAATGCCTCTAGAGGCCAGATCGGTCACAACCAAAGCCTTGACGTTTGTCAAGGCTCGGTGACGTGATGGAGCGGGAGAAACAACGGTTCGCAGTGGTTCAGAAGTTGTGAAAGTCTCCAGTATTTCTCCGTGGCGCTTCTCTGGAGTGTCTCTGTGTAGCGCCTCGGCATCAATGCCCTTTGAACGAAGATACTTGGCAACTTCGTCAGTCTTCTCACGCTCATTAACAAAGACCATGACTCGGCGAACGTCAATCTCATCCTTGTTCAGATTCTCATGTTGCGAAGCCTCTCTTCCAATCGTATAGATGACATCTGCACACGCAAGATCTTTATTGTTGCGATACGGCTCCTTGGAAACATCAATAACACCAAGCTGAACACGTCGAGGAATGGCATGTAAGTTGGGAGTGGTCAATCGAACCATCTTGGGATAGTTGGTAGCCAAGTAATTGTTCAGTTTCCTCGGAATAGTCGCTGAGCAACAGATAAGCTGCTTCATAGAAGGGGACGAGCGCTCGACGATGCTAGATGTGACGGAAGAGAAGCTTCGGTCGAAAAGTGAATCCGCCTCATCAATAATCAAATGCGATACTCGTGAGAGGATGTTGGGGTCAGACTCTGCAATCGAAGCCAGTAGGTGAGGGGTGGAGATGACAACATCGAGGCCTTTTGGTCCGTATAGGTTCCGCTGAATCTGCTGAGGCTTTAGGTTTGATGACAGCACTTCCGTCTTGAACTTGACAACGTGCGACAGCTTCTTGGCAACAAGACCAACTTGATGAGCAAGTTCAGCTGTAGGAACCAAAATAACGACCTTGGGCCTAGCCATAGTGGGATGAGGCTCTTCAAAAGGCTTTCCTTTGAAATCTGACGTCATTTGGCGCTGCTTCTCTATTTCTGCTCGTTCCTTGTATGCTTGGATCTCCGTGTCCTCTGCCTCTGCAATCTTCAACGCATCGATAGCTGGCAGCAGATACGCAAGAGTCTTGCCCGATCCGGTCTCTGCCGCCAATAGGAACGAAGATTGCTCTTTGGATTGAACTTTTTGCTCTCCTGGCTCTCTCTGTCCCAGCAAAGCAGGAATTGCCAGTCGTTGCACTGGTGTTGGCCGAATGTCAACCATGCCCGCAAAGACCTCGTCTACAACGGCCGTCTTTAGCGCGGGAAGAAGATCAAACTGATCGAATGACTCGTATCTCTGCAGCCGTTCCTTGACTGACATGCGCTTGTTATATGACACCGACGTCAAGGCGCGCTGCATCTTGAGCGCCTTTCTATCATCCTGCGATCGTCGTTTATCCTCGCCTGGAGCAGATTTCCGATCGCTAGGCTGCGCAGAGCGAGCTCGTGGTGGCGAACGGCTAGGATCAATGTTGGCCACTCTCCGGTTCATGCCAGTGAATGGGCCTGCAACCCTCTCCCGGTTGGGTTTGCGGTCATCTCGAGATAGACGTGGTGTTCGGTGGACTTGCTCAGCTAGAACCATGCGCGAGGGCCTCTGCTTGGCTCGCTGCGACAAGAAGCGTTGGCTGAGACATGGCTGCTGTATAGAGGTTTGTATGAGTGGGCGGCTGCTGATTGCGCGGGTGCAGCCCAAGCAAACCGAGCTTGTAGCTGCGCGGCGCATCATGGACTTCCGTTTTATAGTGGGCTGGTGGGATGAGGATGAGATACTGGAAGTTTCAACTTTTTTTTCTTATCCTGGTGTACGGAGCACATGTACCTACTGCGCCGGTGCTAGTGTTAGCACCGGCTCTGGGGTGGGCTCCCGGCCCCCAGTTTTTATTGCCGGGCCATCAATCATGATGTAACAAGATGGAATGAAATGCATTCATACTCTTTTCATCGTATAGATGATTTTTGTAATTTTGACACGAAGCCTATCGTATAAGTGATCTACCAGCTTACGAAGAGATCTCGCTCTAAGCCAGCGTTTATTCTGCAGCATTCACTGGCCACGGATGGGAACGGTTCACATGTATGTTTATTAGTCGGACAAATACAGCATCAACCTGATATTTGATTCATGAAAAGCGAAAACAGCAGCACTTTGTATCGCAAAAAAAGTAGCTGCCATATCAAAATACAGTCAAGGAAAGCCATTATCTCGTGAAACGTCGGCAGAGCTATATATAAAGACTGACGTCATGCTATGTCGTGTACCTGTGTCGCTTTGTATCGACGTGATCCCGTTAATTAACCAAAGATTTTCGTAGCGTTCAATTAATGCACAGATCGCCTCATCATAAGGGGTTCACCCTGCTCGATTGTGGGACTTTTGGCACGATTGAGCTGTGCGTCTTTCTTCGAGTAGCCGGCTGTGGACAATGGATGAAAGGGCTCTGCTGAACCCGAGGGGGTTTTTGGCTCTTCAGCGATAGAGCCGAGTGATACCAGCGATCTATTTCGGCCGCTGCTTGCCGACATGCGATTCTCTCGTCTTCTAGCCGTGACTGGGCTCAGAGATCCCGCCGACAGAAGACTATCATCCGAGTCGACGCTAGTTCTCCTCCCGTCAAGGCGAGGTGACTGTTGTGAATCATCAAGACTAACTTGATCTTCACTTAAACTAGACTGAATTTTGCGTAATGTGTTGAATATCTCCGACTTGTCGCAAGGAAACTGCTCGATTGTTGGATCGTTGATGTCTGTATCCTCTATCGCGTACTCGTCAAGCCTTGGCTTCGAAGCACGCCTCAGCTTAGCATCATCTAAAGCGTCATGGTCCAAGGCATCATCGACGAACTCGTAAGCCCCAAAGCACTCATGAGCAAACAACGGAGTTTTGAGGTCTTCATCAATCTCGCTCTCACCACCAGATCCGCTGATTTGAGGCGATGCCGAGTCTTCCTAATCGGCCTGTTAGAGTGTTACCCCGTGTTGATAGGACGCCAAAAATCGCCAACACCTAATTCTTACCTCATCAAGCTTTGCAGCTATATCCGCGACTTCGCCTGCAACCGAAGCAACCTGCCCAATAGGGGTTGAAGTCCTTCTTCCTTCATCCTTGATCTTGGCTATATAGCTCTTGGGAAGTTTCAGCACGTTGTTGCGGTTGCCCTCCTCGTCCGTGGCTAGATGAAGCATTCGTTGGTCAGGAATACAATCCAACAGAACAATAGTAGAGAAAGTTGTTGATGCGATCTTTATAGGAAAAAGAGGAAAAAAAAAGAAAAAAAAAAAAAAAACTAACCAATAGTCTTATCTTCGTCCAAGATCCAAGGGCCATGTTGCCCGGCCTTGAACTTGAATTGGTACTCTCTCCCAGGCTCGACGAATACCCGAGACTCGAAAACATATTCGCCACCTTCATCGCGAGAGCAGCCCATTTCCTGGAGGCCCCACGGCACGGTTGTGAAAGTTCCGGCCAGGAACAGGGGAGGCTCTGTCCCCTGAAGGCGATATGTAATGGTATAGGGAACGGTGGTGGGCGCCATGATGTTGAAGCAAACTGCAGAGCGACTCACAGTGGGATCTGCAGAGAGGCCGCTTTGTATTCCAGCTGAAGGTGAACAGGGGGTGCGAGATGATAAATAAGGAACAGCGCCGCCAGAGTCAAATGAACGACTGTGCATATGGCAAAACAAGCGCTGGTGGGCTGATCCCCAACGGCCAAGGACGTGGGCGTCCTCCTGCGGGGTTCTGCAAGAGTAAGACTAAGCTCTGAGATGGGCCAAGATCCGGGCCGTGATGATTGCTGGTTGGTGCTAAAGGCTAATTCCCTGCTAGATGTAGCGGTGCTGGAGGGTGGCTTTGAGCTCCGTTAGGGTTCATTGAATCGTCATGGCTGGCGAGTGGCACCTCGAGGTGACGTGGGAGTCGCGTAAGGCCCAAAGCAGCCCGAACCGCCAATGTGAAGACGGGAGAGGGTGAGATGTGAGATGCTTGGAGGAAAGGAGCAGCGCTGGGGAGGCATTTATTGATCTCGCCATGATTAGCCGGCCAGCGCCGCGGACGCTGCTTTTCTGTGAGGTAACAGCTCGGCTAGGCCATGTCGAAGAATGGAGATGTCCAATGCAACGTCTGCAAGGTCTCCGGTACTGCAGCAACGCCCGCCCGTCTGCCGTACAACAGGCAATTGAGCCACGGCCAGAGGTTACTGCGACCTCCCCAACCCGCGACGATGCAGACAGGCACTGCCCGGTAAGGCCTAGGTCGTGATATCATGAGCTTGGGGATTGGAGGCGACAGGCCAATCACATTACATCTTCAACGGATGCGTAGTGGACGCTCCGGTGCGGAGAAACTGGTAGCAAGACTAGCCCCCCATGGTTGATGGTACCGCCCGCAATGGGGCCTCTGCAACGGCGCCGTACATGTAGTGTGTACTTGGGCTTGATCTTGAAATGCTCCGTAGCGCATTACCTACTCCCTCCTAGGCACTAAGACGCAATGGCACGGTACCTTCTGTGAATTGCCAAGTCACTTTCAAGATGCTCGGGATTCACAAGACTAATCGAATGTGTCGAAAACAAAAGAGACACAGTCTTTTAGCCAGGGGACCCGGCTTCTGTGCAACGGGACGCGACGTCATTGGTCATGCAGCCGTCGCGGGTACCTACTCATGTACGGAGCACTGCACCTATTAGCCCGTATCTGTACGTATTTCACACTAGCTGCGAGCTGACAGCCTCCAAAAAACACCCTAAACTTTTTTTCCTCGTCGCAACAAGTTTATTAGATTATATTCGCTGCAACTGGCCAACCCCCAACTCCTTCTTCCAGCATTACGATATCTCATCCGGCGCTCGCCCATCTCGAGAACCACGTGGCTTGACAGTTCCTCAGCCATGTCGATCCCGCCGCAGCTTATCCGGGTCAAGCGCAAACGGGACGATGATGCCCCCGTTACTTTTCTGCGTTAGTCTGCTCATTGACGATTATACCACGGCATCAGCGCTTTTCTAACACGACGTAGAGCTCGATGAAGGGGCCAAGCGGCACCGCAGCGAGGCAAATTGGGTGTATCAGCGACGAGAATCAAAAGCCACGGCCACAGGCCCTGTTGTTAGCCGCGGTGATGGCGAGCCGGTGATTCACGTCTCGCGGCCAGAGGATGGCACCTCTCTGACTAGGTCACGCAGCGACGAGCAAAGACCTACGAAGCGACATGCTGATGGGCAACCTACAGAGCAGCGCAAATTCCATGTGTCGCGAGCGATGCTGGCGCAAGCATCTGCCACTCCTGGACCGACCAGCCCAGGGTACTCGAAGCAGGTGCGGATCGGGCCAACCATATTTGTTGAGCGTACTGGGCGTAAGAAAATCATACCGAAATCTTCGCGCCAGAGCCTTGTCATAAAAGATGCCCAGGCTATCATCGCACAGGACCTCGAACAAGATACTCTGATGAGCCACAACCAGCCCATTGAACAAAGACATCTGAAGAAGCCTGGAGTTGCGAAGCAGCGTGATCCTTCCCAAGAGCCCCCGGCTCGTGCCCCTCTTCCGCAGTCCCTAACTCATCCTCACACCGAAGATATGGATAAGATAACTGCCGATATGAATCAATGGGTGCTAAACGAGATTGGTGCAAACTTGCATGCCATGGAGGTGGAGAAGAAACAAGCTGAGAGACCAAAATTCAGGCCTAGAGCCCCTGAAAAGAGATATCAAGAGCGCCACCCTGAAGCTGCGGCACCACCAACAGTCTCTACCGAAGATACAGTAGATACTCCCATGGCAGATGCAAGCGAGGAAGAAGGAGATGGTGAGGAATGGGTCATTGAAGAGTATGTTCGCGTCCCAGCTCACTCCATGGGCCTCGATGTGCTTCCGTCCGATGTCGGTCTCTTGGTATTGAACGGAGAGCAAGAGAGCATGCTGTTCTACGGATCCCCTGAAGATGAAGATGAGGAAAATGATGAGGACGATGAAGATGAGAATGGTAAGTCACCATCAGTTCAAGACATTGATTCACGTGAAACAAAACCTCACCCTTTGTGTGCAGCGGAAAACTACTACACGGCAGACTATCCGGAAGACGAAGTTGATACCGAGGACGAATACGACCGTCACGCTTACATGTTCCGCAATGCTAATGCCTCGGACGAGGAAGAGTTTGATGATAACGAATATGACAGCGATGAACTTGTTATGGAGGGCCAAGACGACGACGACGACGACGCAAGAATGGACCGCATCCGAGATTTCATGAAACGTAATGCTGGTTTTCGATAGGTTCGATAAAGAAGATCGCCTTGCTCTGTGTATGCGTTCAGTAAATTACAGGACCTCCACGCATACACGCCACTTCATTCCCCCTCCCACTCTATCTCACCTACTAAGGAACAATATACCTGCCTGCTATAATCGGTTTCATCTGCAAATTGCTACATCCGACAATGGCCCCTCTTGTCTGAAATTTACACAAACCCGACCGTGCAACAATGGACCTAATTGTCCCAGACTCCCATCCCCCCACGTGGCTATTTTTTGCCGTCTATCTCTATCTATCTCTCCTTCACAGACTTTCAGGCAACATAACGCTCATATACACACACCAAGCTGGCATTGCTTGTTGTACATGTACATCTGCTATATACGTATGAACGCATGTGCGTATGTATGTATGTATGTGTTGGGCGACGCATTCCTCCCACCCCCCTCCTCCTTGGACACTTCGACATGGCCTGCCTCACCGCTCTCACTTCCAAGCCCACAAGAACTCGGAAGTTTGCGTGTTGGAAATGCGGGCGCCAGGGCCTCACTTTGGCCCTCTTTCGCGGTTGATAATAATAAACAGGCGTCTGCCTTCCTATCTGGCCATGCCATCTCACCACTGAGCTGGCCTTTGCCACCTGGCAGGTCACTTGACTACAGCAAGCAAACATTGAGGTGTCCCGCATTGTATGCTTGTCTACATTCTTACTGCCTCGTGCTACTGGGGGTGGCTGACCGAGAGTGGGAGAGAGACAGAAACTGGCGGGGGATAGTCACATGCTCTCTATTTTAAGACGGGCAAAAAGATATGGCGCATACATGTTCGATGCTCATGCGCTTAAGAGAGGGAAAGAAAACTGGGAACTTGAAAGTACGGGCGCTGGTGGCCCAAGATGCCGTGAGACGCAAGGGAATGGGCTCGAAGATGCTGTTCTAGGGGTACCACGACACACTACCAATGCAGGGCGACCCGAAAGGCCCAGATGGTGGGGAGGGAGGGAGCCCTGAGGAGGAGGGAGGAAGAGCAGAAGAGAAGGGCGACGAAGCAGAAGAAGAAGAAGAAGAGGAAGAAGAAGAAGAAGAAGAGCGGGAATAATGATGACAATGACATTAATGATAAAATAGATTGTTGATATTATATGATAATCATAGATACTATATTGCCCAAGTCCTTTTTTAGACACTGTTTCCCATCCCGTAACTAAGCTATTATTACCTTTTAGCCCATATCTTCCCAGCCGTAGTCTTCATGCCCTCCTCATTAAAGCCCTAGTATATGCAGGAAAAGGCGGGAGGCTCGCCGCCAGCCACCACCAAAAAAAAAAAAAAAAAAAAAAAAAAGGGTAAAAAGAGAAAGAAAAGACAAAGAGTAAAAAAAAACCCCAACGCGGCAGCAAAATCGTACTAGTACATGAGATATCTTGTAAAAGAGAGAAACAAAAGAAAATATAACTGTCCAAAGTGTCCAAAAAAAACGCTCTTCTTCCTAATGCTTCGCTTGACGCTTGATCCTGTTATCTCATTGTATTCCATGTACATCTTTGACCTCGGGAGCTATGCTTTTGTATCGTAAAAAAAATATGTTCTGGCCCGACCCAAAGAAGAAAAAGAAATTATGAATAGTAGCGGTCTTCCCAATTTTCGGAATGTGGTATTAGTAGTACATAGCGCGTACCATGCTCAAGAGAGTTTGGGGGGGGGGGGCGGGCAGTATGAATATGGATCATATCTGCTCTCTCCCCTTCCCTTTAACGTAATTTTAAGTGTTTTACTTTCTTTCTTGTCGTATTGTATAATGGTCAAAAGGAGCTGTCGATTTAGATCTTTAGGCGTCTCTGCTCCTTTCTCTTCCGTCGCTCTCTGCGCTCACGGAATTGCAGAGCACGTTTGGCAGCTAGAAAAAAAAGGGAGAATGGTTAGCGCCTCGGACATTTTTAGAGTAAATCATCATGCATCAATGTGAATCAAACTCACCCCAGTCTCGACACTTGCGTTTTGTTTCGGGATCGACCCAAGAGTAGTGGATGGCTCGCTCAGGATACCGTTGGGCAAGACCCAAAGGCTCCATTGGCCGATCCTGCGTGTCTCTCTCTCGACACTTGATGCTGATGTGTTTTGGCTCCATGTCATCATCATTGTCAAAGATCAGCCAACCATCTTCATCCCAGAGGGGGATGCGCTGGTTCATGCGGTAGTACCAGGCCTGAAGGCCTTGGACAGTCCTTTCAGGTGTGCGGCCGAACATGCTCGCAAAATCCTGCTTGATACGCTGCCACTTAAGCTTCCTGTCGTGCCAAGCGTAGATGATGAAGTCTCCCTCTTCTGTTGTGTATTTTTGATTAATGTGCCTCCCCTCATTGTCAGGAGGTGGGCTAGGATAGCCATCAAGTCTTGAAGGGCAGAATTCGCTGCTGATGGCATAGTTTGGATAAGTGGGCTCATGGATTGAGAAGGCCAGCATTGAAGGTAGTGGCTGAGGCAGAATAGAGCCACGTCGGAGTGTGGGAAGAGGGGAAGGAGGGGTCCAAGATCGTGATGATCCATACGATCGCGCGATGGCTTCTACACCTTGATCGAATTCCTCGAGGCTGGGCAATTTGACAGAAGGGTTGGTGTATGAGTTGAGGCGAGCCAAGCGAGGGATCGGAGAGCACTCTCGGGAGATGGTACTTGAAGCAGATGAGAAAGACCCTACCAGACGTGTTAGCCGTCTCGAGTACTTTGTTTTTATCCTAATTTTTCACGAGAATCTTAAAACGAGAGAGATACATACCCTCATGTTTGACAACTGGACTGCCTGAGGTTGAGTCAGGAGGCGTTTGTGGGTGGAGTAGAGATCTTGGGATCGAAGATAGAAATTCAGTAGACGCCTTCCTAGGGAGGAAAGTTTCTCTGCTCATGACGGCGCCGACACCCAGCATGTTGGATTTGGCCGGAGGAGAGCCACGGATTTCGTGAACCTCTTGTGCGGAGAACATGTTCCAGAGCGAGTTGAGCTCAAGTTTCGCAAAAAAGTATATAAGACAGAACACACAATGGTGAGCTCTTGAACAATCGAAGCTTGAAGTTTGAAAACAATGGCTGAATCGATAGAGACTGCAGTTAAGACACACTGGCCCAGGCCCGAGGAGAGGGAGAAGAAGACTGGCAGACGGTGGTAGTAACGAGGGATAGAGACTGTGACAAAAGGGTAGACGAACAAGAGACTTGCGTATGAAGGGAAAGAGAGTGGATAGGTTTAAGGATAACACTGGGTGAGTGAGAGTCAACACGAGGGGCACGGTCTTCTTGTACTTCTCGCTCTCTGGCGTGGAGTGTCGAGACCCTGCGGACTTGGGCTTGGGCAATGGCCTGCTCGTGCTAACGCACAACTCTGCTTCTGCCATGGCCAAGAGCCATGATAGGCCCAGCAGAGGGCGGTGCTAACTACCGCAGCTGTCTCGATTCTGGGAGGGGAGGGTCTGTGTGCCCGCCCTCGCTCAAGCAACCCTGCACTGCAAGACAAGGCCCAACAGACATGGGATGCCCATGAGAGAGCCCCCGGGGTGTCTGGTGGATCACCGCAGAATCGATAGAAACGGTACCTGCGGCTGTCTTAGAGACAGGGATGAAAATTGGCACCACCGGGGGTCTCCATCAGATACTGTTTAGTCCCCGCCTGTGCTCTGCAGGGCGAGCCGCTTTTTCAAGGCCACAAGAGACTCGGGTAGTATTCACTGGTTAAGACAGATCCGGCGTGGCAACATGAACCAATGCATCTTGGGGGCAGAGCTAGTGCCGAAGGGCTGAACTGGGGATGGCGGCCGATTAGTGGTGACAATGGGAGCGAAAAAGCAGACAAAAGGCGTATAACAGCAAGATTGCGATACAGCAATTGATTAATTTGCGCAGCTAAAACAGAACAGCTGTGCAGGCCAACGTCCTGAAAAGTGCGAGTATCTGATCGTCGACAGGCATTGTTATCAGCTGAGGCGTGTAAGGCGCTCGATTTTGATGAAGACGACACGCGTGTTTTTTTCTCCTTCTCCTCTTCAGACTAGGACTAACTGGCAGATTGTGGATATTGCTAGGGGTCGGCGAGGAGCCCGGTAGCATTGAAGAGATCTCCTAATAGCAACGCCGCGTTGGTTGGGTTGGCATTTGCGTGTTAGCAGCCATCATCACACTTAGGTCCGAGGCGGACCCTTGCCACGAGGCGCCACCCGCGAAATGCGTGTGCCAGGGCCAGGATTGATCACTCAATAGCAGGACGACTACTAGGTAGTCGGCATGGTACGAGGGACTCGCAGAACCGGGACTTGTACACGATGCCTTGCCCGTCGTACCAGTACCTATACTTGAACCAGCGGACAAAGTGGTAGCGCTGCGGCTATCATCTCATCCAGGGAGGCTGCATCCAGATACCGGGGGGCTGCTACCAAACTGGGGGACTCGCATCATTGACAGCAGTCGTCTTCTGCGTTGGACTCTGCCGCAACGTCCACATGCTCACACAGTGCCGGGAGCTGAGGTGTCCACGGCTTACTTGCTTCATATGATGCGTCACTTGCAGCAGCAGCATGCACAAAGTGTGTCGAGCTCACCCTCCAAGGAACTGAACCCGGGAAGTTGGAGATGCAATATAGCGTGTAGCCGCAACGGGTATTCCATCGACGGCGATGGAGACCACTTCTATCCACAGACACACTAAGCTGGATTCCGTGATGGTACATTGCATGCGCGGATGTAGCTACCTGCATGAGAATTGCGGTCCAAAGACCAGTCTAGACGGGAGCGGCCAGCTCACGAAGGAAATAAGCAGATTCGAGGCCCCGTGGCCAGCAAATCTCATTGGACGAAGGCTGACCGAGTCTCGCGAGAGGCGACTTGCGGTTGCCGATAGTTGGGCTTGCATAAGTGATCGGACGGGTACGAGGGCAATGGGAATAGACTGGGTTATACGTGGCTCGCATGGGGCCGGCAGAGAGAAGGACGACCAAGATCTGAGAAACGGCCAGCTCCCAGGCTGCCGGCTTGTCGAGCCGGGTCAATGGTAGATTGGCAGCTGAGCCAATCTGCGCACTTATCTCGCCCAGCGCGGAGGTGCTAGGTTGTTTTGCCCGCCCAGATTAGCGTACAGAGGCGTCGGTCTTCGTTTCTTTTTGCTGCACGACGATGCGACGGCTGGTTCCTGTGTGTCTGGGAGCAATGAAGCAGACGCAGGGCAAGTCCCAGGCAACAAAGAGCAGACCGACCTCCTTGCCTCGCGGCTGAGCCCGCCGTGCAGTGCCGGATGAACTCCGCGAAGCACTTGGACCAAGCTCTCATGTAAAGCGTGCCCCTCGAGATGGCATCCGGCCTTTGCTATGCTGGTGAGATTCGCCAATGCTAGTGCTAAGCAGTATCAGTTGTCACTCTAACTCATCCTCATCAGGATCATCAGAATCATCACCGGCTGCGTTGGGCCGAGACGTGGCAGCAGCATTAGTGCCAGTTGCTGTGGGCAAAAAGTGGTGACATTGTCAGGCCGCCGTCACTTCCACAGGCCATGATGGGCACTGTGCTCTCATTTTTCTTTCTTTTTTTTCAGACGCTAATTACGCGGGCAGAAAAAGGATGACGAAAAGAAAAGAAAAGAAAACTATTAGCTTAAGAAAATGAAAAATATTGGTGGCGCGGCTGCCAACCGCCGCAAGACCTTTTGATGGCGCAGAAAACGTTTCTTTTTTTTTTTTTTTTTGCGGACGCCGTCGCAGCGTTGTTGACGAGAAGGAGGAGGTTGCGTTAGAGCCAGTTAGCGCAAGGGAGAAAAAGCGACCAATCAGATCAGCTGTAGGCGCTAAGCTGGATGCGGCATCGAGCCTCGCTAAGATCTGATTGGGTGGGCTGCAGCAACCCGGCAGATTGATGCGAAACTGAAGCCAGCAGATCAGCTACTGTGGCACGCGTGGGGAGGGAGAGAGCCTGCTGGAAATCATCGCGCCGGCGCTGGAGCGTGGTGGTAGAATGCGTACTGTATACCTTACCTTGACCACCATTGTGGTACGGTAGCACCTATAATCCTACGGGTTCTTCCAAAGCCTGCTACTGCTATGGTAGGTAATTACCAACCTGACTAAGAGGGGCAAGACAACTGCCACGGGTACCTGGAGTCCGCTAGCATCACCATCTCGCCCGCTTCAATCATCATCCTTCTTTTCTTTTTCTCTTTTCTTTTTTTCAGCTCTCCATCTTGGGGTCACATCTGCGGGCACATGACACACAGAAGTCGACGCCAGACAACTTGCTCGAAACAAGGACTCAGAGGTCGAAATGCACAGCAACAACTGGCTGGTCGGTCCCTCTCATCCGGTGCGAACACTTATTACATGCGACTTGCTTGCTTTGACAACTCTTGGCCACCCGGTCTCTCTCCCGGACTGCCGCCAATGTCTCAGCACACTGCGTCGACCGGTGAACATGCAATCGCCCTCTTCAGGCCTATCGGGGCCGCGCTGCATGGGAGATGGGCTCCGCTGGTGCTGCAGCAGGGTTTAGGCTGCTGCTGAGGCGTTCTCGTACATTGCGCTAATGCAATCCCGTCCAAGACGTCCTCGTCCTGCTGGTACCTACTGCACTCGTATGCAACGAGTCGTAGTGCCGAGCGATGGGGCCTGACCAGTAGCCGGAGCAGGCTTATCCTCCAGATGGTTATCCACTTCTTGTCTCCCTTCTGCTTGTTTTCTCTTCAAATCCGCACCTATACAGGCACCCTTCCCCGAGCTGCTAAACAAATTAAGGTATGTACTTTAGTACTCGGCTCAAAAAGTCCCGGGGGTGTCAGTGTATCACTTAAATTGGTAAGATGCCTACCTGCCGGCGGCAGTGCAGTGCTGCCACTTACATACCACTTGCGGACTTGGTAGTAATAGGTACCGACTTCACCTCCTACGAAGCACTGCGTAAGCAGGTATCTAATAGTTCATATCCAGCATGCTGTACAACAGTAGGACCAGGCACCTTGTTGCTGCAGAGCACATGCCAACCTATTCGCCAAGTACGGCGCAAACAACCTGACGAACGGCCACTTCTGCCTCGTCGTCGTCGTCGCGTCATCTGCTTTTGGTATGCATGATGCATGTGTTGGTTGCCCCCAAAAGGCGAGACACGGCATGATTGGAACAGTTACCAAACCCCAAGTTTGCTTGTCTGTTTCTTAATGAACCCGGACCACACTCCGGCCGTAACAAAAGTCATCTCTATGCCTTGTTCGTGTTTTCTTGCAGCGCCCGTCGTCCTTGGCAGAGCTGTGGCTGCTCTCCTGCCAATAGTGATGTGCGGGATGGTGGCGTGGCGTCTTTCTCCCTGACTAGGAGTCAATAAAATAGTTCACAGTGGAAAAGCTCAGATGAAGAAGAAGAATAAAAAGTGACAGGTTTCTTTTGGGGTGCAGTAGGGAGCAATATTTGATGGAGTAGAAGAAAAAGAAAGGAAATGAGCACCGGTGGCAAAGCTAGCAGAGACAGATCTCAGCCACAGCTGACAAGGACCAGCCAGATTTCTGCAAAGCTCAGCTGGCAATCGTAACCTGGTGTGCCTTACATGAAGCTGTCTCCTTGTCAAGGGAACTTTTATCAAATCTAATTTTCTTTTCCTTTTTTGTGTCATGATAAGATGATCGTGACCCCTCCTGCTTTAGACGAGCCAAGACGCAGACAGGCCTATCATTTACACTGATGGCTCTCTTTTGCTTTTTTTTTTTTTTTTTTTTTTTTTTTTTTTTTTTTTTTTTTTTCTATTCTTTTCTTTTTCTTTTTCTTTTAAAAAAAATCGATAAAACAGTTTTTATTTGAGTGATGATTTACAGCGGAACACCAGCTTGCCGTCAAGGCTTGTGTAGCCGTGCAATTTGCTCCCCTGTCAATGCCATCCATAGGTAGGTACAGCGACGGTGCGTGCTCTCTTGGCATCGATTCTCTTTGTACCCCAGATAAACAGCTTGTATCTCGATACCTATAGGTAATACGAAATCAATGCATTGGTCAATCTCAGATGAGGCTCGTCCTTTTGCCGCGCTTATCGGTCCTGGATCTCTGTAAACGGGTGCACGGGCAAAGTGGCCATTGCACGATTGCAAACCTGTAAAAATACCAGAGACATCACTTTATTTTCTGGGCCGTTCTTGCCGCAAATCCCTAATAAAAGGACCCAAAACAGCTGCTAGCTATACTATTAGTGCTTTTGACGCAAGGGAGACGGTCCCGGTTAACTGCCTACTAGTAGAGTCGTGTCTCTCCATAGCTGCCCTTACATGCGCGGGACTTTTTGCCCCACGATGGATGTCAGGCACATCGGTGTAAGTGGCAACTGTCCTGGCTATGGACGAGACAAGAAAAAATAAACGGTTATTGTTGGTGGTACTACAAGTATACTGTATCATTTTAATAATACAAATGAAATAGAAGCCCAATTACCAACCATAAGAAGATTATCGCATTTCATGCCACTTGCGCTTCTATTGTTAGTGTTATCGCCACATGAAATACCTGCATGATCAGATACCATTTCGTGGCGGTGCCGCTTTTCATCTCCCTACTCCAAATTACGGCGGGGATCGAAAGTATTAGCCACCAAAAGCAAAAAGATGGCTATCCAATGGACTATTTCAGGATCACTACAGCAGGATGAGTGTCCTGAAAAAAAAAAAAAATAGGCAGTTAACAAAAGTTATCCGAGCAATTGTTTCGTGGTTGAGCAAATACTTCACCTACAGAATCGTAGTACATAGAGGTATGTAGACCGGCGTGCAAGTAGAGGCATCTGTGCTATCAAGCCGCCGTGCATGGACCAGTAGAGGATCTTTCTTATTCACTTGGACCACGAGAAAACGTTCCTCCGGCTCGGTTACGATCCGAAGGGGAAGGAGGGTTCGCCTAGGCAACGTTGTGTGAACTTGGAAGGCACTGTTTGTTTAGATACTCAAAAGCAGGCCAAGTCCAACACTCAACTTCGACCCAACATGGCAATCAAGAAGGGGAAGTCGCGGGTGACATCAAGCACGGTCAATTCTATGGCCATGCAGTCACGTTGCTGCTGCCCTTGGAGCAGTTTGCCACGCGGCGAGCTCCTGATGACGAAATCTAATAATACCTACTTTCGACAACTGCTAACCTCTGCCTTCCGCCGTTGGTCTATCTACCTATGTAATGGTCTATTCATACTCTGTACATGGTTCTTCTTGCTTCGCAAATGCAATTACATCATCTTCTATCTCCCCTACTTGTAGATTTAGGGGCCTAAAGACATCGTGCTATAGCTTGGGCTCAGATGCATCATTAGACATGGAGCCTGTGTCTGGAAACTCTTCATCTCCCACAAACTTCCTAATACCGTGAATTACGTTGTCAGTGAAGGTCTCAAACAGTTTTTACTTTGCTCTTGGGACAAGCATACCAGCCTCGTTCTTCGCCACCAGTCAAAAAGCTGCAGTCGCTGTTGGCCTCACACGTCCAACCTCCAACAACTTTAAGGCCGGGCTCTTTCGCAGTCAAATTCCTCGTTACTTGCGGCCCATGACCATCCTGATTGATAAGTTTCCGGCGGTAGACACTCACTCCGCACGTAAATGCACGGAAATCGTCCGTGTCGACTGTTTCAGGGAAGCATCCTGTGAGAATACGACCCAACGTAATGACCACGGCCGCGTGAGTACACAGAACAACGGCTCGCCTATCTTCAGCGTCGCAGCGATCAATGATACTCTGCATCGTGGCCGTAAGCCGGGCCTGCAGCTGAGCCAGCGTCTCGCCCCTCTTTGGAGGATGCTTGGCCGACACGTAGCTCTCGTCAAAGGCAGGGAACAAGGATTTCAAGACTGAGGGTGAGGCTGGGCCGGGATGCTCAAAAGGTGCTGACCCAAACCACTCGCAGAGTCCGTGCTCAGGACGTATTATCGTGGTGGCAGAGGGGGAACCACTGCCCAGAACGTCGCCATTGGCCTGTTTTTGTTGCTGAAGCTCAACAAACGGGGTAATGGTCTGAAGACACCGGTAATACGGGCTCGAGTATACAGCCTCTACGGGAGGATCCAGCGTCATGAGGTGACGCCCAAGCTCTCTTGACTGATCAACTCCATGGGCGGTGAGGGCCGGGTCCACAGCGATTCCTGTTGGTGACGGGATGGAAGCTGAGTACACTCCCGTGGTGTGGTCGACGGACCAACTAGACCGAAACTGGTGTTGACAATAGCAATGATCAATACAAAAGCACTCAGCCTCGTGACGCCATTGTGTGCGGTGCAAGGGGGGTGAGGGGATCAAGGACAAACTTTACCCCATGGCGAACGACGTATATTGTCTCGAGAGGCATGATTTTGGCTTCTAAGTAGGATAGTCCGGGCTGAGGAGGGGAGGGGAAAACGAAGCAGCTGGCCAAATACCAGAGGCCAGTGGCCAGAGACGCTCGAACCAGGAATGCGTCGTGATGCAGCCCAAGGCGGAATCTAATCTCGGATCCGGGGCTGCTCAGGCCAGACAAGACCATTAGCTTCACTGCATGCAAGCATATATGGTAAAGTATGGTAAAGTATGGTACAGGCACTGACCAGAGCACAAACACACTGACCTTTTCTCTCTCCCTTTCTCTCTCTCTCTCTCTCTCTCTTCTTTTCTTTTCCGAGCACAGAGCCAACCCCTACTGTGCCTCGGGATTTTTGCCTACGGCCAGACAGAGATCCGTGGGGCTCTCTACCGTGGCTGGTGGGCTGGTGGGACAGCCGGAATTGAGCCTGTGCTGCCTTGAAAGGGCCTCAACTGATGTTAGCGCCGTTCTGCCGCTGGAAGAGGAATCAGGGTATCGGGGAGGCGCTTCGTCGTGCCTGGTGCCAAATTTGCGTTGCCAAGAAGACCAGATTGGACGACGGATGGAAAAGCAGGCCAGTATTGGTTAGGCACCGGGTAGGTACTACGTGCCGCCACCACTGTATCAGGTACGCAGGCACTAATACAATACATCACCAGTGCAGGCGAACGATTACTTGCGCGCCAGGTAGTTCACCTACACTCAATGCATAAGGGGACTTATCACCCCCTCTGTTCAGAAACGACAAAAAGAACAAAAAAACATCGTCTTAATTCATCCGCGGAAGCACGGGAGAACTATAGCGCCTGGTGTTCTCAGCAACACAGCGAGGCTAGCCACTATAGACGGAGCAGCGCTAAGCAGCATATCTTCAGCTGCGGGCCAGAAATTTCCACTTCTGGTAGAGTTAGCCGAGCCAAAAGCAACGAGCGCAGCAGTTGTTCTCCGCAGTCGTCTCATGTATCAGGCAGTAGGTCTCATATTCCTCGAGCTGGACACAGCACCAGACCCGTTGGACATTATAAAATTCACTTTTACCAAGAATCCTCAAAAGAGGCGCCCAATGCCCACTGTGGGCAACGTACGCGGGATCCAGACATTGGGAGGGCCTGTGCCCAGTGACTTATGGCCAGTGTCCGACACTCTGTGTGTGCTCTGTGCGTTGCTCCATATGCGCGTCTCCCCCACAGCATAAGGCAAAAGGGTAACATTTGACTGATGTTTCAACAGCACAAAAATGCAAGGACCAAAGAGGAAAACCAAAATCAAAAAGTCGGTAGGAGGAACCCACGTCCAGAAAGAGCAAACAATGGCTCGCTTACTTCACCGGTCGCAGGGATTGCAAGCCACATATGCACGTTGACCTGTAATGCGAGGCACGCCGCCGAGATAATCTTCGCCGCCCATCGAATCATCTACCCGGAAGAGCTGTCAATGACATACAACAAAATACGAACCAGAAGCAATCTGCATCTGCATCTGCATTCTTTCGTCGCACACACGTGCCTAGCCTTGAGCCATTGCACCCCATCATTGGTGTGTCATAAACAAGGTCTATCCATGCTTGCATCTGCGCGCTGCGTGCTTTGGTGTTTTGTACATACATAAAACAACCACACACATGTAATGCGAGCCTGGGAGTCTCCACGCCGGTGAGAGACTGCGACTTTGCTCTCGCTATAGCTGCGAGTACTGATACATGCCGCTTGACCTGCTGCTTGGCTCGCTACCTGCTTGCCAGTTGCTACGCACGATACTGATCCTGGGCATGGACAGCAAAGCCATGCAGCCAATTTACCTGCATTCTCATGCTCGAGGACCGTCCAAGATGCTTAAGCGAGGTGCGTTTCGGTTTGCAAAGCCTGAGAGACATGGAAGCCGCCCAACAAGACGCCGACTCCTCATTAATTGCTGGTGGTTTCTAATGACATTCAACTCGTGGCGTATGTACGTTTTTCAACCCAACCCAACAACGCCCATTTTATTCTTGCTTCGCGGCTGCTCCACACATCCCACCCTTTGTAGACGGAGATTTGTCGTACAGTGCGACCCCCTCTCCAGCATGTATCTTTTTTTTGGCCGAGAGTTGTATCCAATCTTTGGCGGCTAACTACTTACAAGCTTATTGCTAAGGTAGGTAGGTAGGTATGTTTGACCAAACAAAGCCTTATTTGGCAAGTTGAATGTGAGCGGCCCAACATCAACATACCATAGAAGCTTAGTTTGCCCCCTCTTTAACTTCGACAGCGCAAGCCTCCTTCAGCGGCAAGTCTCACTAAATCAAGACCGGCTATTGAATTAAGACTCCTCTTCCCACGTGGATTTTGGTCTACTAGTGAATATTCAACACTGGAGAAGCCGAGTAGCTAGCATCCTATTCAACTGATAAACCATGGTCTAGTAAGTGCGCCGTTTGCTTTAAACACTCACCCACACACCAATGACTTCTCTGCAGGGATGGAGGCAGTACCACGATACCACCTACACCAAACTAGTACACACTACGTACTAGGGATAAAGTCTTCTTGAATAAGGCAGATGTATCAAAGAGGGCTTGCCTTGTACCATTGACACATAGCAGTACACGAACAAAAGAGTTGCGGTCAAGCTAGATACGACATCTGCATCTATCCCCCAGATATACACCAAAACAGCGCCCATTGCTTGCTAAGAAAACAGGTCACACCGAGTTTTCATCTCCTGCCGGGCCTGCATAATCCAGCCTCACTTTCATGCTTCTCTAGACAGAGCCCCCTCCCCCTCTTCCTTTTCTCCCTGCATCCTTATCTTGTAAACCAAGGTAGCTGCCCACCAGGAAGGCCCTGCGTAAACGTCCAGAGACGAAGTGACACATGGCAAAATATCAAGAGGACAAGTAAACATGCATAAGAGAAATCACTCTATTTGCATCAAACTAAATAGTAAGCCTGCAGGACAGCCACAACCATCTGAGACAAAAATAACCACATCCGAAGCAAAACCATTGCTGCGTCCCTAGGCCGGGCACAAAAGAAAAAAAAGGAAAAAAGACCAGCCAGGCCAAATATGCCCGGCATCTTTCTTTCAAGAGCGCCTGATCTTTGCCGACGGTAAGTGAGGCGTTGAGAAAAGAGAGACACAGAAAAAGAGAGACAGAGAGAGAAGGCCAGATCAACTCTCCCCCTGTCTACCACCGAAATATCAACACCAGTGCCATATGGCTTTCAGAAAACGCCTTTGCCATATGCAATCAACGAAATGGAGTAACAGGTTCGAGACAAAAAAAAAATAAAATAAACCATCAGAGCCCAAATCCACCTTTTTCTTTTTCTTCCCTCGTGTAGATGAGCTGAATGTGGTGATTGTGTACATTCGTGTGTCATGGGAAAATGGAAATCTAAACATGTCCCCTTGTGGCCTACACCGCTAAGGGTGTCGCATTCACATTACAGAACAGGATCCCAATGTCCTTGCCCTGCGCCGGCCGACTATGCCGCCGTCCTCTTCGTCCGCATGGAGTGCCTGTGCATGTCTTGCCCGACGTCGGCGCCTCCGGTACCCTGCTCCCCCTGCGCCAGCCTCTTCATTTGCCTGCATGTAGTCTGCCCACTTCCTCTCCAGCCGCCCAGCAGAAACGAGATCGCCCCGGAGAACTCTCTTCTGGTGCTCGTCGACGGTCATCTGAAAGCCGTAGAAGCATTTCAGGCCAATGCTCTCCGTTGGGTACGTGATCCGACCCGGCTGCCCCATCAGGGGCCTGACCTGGGAGTTTCTGAACAAGACTTCTCGGATACCCGTCCAAGTTACATTTTGACAGTCGTATACTGCTAGCCGCAGCGTTACCTTGGGCCGAGTGTTAGCTCCGGATGATGGCTTTGAACGTTTGATGACCATTGAAGCGGCTTCCGCAAGCACCAAGTCGCTGATTTTCGTATTATCAAGTTCAGCGCTCTTCAGCCGTACACACTTTTGCATAACTGGGAGCATCCCGAGATCGCCAACGTTTTCGCAATAGCTCAGGGCTAGATGTTCGAGAATACTAATACACGGCGCCTTGGCAAGATGCTCAGAGAGAAGGGTGTTAGTAATCTCCTCGAGATCTTCCAACTCGAGATGTGTGAGCCTCGGCGTTGACGCCAGGATAGGCTCGAGCGCGGCGTCAGTCAAAGATTTGCACCCTGAAAGCTGCAAGCCTTCCAGTTCCGGGACCATATGGCCAATCGATTTCACACCTGTACTGGTAAGTCTTACACAGCGACTCAAGTCAAGATGACGAAGCCGACGGGGTGGAACCTCTGGGATGCCTGTCAGAATGTCGATTTTGGGATCTACCCCATGCATCATAATCTTTAACGCTTCATCATCTAGCTCGGAACATCCGCTGAGGACCAGCCTCTCGAGATGATTGGTGTGAAAAATAGACTCTGCCGTTGCGACGTTGTCGAATCCTTTAACTTCGCCGGCGCGGAGATCTTTTAGCTTTGTGCACGCATCAATGATTATTTTAATCCCGCGAGCGTCCACTTTCTGACACCAGGAGACATTGAAGCTCTCTAATTGAGGGCATGACTCCGCAATTATGCTGCATGACGTGTTTGTGACTGCTGAAAGCCCCGTCAAGTTCAAGTTTACTAGCTTCTCGTTACTCCTCAGAAGATTATGTAGAGTATTCTTCTGGAAGTTGCGGCAGCCTTCGAGAGTCGCATTCATGAGGTTCTTGCATGACTTGACAATGATTTCAGTCCGTTTGTAATGCTCGACCTGAACACATCCTCTTAGGTTTAGATCCTTGATGAAGGGACCAGCAGCAGCGATGATGCGCGCCAAAGATGCTGCAGGAATCTCCTGGTAAAACTCCGATGCGTCAATTGACGTCCATAGCTGGCCGTCGAAGCAGAAGCCGTAGAACAATTTGCTGACTCTCGATATTCGAACCAGCTCCTTGGGCCGGAAGTAGGAAAAGATGTGTATTCGGACTTCGTGTGGCATGTTATCCCAAAAGCAGAAATCCTTCTTTTCTACAGGCTTAGTTCGACCCCTGAGTTCAGACGGCAAGGATGATGTGGCGGGTGAGGTATTGGGAGAGCCATGCTGGATTTTTCGGATGGCTAGACAGTCTTCTGTGTCATCAACTTCAGCTACTTCAAGCGTCGCCTTTCTTTTGCCAGTTGGGGAGTCTAGGTCAGCAGCGCCCTTCAAATTCAGATGAGACAGCTGCGGCGTGGCAGATCTCGCGCTGGGAGATGTCTGTGAAGGCCCAGCGGTGGACAGACTGACGCAGGATATAGAGCCATGCCGGATGCTATAGGGGTTGCTGACAGCTCTGGGCCGTCCAAGGCCAGGAAGGGATGGCGATGAGGAAATGCGCTGTATCCCACGCAGAATCCGCTGGCGATTTCTGCCTTTGAGAGGTACGTCAGGTGGAGTCGGGGCAACACCTGCGTGAGGAGACGCCAGAGTGTCTGTTGCGAAGTCGAGTAGTTCGGCCATTGTTGTAAGTCGGGTTCGGGTCGGATGTTTCCGTGGGTGGATGGTGAGCGCTATCGCTTTCTCTCTCAAGGCACCCACGAATCGAATCAGCCGTCTTGGGTCAGAAGATTCCAATACTTTCAAGAGAAAAGAGCCAAATCTTTCGCAAGTCTATTTCGGATAGGAACGTTAAACTTTGACGATGAAAAGGAAGAATGGCGACGTTGCGGGGCCTGGATCCGCCGAGGAGAGAGCTTAAAGGCCGTTGAGGTTCCTATCAATACATCACTATCAGGCTCTCGCAGCGCATGTCCAGCTCTCTCGTCTCTTCTCAGAGGACCGCCTTGTTTGACGAGCCAATTCGGTAGTTGGAGGCTAGGCTCCGGGCCCAAATAAAAGCGTGTTCGATGTTGTCGACAAGGGCACGAGGCGAGGTCAACAAGAGGTCAGCCGGCGACTAAAGTGGCCGCGGGGTGGTCAGCGTGACCGCACCACGCTTTGCAGGCAAGATAACAGACAGCGGCTGAGGGCGATTTCTGCGGCTGCAGGGCCCATGACACCCAGGCACGGCCGGCTAATGATCACAGGAACCACGATGGGAGGTCAAGAAGAGTCCTGGCGGCGACGACGAGAGAGAAAAAGCTTAAATTTATTCGGTGGCGGCGTGTTGGAGAGGACGCTTCGTTAAGGAAAAGGCCCAGCCCGGGTTGGTTCGCTTTCGGTTGAGGACCCCCCACCTCGGTCGCCAGCCACTACTCAAACAATCCCGTCACCAGCCAGCCAATCCGGCACGGCGAGGGCTGTGGCTCTGCAGCTCGACTCGTGCGAGCGCCATTGCTGCGGCGCACGCTATACATTACTCGCGGCGCTGCTGTGCGGGCTGCCTGAGGTAGAGTGCCTTGCAGCGCGTGCTTGCTGACGCTCAGTCGCCAGACCAGGCGATCGAACAGGCCTCTCTAGCACTTCTGCAGGCCGACAAACTGGGGTATATCGATAAGATACGGAGCATCCGCGCCAGCGCTAGCACAAAGCGGTTGCTAGCGCTGCATGAGGACCCTGCGGCAGCGCAACCCCGCCAAAAACCGTCTAGTCAGGCATGTATTCCAGAGTACCACGCCCGCACGGCGAGAATCTGGGAATACTTGGGATGCCTTCTGGCGGTGCCGACATGCACCACTTTCTGTGGCATCTAGACGCCTCATACCATGTGACGATCGTGTTGCATTCGGAGATCCCTCGTGCAATTCATATATCGCTCATCTTTTGCCATGGCATTTTGGGGGGGTTCCTCAAAGGGTCTGACTTCTTAGGGCGGCGGATACAGAGTGGCGAAATAAGGGGCGCTGGGCCGTATAGCTTTTCGGGCCGTAAAAAAAAACCACTCTAACAAGGGACATAGATATATTCACTGGGAGCGTTGTATGATGTAGGTAAGTTATAAGAACTAGTGGCTATTGCTCTGTATTCGCAAGGTGCGAGAGATTTCCATGTCAACACCATCTTCAAGGCCGCAATCAACGTTGACCTGGCCAGCCAACAGCATTTGCCTCTTAAATATCGCATGCCCCCGCCAAAGTAACCACCATAATGTGTCTGGAAGTATGGCTAGCGGAGATAAATTCGGGCACCACCCATGGCGCGACTTGTGAGGCAACAGATTGGGCATGAACAATACTGGCTCCGTTTAGGATAAATCCATGCCATGCCGTGATGTTGGGCTCGTTGGGCTCGTTCCAGGGTATCGTTATACTCCATACTAGCTGGGCATACGGAGTAGGGCGGGCAAGCAGTAGTCGGTAAGCCAGATTGTATAGAATCAAAATAATCTAGAACGACTAAAGGTCATAGGGTGAGAAGGTGCTTGCATTTCTTCTCTCTTTTGCCTAACAATCTGCTCCGTACTGCGTACACGCATCTAAGATGTTCCAAGATTGGCACGCCAATTTAGCAATTCATATATGGCCACTACGTCGGCTGACCATGAGCCATGTCTCGGGCCACCTTGTCTGCTATGAACGAACGTTTCAAAAACATAGAATAATGGTCGAAAACTGACCGCATACCATATCTTGCCCAGCAGCTGATCATTAAGACACGTCCCCTCATTCGAATCACTGTCGTTGTCTTTCTTGAGTTTGCCAGTACTGGATACTAGTATCTCAGTACATGCCAGCTGAAAGTATAAAGAGACTGGCGTTGTTTCAATGGGCTTAATCAACGCATAAGATAGTGGCGGCATCTCGCCAAAAGGGGAAGGGCATTCTTCAGCGTCCGGGCATGCACATATGTATGCTCGCAATCTAGTTGTAGATACGGATTTGCCCGTGCTGTAGATGGAGACGTGTGGCTGTTTTATCACTTGATAGTAGCAAGTTAGTTGGGGACTAGCAGTTGTAGCAGCATTCACATGTCGACTCAATTCGCCTCGATTGCAACTGTCGAGAGTACCGAGAGGCTCGGATGTGGCTTCGGTGCTCTTCCGCCTCAGCTGGCGCCAGCAATTAGGTATTACGTATTGCCTGTAGGGCAAGGATCTCAATCGAATCTGCGTCTGACGTACGTTGCTCCTTGCAGGAGAAACCGCTTCCTGTCGATGCGGATGCGGAGCTCGACACAAGGTTAGCGCTATGGCCTGCTAAAGACCTGATGGTGCATGAGAAGCAGCACCGCAATTTGGCATGTCTCGTATTACCAAACAAGTACAGAGATGATATGAAAGACGCAAGAAGGGGCCTGGTGCTGGATCGCAGAAACGTCCGTGTAACAGGGCAGCTGAGAAGAAGAGAATTCTTCGTAGGGCACTTAGTCCGTACCTAACCTTATTAGTTGTAGCCATCAATCGCCAGTAATTGCCGTCACGCTGCCGATGCGCTACTTGTAAAAAAAAAAAAGGAGCCTGGAGCTCGACGTGCAGACTCATATGGCCAGCACGGAAAACCCGCTCCCAAGAAACGCAAAAGTGCCTGAGATGCCAGCACGATAGGTCGAACTCTCAGGTCTACATGCACCGCGCCAGCTTCTCTCCCTGCGATTGGTATATTCATGCTTTCTTTGCAGATATTGTGATTTGTGGGCAGCAGTGGCTCCTCCAGCGCCTTCACCCCTCTCGCGCCTCTGGAACCCCTCGCCCCAAACAAGGCGCCCAACCACAGATCTTGCAAACCGACCTCGTTCTCTCCCTTGATCCCAGACCCGAGTAAATCCTGTCCTCCCGCCCAGAACGTCCGGACTTGGTCCTCTGAGCTGCATCCGACACCCTGCCGCCGCCGCCCGTTAATATCCTGCGCTTCCCACGCCATCCGCGCTCCCGCCCCGAAAACAGCGATTCTCCGCAAGGGTCCCCCCAGCTCCATCGCCTGCTGTTCCGTCAACCAGCCTGCAGACGACCTCAACGTCGGTCCAAGCCTGGCTGAGCTGGTCAATCGTTTGTGAGAGCAAGGCTCAACTCGCGTCGCCTCGCCACCCCCCATACTTGGGCCCTGCTTGCGTTGTGCACCACTCCACCAGAGAGGCGCGCGAACAGAGGTCTACAAGTATGCTTCAGACACATGGCGGCCCCCAAGACAACCGTATGTTTGGAGTGTGATGCCAATCTGCAGACGCCATGACTGATGCCCGTCCGATTCTCCAGGCACCGATAGCAACACGAGAGACGATGATAGAGGACATGACCGAGCCATGCACACTCTGTCGTTGCCCAAGAACCGCAGCACGGGAAACTTGCATCTATCAGCTGACCCGCCTGACCGAAACCGATACCGAATGTCCTTTGAGGCTTCATCGGCCGGCATCATGGACCACGATCCAATCACCAGGTTCGTCCCCCAACGGCGGCGTGTTCTGCCACAGGGCTTGTGCCACAGTAGCTCGCTTTTGTTTGCTGACCGCGCGCTCTGATCAGACCATCTCCTATTACAGACCACGAACACGGCTTGGGGCTCTCTGGCCTGCGCCGCATACGACAGCAGCATCCTCCTTCTCGAGCGCCGACCCTGCCTAGCTCAAATGCCTCTTCACGCAGCCCTTCAGTTGTCACGCTTACCCGCTCTACCTCCATGACTGCGATGTTGAGCAGCTATAGTACCACCGCATTTGGGGGACCGCCCACGTCTCCCAGCTTTTCCGAAGACTTGTCGCGGTTTCCCTCTGAATCTCTGCACTCCTTCTCCTTCGCGCACCAGTCGGAAGACTTTTTACACAACCGCCAAAATGTCCTGAAGCGTTCACTGGAGTTTATGAAAGACCGCATGGGTCTGTCCATGACCTCGACACAAGCCGGCCTCGCCAGCGCCCAGGCCAGAGTTTCGGGCGACGTCGACGCGCAGCATATGCTGGAACTACTTGCGCGAGCCCAGGTTATAGGTGCTGGAAATCTGCCAAATCCCGATCCTTCAGCCATCGTTGCTCCGCCATTGACCGGCCCAGCTGACCTACCTGCCGAGAATGTGTTTGAGAAGCAGTTCAGCCCGAGGGCGTCTATATCGGAGTCGATAGCATCTGATCTCGCACAAGCAACTTTACAAAGAGTGCCTACCAGCGACAACGAGTCAATACCCACCGACAAGACTACGGCTATTGAAGCAAAGTTGAGATTGGAGAGTTCAAGTAGAACTCAACCTGATGACAGCGGGCTTACTTTGAAGACGTCGTCATCCGCTACAAGACCCACGAGCTTGAAACGGACAATGACTGATACTCTAGGCATGGCTTTACAAGATAAGTTGATGGATACAATGTCTCAGCCCTTTCTTCCCGGCGAGCCTCTTTATGAAGAGCCACTTTCTTCCCCTGTAGCGACCCAACCGGCCGTGCCACTCAAGAGCTTCCCTGCTGCCGTCGGCCCGGCAGTGCATGGCCATACGAACAGATGGGTACCAGCCGCGCAAGCGATTTTCACAACAGAAGCTAAGCCACCATGGACTATCTTAGCGGCCAATGATCTGGCTTGTCTGGTTTTTGGCGTTACAAAAGCAGAAGTTCGAAAGATGGGCATTCTGGAAGTTGTGCAAGAAGAGAGAAGGGCATGGCTTGAGAAGAGGCTTTTGCAGTTAAATGACGCAGACATGGATGAGGACGGCGAGGGAGGCCACAAAACCACTCCGGCTGCTTCAGCTGCGTCTGCGTTGCTGGGTGGCAGATCGGGAATTACAGCCCAGCTCCTGAGCAAGCCCAGCTCGAGGGCACAACCGTCGCAATCCCCTAGACGCGCCCAGACAGTTCACAGCGGAGACCCAAACCCGCCAGCTACACGTACCAGCGGTCACCATCGCAACAACCTCTCACGTGGTGTCTTACTGTGCGGCGACGTCGTTCCGATTCAGAAACGCAATGGCGCCACTGGATCAGCAAGCCTTTGGGTTAAGGAAAAGCGTGTGGGGCTCATCTGGGTACTCGAGGAAATCCACGAGGACGTGGCTAATATTGTGTTGGACGAGGAGGGCATCGTACAGTCCGTTACGGGAGCAACCGAGCCAATCTGGGGTGTGAATTCAATAAAACCGGGATTTGATGTCGCGAAACTTATTCCACGTATCCCACGGCAAGGCATTGACCCGAACGAGGGCGAAATTGACTTTGCCCAGACTTCTCGAAGACGATACTTTACCTGCCCCAACTCTCACAAGTCTAATGTTCCATGCGCCATTGAGCAAGTTCGCGGCAAGCTAGAGTTACGCGTTTCAACTTTCCCTCATATGGCTGGCATAGTTGTGGTAGAGCCAGAAACGTTGAAGATTCGAAGCTCAAACTCTGTCTTTTCTGGCGCATTGTTTGGTTACGAAAAGCCTGATGGAATGCCTATATATTCTCTCATCCCCGACTTCGACAAGATCCTTGCTACGCTAACCGAAGAAGACGGTCTCCAGCTCTTGGATGGTATGGTAGTACCTGAACACAGATTCCGCAGAGCAGCAGCATTTTTCGCACTGAAAGAACAACGCCCCAACGCTGCCGCAGCATTTCTTCAACCTGAGGGTATACCAGCAAGACATCGAGACGGCTCAGAATTGAAAATTGACGTGCAGATGCGCGTTGTTGAAAGCGAAAAGCATACCGATATTATCGAAGAAAGCGAGTCAGAGACGGCAGAAACACACGATAGAGTGGGCTCTGTGTCGCAATCGGAGATGGTCTTTGCCCTTTGGATTACATACTCACGACACCTCCACACTTCGCCCATGAATTTGAATATGGAGTCTCCCGATCATCCATTGATTTTAACCCCCCCTCATCAGCCTTCACCAGGCCAGACTCCTGCACACACCCCGATGGAGATACCTTCCGACTCTGACGACTCCAAGATCGAGGCTTCGAAACAGCCAATTATGTCGATTGCCTCTGCAATCCCAAAACAGCTCAAGGATGCCGCGCTTGATGCCGCTGCAAAGTTGACCGGGCACGCCAAGCCAGAGCCACCAAAGGCAGCCGAAAAACCAGAACCTGCCAAGGCAGATGAGCCTGACCGCAAAACTACCATTGACGATTACACCATCCTTGAAGATATGGGCCAGGGAGCCTACGGCCAAGTGAAACTTGCTCGGCACAAGACGACAGGCAAGAAAGTTGTGTTGAAATATGTGACTAAGCGTCGTATTCTCGTCGATACCTGGACTCGAGACAGGAAGCTCGGAACAGTCCCCTTGGAAATCCACGTCTTGAACTACCTACGAAACCCCGAATTTCGACACCCTAATATTGTGGAAATGGAAGGTTTCTTTGAGGATGACATCAACTACTACATTGAGATGGCTCCGCATGGTCTTCCTGGCATGGATCTGTTCGACTATATTGAGCTCCGTGCCAACATGGACGAGGCTGAATGCCGAAGCATTTTTGTCCAGGTTGCAAACGCTGTTCACTTCTTGCACACAAAAGCCTTGGTAGTCCATCGAGACATCAAGGACGAAAACGTCATCCTCGATGGCGAAGGAAATATTAAACTCATCGATTTCGGCAGTGCAGCATACATCAAGAGCGGCCCCTTTGATGTGTTTGTGGGTACAATTGGTAAGTGTTTTTTTCTTCTCCCTTCCTGGACACCTCCACCCTACAATAATCCCAATAAAAGATGCTAATGAAGTTTCTAGACTATGCTGCTCCCGAAGTCTTAGCCGGAAAACCTTATGGCGGAAAAGAGCAAGACGTTTGGGCTCTTGGCATTCTACTATACACCATTGTCTACAAAGAGAACCCCTTCTACAGCATTGATGAGATTATGGATCGAGACCTTCGCATCCCGTTTATACTCAGCGAGGACAGCATCGACTTGATCCGCTGTATGTTGAACCGAGATGTTAGCCAGCGATATACAATAGAACAGGTGCTGGATCACCCGTGGTGCAAGGCACACCAAGCCAAATAGAAATGGAGGAGGAGCAAGGATTTTGTTTTTGGAGGGAAGGTGGAACGAAAAGGTTAATATAGACCTTGGAAGGTCACGATAGCTACGGCGGCATCTTTTGACCATGATACCCATGAAGTGAATTATACATACACACATACATACTGCGAAGGGAGAGAAGGAAGATAAGGAAGGAGACGTTGGCTATTGAGAGCGAGAGAATCGGAGACGAATACACACATAACATGTTCTCATGGAATGGCTACAACAACACAAACTTTACACACTTTTGATCATAAGCGACACACACTGAAAGGAGATGAGAGACTCACGTCTCTGACTGAAATAAGGGGGCATGGCTACGGTGGGGGAGTTGGAATTCTTTAAGCGATCTATGAAGCGTGGAGAGGACTTGGGGTCATGGTCACCCCACCCCCATTCCTCTTCCTCTTTTTCTTCTTCTTCTGTCATACTCTTGTCCTATTTTCTGTCTTCATTTTGTTAAGAAAAAGTGGCCAGCTTCAAGTTATTTGGCAATACACCAGCGCGAATTATTTTAGCATTGAGAGCAATCACCAAACAAATAAACAAGTAAACAAATACCGAACTATACAACTTTATTAAAAACAAAAAAACGCCTTTCCATTACGAATACCCCCTCTCTTCCCTGCTGATACCCTGTTATAGGACTCCCCCTTCCCTTCCTTTAAAAAGCTTAATTATAATCAGCCTTAATGATAATTCAACTCTGGGTTTGCCCGAAAATTGCACCGACAGCGACACTCCGGCACAGGACACTCGACATGCCTCGCAAACCATTCCCTCGCGTGATCCAAATGTAGTACATGCTCGCATCGAAGGCAAAACGTAGGGAACCGGCTCGCCATACGAGTCTCCTCCTTTTCCTCGGGCCGATCCGAGCGTGGCACGCCGACGACCTCGTAGCAGAGGATGCACCGAGGGAGGTGCCTACCGCAGTTGGGACAGCTCACACCGGAGTTGATGCTCGTTGCGAGCATGGGGTTGCGCGTCTCCATGGTGGACGAGGGCACTAGGGGAGCCGCGCCGTGGTGGTTGGCGAGAGACGTGCTGGCGTCGCAGTAGACGCAGCGGAGGGCGACCTGGCGAGACGGAGGCTTCAGCGCGGGGACTCCATCGCGCTTGGAGCGCTTCGTGGACTCGACTTCGAACTTTGTTCGTTGGAAGAAGAAGCGGTGGCGCTGGAGATAGGCGCGGTAAGCGTTGCGCCATGCTCGGCAACGGATATCGTCAATGTATCGTGGAGCGCAAATGGACATGACCAACGTGGCAGTTTGGAAGTCGTTGAACTTTTCGACATAGCGTGCAAAGATGTCAACCATGGTATCAGTGATGCCGGTAAGGCAGATGGCCTCGATATCTCCCTCCTTCACAGCACGAGAGACTTGTTCGCGAAGCCATGTGGTGAGTTGGTCGTCCGTGAAGTTACGGAATGCAACATAGGCCCTATCTGCGAGCGGTAATGAGGCCTGATTCGCGATAATAGTCCAATCCCCCGTAGCTATTAGGGATGATATCGCCCGTAGGTACGGATCCGTCTTTGATGCAACTGCTTCATCAATATCTAGCTTCTCCTTGGGAACTTGATTGCCTTCTCGGCTTATGAGCTGCAAAGCTAGTGAAACAAAGAGCAGCTCTGGATGGGACGGGCTAGCATCTCTCAATATATCTACGGCTAGCTTTGTATCGCCTCTGAATAGAGCTCGAGAGGCTGCCATTGTATGAATGCCAGCTGGGTATTCTGGATCTGCCTCTCGATCTAAGCCACCGGGCTCATGATTCTGGGCATCTCCCCAGCTGCATATTTCAAGGCATAGCTGGCGGTGGTGAGGCTTCTTTGTCGCAACACCATCGAACCTAGGTAGCTGGTGCTTCTTACAGTACGAGCCAATAGAGCGTTCCCATTGATTCGCATCGGGAACAGGGGCACCAGCAGACAAGCGAGTGGTTGGATTCCGGCCTATTAAGATGATATTCATTAGATTGGTGTCTTATTCAAGCTAAATAGAAATGCTCACCCAAGTTGTTGGTCCATATTGCATGCACGCCCAAGTAGCTAAGATCCAAGTGAGAGAACAGCATGCCGCCATCATCCGCAGCTCGCTCCGCATCTAAAATCTCATTAGTAACCACAAGAGGGAAATCATGATGATGTTTCGCAAAGACTCACCCCCGATCCAATCCCAAACAAAACGTTTCCAGGGGTCATCTGATGTCACATTTCTGTTGGTGACGGCGTCGAACAAGTATCTCTCTTTAGCGCGCAATAACTTAACATGATCGACGACACATTGGGCCTCTCTTGGAAGCCCCGATGAAGACGCAAGAGTACCTAGAAGTGCTTCGTGAATTTCACTACAAGAGCCAATGCCATTTGAACTAATAGAGGCAGAGCCAGGTCTGCCATTCATTAGCCGCTTCACGTCTTTGGCATGCGGCCTGCCTTCGTCAGGCGAGCCAGGAATGGCGCTTTCCTCGCGCACATAGTTGCGTAAAATACGAAGCTTTTCTGCAATAGTCTCAGCTGCATGGAAAGACTCGGGTAAGGGTGAAGTAATCTCATCAATGGCCTGAACGGTAACCGATACCGGCGTTTTCGGATCCAGGGCTTTCTCAATGCTTGCCTCGATATTTACCTTATCTGGCCCAAATACCGAAACATCGGATAAGCTATCTTCAATAATAATGGGGGCAAGCATCTTTGAAGCATGCGCAGTTTCAAAATGCATTAAATCTTGATATGGAGTATTCTCTGGTCAAGTGTTAGTGTATCAACAGCCAAAGTTTACAGATCTCAGCTATTAATTACCTTCAAGGCCACGGTGAGGGGTTTGCCAAGGCACAAGCTTGAAGATATGATCAGCTGTATTAGACGACTGTTCCAGAATATCAAATCCGCCGTTTGCACGCAGCACCAGAAGTATAGGTCGCAGAGCGGTTGAGCCTAACGTTACCCAGTCGAATGAGACAATTCGGTCGTTCTTTCTAGAGTTGTCGCGGTACGAGACGTCCATTTCGTGCGATCTTTGCACCTTGAGAAGTTCAGGACCTTCATGTGATACAGCATCGGATGATGGAAGTTCCTTGTTCGTTTCCAAGACTTTGAGTTGCCCGTTACGGGATAACACAGCCAAGAGACCACGACGGTCTCGGCAATAACGAAGAGAGCGAATGAGGGAGTGCTTCTCTTCAGCCGCTGAGTCAGAGTCCGTATCAACAACTGTATCAAGACGCAAAGCTCCGCCCCAAGGTAATTCATCCTCCTCAACAGCCTGTGCATATACATGAGAAGCGACAGGCCGAGAGGTTGCTCTTCGATCCCATATCATGACTCCTGGATGGTCAAGAGCTGATGATGCGAAATAATTTTGATCGGCATAATCAATTGCCAAATTATTATTGCATTTTGTGTGAAAAGTGAGAATACCGGTAGGATCTTGATGATTAAAGTCAGTTTCCATTATGTATTTTTCTTCATGTGAGGGAAGTAGAAGCTGCACTTACCACGAAGGTCATGTATCCGGACACCCTGACCCTTGATACCAACGACTAGCACATTAGGGCTATCTTCAAAGAACTTGATGCTAGAAACAGAGACGCTGGGTTCAGCTCTCTTGGGTTCTGAAAGGCTGCCCCAGTTACTAGGAAATCCCTTCCCAAGAGACACCACAGATGATAGGCGATTGACATCCCACACTTGCAAACTCTGGTCCATCCGAACGCGATCCAAGCCTACTGCCAACAGTCCAGTCGTGTTGAATGACACAGCCTGGCAGGTGCGTGCCATTTTGAGGCCGAGCTCAATGTAGGCGTTAGAGCTGTCGTCGATCCTCAAGAGGTTTATTATACCAGCTCCCGTACCAACGGCTAGAAGGCTTGGATTTTCCGGAGACCAGTCATACGTTGTGAGAGGAGGGAAATCATCGTGCCTGCTGACCTTGGCATAATCAAACCTTCCCGCGCGCGCGTGGCCAGTGGGTTCGTAGAGTTGAACAACCCGATGCTGCAGATTAATATGCACAAAGCTGTCGACAGAGGCCTTGGGAGACCACTTGACGAGCCCTGGCTCAGGGCGATCCATCTTGGATGCTGCGTGGGTAGGGATGCTAGGTCATCAAAGTCGAGACGGCCGTTGTTGTTGTTCTCATAAAGCCTCGGCTGTGGAACGTGAAAGATCAGGATTCCTCTCTGGGGAAAATGTTAAAAGCGATGACTATCAACGTAGAAATATTCCAAGCCGCCAAAAGATCCCTTGGATGGTGACGTGTTCTGAGGTTGCGGGTTGACCTAAGCGCATATCAGAGATGAGGTTCCGCTCCTGGCCATGGCAAGAGACGAGCTCAAGCTTGCCTTGAAATTGCATGCCAAGACGCAGCAGTTCCAAAATGGCGCTTTCGGAGATGAAAATGTTATTGAAATCTGGAATGAAAGAGAAAATTATTAAGAGACGCCGCCCTTTTGATTTATGAGCTCCGATGGATTCATCTTCTAAGAAGCTCATGAACTCTGGCGACGAGACAGAGAGCAATAGGCGTCATCTGATTGGCCGCAGCTCGCGCTAGCACGCTAATCCAGATTAAGCTTTGCGCCCCGATAAGATAAGCAAAAGTATTCTATGCAGATGGATTTGATTGATTTTCCTCTAATTCTTGCGCGAATCAGGCCAAAAAAGCTGGCTGTGACCGCAAGCATCGAGATTGAGACGAGTAGCATCAACTGCGAATGCGGTGTGCCGAATAACTACGCATTGACTTTATTTGAAAGAATTTTACGCATAACCTGCCAAAGAAACACCGGTAGAATCGATCCACGATGGGAACCAAACGGGAGTACGACGAAGTCGAGTCGCAAGGCGCAGATCGAAGCCATGGAGCGTCTGGAAAGAGGCAGAAGTCGTACATCGGCCGAAAACGCCAGGCACAGGAAGACTCCGGAGCCAAGAAGCGAATCCGAGCGATTGAGAGAAGTCTAAGACGAAACCAAGATATGCCGGTCAATGTGCGAATTGATCTGGAGCGCGAACTAGCGTCGCAGAAGCAAATCGTTGCAGATCAGGAATATAAGAGGAAGCGAAGCACAATGATATCCAAATATCATATGGTGCGATTTTTCGGTGCGTCAAGTCCTGGCATCAATACAATACTGCCACATTTACTAATGTCTGGTAGAACGAAAGAAGGCTTCGAGATTAGTAAAGCAACTGAGACGAAAGCTTGAGCATGAATCGGACTCGAGCGAGGCGGAGAAGATACGGCACGACCTTCATATAGCTGAAGTTGACGAAGCATATACTCTTTACTTCCCTCACCTCGAAACATACGTCGGTCTATATAGTTCCAACGCCAAGAAAACGGCCGAAGAGGAGACCGAGGAAGGGAAAGTTGCGGCTGCAAAGGCAGCTCTGGAGGCAGAGAGACCACCAATGTGGTCGGTAATTGAGAAGGCCTTGGCCGAAGGGACGCCCGCGTTAGAGAAACTGCGAGACCGCCGGTCGCCAGACGATAATGGGGAGATTGATGATACACAGCCGCCCATTCGGCCGCGAGCTACTCCCAAAGCGCCTTCGAACACACCCGCACCACGACACACCAATGCCTCTCGGGCCAACAATGGTGCCTCTCGAAAGAATCCAGAACAGCAGCAGCGATCGGGTAAGGCCCCGGAGCCACAATCCAGCTACGGTGACAAGGAGCAACACCCGGAACTCAATCGTAGAGAGAGGAGAAGGCTAATGCGAGAGGCCCTTGCGGCGGCACCCAATGACGAGGATGACGAGAATGGAGACGGTGGCTTTTTCGAGGGCCTCTAATGCATGCCGCTGTAGGTTTCGCTCCATGCATTAGTACCTGGGCTACGAAGTAGATAGATGAATACCCCCTCATATTGGGTCTGAGCAGACTGAAGCTGGTCTGTCTCAGCCGCCAATTACTAGCAGTGGCCATTTCGCACTTGATATGGCACGGCGCAGTATCGCGCTTCTATAGATGCAAGCATTAGCGTTGTCCTTTTTCGCATTGTCTCGTCTCGCCTCACTCCAGAAGTAACCCCGGCTTTGTGCCCCGTTCGTAGAGATGAGAAAATGTGTGCATCGCTGCCTACACATATGCCCAAAAGAAACCCCCACCAGCTCGCAGGCGCCCAAACGGCACATCGGGCCAATCAAGCGGTGCCGAGCCCAGAGCTTAAGCCCAGCCAAACTAACAAAACACCAGCGAGGCTTCGCAGCTTGATTTACTTGCATAGCCAGGCTGAGAGGTTGACCTAGCCCGTCTTGCGTAATTAAGGCTCGAATCTCATTGCTGCGTTGCTGGGCATGCGCCGGCAGCCCTGCTTCCCCATATATACTGCTGCTGCTCGTCTGTTTGCATCGACATCAGGCTACCTCTACCAGTCTGCATGCTGCTCCAACATCTACAGAGCTCTGAGTGCCAACCACATATACACCCGCATACATAATTGCGGATTATTCTCAGCTATATATCATCGCCGCTTACTCTCCCAACCTTTGTCTTATTCACATCTCCCTTCATCTTCCGCCACCCGGCAGCCCAGAAACGACACGAGCCCCGCCATGGACAGCGACGAAGGCGTCGACGTTATACCAGTGCCGTGGGGCCGGCTCAAAGCCTGGATCGAGGCCCAAGAAAAAGCAGAGCAGAGTGGTTACAATCCTAACCCGCCGACAAAGGTGCAGGTCGCGGCGCTTTCTCACCTTGTCGACTTCATGGACGAGCCTGAGCCGACTCCCAAGTCCATCGGTAAACTCGACTACGTGAGCGAGCTGATGCGTGAGCAATATCCGTCTTCTTCCTCCCCTCACCTAAACAGGAATTATTAGAACTCAGTTGCTAATACAATCTTTTCGAGAGGGAATGCAGAGCTCGCCCAGAGCAAATCAGTTGCTCCTCCAATGTTCCGAGACCTGGCACCCATAGAGGTTCCCGTTGGCGGCGTGCTCTTGCAGCGGTGGAGAACAGTCTGCACCCTCCCCTTCGCTAACAACAAGGAATTTCCGTGCCCGGGCTACGGACTTCGCGAAGGCAAACAACCTCCGTTGAGTAAATCGAAGAAGGTTAGTCAAGGTCACCCCTTTTATACGTATCCAGTTGATGAAGTCTGTCTATATTTATAATTGAGTCGGAGAGTTAATGGCAAATATCTTCACAGCTATCCAAGCAGTACGCAGCCAAATACGCATTCTTGTATGCAAAAAACCATTTCGGAGCTTCTACTTCAAGCAATGGCGGCGCTCCCGTGGCAACAAATACCTCTCCCCCGGCAAGAAACCCAACACCAGATAGCAACCACAACAACAACAACAACAACAACAACAATGTCAGTGTAGGTCATACTTCTCCTGCAAAGGTTCAGGCACCCTCGGGCGGCGCCCCTCTATCACCGTCCTCGACGTTGCCATCGCCGTCATCAAGTACCGGCGACCTCACAAATGGCGGCTCATCGGCTGCCGAGGATACAGACTTCTACGACAGCAAAACACTCCCCTCCCTTCTGGACCAAGTTAAAAAAGAAACAAAAATTTTGAAACTCGGCTATCCCATCTTTGATATTTTCCCTGACCCCGAGACCCCGGGAATGTACGCTGGGAAACCCATCTTTAAGAACAACAGTCGCATCCCCGAGGGCTTGGGCTATATTAAAGGTGCTCTCACAAAGGCCTTGGCCAAGGAGCTTGTTGCTGAAGAGATACTCCAATATTGTAAAGCGCAGCGGAAACGACTGGAGGGCCTTATGAATACTTTTAATCCTCTTGAAAAAGAGTAGGAAGAAGTAGGGCTCTGCAATGTCAGCGGTTTTGGGTAGAGGTGCTGCTATGCTCCCTTGGATGGCTGGACTACAGCACTAGCTTTGATATCATACAATCAAATAAAATAAAAACCAGATGATAAAGTTTGCTTCATGACAATAGCAGTACTTTGTTCATTGTATCCCAAAATCATGAAAGCATATCGTAACATTTCTTTGATCGTCCACTATCGCCCTTTTCCCCTACCTCCTCTTCCCCTCCCACCCCCTCCTCTAGGTCCCTTCCCAGGAGGAATTTTCCCCTTGATTCCTTCAGGAAGACTTGAGAGTCTCTCGCCCTCTTCCCAAAGAACTCCAACGTCAATATTTCGCCCAGTAACCTTTTTGAAGTAGGTAGTGCTCAACACCCCATCCTGCCCACCCTCCGTCAGCAAAACCCCATTATCACTCCTCCACCACTGAATGCCGTCCTGCAGACTCTTCTCCACGTCAATCTCAATCACCAGCTCTGCATCCTTCCGCATGCCGCTCATGACACCTTCCTCCGGCGTCCCCGTCGAACAGTGGATGTGATTGCGCCCCATGACCTTCAGCCCGCCGGACTCTTCAATGGCCGGCCAGAAGTAAAAGTATGTCCCGTGAAGGACCCTAGGCGGCACGTTGCCCGCCTCGAGGGTGATAGGCTCGAGGAGGGCGGCTGACTCGATCTTCACGGAGTGTCCCTGGTTGGCGCGGATGACGTAGTGAGCAGGCGTAGATGCCTCTTCTGAAGGTTCCGCGGCGAGTGTGGTTTTTAGCTTCATTGTGAAGCGCTGTTTTTCGTTGGATGCAACGACTTCTTTGATCTCGGCCAATGTGACTTTCAGAGACCGGATAGGGCCCCAGTTCAGCTACACACACACACATGTTAAATTAAGAATAAAAAGCGTTCCCTTCAATAAATCACAGGAACCACTCACCACCTCATCGAGAGCCGCAAAACCCTCCGCATCGAGCTTGATGCCCGCATTTTCAGCCTGATGTCTTAACAGCTTCGACAGCGCCTTTGAAACCAGCACTTCTCTGCTCTGGCCGCCGCCGCCTCCTCTGCCCCCACGGCCACCACCACCGCCTCTTTGCTTCTTCCCGCCCGCATACTTCTCTTCCAGGGCGAGATGAGCAGCGGTGCTCGAGCCGTCTTCCTCTAAAGCGCTCATTTCACTTGTATGCCGTAAATGCTCGGTATTCTTTGCCGTTTTATGTCTGGTAGCACTGAGTTGACGGCGCTGGTTTGCTGTAAAACTCTGCCGCTCTGGATTATGACCCTTGTTGATGAGACTATGAAATGAAGGCCTGGTTTGCTTCTTTACGAATGAGAAGCTACAGGCCAATTTGAGTGATGGATATCTGGGAAAGATACTCATTCGCTTTTAAGGTCAAGCCTACCGGAAGCTGCCTTAGTGTGTGCCTGCCTCAAAAGTCCTACCTATGTATGCTGTGGCTCATAAATCGGCGTGACTCAGCAGACTCTACTAAGTTACTGTGTACATAGCTTGTGCGCCACATTTTTAACATACCCGCCAGGTCAGTACAAAGAAGAGAAAGCATCATCAACTCAAAGTCAAAGAAGAAAAGTAATTGCTATTATAAGAATTGGCAATGCACATCAATGCTACCTTTTGTTTCGCTCCCTTAGGAAAAAAAACACCAATCAAAAAAAATCCACAAGAAATAAAAAGAGGTATCGTATCTCTACGCCCGGTCCCCCGTCCCAATATGACTTCACGGCCTGCCTTTCAACCTAATCCACTCCCTTGAGAGAGAAAAAAAAAACACGAAGTTAAACTCTCTTCTAAGATAAAACAATCAAAACTCCTCTCTTCGCCTCTGAAGATAAAGAAAAATAAATAAATAAATAAAAGGTGTAGTCAAGGCCACAACGCACCAACCCTCTCAAAAAAAGAAAAAGAAAAAATGCTTTTTAATGCTCGCAAGCAAAACCAGGTAATACACGCTTTATGAATGGTAAAAAATCAGAATGGACAAGAAGGCAAAAAAAACAAACAAAGAGAAGTTGGCTCCGTGAAGGAAGTCGAAGCAGGCCCTCCGTCGTTAGGTCGTCAAGCCAGTGGGTTTAAGAAGGAAAGAGACGGCATGTAATGTTTGGTGATTGAACAAAGGAAAAATGAGACAAGATATGAGAGAGAGTAAGAGAGTGCCAAGGTATGACAACAATATTAGAGTTGGACATAGTGAAAAAAATTAAAGAGAGGTCAAAAAATGACAAAAAAAGAAAACGCTCGCAGATGGATTATGTATGGTACAGATCATGAAATCTAAACGTGTTGTTTTGTTGTCGTTGACGGTCATCTCAAGCCGTTGGAGGCGGTTGTCGAGGAGGCCGGGATAGCCATGTTATCCCGATTCGTCCGACGGATTTGCAGGCTGCTGGTTCGATTCTGCAAGGAATGATAGGTGGAGGTATGGTTTGAAGAACCATGTTGAACAGATAGATGTCGTGAGAGACGGTTTTCACTAGGTCTCTCAGAACCACTCTCGACGCCTTCAGGCAGCGACCTCTCCAAGAACCTCCTGGTCGTGGGTGTGGTAGCAGTAGAGGGAACCGTCAAGCGAGAAGGTTGCAGATTGGAAGTTATAAATCGTCGTCGGCTAAGGGCCGACGGGGGTTGTGGAGTGTTGACCTCGAGCAGCGGAGTTGGGGCATCAGAAACATACGGATATTCCCTGGCACTTCCTCGAGTCCCGTTCATCTCGGTAATAGCGCGGGATGGAGCTCTGAATCTGGCCCCTTCATCTTCCTCACCAACAGTACCCCGACGATTACGGACGAGAAATGAGGTCCTTCGGCCGCCCTCGTCAGATTCTTCGCCCGCTAGTCGTCGACTCCGTAAGAGAGCTGATGATTTCCTGCCGTCTTCCGGCTCCTCTGTCACCGCTCGACGAGCGCGCGATATGACAAGGGAGGCTCTGCGAGCAGCTGACATTGCGTCGATAGGAGTCGCAGGAGTAGATGCAGAGTTCCGAGGACTAGTCAGAGGGTTCCCGTTCAACATCATGCTTCGTCGCTCCTCATATTTAGATGTGGCTCTAGGGCTGCTAATAATTTGCGTGGCTTGTTCAGGCACAACACTGTTGCGACGAGAGACCGAATAGGTCTTGCTGTTCGTCATGGTTGGAGTTACCGGTGGCTCCGGGTGCGCACTCGGGCTTCGCGTTGGGTTAAGCTGTGTAGTCACCACCTGTGGAACAGTCACTGCAGGCCGAGCCGAGTCCTCACCGAGGGCGATGCAAAGTTCTGTCAAGCTACGACAGACACTGTCCGTTCTGCGGCGAAGCTGACGATCTGTAAGTACAGGTCCGCCGCCGCCACTGACTACGCTGGCGGAACCTGATATCGGGCCAGGCTGGCCAGGCGCGCCCATCATGGAGGACAGTGCAAGAGCATCGTTCGCGGCTGTTTCAAGCGCGCGGTACACTTCCGAGCTAAGAGTTGTCTTGATTTTACTGAGCGCCGAATGCAAGTTCGAGTGCGCCTCTCGTTGCGACGACGTAGAGCTGCCGGCATCTGTCTGTTGGCCAGCTGCCGATTTTCTGGGGGAAATTGACATGGTAGTGACTGTTGTTGTAGCTGTTGGTGGCCTGTCTTCTGAAGACTTGATCAGCGCGGCCGCAGAGGTAGGCGGTAGCTTTCCAGTCAATTCAAGACGATGGATTCGCGATTTCAGATCGTCCAGCTCGTCCCAGACTGTAGACGGTGCGTTAGTCGACGTGGTTGACTCGGTTCCGTCAGCAAAATTACCAGCATCGGGTTCATCATCCTCATCCTGCATCTCGAAAGATCGGTTTAAAGGTGACGGGTTATAGGCCTTGGTGTGGCTTTGAACGAGCACGGTGGCTTTATGAGTCGGTGAGCGTGCCGAGCTGGAGGAAGCAGAATCAACAATAGAGGACTTTCTTCTATTATAGAAAGAGTTCTCCGAAGCCTGATCCTGATAACCTGCAGACCGGGGCGTCATGAGCGAAGGACGTAGGCCCGAACTGCTGGCCCTAGAGGAGCTGTCTTCAGAGGGACGGGAGGATATGGCCTTGTCTCTCAGCTGGCTGCTGCGATAAGAGCTGCTCCGTGCCACTTCGCTTGTTAGTTCATCTTCGTATCTAACAGATCGACGACTTTCCCGGTCTTGTTGATCAGAGAGCCTGCGGCTCACTGAAGGTGGGGATACGGGGTAGTAAGAGGTAGCAGCATGTGAAAGTGGGCGCTGACTTGTGGTGCGACTAATTTTGTACTGTAAAAAAACATCATGTTAGAATCTGAGGCGTCCATAAAACAAAGGTTGATGTAGATATTGCATATTTCTTCTTGTGACAGCGGGTAACAGCGAGCTTTTATCCTGAATTCTAACACGATGGTCATATCAAAGGGAATGGGAATGGCATAAAAGAGAAAACAAGAGCAAGGGGCGATGCGACGCTAAATAAAACTTCTCTACACCTATAAAAGGATAAAAAACCCAAAGAGTTTCTTTTCTTTTGCATTTTGCATTTTTTTTTCTTTCACTTACCGTAGTAGTTCTGTCACTGGCGTTGTTGGTTTCGGAATTTCGTGCTGCCTCTTCAGAAGCAATTTTTAGAAAGACATCGCCCGTATCATCGCCACCGTTAGCGCCGTGCCCAGAACCAGGAGGGCTCCTTTGTTCAAAGAAATCCCCATCTGAGGCGCGAAGGGTGTGGTCGTCAGTCGAGTCGATGTATCGATCTTCCGCATCATAGCCGCGAGAGCTGTAGCTCATATTGTCGTCGGTGGAGCTCTTGCGAGAGCCCGACGATCGGATGCCCCGAGTGGGCGGTAATCGAGAGGCGATCGAAGCCGTTGGTTGGCCGGCAGTGGCGTTGTTTACCAGGTGCTTATAAGAAACAGGTGGACGCTGCTGCGACTGGTCTTGATTGTCATCTGAAAGACCCGAGGAGGGCAGCGGTTTGGAGGCCGACAGATCTCGTTGCGTTTGCGTTCGCTCCCTGATGGCTGTTTTTGGATCCGATACTCGTGTGGTGGGAGAGATGGCTTCGTCGATGGTTGGGTAACGTGCGCTGAGTGAAGTGCGCGGACCTTCGGGCGTCACTGCGCGGTTGGTGTTGGAGCTACGGGATGATGCTGGCAGCCGGCGAGTGGTCTGCCTCAGGGAAGACGAGCGCGCGACACTCGTGGTGGTTTTTGCTGACTGCGCAGCCTCGTTGGCTAGGGAATCGGGATACGACAAGGGGCGCCTGACTCTGCGGATCTGTTCCACGGCTGGCGGCTTGATGGTGGTTTGATACGATGCTCGAGGGCGCAGGTTCGGACGCGGCGGCGATGCGAGCTTTTCGGACGCGGGCGGCGCCTGGCGGTTGCGCGCAGACGCAGACGAGGCCAAGACTTTTGTCGGAGCTGGTTCCGATCGCGTCTTCAGCCTGTCTCTGGGAGCGACGTCTGACTGCGAGGCGGCGGAGACGTTGGAGGCCACAGGGGGTGCGAGCTGTCGAGAGGAGAGGCCCAGCGGCTGCTTCGCGACGTGCGGCAGGGGCTGCGAATGCGACGAGGCGGCTGATCCGTTCTTGATGTCGGCGAAGCGGAACGACGGCAGCTTGGAGGAGTTGTGGCTCTGGCGATGCGAGTGCAGGTTCGACGAGGGGCCGGTGATGCTCGCTGCGGATGGACCTGCGAGTGATTTGCCCGGGAGGCTGGCGGCTGTGGAAGTGGAAGCCGCCTGGCCGTAGCGAGCCGTAGTGAAACTAGCAGTCTCTGTCATGTTCGCGCCGGGCAGCTGTACCGGTACTGGGCAGTGCAGCGACGGGTGGTCCTAGCAGCGTGTACTCGTACATGCGACAGCGGGGGGCCGCGTCTCTCTCATCAGCCACAGCGTAAAGGAATGTGAAAAATAAAAGAAGGCAGAGACAAGGGCAAGTCTCTGTGCGCCAGATAGATGTCAAAAGTTTCAAGTTTCGAGCGTGGGATCTGCACGATCTATCTGGCACGCTTCGAGTCCTGTCCAGCGCCGCCGTGGTTGGCCGCGCGGGAATTGCTCGAAAATTTGGGGATAGTATTTCGGGGGCTGCTTGGGTGTCCACGGTGCCGAGGACGGTTCGAATTTGCAGACTTGGAATAGGCGCCCCTTGCTTTCATAGCATGGCAGCTGGGCAGGGGTCCGTCTCAATGGCGAGACAGGAAAAGAAAAGAGAAGCGAGCTGAGCAAGCGCCCGGGCGGCGGAGCAAAGCGCGAGAGTGGCTGTCGGAAAGCGATATAAAACGTCCGCCAACGGCGCAGCCCCCAGCTGGTGTTCGAAGGAGGGTATGAAGTACGGGGAAAGGAGCAGACAAGAACACAGCTGGGAGTCGAGCTTTTCTGGCTGGGCGAAATGCAAGCAGGAGAGTTGGAATCACGGTGAGCAGCGCGCACGCCTGAAGGGAGGGGAACGCGAGGGGGCAGCATAAACCAGGCTAGCGGTCCCCTGCGCTGGACATTGGAGGACTGCAAATGGCCTGTTGTGCGGATGCAGGGCGATGTGCAAACAAGTCAGATATCACTACTGCGCTGTATGGGTTGCGCTGCCGCATCAAAGCGCGATACGCTGGCCCCAGGCTCCAGGCAAACAGCGGCCGTGGAGGATCCGGATCTGCCAACGGCTCTGGCCCCGGGCAAACGCGACATGATGCAACGCCTTTCGCTCTTCTCCATCCTATGCAGTGCGCCTCCGGAGCTTGCCATGCATGTCGAGGGAGCTGAATGATTCGGCTGCTGCTCTAGGGCCGTGGGGCAGGCCTGCTGTGCTGGCCCGGCGAGCATGCCAACCTCTTAGACGACGTCGAGAAGGCCGGCATATGCAGGAGAATGGAGCCGGTGGAAGCAGCAAATCTGGTTCCACGGCTGTGATCATGGGAACATGCCACTGAGTGAGATTTGCATCCCCATCTACGCTTTAGGCGCCTGCAACTGCTTAACGCTCGCCAGGCCCGTACAGCAGCGCAAGGCAGGCAAAGAGCTTGCGTTCGGGATGACGGGCGGTTCGCGAATCAATCGCCGTCTGGGATCGTATTGGATGGATGGTCCAAGTTAGCGCTCCGCAGTGCCGCGTTGGCCCTGGCGGAAGCTACAGTATCTACCCAAATCGTATCTATCTGCCCAACATTGGAGGAGGCTACCTAACCAGGCTCAAACTCGCCTATGTTATATTGAATGTGAGGCACGCGGCTGCCTCATAAATAACGCTTGTGAGAGCCCAATCTTGCCCAGGTTCGCCCACATATTGCGCCTCGCGAGGCAGCTATGCTTTAGTCCGTCCCGCCTCTTATACCGTGTCTACTGTATTTTCTGAATCTTTTTCTCCTCTGTGCTTCTCTGGCCTTCTGTCCATCTTTGGGAATCCCAACATCCCGCTATTTCACTCATCGTACATAAATGTTGCTGCAATAATTAGGCGGCCTCGCTGCCCAGAATGAGAACCGAGCCACTCAAATCTCGCAACAAACCTGCATGGGGTTGTTATTGCGGTGGATTGTTGTTCCCGGATAAAAAGAGCGCTAGCCCCTCTTGGGGATATTGAAATCTTAAAGCAGCTCAAGCAACTCACCAACGTCGAAGCTAATAGCTCAAAGCTCCTTGTGTTGGTAAATAGTTTCATCTCATCGGCAAATGTCAAAAGCAGAGATACGGCCATGCGGATATGACCTCTCCATTTGGCAGATTGCACTGGGTTTCAGTCCCGAAAAAGCGAGTACCTCATACGAAGTATCGTTCTGAAATTGATAGCTTGACCCTGGATGCCCGGCATATGGAGAGCTAGACCAACCGTTTCTGTATCAGGCGTTGCGAGGGTTCTCGGTCAAGCTAAACTGTTCTTGTCGACCTTTCATTTATGTTCACGGGGCAGGCATTTTACCTAGCAGTGATGTTATATGCGTGATACTGCGACTAATTGGAAAACGCCGAGATAACCGTACGTATATCCAAGATTGGGAGGGGCAGTTATAGACGAAATTATCGAATCTGAGAACCCATCAAAAGGCTTCTAGCTCGTCTATTGTTCGCCGCGTCGGGCTAAGAAGGAAGAATTTACAGGGAAAGGCTAGGTTGTAGCGTAAAATTGCTTCCTCTGATGTGAGCCTGGGCCGATCCGATCGCCTGTGCGCCTTCTACCTTATCTGTAACATGAACGGAGTAAACCTTCTAGCTGGAATGTGAGAGTGCCACCCAGTTCAACTTCTCATCGACTTCGGTTATACGCCAAGAAGTATACTAGGTCCATGGCAACCATGGATATTCGTAACCTTGTAGTGGAGCGTTACTAGGGCTTGCCTTAGAATTTGGGAAGTTTGTTCCCGTCAGAGGCCTCTACAAATGTAGCAGGAAATTTTCAATCTGAATATACACTTCTACCATTACTACTTGAAAAGCATTCAAGCCATTCTACATTGTCCAATCGCAGTACACTATGGCATGGGGCGAGAATGGGGACAAATCTGGCCCTGACTAGAGTAAGTTCTTAGCCATTTCAGGTTGCCTTCAGGGGTACGGTTGTTATCAAACACGATGATGGGGCCCCCTGCAGAGACTTTTAGCCGAACGCACATGCCGTCACGCTTTACTCGATTATTGCTGCGGCCGTTTGATTTTGTGTTTTGTGCTTTCTTGAGTTGATCCTAAAAGAAATTTTAAGTAGCATAGTAAGACGAGAGATCGTGACAAAGGAGGGAATCGGGGCGAATGAAGATTTTCTCATGCCGGCTTCGGAAATGCAGAGGATGGCTCCGTTTCATGGCATTGCGTACTAGCTAAGCGATGCTTGACAGCGTTTTAGCGTCTTTGTGCATTATATTGGAGTTTTCGTATCTGTATGATGGATAGGCGTCAGTATCTTATGCGCCCCCCTCAAGCTGTCAACCGTTAGTTCATCAGAGAGCCCTACACACCTTCACCACCTCTTTTTCTTCTTCTTTTTTCTTTCTTTCTTGTTATAGCTGCTGTTGTCCTTAACCGAGATAATGATTTGCCCGGAAATACTTTTTTACCGTCGGTTACAGCAAGACGGCAACCCCTCCAACCCCTTCCTGTTTCAAATGCTTCATGTCGAGTGTCAGGTTTGTTGAAACTGGCCCGCTTTGGGGCATGCCCTTTGCTACACTCTTTGAATACTCACAACTCCTTTGGATTCCTCGTACGATGTGTATCTTTGTGTCGAAAGTCATGTGTTTCTCTATTTCGCTTTGTGGCCAAGACAAAGGTAAAAGAAATAGTAGTGCTGCTGCTCTGGCAGCTAGCCACGTGGAATTTTGTATTTCCCAATATCGACTGTCGTGGCCAGGTTTCATATGGTCGTCCAGTCGCCTGGGGAATGTTTCTCCCCTTCATATTGGGCTATCAATGAATTCCCGCGACTACTAGTAGCGCGGTAGCTTAATTGCACCCTTGAAATGGCTGCATTCTACTCTGCGACGGCGTCTCAGGGTTCCCTTTCCCACGTGTATATTAGATTCCCATCGGAAATGAAATTGGGATGCTGTAAGGGTATCAAGGCACAGTGCCTGCGGGGACTTGTATCAATAGTGCGGATTGCACCACGCGACCCTGAAAACCTATGGAAAACGACGGTGTAAGTTGATAGCAGCACTGTATGTTCAGGTCCCTGTACAAAGAGATGTAACCTTAATCTCCAAATTGCCAGAAACACTAGTTTGGCGTGCAAAGATCGACATGGCGAAATTGCGATGAGCCCTTTTGTGCGCGCGAGGCCATGGCCGGCGCTGTTGTGGTACTTTCCATGTATCACCATATAAGGAGTACTAGGTTATTGTAAATAGATATCCCGTACAAGTAAATGCCCAGCGTACTAAGTTGGTGGTAGCACTTCTTTAGCAGTTATGGATTGGACAATAAATGGCGATGTTTCCCTGAGCAAGGTACCTGCCGGTACAAGTGAAGGTACGGGTATGAGATTAGTTCTTAGTACACGAGCACACGAGGTCTCACATCAGTAGAGACCCTGCTAGTACGGGTACCCAGGTATTACTAGGTAGGAACGTGCCTTCTCCACAGGTTGCTGATACTGCATCTAAATTTGCTGCCTATTGGAGGCAGTATTGCGATAGTATGAAGACAGTCTCCAGTTACCTGCGATGGATTACTCCTGTGGCGCTGAGCCGTGATCATGTGAGATCCAATCGATGTCTGATATGTAATGGATCCTGACTCAAAAACTGACTGACACAGCTTGGCGACATGCCGCTGAATACCGATTATAAATCTATTTATAGGCTTTATAGTCTCGTCAGCGCGGGCTGCTAGTCTTGGTTGGCTTCCCTGGGTTGCTGAGTGAGAAAGCGAGCGAGAAGAAGGAGAGAACAAGTAAAAAAAGAAGAGTGTCAATCATCATGACACAGAATAACGACTAAATGGTGCTACGGAATACGGAGTAATACAGACTGGAGGGCCGTATTAAACTCCGCTTTCGTGAGGGGAGAAGATCTCACACCTGTCAAGGCGAGACATATTACGGACTCACATGCATGCTAATCTGGGCATATGTGCAGCGAGCTGGCTTATCACAGGCAGATTCTGTATGTACACGGGTTTCGCCACCCTTGATCCATGTCTCGACGGTCAGAGTTTCGAGTTTGTTGATAGCGACGAGATGAGGTCATGATCCGTACGAGACGGTAGGGAATCATGACATGATGCTCTTGCCACTTGGTTGCACTTTGCTGAAACTATTGGTGCTCCGTGCCCGCAGCAGTTTGCTATACGGAGTCACTGTGTCCAGCCAGTTGAAGCAGCTGCCTGGATCATGGCGTACATGAGCAAGAGGGAGGGGCTTGCTTTCAAGAGTCAGCAAAGGGCAGCACAAATGGACGACAAGAGAAGAGAATACAGTCGAAAGAAAAAGAAGAAGCTGCAAATATACTAATAGCTGCAGGAGCTGCGGCTGCTGCACCAGAAACAAGAGAGCAGAATGCTTGTACGTGAACCTAACACTGTGCTGCAGGCAAGGCACCTCTAATACCTGCGAGTACCTACTAATCTTTTGAAATTTTCTGGCTGCGGACGGACACGACGGGACCCACCGAGGGCTAAATTTAAGAAGTCGTCCTGCAAGACAATTTGAACCGCAGCGCCTCATTGGCTGGGCCTTGGCGCCTGGCCGGCTGGGCAGGGCTATATTTAGCCTAGGCGCTGTTTCGCACGCATCAATTGCATCCCTGTTCTCCGCTCAACCACTTCGAAACGAGGAGGTGGGGGGCTCTTTTTTTTTTCTTGCCCTTCTCCCCTGCTAGCTGGGCCTGCCTGTGGCGCTGTGACTGGCTGGAGCCACGGCAAGCTGCTGGCATGCGCTCCAGCACTTTGTCGTTTGCTGGGACCGTGAAATTTCGTGCCGGAGGGGGGACGGGCGGCTGCTGCGTGGGGATTTGCGCAATTGCGGATGCTGGCGGAGAACAAGAGCAGTCTCTGGCAGCGTGGCGTAGCGCGCATTTCTACTTTTAGCACTGACCGTGGACCACGGCGGGTGCGGCGTGGGAGCAGACACCAGCAAAAGCAGCAAGTCATCACCAATCGGTAATTAATCAGGACCCTGCGAGTAGGAATCGGTGCTACTACTAATAGCATGCGCTACCTACTACCGCTCTTGCTCTAGCGGGCTGGCAGGTAGCCTCTACTTAAGTCTCACCTCGTTGCCGTGGTGGCTGAGCTGCCCGGGAGCCCTGCCCTGGACAGCCGGACAAGGTCACCGTTACCTGGGGCCGCCTAGCGTCTATAGCAGGCGCACTTAGCACTTGGTAGCGCTGCTTCGCCTGCAGCTGCCCCCCTTCCAGGTCGCCCGTCCTTGCCCCCAGCCGCCGTTTGTCGCTGTCGAGCCTCTCAAACACCGTCACGCCAATTCTTCCTCTGTCCTGTATCTGCTTTTTTTTTCTTTGCAACATCCAGCACCAGCAGCCAAGCCCTCCCTTTTCTTGTTCCCGCTCGCCCTCGCGCAGGATCCGGCATCTGCACCCTCGGCGCTGCCTTGTTTCTCGTTTTCTCGCTTCTTCCTCTTTCTTCTTTCTGCTCCAGCGGCTATCCTGCATGTGGCCGTCCGCTAATTAGGCGCCGTTCTTGTTTCACCTCCATTTTTTGGTACCATTCCTTCCATCTCCCTTCCCGGCTCGAGATCACGCTTCATTGTCCTGGTTGTCGACGATCCGCGGGAGCTTCTTCTTCGCCTCTGTTTTTTTTTTCCCTTCCCCTTTCAGTCTGTTCTGGCCCGCACAAGCAGCGCTGCAACCGCCGTTCCCCTCGCCAGCTGTTTGCGCCATCCTCGATACCAACGCCACTTGGGCCAAATACTCCGACCACTTGGTCGTGTTTTGTACCCGCGAACTGCCCACCACCGGATTCAGCTGTGCTGTCCATTGATTACCTTCTTGAATTTAATTACAGTTCGCCAATTCGTTCTTTCGAACCATCCGTTCAACATTCGTTCTCTCGTCAATCTTTGTTCTCTTCTAGTTCTTTTCTTCTCCGAAGTATAATCTTGAGCGAATCGTATCGTTTCTCTAATCATTCAACTCTCGCGTTAGTCGACAAAAGCAAGCAGCAGCACACGTATTTTATCAAAAGAAAGGCAGCGACTTGTTTTGCGTGAGAGATTCTCAAGGCTCGAAAAAACCGCTGCACAGTTTGTTCGGAATCATGCCCTCAGCTGCGGCGCGCCAGGTATACGAAGATCAGATACCGACGTTCATGTCTGTCTTCGATCTTGAAGCCGAGGCCATGGCAGACCAGGAAACCTTCACAGTAGTCGGTTCCAAGTTCCTGGACGTGGCGCCCAAAGCCTCCACTCAGCAAACCAGTCTCCAAGCCTGTCTTGCCCCAGACCAAAGCCACAAGCACCGCGACAGTACTTCGACTCAGACTTCGGAGTCCGACGATTCGTCTCCTACCACTACGCTTTCTACCACAGACTCCTCACCTCTTTCAGATCCGTCACCATCATCATCGCCAGATTCCCCGCTGAACTTGATTCCCCTCAACAATTTTCACTCTGCAAGCTTCAGTGGCCCATCAAATCCGGTTTCACTGCTTAGCATTTCGGAGGCGAGCGCGTTGGAGCGCCCTATGACATCTCCAGCACCAAGGAAGCCAAGGAATATGAAGGGTCTATCAATCCAGCCGCCAACCGCAGCAAACGCTACATCCAAAATGGTTTCAGAACCTTGCTCTCCATCTTTCATCAAACCGGCAATCCCTGCCATGAAGAGGAAGCCTAGCCTCCTCAGCCTCAAGACCAATGCTTCGGATTTGATTAATAAGACGTCGCTGGAAGTGCCAGGGTCGCCCAGTGTGCCGCCAATCCTTCAGCGCCGCGCTCTGAAGCACTCAACGTCATCGCCCTCCATCCAATCATCATCCTTGAAAACATCCACGTTTGGGCCACCCGGTGGAATGACCTTCCCCAAGGTGCTTGAGCGCAACGAGTCGGGGCTATCAGAGTTCTTGCGGCCCATGAAGTCCAGCATGAATTTGACTTTCGACGCTGCGATCATGGAAGAAGATACCCCAATCAAGACACAGCTTGCCTCTCGAAATGACTTTGATGAGCCTTATCGTGAGAATGAGAATAACGAAGACCAGAAAACGCCAGGATATCCCGATGGGCCAATTGCCATTTACGGCGACAACGTCTTTTTATACCTAGAGCCTACGGCGGAAGAAGCTTCCCGATTTGATGTCGTCATCAATGTCGCACACGAAGTTCGGAATCCTTTCGAGGCTAGACAAGAGCAGGCCAAACCTTCTTTGCACGGCCCCTCTTCTCGAGGCAAAGGATTGTCGTCTAATCTGAGCCCTATCCCAGACACAGCTGGGTCAAACACCAGCTTCTCCACCGCCTGGGAATTCCAGCTTTCTGAGGACAGCTCAATGGATACGCCAACCACACCCAAGGCAAACACTCTCAGCATTCCGGAGTACATTCATATGCCGTGGGATCACAACACTGATATCGCGCCTGATCTCATGCATCTCTGTGAGACTATTGAAAAACGCACAAAGGAAGGAAAGAGGGTGCTTGTCCACTGTCAACAGGGGGCTAGTCGATCAGCTAGTCTTATTATCGCCTATGGCCTATACCAAAATCCCCATTATAGTGTCAACGATGCGTATCACGCTGCGCAAGCCAAGAGTCGGTGGATCAGCCCGAACATGAAACTCATGTATTCACTACAAGATTTTCAAAAGGATCTATCTATGAGGCGCACTTCACCGGGCTCTGGCCCCTATCGACCTCGAAACGGACGAAGCCCATCAAAACATAGATTGACCCTATCTGCAGACGCAATCGAAATTACCCCTAAAGAGCCGCACACTGCACCTCTGCCGGCTGAAAACAGCAGAAACAGGCAGGGAAGTGATCATAAAGCTCGCCCAACTCTCCTCCCAGGACATTCTGATGAGCTTCAGACTATTTCGCCTGGGCCTGCTTCGGCACCACTCACATTCTCGTGGAGAGACAACTTTGATCGGTCTGAGACTGAGCAGATGGAGCCGGAACAGAAGAAGGCTAAGCAGATGGATCCTATCATTATGGAGCCAGAGCCCAGCCCCCGACAGGCTAGACCGGATCTCCTCCCGCCGCCGTCTCCCTCTCCTTTCAAGCTTCAGGCTCCTCCTCTGCGGCCAAAGTCAGCCCAAGGAAGAATGAAGTCAAGCTTGGCCCCGATGGGCGGTCCTAGACTGAAGCCGACCGCATCTTACTCAACTCTTGGGGTTCGTGGTTATTCATCGTCTCTTCCGCTTCAGACTCCCAGTGAAAAAGCCGTTCATTTTTCGGCCATCTTTCCTGACGAGGATGTTGTAATGTCGTCTCCCAGAGACGAAGAAATGACTAGAAATCCAGTACGAGACCTGACCTCTATCGCGGGAATGAGATTCATTGAGAGGTCAGAGCTCACTGAAAATCTATTCTCCCCAAGGCGGACAACTTTTAACCGAGATTCGCTTTTCGCATTCGGTAGGCCGGCTCAGATGGCAGACCCGCGAAGCCCACCGACAAAAGGCGAAGCACCAATTATCCGCTCCATCGATGATATCCTATGATGGGTCGGCACCGAACTTGTTTATTTAGGTTCAAAATAAACTGTCTTGGAAGGAAATTGGCGAAGGCTGACATCTTCATCAAAGCTGCCAGAGGCGTGATGTTGTCTTTGGATCTCGTTATTGGCTTCCTCTTTCGTTGTCGAGATCTTTTTTTTTCTATGGCATTTACAGGCGTTGAATGGTGTACAACAGAACTATTGATTACTCTCTCGTATGAGAACAGAAGCATTTACGAGCATTCTCGCTCGTGTGGGCTTCAGAAAATTTCAAGGCCAAGCTGATTCCTTGTCAGTGCGACATCTGTTTGCTCTCATCTCCCATTGTCAATAGCAGAGTTAAAGCTCAAAAAGGGGTTACAACTTGAGAGATCAGCTCCCGGCGTTTCTGGCTTGAATAAATCACCGAGGACAGGAGAAAGAAAGGAAAAAAATCATGCATCACCTTGCACATATAACCATACATGGCTTTCTGTTTTCTCTCTTTTTCCTTCCGTGTACTTATCAAATTTGTTTTTCTTTCTTGTGTTTATATGTTCGCTCGTTTTGCGCATCTTTTTTTTTTTTTTTCAAGGCTTGGTTGTTTGGATAACATCAAAATCCTGGGTATTGTGGAGGGAATAATTTTATGGCTCTTTTGTTGGTATGTTTACAGCTCTCGGAATCTATTTTCGGTATACAATTAGGAAATTCAAGGAGAGGACAAACTCCAGAGGCGGGTTGGGATGTCGGAAGCAGGTCTTCAGCGAGACAAATAGGGACGGCCATAGAGCCGTACCCCCGAATGAAGAGATGAGGAGGGAAAGATACCACGGCTTGAGAGGCAAAGGGGGAAGGATGGGTAGAAATAACACAGAAGAAAAAAATGCAAACACAAATTAAATCAACATATTTATACCCTTAATACCTTTTTTTTATTTTCTTGGTTCCGTTTATTATCTATATCAAATCGCAGCATGGAGGGCTATAGCTGCTCTATTTAATTCCAATAAAGGCCGTACAACTTTAAAAAAAAAAAAAACATGATCCAAACGTGAAGAGCTATCTATTTATGTGCTTAACCCCCAATTTATATACTAGTAGATGTATGTACTTTTAAAAGCGTCCAAAAATCCTGATTCTATCATCATATCCTTTGTTTGGTCCTCCTATGAAGATTTCTTCACCTTGGCGGCTTCCTTTGCCATTTTCTCTTTCCTGGCAATGGCAGCCTCAACACCGATGCCGCCAAAGACGAGCCCGACTCCAAGCAACTGCATCTGCGTGAGACGGTGGCCGAACGCGACGACTGAGAGAATCATGGTGAACATCTTGCGGGTCACGGTGACGGTGACTAGCAGGACGGATGAGAATGTAGAAAGAGTATAGACTGTGACTGTGTTAGCATATTGGCTCTCTCTCTGTGTGTGTCTGTCTGTCTAATAGTAATTGAGGTGTGAAAAGAACGTACAGATAAAGACCTGGCCCAGGGCACCGCAAGCTGCAAAGCCCAAAACATCCTTCCACACAGCAGGGTACTTGGTCATGAACTCAATAGCAGCGTTCATCTCGCCAGCGCTGCCAGCAACATCCATGCCAAGCCACTCGCCGATGCCAAGAGAGACGAGCGCAGGGCTGGCAACGAGGTACAAGGACGTGACAGCAGTGCTCATGATGTTGTTGGCGCACATCATCTGCGGTCCGCTAAAGGGGCGGAAAGTCTGGAAGATGTAATCCTGGGTGCTGTTGGTGAGGCCGTCAAACAGGAGGTTGATGCTCAGCAGCAGCAGTCCCCAAGGGAGATTTGCCTCCTCCGACAGCTTCGACTTCTTGTGCTTGCGATCGGAGTGGAGCGTGAAGACGGCAACGCCAGCAGTGACGGCGGCAACCACGGTGTACTTGTAAATCGGGTAGCGCTTCCGGAAGATGGTGATGTGGAGGAACATGACGGGCAGCAGCTTGCAGCTCTTGGCCAGCAGGAAAGTGATGTAGTCGATGTGCGCAAGACTGGCGTAGCCAAAGGGACTGGCCAGACTGTTTGTGATGGCGACAAGCATGAGGGGTCCGAGGATGCGGCGCGAGGGGAAAATCGACGGCACGGGGGCGCCTTTCGGCGTCGAGACCAAGAGGTAGATGAAGCCAACGGCCGCAGCGAAGAGCGACTGGATGGTGTTGAGGAAGACGGGGAAACGCCAGACCTCTGGTGCGTCGGCCGGGCCGTAAGTCTTAGTTGTCAACTTCTCTTGGAGGTACGCCCAAGTCAAGCTGTTCAGCACAACCAATTAGCCCGACGGATAGAGAGAGAGAGAAAAGAAAAGGATATCGCGATATCAATTTTGACAGAACAGATGGATCGCAGGAGAGCCTACAAGGAAGCATAGATGCCAGAAACAGCAATCACCAGCTGAACAAAACCCGCCTCGCCCTTCGCAGACTCTTGCGCCGCCGCCTTCGCAGAGGCAGTGTGCCCGTTTGTAGTCTTCACCTCTTTCCCATTGCTATCTTCCCATGTTGCCGACTGCTTGTTGAAAAACTCTGAGGAGGACTCGCGCTTAACAGCTGTTTGCTTTGTGCGCGCCATGGATGCAGGCGGGAGAGGGAGAGGCGCGTCGTTCGATGTGCGCTGTCGCGAAGTCAAAGCTAATTTTGGCGGCTTGAAAAACTTGAGAAAAAAAAGTCTTTAGGCCGATAGTGGAGCAAGGCTGTATAAAAGGAGTGAAATAGAGGGTAAATCAAAGTAGAAAACGTAGCAAGAAACGAAGGGTCAGACTGCGCCGGATAAATATGTGAATTTCTACGAAAGCGAGAGTTTGGATGGAATTTGAAAGTGACAAGTTGGCATCATCTCTCAACCTTGCCGCGCTGTGACGTCTGGGGAAGGACCCTGAGACCGGTGGGGTGCGCCGGCCGCTTACCGGGCAAGAACTTTCCGATTCGGGCTAAGCCGCCGTAGGAGGCGCATTGCTAAATCTCGATGGTTTATTAGGTAGGCGGCCGATATGGCGCTGGAAATAGAGACACTTTTACAGCCATATTAATGCTTGCTAAATCACCTGTGCAGCAGAATACATCGAGCACAGAGGCAAGGGCAGCGTGCACCGGGTCACAGTTCAAAATCAGCTTGCGTCCAAATATATTTCAGTCTCTTGCACAACGACTGACTAGATGCACTATTATCTAGACATCCCCAATCCCAGATCCGTTTCATGCGCATAGCATGCACAAAGCGTGCATACTACAGGGTATTGCCTGATTCCTGCTTGGAAAAAAAAGAGAAAGAGAAAAGAGAGTCATCATCCGCCGCCAGAGACACCAGTAACGAGGAGGAGGCATTGGTGGGAGGTGATATGTGGGGTTTAAAAGCTGTGTTTACATTTCCGTTGTCGTGCATCGATTGTTAAAGTAAGAGGATTTGTGTATTTTGTGAGTGTAATAGTCTTCTTTTTGCGGAGTAAAGATGGCAAAGGGATCGCGGAGCAAGAGTTGAGACGTAGTGAGTGATCATGATAGAGCGGCCGCCGAGAAGCGAGGTTGAGGTTTGTATGACGCAATGCATGCAAGAAGCACTCGTCATATTACATTCTGCAACTTCGACTCTGGTGTATCGATGTCTTAATTCCATTAGTCCCAGGAGGAGGAGTGGGATAAGAGTTGATGTCAAGTGATGCCGGCCGGGGGCGGCCACGGTTTCATGCGCGATAAAGGAAGCAAACGGGTGCGGGTAGAGGGATAGAAATAATAACAGAAATTCGATGAAACTGTATCGTGTCATATTGCAGACACCAAATGAGCCCTGCTCGTGAAGTTATCATCTTCGGGTGAAGCTGAACCACTGTCGCAAAAGTTTGTAGTGGCATCATTATCGGCGCGAGAATCAACCCACGCAGTAGGGATAAAATCGTTCTGAAGGTGAGGTAGTTGGGATACAAATAACACGTGAGAAAGCATAACTAGAGGTAAAGAGGGAGAAAAAGAAGAACGAAGAGGAAATTGAAACGGAGAGGAAGAGGGGGAGAAAATCGAAATAAAACAGGACCATGGCTGCATTGAATGCTTTTGGTGATGAACCACAATCATCAAAAATCCTGTCCCAGTTCCAGCGGGGGAAAGAGGAGCCTTGCGGCAAACCAGATCTGGACGCCCTAAATCCGCCAAATCCGGCTCAAATACAGCTCATTCACAAGTGGTACGAGAAACATGAAGCAACAGCCAGTGTGCTTATCATTAGAGAGTCTTTGTTTTTTTACTCTTGATCTTGCATCTGACTGCGACGCATCTTCTCAGCCTCTAGGTTCTCATAGAGTAAGAAGAGCGCAGATTCATTGGCCTTGGCGGTGCCCATAATGGTAAACATGCGCTCGCCAGTCTCATCGTGGGGGGCCTAGCGTGCGGTTGGTTAGAGAACGAGTTTGAACAGTATCAAGACTTGGCCATGTTAGATGAGACTTACCTTGGCAATGGAGATGCGAGCTCCAGAAGTCTTGCGAATGTCGCTAATCTTGCTGCCGCCACGGCCAATGATGCATCCAACCATGTCGGCAGGGATGCTAATGTTCTGAGTCTGAATTTCCTCTCCATTCTCGTCGTGGGTAGGAGGACCACGAGTGGCGGCGTCAGAATCCGAGCGACGGCTAAACGGTCTTGAGCCTCCGTTGCTAAAATCAGCTCCATTTCCGGTGCGCATCACGCGAGGGCTTCCGTAGTCGCCCCGGCCACCGCCATTTCCATAGCCGGTGCCACTCATGCTTCCAGAGCCGGAGGTCTGAGTTCGGACGACAGGGTTGTAGAGCACGGTGCCGGTACCCCGTTGCCAGTCGTCGACCAAGCACTTGGAAATCTCCCAAATGGCTCGCTGGATACCTTCGGGAGTGCCCTGGACTTCAACCACACGCTCAGTTGACTGTGGTAGCATTTCCTTTTGCGCAACCATGCGGACACCAGACACATCTTGGATATGCTTGATCTTAAGGCCCTGTCGACCGATAATGGTACCCATTTGGTTGTGGGAGATTAGAAGCTTGATGGCTATATTCCAGTTTCATCTTGTTAGTTGGGCATTCTTTCACATAATAGACAGAAGAGGAAAAAGAAAAGGGGAGGAAACACGTACGATGAGTGCCGTTGCCCTGGACGATACCACCCATTCCGACGGCGGGCGCACCTTCAAGAAGGGCTCGAGCAACGATGGCGTAGGCTCGAGAGATGGCATCGCAGCCACCGGTGATGGTGAGAACTCGATCATGAACACCTTGAACGACCTTGCTGACACCGGCTTTCACACCAGTTTCGTCACGAAGGTCAGCAACATTCTTGCCGCCCTTTCCAATAATGACACCCGCTTCCTTGGAGGAAACAATGGCGCGCAAGGTCAGTTGAGCCTGAGCATATTCCTCGTCCGTCTTAGGGGCGAGCTCCCCGTCGGGGCCGAGTCGTTCGTCCATTTTCAGCTGATCCAGAGAGTCCACGATATCGCCGCCATTGGACGAAAGGAGATCTTGAGAAGACATGATTGTTTGTTGGGTGGTAAGGTGAGAGGTGAGGGGTGAAGAAGAGACTGTGGAGAGATGAGGTGGATGCGACGGAAGGTTTGGTATCAAGGAAGGAGAATCAGAAACGGTCCTGAGCTATCTGTTAGGTAAGTCAGCTTCAGTACATTTGGTAATCTAGCTTCCAGACGGAGAAACAGCTGTCTATGTCTCAACACAGGCCGCGCATCGAGATGCGCGCACGGTAGAGGCGGCTGGTGACGAAACGAAACCTCTGTCTGACGCCGCGCCTATCTGATAAAAGCAGTACGCCAGACTGCATCCGTGCCGGATTTGAAATGCGGCCAAAGACCATCGTGGAACAGGGCTACCCGGGAAGTGATGAGCTTACCATGTAGTTTTCGAGAAGCTGGAAGCTACGCGAATGTTGACAAGACTGGAGGGACGAGAGCCGATTGTAGGAGGTGGGCAAAGGTCGAGTGCGTCGCCAGACTCTTTTTTTTGTGTGTGGTGCTGGCAGGGATTTGGCGGGGTCGAGAGGCGAGTGGGCGGACGTAGCAGCGAAAAGCGCGACGACGACCGAACTCGAGGGGCAGGTGGTGCGCAAGAAGATGCGGAAGTCGGAGGTCGAGAGAGAGAGAGAGAAGTTTAGGGAGAGGCGAAGCGTGCGAGGGAAAAGGTCGAGGCGGGAAGAGGCGAGAAGATGTGACGAAGAAAGCGGGTTTGTGAGAGAAGAGAGAAGGAGAGGAAGCTCTGGGGAGGGGGAGAAAACGCTGGACACTTGGGCGGGCAGAGCGCTGGGCCAGGCGCTGCAGCTGGAGCTGTCACTGCTGTGGCCACTAGAATGCCCAGCGCGCTGCGGTGTTTGGACCTGCTAAACCTAAAAGCAGGAAAGGGTCAATGGAAAGAGCGAAAAGCGAAAAAAATCGGAGACTGCAGTGCGGCGACAGGCCAGGAACGGCCACGCTCTCCGGTGGCAACCATGTACAGCCGCGCAGTGTTTTCGCAGACGGAGTACTTGCATGAGCTCCCCTCTCGCCAATATTGGACGCGCCACCTGCGGGCTTCAGCTTCAATCTTTAACGCTGTGGATCTGTGGCAGGTAGGTACCTAGGTTACAGTGTCTGTAAGAGGAAGTACTTGGCACTACCTGCTCGGTACCTGGGAAACTACCGACCTGCATGCCGCTGGGAGGTACGTCAGGGTGCTTTTTGGGTATCGCAAACACGCGATCCAATTTTTTCTCAGCGGGCTGCTCCAGATATGCTTGCCTAAAGCGGAAATGTGAGAGATTCCTGGTATATACCGAGAAGAGCATTCAACAGAAATCCACACATCTTCATTCCTCTCAACACAGTGTTTATCAGCATGGTATTTGATGACATTGCAGTTTTTGGATCGATTGAATGGGTAGTGCAGATCGTATCTGCAATTTAGCTGCACCAAAAACATGCCTGCAATTCCTTACTAGCTGGGGCAAAACCAAAGCTTTAGTGTGCGAATGTCATATTAAACAGCTTAATAAGTACGATTCATATCAGTTTTACCAGTCTTCAAAAATTACCGGCGTGCCTACCTACTCAAACTACTAATTGCCAAATTGGTATAGATATGAGAGGGCATCATCACACTATTATACCGAGGTCGAGCTGGATAAGCCTTAGATTCGCAAAGAAACACCACCGCTAGTCCACCGGTGTAGTCTGGGATGCAAACATCTATTTAGCAAGTTCCCTGCTTCTATACCATCAGGTTCATGCAACCTGCTGCGGAGTTGGTAAAAGTGGCGTTATATTCCCTCCTTTGTGCGGCCGTTTGGGTCAATCAGCATCGAGATCCATCCAGCTACTGCACCTTTGAGCCGGCTGAATAGTGGCAGCAGTGTGAGCAGCCAGCCGCATCTGCAGAAACCACACCCAGCATTTCGTCGTTGGGGGCCACCCGCCGTATCATCTGTATCACCACCATCATGGGAAGTTGTCTTTAGGAAGATGCCCGACCCTTCATGGGAAATTTGACTTTTGCGTTTCTCTGCCTGTCTGACCTCAAATAGACAAGGCCACGTTGCACTGCGTTTGATTCTTTAGGTCCCGTTCCCCTCACATCACCATGCGACAGTGGTCGACAAATCAAAGCCAGGCTGGGTATAAATTCGTCTGGAGGCCGGGTACCTCCTATAATGCCTAGCAGGCATCGCAAATTTAGTAGATTTCATATTATGCATCAAGTGATGTTATTAATCGCTAATATCCGCGAAATTCCACAAGTGGCATCGATCCTGCTCTCCTTATTACCTTTTTCCCATCTACGTTTTATTACAGTACTTTCTGTAGGAAAATAATAACATCGAAGATTCGATCAGCCAATTCACGTTTCTCGTATAAATCGGATGTTCGAATCTTCTTCAATATTGTCTATCTACGTAATGTATGGTTAGCTTGGTATTAGTTTATATTATCCATCTCTTCCACCTCACCAGAGGCGTGCTTTAGTAGGCATAAGGTATGGCCATGCTATGATTCAAACTACCTATCTAAAATATAACATTAACTCAAGTATGACCTCTCGCTCATGTCAACGCTGCCGTAATTTCTGCTCATGTTCTACCCAAAAGTTCTTGCAAGCCCTGTGGCCCCAATGTTCAACCCACCACTCTCCAAAACTATCCTCAATGTCATAGTCGACCTTTGACACCCTCTCTTCCCTTTTCAGGCCGCATATAACACACGGTTTAGGCCCTGTTGGCACCATCTTGGCTGTTTGGACTAGCATATTCTCGCTCAGCTCAGGGACCTTGAGATTGAGCTTTCCCTCGGTATTGGCAGCTGCAACGGCAGATCGCAGGCGTCCTACATATTCACGCCAAACAGCAACCACATCCGCTGCCTCTCTGTCTTCTCGTGCTGACTGGGTTTTATCTATGCCCGCGAGCTTCATACCCTTGCTACCAGCGGCCGATATGGACATGCTTTTGGCCAGGATCTTGTCTCGGTGCCACCTGTGTTTTCGACCAGCGATTACTCGGGCGGCTGTGGTGGCAAGAAGGATATATCCCTGCAGGAAGTGTATCGCTTTGGGGTTAGATAGAACTTGCTGCTTTATGGAGGCACTATGGCCGGAAATTGGTTTGAAAAAGACATTCGCTGAACTAAGAAGATTGGGAAACGCAGACAGGATGACTGATGGAGGTGGGACATTGGTTGGGGGAGGATCATCATCGCTTCCTTTTATAGCAGTAGATTCGGCGCTATCACCAGCATCCCAATCCCAGTTCTCGGCCTGACTAGACTGAGAAATTTTATCTTTCCCAATATTCGTCTTGCTGGGAGTGTCATCCCAGGCATCCCAGTCGTCGTCAAAATCCTTAGCAATTGATGGTTTCTTCCCATGACTGACCGGCGGCCAAGCAGTAACCGGTGTTGCTGATTTGGGTGTATCGTTCTTCTTCTTGGCAACGGCAGCAGCTGTCAGATTTGTCTTTATTTCAAGATCCGGGAAAGGATTTCGCTCTTGGAATGATGGCGATTTCGGTGGATTTGTAGTCGTCGACGGGACAGCTCCAAAGCTCAGTGCCCCTAGGGGCTGGGCAGGTAGCTGCTTCTTAGTGACCTGCTTGATCGGCTGTTGTTCCGGGGGGTCATCAAGAGAGAGCAGATCTAGCAAGGGTGCAGGATTGGCAGAATACGCCGGTGGGGGAGAAACAGCATTCTGTTTGGGCTGTATTTGTTGTGGTGGCGGTACCGTTTCAAAATCACCGAAATCATCCTCGTCCTCATCAGCCTCTGGCACCTGAAGTTCAAAATCGTCCACATCGAAGAGCACGTTGGGATCTTTTGGTGCCGATTTGATGGGGAATCTTGAACTCCCTTGCTTCACATTCCATGAAGAGAAATCTTCGCTGGGCTTTGGCTGGAAATCCGGCTCAGGCTTCGCTTGGAAATCAACCAAGGTATTGGTCATGATGTCGATGGTAGGGGCTCGGACCAATCTATTTCTGACATCAGGCTCCTTGGGGGGCGCGGAAAACTCCCCAAACGCGCCCCCAAATGAGCCAAAAGGCTTGTTTGTTGTAGATACTGCCGGAGTAGGCTCCGCAGTCTCAAAATCTCCCCAGCCATCGTCATCAGCGTCGTTCAGCGCATGCGGAGCTGGCGTCGCCTGTGACAAGGCTGGAGCCGTTGTCCAGCTGCCAGCTCCGCTTGGCTGAGATGGGATTGATGGCCAGCTCTCAATTGGCGAGGCTGCTGCCGCTGTAAAGTCGTTGAAGCCAAAGCCGAAGGGGCTCTTTGCCGCAGGCGGATTCCCCTGGACACCCGAAATGGGTGGCTGTTGTTGCTGCTGTGGAGGTGGCGGGTTGCTATTGGCAAACTCGGCAAACAAATCAGCCGACATATTGGAGAATCTCAAGATGCATGCTACTTGCTACTGGTGAGAAGAGATGGAGAAAGTAAAAACAGCAAAATGGAAGAAGATTTGCTTCTTGTTCACCCTGCAGAAATGCGTGAGAGGTTATAGTACGTAAGCAATGATGTCTCTTGAAGCATGAGAGTACGGCACGGATGGAAACTAAGCGGTGGACACGGCTGAGAGAGCTCAAGCCCGAAGGCCCAGGTACCGAAACATTTGCGCAAAAACACCTAGCCTCGCTGGCTGCAGGCGCCAATTGGGGATGCGGCATCCAGTGCCGAACCAGGGATCCAGCGCTAGCCATCCGCCTACAGCGATTTGAGGCTGCTGAGCATGCATGTACCAGTACACGCAAGTCCGTCTGGTGATGCGGGGCTACAGCAGCCCACCTTCAAAGTCCAACCTTCTCACTCTCAACCGGATGAGTGAGTTATCCAGGACTGCCGGCCTCGCTGTAATCATCACTAAGTTGGTGTTCCCAATGCGGCCATAGACCCGTATTAGAGCTGGAATCGAGTGTAACATGACGATAAGATTGGTTGCTTAGCTCAGCCCGTCAGAACCCTCCATCCAGGATGAGATCACTTGCAGAGACGCAGTGAGTAGCAAGCCTCACAGATGAGAGCTGGACACTGAACGCTAACAGCCGCCTCATTTGAAGAGCGAGATGGCAGGCAACTCAAACGCACTGCGCCAGCGTCGACGACTTGCGGAATGCAGTGCGCCATAACGGCCCTTCGAGCCCTTGCCTCTCGGGTAACCGTTCTGTCTGCTGGAAGGTGAGTTTGCGTTGTCGGTTTTTAGTGGTGGTATGAGGTTGACGCAATGCGCAAAGGTCTTTCTTCTATCCGAAGATGGAGATGATACTGAGTTGAGTTGGTCTCGATCACTTGGCGAGAAGCGAGAGCTTTATAGCGAACGCCGTGATCACTTCCTCAGGTTTATAAAGCACCCTGAAACCCTGACTGAGCTTACCATTGATCCTTTGGCCGATGACCCTAAAGTGAGTAGAAGACTCCATGCTCAAACGTTGAATTATAGGCCCCTAATTCGGTCAAGTCTCCCTGGAATACCGTTCGTGAAGACGAAGCTATCAGGGCAGAAATCCTGCAAGACGTACAAAGACTTCCGGATGAAGCAACTTATCATGAAAATTACATGCAGCGCATGATCCTGGATATACTGTTCGTTTACTGCAAGGTAAACCCAGGTAGAGGCGGTTATCGCCAGGGCATGCACGAGCTCTTAGCCCCGATCCTGCATGTTGTCGAACAAGATGCTCTTGATCGCGCATCGATATCTGCCAGTGATGACGAGAGTGACCTTGACGAGTTGATGCTTGAGGCCATTGACTCGTCTTTCATCGAGCACGACGCCTTCATTTTATTCTCCCAATTAATGGAGCAGGCTCAATCCTTTTACGAAGTCAAAGATGCGCCAACTCCGGCCCAAACAACAGACAGTCCATTCCAACCTCGGTTTCCCGAACAAAGCTCAGCCATTGTCGAGCGCAGCAAATTCATTCATGAAGTCTGCCTACAACAGGTTGACCCCGAGTTAGCAGCGCACCTTACAAGCGTCGAGATACTTCCCCAGATATTTTTAATGTAAGCGTTGCAACCCACCTTTACCTTGGCAGTCATCCTTTTACTCATATATATGGATGCTAACTTGATAAAAAGTCGCTGGATTCGTCTTCTATTCAGCAGAGAATTTCCCTTTAATCAATTCCTTGTACTTTGGGATACGATTTTTGCCGTCGACCCCTCATTAGACCTAGTAGATCTGATTTGCTGCTCTATGCTGCTACGCATCCGTTGGCAATGTGAGTTCACTGCTTGCTCATAAATTTCCGCCTCGTCGTTCTAATCTTTGAAATTAGTATTAGAATCTGACTATTCTGTTTGTCTGCAACTACTTCTAAAGTATCCACCCCCTGATCAACAACATGGACCTCATACGTTTGTCGACGATGCACTTTATCTCCGGGATCACATGAATACACTCGGGGGAGCAACCTTGATTAAAAAGTATTCAGGAAAGCTTCCGAAAGTTTCAAAGAGCCCTGAGATTCCCGAGCCCACCGGCTCACCGTTTGGCGGGTTTGATTCAATCCGCAGAAAGGGCTTTGGGGTGAGGTCACCAATTCGCTCGCCAAAATTTCTCCAGCAACAAGGTGGAGTAGAAAACATTTTCCAGGGCATGCTGGAGAAGAGCGAAAAGTTAGGGATCAACCGAGCAGTACGGGATGCCGTCGGTGAACTTAAGCGAAATATGCAAGGCCTTAATGAAGGATTGCCTTCGCCGTATCAAAGAGGCTCCTTAGCCGATGACGTCGCAGCCAAGGCGTTGGCTGCCATGGAGAAGCGAAATCAACAACTAGCAAGCCTTCTTGACGAGACGGTTCTTAGTCTTAAGGCTCTATCTTTGTCTAACCTTGAAGATAAAGCCAGAAGTTTGGATCTGATTGAAGTTGCTGCAGCCAAAGTACAATTCGTGCAAATATACCTGCAGGACGCCTCTTTGACCATCCCAGCTATGGACTCCGCTAATAACGAAGAGCTTCAAGCCGTGGCTGAAAAGAAAGAAGAGAGCAAAGTCAAGAAACTCTCTTCAACGGAAAAAGAGAACCAACCCCTGTCGCCGAGGTCATCTACTACAAGTGTGTCCACACCAAGTATAGCAAAAACAACGTCGGTTTTACGCGAGCCAAAGAAATCTGCAAAAAGCAGCGACTCCGCCTCTGATATAATAAACACTACACAAAATGACACAAAATCAGACAACATATTGAGCGAAGTCCGTCCCAAGCCTCAACCAATTGCCTCGATACCTGCTAGATCCACTATAGCACAGTCTTCATTTTCGTGGATGCTGGAGCCCGACGAGTCCGGACCGCCACAAACTCCTCTAAGCAGCAAGTCACCGACAACCCAACAAAGAAAACGCATAAATAACGCGAGCCGCGAAAAGAATGCGTTTTTATTTGGAGAGGGGTCGTCAGAACTAAGCGAACGGGATCCACTGGGATCTGGTGATATCTTCGGGATGGAGCCGATGCACAGCCCGAAGGGGAAGTAAGTCGTAAGTTGCAGTACAAGGTGCCTTTTTGCGATTTATATCGAATATGGGGATATTCGCGAGGTTCTAACAAATTAAAATTTTTCCTGTATTCGCTATAATTCATCTTGGCTGCATTTGAATGTGAACCATGAGTTATCAAGCCAGAGCAAATGTGGCCATAGACTGTCTTTGACTGAGTGAGCAAACCATCGCCTTCAGCACGGCAAAAATATACTTGTAGGGGAAAATAGGTAGTTGCACTTTCTCAGTAATCATGTATGAAACTTTTTTTTTTATTTAAACTTCAGAATCCTATATACTCCAACTAGTTGGCCAAGGCTTTTTTCCCTTATGAAATCAGATCCGCCTACCGCTCCAGCTTTTTAACTACACATGTAGTCAAAAGAGAGAAGAGGGCCCCTGTACTACCCGCTTGAAAATAAAGGTTTTTATAGCCACCATTTACAGGTGCTGGTTGACAAAGCTCAACAGGTTGCCGAGTCTGACATAGACACCAGCGAAACCGGCCTCAGCACAGCCCTGGCCCCAAGAAACAAGACCCTGGAGAACGCCGTTGGAGTCGACGATTGGGCCGCCGGAGTCTCCAGAGCAGGAGTCCTTGCCACCCTGGGAGAGACCAGCGCAGAACATGTTGTTGGAGATGATGCCGCCGTACTCGCTGTTGCAAGAAGAGCGAGAGATGACAGGGACGGAGACCTTGTTCAGCCTTGAGGGGAGAGAGTTGGAGTTCTCGCTGGTGGTGCCCCTATTAGACGATTAGTATCGAATTCAAAACGATGGCCGATGAGATTTCAAGGGGCGAAATATGCTTACCAGCCAGCGGTGGTCAAGGTAGTTCCGGCAGCAGGGTCAGAGCCGGAGGCAGGCAGCTTGGCGTAGGCGATGGTAGAGCTGGTCTGGATGGGAGAGGACAGCTTCCAGACGGCAACGTCGAAGTCGGGAACGCCGTTCTTGGTGGTGTATGAGGGGTTCACGGTGATGCTTGAAACACCAACCTGGGTGCCGCCAGAAGCCCAAGTCTATACCAAAGAATACTTAGCATCATAATTACACAGATATGGTTGAAAGGCAGGTCTTGACTTACGAGAGATCCAGCGCGGACCTTGACCTGAGAGGCAGAGAAGTCGACGGAGCAGTGGCCAGCAGTAACGACAGTGTTGGCGTTGACCAAAACACCGCCGCAGAAGTGAGAGCCCTGAGAAGACAGACTGACGATGTAAGGGAACTCGCCGGCAGAAGCGGTGGTTCCTCCGACGATCTCAGCGCCACGGGGCTCGATGGCAGCTCCCAGAGCGAGAGCGGGCAGCATAAGAGCTGAAACAACTGCGGAAGCGGGAGCCATTGTGAGAGAGGAAGTCTGAAGTCTTCTTGGGATGAAAAGAAGCTGACTGAGATGAGGTGAGTGGTGGTGAATATCCAGATGAAAAGAGGGGGAGTCATCCCCTTTTTATATACAATTTTACACATGGCTAATGAAGCCTCATGCTCCATGATCATCCATGCTCCATGCTCTCTAGCCTACGAAGCATATCGTCTAGGGCCGTGGTACAGACGCTTGATACATTCCTCAAAGAGCATACCGAAGTCCAAATGACCAATCCTGTTGCATGAAGCATCTCCTTCCTAAATCGAAGACTGCGGCAAAGTATAATTGCACAGGCTTGCAAAAGATCCAAGCTTAGAGAAGAAGAGGCCGAAATTAGAAGGCAAGACGATGGCATATCATGAAGATGCCCTGCTACTGGCTAGCACACCTTGCAAGGCAATGCATATGGAGACATACGAAGAGAGACGCGGCCTAGGGAACCCCAGTCGCTCATTGATACTGAACACGGCCAGGCACAGGCCAGGCACAGGCCAGGCACGGCTATGGTAACGGCGATACTAACAAATATAAACACCAAGATAAGCGCCCATGCTGCTACGAGATGCTACGCGGGTCCAGCTACGCGTTTGAAGGACATCGGCCAGGACATTCGGCCGGCTCCGGCAGTTTCGACGACAAATCAGCCTGCCGTATCTGTAAGTTGCTTCCGAGGTCGATCTCTGGGCTTGAGACATCTCGTTCGTTGTGCGACCTTCTAGTTTAAGCCGCCAAGACCGCCTAAGCTTGATAAAAAGGCATGTTGGGAAACGCAGAGGGCCCTCCATTTAAGGCATTTAACTTCAATACAACGAAAAATGGCGTCGCGATAAAGAGCCCCCGGTTGCGCGGGGTAAATCAGCCCGACTGTCAAGCAAGGATAAAGAATAGAAGCGGGAGTTGAAGACATGGGCATCATGCCCTACCATACAGTCACATACATGTATCATACTGTAGTCCGTATTGATTCCTTATAGGAAGTGATTGGCAGTAGTTCGCACCGTCAGCTGTCGAATTTCTACAGCGCAACAGGCATCTGAGTAGCATTAGGCACCTGCACGTATACTAACTAGTTGATTCCTTCTTGATGGCTGAGCACAAGATCGTAGCATCGGTGGCTTGTTTTTCTAGAGCTCAGTCATACGGCATCGAGCACATGCATTGTCGAACTAGGACGGAGCAGCGCCACGGTAGTTGGCACCTAATTAGGCAACTAGATATCGGCCGCCGGCTAGATTGGCTTCGGAAGAGCACTCGATTTGACGGGCAGAGCTTCAATCTAATCAAGCAGATTGCGCGGATTCAGAAGTGCCTTTGCCTTTACCGTACTTGTCAAAGGGCGGTTATTTGCTGAATCCTACTTCGCTTAGGCATGCGGCACATTTAGCCTACATGTTCGTAGGAAGGCGAGCTATGGCACTTACAGTTTGAAGCATATAATTAAGATTATAAGGTGCGGTAACTAACCTCTTTTTTTTCCTGTGGCGCCGGCAGTGGTTTAGTATAGAGAAATGCCCAAGTCGTGCAACAGGCCGAACATCGGAGGCAGATTCAACGTAGCATTGCGCAATCGCGCAAGAAGAAGGGGGAAAAAAGAGCAACAACAACAAAAAAAAAAAAAAAAAAAGGGCTAGCAGCACCGAAATTTCCCTCCCCCCATCGCCAAGGTTGCAATGTACGATGGGCGGATCAAAAAGGCCCGCCAAGACGTTTCGTCATGCTCTAAGCGGCCGGGAGAAAAGGAAGTCTTGGCGAGGGCCCGTTGCTGCCGCTGTCTTGGCGATGTAGACGATGTTGGATAACTGGGCGAGACGAGCTTCTTGATTGGTGGATTGCGGGCCAGAAGGGCGAGATTGCATTGAGCGCAGCGTTTACTGAGCTTCTCTGAATGAGCTTCTCCGAATGAGCTTCTCCGAACTTGCCTCCTCTCGTATCAGCTGGCTTGTGATTATCTGAGCGTCAATCAGATGCCGGGGCAGTGTTTTTTTGTTAGTCCTCATTGCGTGAACAGCATGGCATTTGTCATGGGGTGGCGCAGTTGGGTTGATAACGGTGTAACGAAACGTACGGAACAATGTGACCATGGCCAATATCTTGTTTTCTCCCCCATGTCTAAAATGCTAAAGTCTCGCCGTTTTCGTATACCTCCAAGCTCGTGATTGTATAATGTGCATATGACTAGGCACTACATATGTGGAATGGCAGTATACAATCATAGGCAATCCAAGTGACCTGGAGATCTTTTACTTGCGCTCACGTGCTTGACTCATGCTTACATATAGACACATAGTTACTACCGCTTTAGAGACTTCTCCTTCACCCAAAATGTAGCAGCGAAACATCCAAGGCCAAAAAGGAGCGAGGGTATGAAGGCTGCAACTGTAGCAACCTGATAACTCGCCCGCACCTGTTCGGCCAGCAATGGCGGTAGCTCCTTGATAATGTCCAGACTCTGGCGCACCTTTTCCTCGATCTGGCTGGCATCTTCCCCAATACGTGAGGCGAGTTGCGTTCTGAGGACTTGCTGGAGTACAGCTGAGCTGGTGCCAACGCCGATGCTTGAGCCAAGAGATCGGAAGAGATAAGAGCAGGCGATGGCGACTGCGCTGTCCTCCGGGGCCGCGTTAGCGATGAGGGCGATGAGGATAGTTGTAATGCCTGAGAAGAGAGAGTTAATCATTTTAGAATAGAGTATGCGAAGGCGGCGAATGATTCAACTTACCACTTCCATTCCCCATGGATGACACCATAAATGACGCTGTAGTTCCAAAAAGCGAGCCATACCAGGTCGTAACAATCAAAGGTATCATTGCGAGGAAGAGCATCCCGTAGCTGATAGTTGTTGGCCACCAAAATTTTCCTGTTCTCTTAATAATCCAGCCGCCTGTTAGAGAACCGAAAACGCCCGAGATCGTGGCCGGCACAAGCATCGTGCCGCTCGTCGTGGCGTTGAGGCCCTTGACAGCTTGGAAAAACAGTGGCACAAAGAATATGGCGCTCAGTTGGGATGCCATGCCGAACATGTTGACCAGAAAACAAGGGAACAATTCTCGGCTAAGTATGAGGTGGCCTGGAGCAAATGGATGCTTGGCGACCTTCATTTCGACGAAGAGGAACAAGGCAAAGAAGACGGGCGTCAAACTCAGTGAGATGATGGTGATGCGATTTGACCATCCGAGATTTGGGCCAGAGTCTAGGCCTGTCAAGAGAGAAATGACGGCGAACACAAGAGTAAGGGCGCCGAGGAAGTCAACCTGACGAACTTTGGAGACCCAGTGATCCTGAGAAGGAGGCTCGAGATCGAGGATTAAGTATACTGAGATCCAAGCTATCAAGCATAGGGGTGCCTGGATCATGAATGACCTGGTTATTGTTGTGCTCCTATTAGCCAAAACCCACCCTTGAAAAGTTTCAACTTCGAAAATCTTACCATCGCCATCCTAGAGAATCAGCGAACATTCCGCCGATGGGAGCTCCCGTGCTAGTCTATTACCGATTTAATCAGCTCCCATTACTGCATATTGGGTCCAGATACTCACCCCGGCGGCATATACGATGTTGATGTAGCCCTGCCATACGCCACGCTCCTGTAGCGGGACAATATCAGAAAACAGAATCGTCACCACCGAACTCATGCCTCCTCCGCCGATTCCGGCGATGGCTCGTGCGACACAAAGCTGCGTCATACTCTGAGCAAGACCGCACCCCAAGCAGCCGAGGCCGAAGACGGCGTACGCGAAGAGAAGGCATGCCTTTCGACCAAATATATCACTAAGCTTGCCGTAGAGAGGTTGGAAGCTCGTGAGGGTGAGAAAGTACCTTTTAATGCCTATTAGCTGCTTCCTTTATATATATATATATATATATATATGAACTAGTTCATCGCCATATCGATAGGGGTAATAACAGCAAGTCCTTGGGAATAATACTTACGATGTGGCAATCCAGCTGGTGTTGTTCAGAGCCTTGAGCTCACTGCCAATTCTGGCATAGGTTGCCACCGCAAGTAACTGGTCAACAGCGACAAGAAAAACCTATGTGAAGATATGTTGTCAGCATAAGGTAAGAAATATCTGGGATGAGATGGCTATTTACCCCAACACCCACGGCAGGAAGCAAGATGTGCATTTTGTCCGCCATGGGATGCTTCATCTGCCGTTCCGCCTCGCCCAAGCTGCCATTCTCGGCATCGCAGCCATCGCTTAGGACGCCATTTCGAGGAAGAGGCTCAGAAAGGAGCGGTGTCCTCTCAGTTTGGGGCTCAGCTGCCAAAGGCCCATTTTCGTTGGAGGTAGACGATCTCATCTTGGTGAGAGCTATTAGCTAATACTGCCAGTTGATTCAACAGCAGTGGCTCCTCTATCGGCAGATCACAAGTCTAATGTTCCGATCAAGGAAGCACACGCTCCTGCGCATGAGACGCGTATTGTCGAACTGTCACACAAAACAGCCGGTGACAGGAGCTGAGATGTAGATTGCCGGAATCAGCAGCCCCCCACCTCGGCTTTTATTCAGCCAGGGGTCTTATTTATCAGCAAAATCGCCGTGTCGTTTAAAGGGCGTTTTCCCATTAATAAATCTGCACAAGGGAAAGTAAAACGCAATTAGTAGCAGATATGGTAAAATATACCGAGCGCAAGGTAGGTTGTCTACCGATAGGCCAATTTGGCACTCCATTTTGGTAGGAATAATGATTGCTGAATAATGGCCCACGAGGCTCGGATTTAAATTGTCACCCCAAAATCCCACGTTTCGCCTGGATAGTCAGCACATACAGACCTACCTCGGACATTATCTACAGTAGGTTCAATGCATATGCAGTGGCTAGGGAGTGACGAATTATTTGCGACTTGCTCAGAAGCTTCTATTGCAGGCAAGCGGGAAACTGAAAAATAGGGATCGCCAAATGAAATTTCACACACAAAGGAGAAGAAGAGCATTAAGATCTATCAAGAGTGTGTCATATTATAGATATATGGTAGAGGTAGTAGAGGCAGTAGAGGCAGTAGAAAGATGAACATCCATGTAGCTGCACTTCGTGACTTTAGCCAAGGTACTGCTGGGATGCTGGATAGCGAAGGTGTTATTGACTTAGGAGGAAGGCGCGACCTGTATCGCAGGCTTCCTCAAGCGACAATGTTCCTTCCCTAAATATAGAGGCAGTCAGCAATGTTCCTTCCATATTATATGCCATTATAATGTCTCTTAATGCACATAAAAAGAGAGTGAAAGAAAAAAAACCTTGACTACATTTCCAATTTGATTCTCACAGATATACTAAACTCCTCAATTAAACAATGAATGCCTTCAATGCAACAATCACCATCTGGCCAGAAGCGCCAGAAGCACAACCGCAGCCGCTGCTGGAAACGTCGCCCCCTATTACATGCCAAGAGCTACAAGCCAAGCAAAATCCCCCCAAAAAAATATCGACAATCATCCAAATGAGGGGAATTGACAAAATTGTAGGATGATTTAACCATATAATCGGTGAGATTGACTGGGCCATGGAAGGTATATCCCGAAGCCGTGTTAAAGGAGCTCCATGTTATGGAAAGAAGTTTGAAGCAACGAAACGTCTGAAGATATACCTCCACGCCGCAATACACATAGTTTGTTATTTTAGTGACCTAGGCTTGAAATCATTGGAGCATTGCGTATGTATTACTAGCATCAAATTAGGGCACATCTACGCCAGGCAGCAATGAACCTCAGGAAGAAATGAGAACAGCAACGCGATTCGATAGTCAATTCAGGGATTTGTGTCAACAGCGACACGGCATATCGGATGTCAACGGACTGTGGGGTTCCGCTCTTGATCAAGAAAACTGCACACAATGTTTCTTTGTCAATCTCCGGGGGAGGCCGAGTGCCGTGGGCTGAGCGAACAGGGTAGCACATGCAATACGAGTACGTATGAATGAATGAATGAACGATTAGTCCTAAGATTGCGGCTCTAATACGCGTCGCAATTCTAAAACAAATTTTAAAACGACAAGCACATACAATGTGTACATGGTATTGGACGCTGCGGGTAATTGTGGCCCGGCCACAGATAAAACACGGAAGGATCATGCCAAGAAACAAAGAGGACATGATAGCGGTTACCAGATATCCATGATTTCTGCCCCTTGCTCGTCACAGCATCTACAATTCGCCTATTTCAAGCTAGATTTTGTTTACTGCACCATTGCTGTAGCTCGATGGTAGATTATACTTTGAAGTAACCGTAAAAATTGAGTTTCAATAAGAATAGTACATCAACTTAAAATAAAACATCCAGCAATTTACATCTCATAGTACGGGATACTAGTTGTCAAGAAGAAAACATGCACATTAAAGAGCCGGTTTTTCCTTTTCACTTTCACTTTCATTTTCCCATTTTTATTAAAATGGGGAAAAAAAAAAAAAAAAAAAGAAAAAAGAAAAAGGAAAAAGGAAAAAATGCCAATGATACCGCATGAAGCAGCCAAGCAAGAGAGTCTCTTACCCGGCAGCAGGCCACGTTTTAAACCCCTGCGCGTCACAGATGAGCCCGTGCACATATGCAGCTTTCCTCGTCCAAATGCGGGGGGCTCGTTAACGTTATTTATTGGTGCTGACATTCCTGCCCATCATTTTCTGCGGCCTTAATGTGAAACATTCAATAGTAGTGACAACGCTGTCAGCGAGATAAGGTAACTTGTTTCCCATTTCTCAGTGGAGTCATTCTCGCGATTCTCAGCCTGTTCATGCCTTGTGCTGCCAATAATAGCATGTACCTGGAAAGAATATTGAATAGTATGCATATACACACGTGCTTAGTACGGACCCTCCCGTCTACAGCGACGTAACGGAATTCTTCAAGCCGGTGGCTTCGAGACATCGGCCTCACTGTTAAGCCACCTCACCAAATGGACACTTATCCAGCTACCGTCGTCATCTGCATTGTGTCTCTAGCGCTTGATTTTTCCAGATGGCGGGAAACCGGTCGCTTTATGCGCTAATCTCCTGTAGTGACGTGGTGGCGCCTCTTAGGAGCGTCATTAATGCGAATTAGGCCAGCACTTTTACGAGACTGGGGCTGTCATCAGAGGTAGATCTCTGGTAAATCTACCGAGTGGACGTCTATTTCATGCCACGTATGTGTCCCGTGGACGTAATTCCATATAGCAATTGATGCAATGCAAACCTGCAAACTCGCCTGGCCAAGATGCAGCATGCAGCTTGACTTCATTTCCGCTTCGGCTACGAGCATCGCCAGCAGACAAACAACGCGATGGATCTAAGCAGGCTACATCAGCGCACGAAGTAATCCACCCACCCCTGGCTACGACGCCACATGCCCGTTTCATGGGCATGGCTCCCGCCTTTGGCTGGCGCCATTTGGCCCAAGTGGTATTAGCCAGGGACGCCCACGGAATCTAAAACAACCTAGGACCAGCTCCTCGTCTCAGCATTTCCTCCCATGAACTGCCAAATTCTTTTCAATGCGCATTCACACCCAAAGCGACCGGAAGTGCGCTGTACCGGCCGCGAAGAGGACTCCAACCGCCAGTCGTTGAGCCACGCAGGGAATCGTCGCAGGTTAGCGCAGGCACAGGCAGCTAAGTTGGGGAATCTGGACAATCCCCCACAGTCTCGACCGTTTTGCGTCTTTGCGTTTGTTGACTTCGCGGGCCACCATGTCGAGGCCATCCGAACTTTCAGTCCCTAAAAGCGGCGCATCCCGCTTCTCCAAGGCGCTGCCCACGGTGCCTGGATTGGACGACTACTACACAGACGACGACGGCGAGAGTAACATCGGCGGCGATAACAATAACAACAATAGCAACAACAACAGCAACAACAATAACAACACTAGCCATAACCGAAAGAACAGCGAGTACAGTCTTCCAGCAAGAACCTCCTCGCTGGCATCGCCGCAGGCAAAAACCCTCCCCCTTCCTCCGCTGCCTCCTCCGGTGCCTCCACCGACCAAGACGCTGCCGCCGACCCCCCAGAGCCAGACGAATCCCAGCAGTAAAGTGAATAGCTACAGCAGTACAGCCAGCGCAAACATCGTCGCGGCGCCCTCAATTGCGCCCAGTACGCCTTCGTCGGCGCTGAGCGCCGGAATGCTGAGCCTCCAATCGCCGCCTTTGAGTGCCGGATCCAAGATGTCAATCCCGCGAAAACCTGTCGCGAACCTGAAGCTGCCGGCGCCCTCTCCGCAGTATTTGGCCCAGCCATCTCCCACCTTCTCTCTGTCGAGTCTCCTCTCAGCATACATGGGAGATGGCGACGAATCGCGAAGCCCGTCTTTATACGAGACTACAACGAGTATTAGCGAGATCGATAGACAGGAAGTCGCAGCGCCTGGTAGCGAGAAGTCGGTTGCGGCTGCGGAGGCCAGCAGTGTCATAGCCGCAGCTACAGCTGCCTTTCCCGCTGTTCCTAGCAAGCCCAAGGCCACAACAAGCGGCAGTGGCTCACTGCCTGCCGCCCCCAATGCCGGCACTGGCACAGGAATTGGTGCTGGTGCTGCTGCTGCCACTCAGTATCAGCGCCGTGCTGAGCGAGACCTCCCTCCGCCACCACCCCAAGACGAACCAGCGGCAGAACTGTCCACGCCATCATCTCCTCGGCCCGAAATCTGGAAACGCCGTCCACACATGACCCAAGCCAGCAGAGAGCTTCCCGGCCTTACGCTCGACTACAGCCACGGATCGACTGCAGATACGCAGCTGCCAGCAGACCAGGACAACTCCCAGGCGCTGCCCGAGACAGTGAAAGCTGCAGTGCAACGAGCACCTCCATTCGCCGGTGGTTTGCCGGGCCGGAATATTCGTCCTTCATTGGGGGCCAAGGACCAACCGCCCCCTGCCGCGCAAATCATGGGAAGCGAAACATCCAAGCTGAAGCAGATCAAAGACAGGCTTGGCTCTCAGCGCTCCGAATCGATATCCAGCACTTCTAGTGCAAAGGCTGGCTTTCCGGGTGCCCCGGCTGTCCAGCGACCGCCAACGCCAGAGTATCGCAAAGAAGACGTCAAACAACCGACTGTCGAACCTTTTATTTCTCCCGTTTCTCCCGCATCATCCCCGGAAGCCCCCAGAGGTGCATCTCCTGACTTTGCAAAAGATCTTCCTCCTAAACCTCCCAAAGACAGCCAGCTTGCAGCTGCAAATACTCAACCACTATCACGAAAAGCGATACCAATATCCCCTAGCCAGGATCTAACAGCCGCTAAGAATTCATCTCGCCCGCCGTCTGATACAAAAAGCACGAGTACATCCAGCCAAGCAACTGTGTCACCAGTACTACGCAAGGGTGATACTGTTCCAGTACCAGCGGCTGCACCCGTGCCTGCCCCTGTGACGGCTTCTCCTCCCAACGACTGGGGATCTGCCCGCCCACGTGTTTCTGGGGGCACAAGCACAGCTGCTGTGCAGCCACAACCAGCTGTCATACAAACAGATGTTTCTCAGATAGCGAACTCTAAGCAGAGTACTCCCCAACCGACTTCAGATCCACGGCTGCTTAAGTCAGAAACACAAGGACTTCTTTATCGGGGCCGTGACGGCACTTTATATCCCGAGATGAAGGTTGAAGGCGAGCCTCATCCCAAGGCTGCATATTTCCCAACACAGACGTTTTCAAGCTTGCCCAAAGACGGTATCATCAAAGCGAGACCACTCACCAACACGCATTTTGATTGCTTCCAACAACATAGGACGATGAACCGCCGAAGCAACAAAAACTGTCCGCTTACCTGCCAAGCTTGCGATAGGGCAGATCTTGAAGATCGCTGGGCGTGCTCATTCTGCCATGTGCGAATATGCGACCCTTGTTATCGCAAGTTAGGCAGCTACCAGTGGAATCTTCGCCGCTTGGTGGACAACCTCGCCAACGCTGGTCCCCTTTCCCAATCTCGACCGGACACCGCTCCCGGGCTACAGGCAACGTTATAACGCCACGCATTCTCCTAATCCTGCCCACCGCATACTGCCACGATACCCCTATTCCGCCCACACCCCCTTTTCTTTCCCTTCTCCATTACTTCTCTTTTGTTATGGCATGTAATGTTACTGTCATAGGATCTGGAGTACGAATATCATCATTTATTGTCTTCTTTCTTTCTTTCTTCTTCTTTCTACCTTCAAGAAGAATTTGTATTATCAAAGTACCATAAAAAGGAAGCTCTGATTGGCTCCTCAGTTTTCACTTTCGATACCATTTTCACAGCTTACCCCCAAAGACTTGAGGAGAAATTTCACATGCATAGTATTAGAGGATTGGTTCAGTCGCTCATTGGTTCAAAGAGAATGGGACAAAAAAGGATAATTCCGAATTTTTAGGGAAATTGACTTGCTGGAAACCATGGTTTGTACAAGGTTGAATTTGTTTATATGAGTCAAGGCATCTTTGGTTTTGTTCTCTAGAAGAGGCTGATTGAAATAGACTAGCATTGGGGTAAAACCACTCAGGGATAATAAAGCTGCCTTTTGAACAAGATTGCAAATACGGAAGGCCTTATGGTATCTAAATCGAAGTTTGCAAGTGACTCCTATTACTCTATCTTTGCCTCAACATGATACTCGCTTGCGGGGCGCGCTTCAAAGGAGGCGAGATGACATGAAGTTGTAAATCGACAATTGGTGGAGCTGGGGCCACCACCAGCCACATTAGCCCGACCTAAAAGGGAGTAGCCAGGCACGGCAATTGGGCCTATAGCGCCTAAGCTCCCTGACATCACCGCCCAGGTAGGGTACTGATCGGTGCATCAAATGTCACCGTCGGGCAGGCCAGCTTCAGACTTCAACAATCCCGCCCAATCTTCAGTATCGACGCCATGTCCTCTTCAATACCTCGCGCGCGCCCTCCGCAGCGCTCTAATACCACCGTGCCATCGTCGATACCAACGAGATCGTCTAGTACACGAGAACCCTCAGCATCTCGAAACGCCTCCCCTACTCGTCTGCCCAGCTTCAAATATGGTGCCCGAGCCGCCTCGATTGCTTCTAGCTCCAGCAGCTCGACGAACAGCTTGAAGAACACCACTACCACCACCACTACCAGCAGCGGCATCCCAAAGGCCCCTACGGCAACAGGTATACCTGGACGACTGACGAGATCAATGACCCTGGCAACGAAAGAGGTGATTGCAAGAAAAGAACGGACGGCGTCAGCCAACAAGTATCCGCCCTCGACAACTATGACTAGGCCATCTCTTCAAACGAGAGGGAGATCTACGAGCATATCAATGCCAGGAAAGCCAAAGGAGCTCGAGAGAAGGCCAACGGGGATTGCATATGCTAGAACTTCGGCCACCAATCTTGCTGGGCCAGTGGTATCGAAGCCGCCTAACCCTTCGAGGTCGAGAGACCCAATTCGACGACCTGCAACGCCTACAGCGCCAGTGGGTGCACCTGGAACGGCACGGAGGTCAGCTACGCCAACTGCATTGACTCGATCTAATACGTTCTCGGCTTCCGGAAGACCAGTCACGCCTACAGCGGCATCGAAAGCGAGGACGCCCCCTTCTTCTTCGGGTAGAGTGAGGACACCCCCCATGGGGTTGACCCGGGCTGCCACATTCTCGGCTTCTACTCGATCTACTACTTCTGCAACCTCTGCACCTCGATCCGGGCCTCGGTCTATTGGCCGATCTGTAACCCCGACCTCGACGGCTGCCCGAGGTGGGAATTCAGCTGCTAGTAGCCGAGCTGTGACTCCTACGGGACCGCCGAGAACGCTGGAACGTAAAGCTCCTTCGGTAGAAAAGTTACCAGCTCGCAAGCCGTCATTAGCAACGATCAGCAGGGTGGTATCTAGACTTTCTAAGCCTTCCTCTGCTGGAACGCTGCTCTCACAGGACCAAGCATCGCTAAAGCCTCGGACTTCAACTTCTTCTCTACAGCGGCCAGGCTCGCCAGCTAAATCATTGGCACCTAAATTGTCCACGTCACATTTGGCTCCACCGTCACCTTCCAAGTTGCCATCAAATATCGCTGCGTCAGCCGAGGTCAGTAAACTTCAGGCAGAGTTACTGCAGCTGTATCTATTGCACCGGGAAGCTCCAGTCGTAGAAGCCGAATGGAGAGCGAGTGCCAAGCAAAAGTTGGGAGATCGTTTCGCAAAGCTGAGTGAAGAGAGCAGAGATGTCTCCGAACAGGAGAGCGCAGCGCAAGAGAAGAAGAATGTGCTGGCGCTCAGAAGATGGGGTAGTGGCGGTAGACTGGATGAAAAGATACAATCATTAGAATCCATCATCACAAATGTCTGGTCGCTGAGTGACCCAAGCGGTCGATACGCCAATCTGGTGCGGCACTTTGAGAAATGGATCGGCGGAGTGAGTGACATGGAGGAGGCGAGAAGAAACGGCGCCATGCTCGCCCAAGGAAACAATGATCTGTTCATCGAGGACTTGGATGCCCAATGGAAAGAGGAGCGTCAAGAGCTCATCAACCAACTTGACGGGTGGAAGCAGCAGCTCAGTGACATTGACGATCTGACCCTGGATGAATTCTACGCAGAGCCGCCAGATGAAGACGAGAAGTCCAGCTTGGAGAAGATGCTGGACGGGTCGCGCGCCTTGATTAACAATATGTTGGCGGAGCTGAGAATCATGGAGGTGGTCGAGCATGAGGCGCTTTTGCGAGAAGACGAGTGGATTGGGAGGATGAATCGGATTGGTGCGGACGACGACTTTGAGATTCCGCGTGCGGGAGGCGCCTGGAAAGAGATATAAGGGGAATCCGAAGTCGGTCAAGGCGTTTGCTTCTCGGTTCCTTTCTAAAAATTGACGGCCTTGCTATTGTAGCGGGATATACGAAAACTGCTTTTCTATTTAAAAATATGGTTGAAACGAACAACGGAACAGTCACTTGATTACTACTATCATGAGCAATGTTAGCATTAGCATCGCATTAACGTCATCAATATCACCAAGTTCATTGGAATGAATTTCAAATCTGCTTTCACCTTTCGAAAAAGAAACTAAGACGTCTCATTTCCTAGCGAAAGCATCATATATTCTAAGTTAACGGAAAAAAAAGTGTCATGGGCCCAGCGAACTCCTTGAAGTCGGGGCAAAAAAACAATGATTCCACCTCGCGCGTAAAGTTTTTTCTTTTTCTTTTTGTTTTCTTTCTCAAAAGATCAAAAAAATAAAAAAGACCTCCCAGTGAAACTGAAGGGGAATAAAGCAAATCAAGTCGGTTGAGGAGTGGGTCTTCGTCCACGGAAAGAAGCAGTGGAAGTTGCTCCAACGCCACATCACATGCTGTTACCCATCCGCCCCATCCTGGCTTTTCGCATCATACTCGTCATTTGCTAATGTTCATGCATCGTCAATCAATCCTGATTTTTGTCTTTTTTTCTTTCTCCTCTCCCTTCTGGATGTATAACTTCTACTTCCTCTTTTCTTTACAAGAATGCTCTCCGGGGGAAGCTAACGCCTTCAATGGCAGGCTCGTCGACGAACCAGCTGCATCGGTCTCCCGCGGCTTCGTTGACGAGGGTGCAGGGCAGTCCAGAGCTCGTGTCAAAGATTTCCTTCATGATTGTGCTCTTGCCGGCGCCGGTGGCGACGAAAGCAACGCGGACGGCGTGTGTAACGACGGGAAGGGTCAAGGTGATTCGCTTAGGAGGCGGCTTGGGCGAATCCTCGATTGGTGCGACCCAGGCGTCGGTTTCGCGCAGCAGCTCGTGGTTGGGGAAGAGGGAGCAGGTGTGGCCGTCGGGTCCGCAGCCGAGCAGGAGGAGGTCGAAGATGGGCAGGCGCACAGAGTCGCGCGAGGCAAAGCTGCTAACTAGGGTCTGCTCGTACTGGTCGGCGAGCTCCTGAGTGTCGTTGAGATACTCGGTGTTGATTGCGTGCACGGCGGAGGGCTGCTGGTCGGCGGGCAGCTTATCGAGCAGTTCGGCCTTGAGGAGGGCGTAGTTGGAGTCTGCGTGGTCCAAGGGCACGGCGCGCTCGTCGGCGAAGAAGATCTCCCACTTGGGGAAGTCGACCACGTCTGCGGGACCAGAGGAGGGGGCCAGGAGGGCTGCAGCCAGAGTCTTGGGGAGCGAGCCACCAGATACGGCAACCTTGAAGGCGCCATGTCTCTCAATACCAGCGTTTTGGCTCTGGATAACATAGGCTCGCAGAGCTTGCGCGAGGGCATCGACGCCCGGGAAAGCGTATAGGTTGGGTTGTGTCTTAGGCATGATTATGAGCGAGTCGAGGCGAGGAGCGGGTAGTTGCTGCGTATAGGCCAGAGGCCAAGTGCGAAGGGATGAGATATAGAGGAGTTATTGGTGCTCGAGCCGTGTTATCGAAAGTCCAGTCTATCGAGATTTTTGCGCAGTTTGAGGTTTACTTTTTTTTTTCTTTTGTTGTGTGTGGTTGGAGTTTTGGAGCTATGGGAAACGAGCTATGAAAGAGGTCCCGGTAGCCTGGACGGCGGGGTTGCTCTATTTTTCCGCTTGGGGGAGTTGAAGGTTGCGGCCTGTCAAAAAGAGCTGCGTGCTATGCGCGCGGGGTTATGTCAGAGGCGCATGGGAAGATAAGATAACGATGGGCAAAGTTCAGGTAGCCGTTGCCACTGCGATGAAGGTTAAAAGACGGGCTGAGGTTCTCTCTTGGCTCTTTTGGGAAGCGTTTATGAATTCTTGATTACGAAATTTCCTCTTCTGTTCTATGAAAAGGGCTACTGAGAATACAAGAAGGCTGTACTTTGCGAAAGAAACTGGAGAAGATTCGAGAAGGCTAAGGAATTCGGATCGTGATGTGCGGTGCAGCGCACACACTCGGCGCGGATCTGCAGGGATGCCGCTGGCCTGCATGCCATGCCGCTTGAGGCGCTCGAGTTGGAGAAGCATCACGTCGACGTCAATGCGCTAGTCAAAGGTTATTAGACTGATGTCAAAAATGTTGTCTTGTGTTTGGCATTCTGATGCTGGGCTTGGAGATGTAGTATATAAGTCGCACGGCAATCGCGGATAGTAGTATAAATGGTGTCGTGCACTATTATCTGGTAGCTTCAAAAGTACTAGGCAAGCTAGGGGTCAGGCAGTGGGTAAAAGAGGCGGAATTGAATCCGAAAAAAAAAAAAAGGAAAATGATGTGTTTATATCCCCATCTTCATCTCTATACATCAGTCTCTATACGTCCCACTTGGATCTGCCTAGGTAGGCAGCATGCCTTTTGTCTTCTATCTGCAGATGTTGCTACGAGGTATTCCTTTTGCGACTCAGCTGAATTTCATTTGAGTCTTGAGTATGAGTATAATTTGAAATTCTAGAGTGGAGCACACAAACGAATAGACAACAGCGGAGTGCCGGCAATATATTCTCTATAGTATCATAAGATAGGTGATTGGAGGAACCAAATCATCATTTGGTTCCATTACCGTGGGATGTCCTGCATCTTCTGCCTTGCTTTGGTATTGCTACTGCTAGGGGCTGTCTCTTGCGAAAGCCATAGGCGAAATGCTGGCCAAGCTGCCTTCGATGTGAGACATGCATCTGATCTCTGACCATCGAAGCTAAAGCGCTTGGTCTAGGCGAAAAGGGCAATTTGTGAATGCAACTGTAACCAAGCCAGGAGTTATTTCTTCACATGATGGCCAAGCTTTGCGGCATTAGCTTAGTGTTTAATATCCAGCCTTTGCATATTGCTGGGCATATTGCTGGGCATATGTAGGTAGCTGGCTGGGCAACTTGCAGCGTATCCATGTTCATTGTCAGTGCCGCGCGCCGGCTTACCACATCGGCTTACCACATGGCTAGCAAGCCCAGGTAGGCATTTTGACATTTTGCTGCCCCCAAGCGAGAGCCGCAAAGACTAAGGCAACACGGCTGCGAGCTGCGAAATCACCCACCCATAACACCCAACCTTCTGTATCTAATATTGCCACATCAAAACGAACCCTGGGATGTTGATTACTAACAAGACCCTGAGACGGCGACGGATATAACGTCATGCTCTTTTGTGGCGATGCTTTGGTGTTGCGGCTGGAAATTGATAAATGGTGTAGTGACGTAATGATGAAGTCTCGAGAGAAGCCGCTTCTTCATGAGCGTATCTTCTCGAGTGTCTGAATACTGCAATTTCAGCCTCTCAGCCTCATTTAATCGTCGTCGTCGTCAACGAAGTATTGACTACATCTCTGTATTACAGTAACCGACTCCCGATTCGCCGGGCAAACAAACTGTGCCATCTGGTACTACCCTAGTGGCAATAGCCTGTTATAGCCCATGCTTATTGTTCCCCGCCGCTAGGGTTACAGCAAACCGTGTATGTTTCCGGCAGTTATCTCATGGCTTACACGGATTGACGAAGCACGCAGATGGCTATACCAAGTATACCTAGCAGAGCGGGCGTTTGTAGATACTACTAGTAGTTACCACCGGAGCAAGCTCGCTGTCAAAGACTGCTGTGGGTCTTGCTCAACGCGGCCAGGACGTTGCAAGGCACAAGGCATCCCACGTGGGAACAAGAGGCGAGAATGAGTCGCATCTCTGGAGGTGAGCCTTACCATAAGGTTAGATTTGATCTTCTTTCATTCATTCTTTCTCTTTCCCATTCGACTTTTCCTTAACCTCATATGCCGGCTAGAGTGATGTTATCGAACAAATGGTGGATCTCTCGTGATGGCAGCTCGGCCATCTCCCCTCCTCTATGTTAACCCCCCCCCCCCTCGTTTGTAGCTTTAGTATCAGTGACAGCGGGTGCTGCGGCATTCTTTGTTCAATGCCCTTGACAGGGCTATCCTTGGCACCTGCAGCTTGTGGCACCTTGGCCGCCGGATACTACTATCTGTGTGACGATGGAGTTTTCGTCTGTGTTACTGACGGCCCGGAGCCTTCAGCCCAGAATGCGACTCTAGCTCCAGTTTATCCCATGGCTGTCGTTGGCTGCCACAAAGTCCCACCGAGCTACACACTCGGAATTCAGGGTCCAGCGGGACGCACACTCCGAGGGGTGCTAAATCAACACCAATCAATCGCCAAATCCCACACGCTTGCGCGCCTGCTAGCCCATTTGGCGCATCGTCTAAGGCCTCATGAGAATTTTCAATTTTTCTCTCTGTGCCTCCCTTCCCTGCCTTCACCCGCAAGCAGTTCTCTATTGACGTCCCCTCTTTTGGCCTAGCAGTCTCTGCCAGCTTCGGCATTTGTTGTTAATAATACACCGAAGCCCTTTTGTAAGCTCGCGGCCTTGGACGGCCATTGGCTCTGGACCATCCGCAGGTGCCAATCTGGGCGCCAGGCTGCAAAAAGGCCGTGCCGCTACTCGGACTTGGGCTGGACTGGCTGCTTCCTTCCCTTCCCTGAGTCGACGGTTGCAAGGAAGGCACCCGGTTGTGTTGCCCCTCCTCCTGGTTTCAAGAAGCCGCTCTAGGGACATACTCGTGCATATCTATCGCGGGTCCAGAAGAATCTGGAACCTTTTCATCCTGCTTGGGCATTGTTCGTATCAGCTTGTTCAGTGCCAAGCCGCCACAGTCGTTCGACGCCGGCGAGCACAGCTGCCTATAGCCAGCAACAGCAGCATCACAAACCACCACCACCACCAGCAAGCAGTGGCAACGGCAACCTCGCAACAGTGGCCTGTACTCTAGAATCGAAACCACTGCAGCTATAGCAGCTGTACGGCAGCAGAGTGCGTCACGAGCCGGCTTCACTTCAGTGTCACGACCTTGGGCCGGCTTATTGATTCGCTGTCTTTCTTAAGCCAATCTGCGTCTCGTCATCCGCGCAGGCTTACTGGCTCCTCTCATCTCATTTGCCTTGCTGCGTCTTCCCCTCTATTCTCCTCGTCTTCCCGACCTTAGGATACCACGCCCACTAGCTTTGCGGGGATATAATCGACCGCGGCCTCGATTCGTGCCTCTCGTCTTCTTTTGTAAACCCTGGTAGCCGTTGCATTGACTCCTAGTCAAGCCTGTCCTGCAAGTCGACAAGCGGCGCTATTCACCCACACGGCTTATACCCGCAGCACGTCTTCCTTCACCCGCCAATCGAGATTCTTTCCCGTTGGCTACCTTGTATCAGCAACCCCTCCAGCTCGGCCCAACCCTTTGGTCCAGCGTTTCTGCAGAAGTAGAGAAGAAATATCCTGGCTTTGGGGGATACAGTGGCTTGACCGCCTGTTACAAGCTTGACACTTGTGTTGATTTTTTTTATTAAAAAAAAAATCTCCACTCTCTTTCCGTCGATTGCTCAAGCAGCAGGGGCTTTCACGATCTTGTAGCCCCGACAAGCGATCACCAAGCAAAGTTGTTCTCCACTCTAGCACAAGTCAAACGTGCCTAATCATTGGCGAACACCTGCTGCTGGCTTTCTTTTTTTCTTTCATATATTTTGCTTGTCGATTGACCTCTACCATTCTCTGTGCGCCCTAAAGCTGTGGTGCAGTAGCCCCTTCTGATTGCTTTGCTTGACGATTAACTGGTACCAATGTCGTCTCCGGACTCAGATCAAACTGCTCTTAGCGAGAAGCTTCTCGAGCGCCGTCAACAATTGACCGAGGGGCTCAAGAGCTTACCGTATGATTTGATTCTTTATCTCGAGCGGGCGGTGGTGTACGCGGATCTTGGATACCCCGACCTCGCCGCTGGCGACGCATATCGAGCACTTCTCCTTACCGACGAAGTTACGAATGACGGATTCGAATACCATGAGCAATCCTTAGAATCCCTAAGCAAATATGTCGGCGTAACCCTTCCGGAGGTCTTGACCCATAGCCAAATCGCCGATGAGTATCCTGATCTGATCAATGGCAGCCACGAGGATGGAGATACTGCTTTCAACCAGCTGGCAACCCTTGCATCAGTACGGGCCTACCAGATACTATCACTGAGTCTCTTGCTGTGTGGTTGCTTGAAAAGTGCATCTCAGTTCTGTGATCGGGGCCTGGCAGTTGCTCCGCAAAATGCGAAGCTGCTTCACACTAAGGGACATATCGACAGCGTGGCTAGACAGAAGCTGGGCCGACAGGATTTTGACGCCGGTGACTTACCCGACTTTGGTCTTGTCCGCCGAGAAGTCTATCCATGGAATGACCATGAACCGGATCGCTTCTCATCCGAGTCTCTGCAGTCCTTAAATGCTGAGCTGAAAGAGATGGCCCCAAAGTGTGCCGTCCAAGTAGCAACTCTGCCCATCTTATTAGAAGGAGAGAGTGAGACAGACAATTACGAAATTATCCCGACCTGCAAACAGCTGGGTGTTTTTGCTCAAGAGGATATTGAGGCTGGTGAGGTTGTGCTCAGGGAATACACTCTCCTCACGGCCAACAACCGACATAAAGATTCGGTTTGTGATGCCTGCAGCTCTGACCTTGCTCCGCTTGGCAGCGATAACCAGCCCATTAGGTGTGAGGAATGTTTTGATACTGTCTTTTGCAGCCAGGAGTGCCACGACCTGGCCCAAGATCGCTATCACCCTGCTGTCTGCGATAAAGACGTGGACTCAATTGCCAAAGATCCTAGCGCGTTCGAAGCTGATGAGACTCTGCACCTCCTTCTTCTCGCCAGAGTCTTGGCGATAGCTGCCAATGAGGAGATTCACCCATTGGATGTGCGTGAGGTGAAGTTCATCTGGGGCGATTTTGTTCCCTCTCGAGCCAACGAGATCAATGTGTCGCCCAACGCTGGCCCTCCACCGGAATGGACGCTCCCATTCTCCTTCAAGTATAATATCGAGACGCCGCTGCATGTTCTGGAGAAGATGGATGTAGATATCTACACCGGGTTGGAGGAATACGACCTGTGGGTCCTCAATACGCTCTATGCCAAATTCCGAGGAACAGCCTCAGCTCGCAAGAATCCTCGAGACGGGAGACCAGATGTTGCTGCGGTTCACCCTTATTGGTGCCTAGCTAACCATGATTGCGATCCAAACGTCACTTGGGATTGGGGCGGCCGAATGGTTCTCTCAGCAAGAAAAGAGCGTGTCGTAGGCGGCAGGCCCGGTGGCATCAAGAAAGGAGAAGAGATTCTGAACCATTACTGTGACGTGACACTACCGGTGCAGCAACGACGCGAGTGGGCTCAGGGCAGCCTGGGAGGCTGGTGTATGTGCGAGAGATGTCGCACAGAGGCTGCAGAGAATAGAACGACTGGAAATGGAACCTCGGCGTAAGCGTCAGCAGTCTCCTGAGGTCTTTCCCCCCCGAACAAGCAGCATCGATAATTGCGGCTAGGGTGCTTGGTCATCAATATGTGTCTATCCTCAATAAAAACAGGCGATGGCGCAGTCGAAATCTAGCAGGGGCTGCGAAGCTTTCCCCCAACCCCTCCAGAGAATGTCCGAACGCAATATTGATGACGCATCTTGATACAATTCCTCAGCATGCATGATAAAGAAAAAGAAAACTTATTAAAAAAGGAACAAATGAGGCAAGAGGGTTGGCTCTATGATAGAAGTTTACAAACCCTACAACAGTCAGGGACCCCCGCTCAGCTATGACACCCGCACATAGGAGAAAAGAAAAGAGACGCATTTTTGTTACCGTAGCATCTGCCACTGTGTTCACTTAACCCATACCCAACATTGATAGCGTGCGTGGCTTTTCTGAAGAATGGAATGATAACGGTCAGCTGCCCCCCATTTTCGGACCCCCATAACCCGTCGAGGGATTCCTGTTTCTACGATGATGACCCTCTAGCTCTTTCCCATGGGACCGAGGTGGCAGGGCCTAACATGATTTCTACCTAATGCATGTATTGACCAGGATATCAACGGCTTGAGGGTTTTTAATCCCGTACAGCACGCCGCATTCATGGGCAAGGGGCTCATTGCAGCTGCCATATGACGCAAATGTTCGTTCCCCTATGGTCGACGGAGCTTGTAGCATGACTGGCGAGGATGGCAATGGGCGAGAGCTAATGATGCTCATAGATCAATTGGATACGATCCGTGTACCTACTCTCGCTGCGGGAGTGGGTTTGCCGCAGCCTGCATGAGAGAGGGCCAGCCTAACCAGAATGTGGCACCCTGCTCCTATCCGCCGAGAGTTTGGCTCCTCCACCGGTGAACATAACCGAAGGAGGACTATAAGATGGGGTATTTTTGGAGAGGACGTGCTGGCAGCACTGCATACTGCAAGCGGTACTTATAGCTAACACAGTCTTTATTCTTCACACGCTCGGCGCTGTAGATATCAATCAGTAGAGAGAAAGACATGAGGATTCAAAAATCGGGTCCGTCCAGCGCTAAATATAGTATTGGCAATAGAATACAGGAGAAGAGGAAGAAAGCAAAGTAGGAAGAAGAAAAGAGATATGTGAAAAGGGAAGAAAAAAAAAAAAGGCATGGAAAAAGAAGCCAAAAAAGAAGAAAAGAAAGATGAAAAAAATTCCAAATCTAACATACGCCACCCTTTCCCGCCAGAACCGCCGCCACCTGTTTGTTTTTGTATAGATCCTCTAGCCGGAAACACCGTCCACAGTGTATTCTGTCTGCCAATGAATTTGTGTCCTTCATGTCCGTTTGCCCCCTCCTCTTTTATCCCCATCTCTCTCCGCCTATTACCACTATCGCCCGGTGTTTGGTAGAGGTCGTGGTCCTACGATCTGCCTCCTTCCGGCGCCAATGCCCTGCGACCCTTTGTTCTGGCTGTCTCCACCAGTATAACCGCTCCACTGGCCGACATCCCACCGGCCGTCAATGCCTCCTCCAATGCCGTCGACGCCATTCTCGCCTCGGGTCATAGCGGCCGTCTCTTTCTGGGCTTCCTCCCACTCCTTCTGGCGCTGCCTCTCCATCTCTTTCTCGCGCTCGAGCAGGGACTTGGATGCCCAGCCGGCCGCCTTGGTCTTGTCTTGACTCTGAATCCGGCGGCGGTCCTCGGCATCGCGTTCCTCCGTTGCGCCGAGTTCTCGAGCGTATGTCTGCTGGGCTACATTCGGCGTGGGAGCCGAGTTGGTAGCCAAGAAGCGGTCTGTGCGACTCTGGGGTGCTTCTCTCGGAGGGGACGAGTACTTGGCTGGATCAGGCAAGGGTCGTCCTCCGGCTCCCGGCAGAGCAGCATTATTGGGATTAGGGAGAGGGCGGGGAGACCTGGGCAGGGGCGACGAGGCTAGACCTTCTCGTTCGTCTTCATTCAAGTACTCTTGGTGCTGCTTCCACTTGGTGTGAAGGACTTCGCGCTCTCCTTGAGAATAAGACTCGTGACGGTTCAGCTGCGAGGCATTGCCGCCTCTTGGGCTTCGCGGCTCATCTTGCCGACTCCTAGACGTAGGCCTCAGTTGAGCTGGTGAGGTAGGTACTTTGCCGTCAGCGGCCCGTTCTTGTCGGTCACGCTCGTACTCAACTTCGCGCTGTTGTGCCTCGTGAAGTTGCTCCCTTTTCACTGCCTCATGGGCCTCGGCCTTTTCAGCGTTGGCCTGCTCGGCTTGATACTGGCTGAGGAACTGCCCATGTAGCTTAGCAGGACTTCTAACAGCCCGCCGTTCTTCCTCAATGCGGGCTTCAGCCTGGGCTTCTTCTTTACGGCGCTTGTCCTCGGTCAATTTCCATTGCCGCTCTTGTTCCTCCCACTCCTTCTTCTCTCTTTGGACTCTTTGGCGTTCTTCCTCCCTCTGCCGCTCTGTCTCTTCCTGCCATCGCTTCTCCTCTTCAGCGCGAGCGCGGTTTTCATCCTCGAGCTGCGCCTGGCGCCTGGCCTGGGCCTCTTGCCTCTGACGCTCCTCTTCCGCTATCTTCTCCTTCCTGATGCGTTCCTTCTCAGCTAAACTCGGCACCTGAGGCGCGGCAGCAGTGATTTGCCTGCGGGCTCCAAAAGCGACTCCCATGCTGCCCTGACTAGCGCCGCCCATGTAGCCGTACTGCGCAATATTCCAAGCTGGAGCTGTTGAGCCCTCGTGTTCCTTCTTGCTCCAGGTACTAACGGACTTGGGGGAACCTGGGCCCTTCCCGGTGCTCTTCGCAGGGCTCACCTTGGCTGACGCAGAGTCTCCAGTAAAGGATGCTCCCCGACCGCGCGAGCCTGTAGCTCCAGCCCCGGTGCCTTGAGGCGTTACAGCTCCAGGTTTCGAAGACTTGGGGCCGATCACATGAGGGAAATTTGCCGGGTTGGCGGCGTGCGCAGCTCTGCTGAATGCGCCAATACATTGTAGCACCTGAGCCGGATCTTTGCGCTCAAACAGGTCGACGGTGAGAAAGGTGTCGTGCTGGTGCAGGTTCAAGGGCGGCGCCTGGCATGCCTTGAGGAAGTGCGATATGTTTTCCATTTGGACAAAGGGCATGGCTGACTTCTTGAACTTGATTCCAGGAGCTGGAACAGCGAGGTTGATGAGCCTGAAAGTGAGAAAAGAGGAAACGTTAGCGCATGCGACAAAGAGGAAAGGACAGCTACAGGCGGTTGCTGCGGCGGAAGTTGGGCGCATTTCGCATACTTGCAGAGGGCGACGCCATCCTTGAGGCCGTCTAGGAGATCCTTTGACGGCAGCGATTCTCCCAGCGTCTCTTCGATCCATGCGCGGGCTTCGTCGGCGGCGGCAGGAGTATACTTTTCGAGGCGCAGTCTGCGCAAGTCGCCGTCCAAGGACGTCACGGAAGCCATGTTTGGACGGCCAGAGATGGGTTGGTATAAGATATATCTGTCGCTATTGCTCTCTTCTTTCTCTCTTCCTCTCCGGCTTCGAGGATTTGGATATTGCAAGCCAGGAAAGATGGAATATGTTTTGTTTTGTTTGTCGGATGTTTCGAGGAGGATGTCGTCACCAGGCCAGCGTGGGATGTCGTAAGCGGCAGGTTCGGAATGCAGTCGCAACAAATAGAAGGCTGGGCGCACTGGAATTCAGCGCATGGCAACCGCACGTTTGCGCGGGCTTTAGGATGTTTCTTTTAGAAAATGATACGTCTGCGCAACGATGGCGAAGACAGAACCAAGTAGGGGTATAAGTAAAGTATATGGGTGGGAAACAAGGTCCAAGGGGGGGAGAAAATGGAAAATAAAGGGTTCAAGTACCTTTCGCGCGGCCCCTTGCGAAGGCGAATGACGCACGTCAGCTCCAGCTATGCTGTGCAGGAGCAGGCGGGGGAGATTTTCGTCGGGGACCTGATACCGCTAACATTGGCCTGCTGCTGCTATTATTACCACCAGTAAAGGGACAAATTACAGTTATTACACGGCGACTGGGGGGCGTGGCTTGCGAGAAGATTGGGGGGGAACAGAGGTGGTGCCACGCACGCGCTGCCCAGGTACCGCTTTGCTGGAGACACAGGATACAAGGTACCTTGATCTGCTTGGACCCTTGGGTACCTACATGGCCTACTACTTACTACTAGGCACCTACCTCTGTACCAAGGCAATGCCAAATTGTCAAGACTTCGCTGGTGCCTCCGCAAATGAGGGGCGCATCATCCTCGTTTCGCTAAGCCGTCGCAACAATGTCCTTGCTGCAGGCATGTAACGAAATACGCATTGCTGGACTCGCTCCAAGTCGCCCCCCGTTCTTCATGCAAAGAGGGGGGGCGAGGGGCATTGAAGAATCAGAAGCCTAGTAGTTAGCACTAGGTACCTGGCTGACTGCTGTGGCTGGTATCATGGAGAGCAGCAGCCAATGGTGGGGGCACCGCCACACGCTCGATGCTCCATGCACATGCATACAATGACAGCATTATCTTTCTCCCAGCAAAGAGGAAGGGGACAAAAAAAAGTTTCTTCTCTCTTCCAGCTTCCCCCCCTTTCCAGGACAAACCCTCACCCACCACATCCTCATGTCAGGAACGCCGAAGCGAATAGGCCCTTTTGCTCAGGCATGGTATAAATGGAAGGCCCTGCGCCTTCCCTGGCGGAAGCGCTTCCTCATTGGTAAGTATAAGCCTACAAAGTTACTTTTGCCCCAGAGCTACCTCTCTGCTGCTTATCATATATGAATTTCCAATTTCTTTTCCTTTTGCTAATACCAGTTCTCTCTTTTTTTTTTCCCCCTAGGCTTTGATCTCCAAGGCAACACCTTCTGGGAATTCCGCCTTACCCGCGGCGCCCAAGACTCCTCCGAGCGCTGGCGCCGCATCGTCTCCTACCCCAGATCGACGCACTACTCGCAGGTAAAAGTCAGCCCCCAATGGCACCAGTGGCTGCGGCACACGCGGCGCGAGCCCCCGACGCTCGAGGAGCAGCGCGCCGAGCTGGTGCGCCAGGAGAGGATCAAGCTGCTTGCCGCCGAGGCCGACGCGCGCTGGGAGGCGAAGCCGAGAGTTATGGAGGCGCCGAGGGGGGAGGAGGAGGAGCCGGCGGCGAGGAGGAGGCTGCCTTTGGCTGCTGAGGAGAGGGCGCAGCCGGTAGAGGGTGAGGAGAAGAAGAAGAATAAGGCGACGAGGAAAGAGAGATTGCAGGCGACGAAATTGGAGGAAGAAAAGATTGATGCGAAGGATCCTTGGGCGAGGGCGAGGGCGCAAGGCCCGGGCGAGAATTGGCAGCCTACGGCGTGGAATCCTACGGCTGCGGCGAAAAAACGATGAGACTTGGCAAAGCGGACTAAAAAAATTGATGACGAGTAAGGGGAAAACGACCAAATGAAACACATAGGACGAGCAAGTTCGAACGAAACGACGCCATCTACATTATGATTGAGTCCAGTATGTACGCATATGGATTGATGGATGGATAGACATGTATTATATGTATCATTACCTAGAATGTATACCCCCCACAGACCCGGGATGTTCCCTATTCAGTTGCCCAAAAAACGCCTTGCTCCCAATTCTCTTCCTATAAGGATTTCGTCTCTTGAAATCGTGATGATAAACACGCTCTTCGTTACAAAACAATCGACCAATCCAAACCAAATAATCCTCCATCAGGGAAAGGAGAAAAAAAAAACGCCAAGCAAGCGAAATGCACGCTGTATAACGCCACTCAAATCAAGTCGATGCACTCAATACGTCCAACAAAATTCGGATCCGATCAGCAGAAGCCTCCATCACGGTGAAAGCATGCGAATCGCTCGCATCGGCCTTTGTCCGCCCCGTCCTCTTCCTCTGCGCCTTCTTCACCCTCGCCTCTATGCCCTTGTCGACCGCGTCAGCGAAGCTGTCCGTATACTCGATCATATCGCAGAACCACAGCAGCTGTATCGCGCTCTCCACCAGCAGCGACAGCTTGGCATTGTCCTCCAGGCCAATCGTATTGGCGGGGTAGCAGACGTAGCAGTGTTCCAGCATAGGCATCGTTAGACTGCCCACCGAATCGCCTTCCGGATCGACCTTGCGGGGGTCCTTGTAGGACGACGGGAGGAGCAGGTGGAAGAGCTCCCTGGTGAGGGTGATTTGTGACTCTGGCAACAGCACGCTGGGCCGATGAGAGACGAGGAGGGCGAATATATCCAGGGGGAGAACTTTCATGCCGGCTGCGAAGTCTTCGTAAAGCCTGTCCAGCTCCTGCCGCTTGCGCAGGTCATGCGTGGCTGCGGAAAGCAACTTGAATAGCCGCAACCGCAACTGAATAGACTCTACCATGCCAGCGCCGACCCCCGAGGCTTCACTCTTAGCGCGCTGCTTATGAGGGGTCGGGGGCTCAGAGACGCCGGACGAGATGGACTCGTCTTCGTCGAAATAGTCGCCAAACTTATCGTTGGCCAGGTCAAGAACCGCCTCACGTTTCCGCTTCTTCCCCCGCGGCCTTGGCCCCTTGTGCTCTTTATCGAAAACCTCTTGAAACGATGAAGAAGAAATGCTTCCGTTGTAAGCAAACAGCGCCTTCATGATGCCCTTGGGGCCAGAATGACGACCGTCCTTCTGGTCCATGTACATGACCAACATGGACTCGGACCGCCACGTCGTGGGCACATCCCCCAATCGTCCCCTTATCTCGTAGTCTTCCAGATCGCGGCGCCTCCGCTCCTCCCAGTCGGCATCTAGCACATCCAGCATAAACTCCAGCCATGCCTTCCAGTACCGCCATCGGTGCGGCATCAGCGTGCAGCAGTGAAATGCCCACCCGACCGTGGACCAGAAATCCTGGCCTTTGGCCCACACGCCGCCCTCGTTCGCAATCCTGCCACGCAATACGTCGAGGCCGCCCTCTGAGTCTCCATCAGACATCTCGCTGTCGCTATCATGGCCGGTATGTCCTGCTGCTCGACGGTTCCATCGCGGCACGGCGCGGAACTGGAAGGCGGTCCGGAAGTCGGCGTGAAGCGGTCCCACCACTTTGAGAACGTTGCGGAGGTAGCCCAAGGCGAGAGAAGAGACGTCGAGATGTTCTGGTTTGTCGACACGCGTGGTGTGTAGCGGGTGAACGGCGATGGTGCTCAGAAGTGCGAGGTGGCTCGGCGGCGGTACGGGCACGGGTTTGCCGCTGGGTGATGATCTCGATATGCCGGAGCCGAGGATGCTAATGAGGAGATTGATGGCGCAAGTGTCTGATGGTCGCCAGAATGGTTAGCACCGCCGATATAGATGGCACCAATGGGAAGCGCATTGGCATCAGAGGAGGGGGTGACATATGCATACATAACTGTTCTTCGAGGAATATCTGGCAGTGCTCTTTCAGCTCGTGAGGCAGCTCTCGTGCCGTTCTATACAGACACGGCGAGCCAGTGGTCGGTGTGCTCGCAGTTGTCGACTTGGACGTGAGCTCCGAGTCTTCCTCTTTGCCAGTGTAGAATGATGTCGGTGACGAGTCCGTGCTAGGCTGCGATCGCCTCGCCATAGTCGTTAGGCCCCCTCGCAAAGATACGAGAAGGGCAATGAACTATATGTCGTTTCTTTCCTTCTCTTTCTTTATTTCTTTTTTGGGCAGTAAAGACAGAATCGATAAAAGACCCGTAAAGAAAAAGAAGAGAACAACAAAGAGGAATGCAGTGAGGCTGAAAATGAGGGGACGCAAACGCGGGTTTCAGCATGGAAAGCTGCTGGTTGGCGGTTTATTTTTCTGTTGGCGACGCGGGCGTTTGGCACCAACTTTCGCGGGGCCCCTCCCAGTGCCGACAGCGCTGAATCTTCCCGATCGCACACGGTGCCATCCTTGCCTGTTCGGGACCAGCCCAGCGGCTTAGCGCCGAGACCAGCGCGGTACCTACCGAGACCAGTCGACCAGTGCGTGGAATTTGGCGCCAGGTACCAATTACGCAATACGTGTATTTGTACAGTGAGAGATGTTACTTGGCGGGTATTGGGACACCTGGCCGTCTCCTGTACTGGTGTCCTCATAGAACGGATGTCAAAGTGGCGTTGAGCCGCAAGTTGATAAAGAATGTGTCATGATATCATGTAATCTATATCGGTCCCCGCTTTGCATAGTTCGATGGCTGGGGGATGCCTGCTGTGTGGTTACATTCAGGTGCAACACAAATTGAGCCGCCATGTCTCGCAGCACTGCATCAATCATCGTAAGGAACTAAGAAGATATATCAATACATCCAGAGACTGAGAACAGCTATAAACGGCCATGGAGACATTTGCCAACTAACCTCCATGTTAGAAATTCCGGCCAAAGGTACCCGTCACAACAGACTGGCAACGGCTCTTTTACACATGCAGGTCATATCTGGGCTCATCCATCATCCACAAGACATTGTCACTTACACCATACTTCCGCGTCAAGCTAGGTTCTGAGTATTCAACTTTTTGTTTCTCTCATTCTATCTATGTACATGCTATATTGGTATCCTGAACAAGTGAAGCTGAAACAAACAAACAAACAAATTAACGCTAAGAGTGAGTTGGCCATACGTCAAACGCATAAAGCCCTGCTCTCCATTACTGCGGCAAGCATATTTATATGCTTCCGCATCCCATTATCTCTTTTTTGCTTTCGTCCTCGTCATGACAAAAAAAAAAAAAGAGGACGCCTCTATATATTAACCAATGCATATATCCGTTCCACGTGGCCGTAATTCAAAAACCGGGAAAAAATTCTGAACCGATGAAATTCTATCGCTTCGATATGACTATGAAGGTTTCATAAAAAAAAAAAATAGAAAAAGTTCTGTGAAAACAAGTATTCGCAAGTAAGCGTGTGACTCGCTGTCATGCTGATACAAGAAAACGAAATGTCGAGAGAGAAACGAAGAAGGGGATAGTGGTGATAAATCCAGTTGAATGTAAAGGTTGAGGAGAGTTGAGATTCATTGTATAGAATGAATATGGAAAAATCTTTTGGATTTAAGCACGGCTGGCACGGCTAGCACGGCTGGCACGGCTTTGTTCTCTCTGCAGTGCCAGGCTGGCTCGCCTCTCCTTCTCATGCTCTTGAACTTCCTCAATGGCCTGGTCCTCGGTAACTTCGACGTGCTTAGCTCGCATTCTCGCAAGAACAGCCGCGGCTTCGGAAGCATATTGGCACTTGGCACGGATCCTATCGCCGTATTTGTAGAAGAGAGCGGGGAAGGGAACGCAAGCCAGAGCCAAGAAGGCGGGAATGGAGCTCGCCCAGTGGACTCCCAAGTTTTGATACATGTAGGTGGTGAACAGCGGGAAAGCGGCGCCGAAGAGAGATCGAAGGACGGAGCTGGCAGCCAGGGCTGAAGCAGCGAAAACAACATCTATTTCAATTATTATTAGCCGTCATTATACACTGATTGGAAGGGCCGATCAAGAAAGGGGATGGTGACTTACAAGAGTCAACAAGGTAGTTCATCAGCGAGAGGAACACCAAGACAATACCGGACGCAAAGAAAACGGAACCAATGATGGAGACAACCCAGTGAACGCTAGGGCCGTTGGTCCATGCGAACCAGAAGAGGCCAATAGGAATCAGAATGGATCCAAGAATGGCTGGTGGCAGACGGGCTTCGGGGGGTGCGTTGCCATCAGGAGCCTTGGCAGCAGCCTTTAGATATCGCTTGTTGTCAAGCATAGATCCAACAGTAGAAATGGTCATACCAATGGCAATGCCGATGAATGCGAGACCGCCAATGCCGGGGCTCCAGCCACGACCTTGTTGGAAGACGATGGGGAAAGCAGCGAAGCACATGTAGAGAGTGCCATAGATGATGGCCATGTACAGAGAGATGAGAAGGACGATGGGCTCCTTGATGAGAAGCTGCCAAGGCCTCAACAGGGAAACCTTGAGCTGATCACCAATTGTCTTGGTTCCCTGTCCCGCCTCGAGCTTGGAAATGTAAACCTTGCCAGTCTTCTTGCTCAGAGCACCGGCACGTTGGCGGAGCAGAACTGGGGCGTATGTCTCGGGGTAGACGACAGAGCTGAGAATCCAAACGACACCAGTGAAGATGGCGATCAATCCCTCGACCCATCGCCAGCCCTTTGACTCGCCAAGGAAACCACCTGCAATCGGGCCAAGAGCCGGACCCAAGAAAGGAGCCATAGCAAAGATACTGAAAGCAACTCCTCGCTGGTCGGCCTTGAACATGTCGGCAATAACACCACCGGCATTCGTCAGGGGAGAAGATCCAAATGCGCCGGCAAAGAATCGAAGGATAACGAGGGTAGCAATGTTCTGGGAACCAGCGGCTCCAGCACTGAAGGCGGACAAGGCCATGTAACTGACGAAGAAGGTTTTCTGACGGCCGTACAGTTCGGACAATGGGGCCCAGAGGAGAGGTCCAATAGCAAAGCCCATGACGAACAAGGACACACCCAGGATGGCGACTTCAGCGGAAATATCAAACTGCATGATGATCTCACTGATACCACCCGAGTAGGCAGAACTAGCGAAGGAGACAGAGAGGGCCGCGCTGGCTTGGATGAGAGTGACGGCCCATTTGAATGAGTCCTTGAAGGTCATGGGATTCCATGGGTCGTCGGGGATGAATTCGACAAGGTAAGGAGACTCGGTGGTGCCCTGGCCGGTGTAGTTGAAATCCAGCACTTCCTGGGTAACGCCAGTCTGGTCGAGGAGGACTCTCCAGTGCGAGACCTTTGTAGATGGGGTAGCCTGTAGCTGGGATTCAATATCGTGGTCGGGCGTCGTTACAGTGGCAGACGAGGCAGAGGCCGATGAAGAGGTAGAGGGAGGAGGAACCTCCTCTGGAACAACGGGTTTCTCTTCAGACATGGTTGTAGCTATGACGTGCAGTCGTTTGTCGCCAAGAGCTAGCACAGATCTTGCGCTACTGTGATTAAGTTTGAGGCGAGACGAGATGAGATGAGAAAGCCTGGACCAAAGTCAGATCGTAAGATTCGAGGGCACATGCTTGTATGTATATTATACCACTGGTAATCTGTTGGACAGGGATTACCAATGCATTGAATTACACGTACCTCCCTAAAACTCAACCTAATCTCTGTGGAACTCCGCCGGCGGATAACGGTGGATGCCGTCCGGACGAGTTATCTTATACCCCGTATAAAGTGACAATCAAAGCACCCCTTGAGAAGACGAGATAGGCCTAGAACGCCGCTGAGCCTCGGCAGATGGACAGTGGCACGAGGCTGCGGTGGAGAGGCGAGAAGCGAAGGAAGAGGAAAAGAGGAGAGAGGGGAGAGAGGCGTAGAAAAGGGCGAGTCAGGGGAGACAAGGCTGGCGGGGGCGAAGAAGATGCCTGTCTTTTGAGATGTAAGTGCCTGTAGATCTAGAAAGCTACCACGAGTTGGCAAGCAGAAAAGTAGGTTATGGAGAGAAATAGACAGCCGTGCGAACAGGGAGGAGGCGTTGATTTGTTATAAATAAAGACGAGAGAGGTGAGCTTGAGAGGGTTGAGCTTGGTTGACCAGGGTGTTGATTACCAGGAACCGGGCCTGACCCGACCAGAGCTGCAGAAACAGCTGCATGATCAAAAAAGAAGCAGCTGGTGGAACTGGGCAAGGGATTCGGGTTTGAGCAGGACTGCGACCAAGCAAGTGGTGGAGTTAACGAGTTATTTGCGAGGGGGAAGAGTCGCCAGATGGTGATGATGGCGAGGTACTGTCCAGAGAGGCCTAGCGCCGCGGGCGGCTCGCAGACGGGGCTAGTCCTGATGGGGCCGCGGGTGGACAGCGGGGCCCTGCGTCTTTGTGCCGGCCATAAAGTCCATGGAGATTTCGCCAGGATTGCGCCACGGCGAGGGTTGGTGTGGCCAACGGGCGGGCGGCCGCCGCAGACAAAGAGAAGGGAGAAGAACAGCGCTGGGCCGTTCTGGGACATTCCGGAGCCAAGCTTCGGCCGGACGCAGCGTCTTGTGCATGAGGTGTCGGCATGACGTATCTGCCCGTGGCTTTGGGCTCGCTGCTGCTGCAGTACATGCCTACGGAGTACCCATTACTACCTCCATGTATGTATATCACGGCGCTGCATTGCAACGCTGCGCCTCATGCTTGGCTCATGCTGAGTTGTTGTCGACATACTATCACGGATGGCGATTTCACACGTCGTTGGTTGAAACGTAATTTGTATGTACAACCACCGATCGGCAGCCGTGCCCAAAAGCTGTACATGGTTAAAGACGGAATACCTACTGGTACTAACAAAGCACCAGCCCACCCACGCGCCAATCCCTTACCGAGACGAACGATGGACAAACAAAAAGACCCCTCGTTTTCGCTCTGCCCTACGAGTTACTGCTTGTAGTCACAGCTACCAGGGAAGGGGGGAGTGGAGAAGTTGATTCCATCCTCAGTCGTTTTCTCTTTCGTTTAGGTGTTCTCTGCTCCGCCTTTCACAGTGAGAATAACGCCTGAACTACCACTAGGTACTATATATATATATATATATATATATAGAGAGAGAGAGAGAGAGAGAGAGAGAGACATGTATATATAGCGAGACATACATGTTATGTTATAAACAACCTTGTGCTTCTATTTTGCAGACGGGTCATCTCGCAGCTGCCGCAAGCTGCCTGATACGAACGCCGTTTTTCGAATCATTCCACAAAAGAAGCATTTCCCCTCGTGGGATCCAAGTCCATCCGACTCGGCGAGAGGTGGGTGCGAGCACTTGTCCGTGCCAATCATGTAGCTTGGCCCCCCCTCACAAACATGCCGTCTAAGCATGCAAAATGGAAGCCGATCAGTTTTAGTAGCTGCTGGGATACTGTATTCCGCGCAGACGGGACCTTGCCCTGGTCACGGTTATCGCTCCTACTGCTGCTAGGTACTTTGTATGCACTCCGTACACGTATTGTTCTTCTGTGCTCTGGAATGGTCGCACAAGTAGGCTAAGTAGTACATGTATTTGGCTGCCAATATCACCTACTAGTGCGATCCTGCACGTTGCGTCGGAAGAGGCACCTACACACACACGGGTTCCTAGCATGGTTTGACATCTCCCGGGCTTTACGGCTATTAGCAGTTTATCCATCTACAGAGCGCTGTTCGCAAAGCTCGTATAGGCAAAGTTTCAGCTCCCAACGCAATAAAAGATTGATTAAAAATTCGAAATCTGAGGCAAGCCTGGCATGGGACACGCCAGATACAATCTCCGGGAACGTGGCCCCACCAACCCGGCGCCGTGGCCCGAAGTCCGTTCTTTTTATGCTGCCACGCCTCAACGTTCTACCTTGTACGATGTTGATTGTGATTGATTTTCGACAACATTTGTAATCTATCCAAAAGAGTCATCCCATAAGGCTCGGAAACAACACGTGCAAACTGGCGGAGACTGCCATTAACAGCAATAGTCCCCCCCATTCACGCACCCTCCGTCTGCTGATAATCATCTAGATCGTTCGGATCTTTCTATGAAAGAAACCAGATAGCCGCCATGTGAGCGCCCGTCTTAAGCTGCTTGTCATGCGGCTGTGGCATGCCCGCGTACTCAAAAGCTTGTATAGGAGACTCTTGACCAACAGAAAGAGCGCAAACAAATGACTAAAAGACCTGAACTATAATCTCAGCTACCCCATTCTTCTATAGGCAAAACGGCCTGCTGCTAAGAACGAGGCTGTCGCCTTTTTTGCATTGAACCTAGGTATTGCGTAGCGTACTTTCCCAAATACCTAGGTATTATCATCGATTTGATTCAGCCGTCATTACGTAGGCGTCTACTGCGCTGTTTAGTCATATGGAAGTTTGTTTGCTCCTTCTGACGGGATGCCGGAGCCCCTCATCGCCGTCTCTGCGCCTCCAGAGTCAATGGGCAGGATTCACCCCAACCCAACAGCACGGAGTACGGGCAAGATGTCAAGCCCTAGATGTTACAGAATGTAATGGACATTCTCCATCAAACAGATCATCGACGCCCTAGACGATTCGTCATCGTTTTCCACGCCCCCATTGGAGCGGAATTCCGGGAGGCAGAAGCGTCAACAAGATGCACCGCGAAGGAAGCAAGGCTTCGCTGTAAGCAAAGCCTCGGAAACTCCACGGAATGTTGCACCCTGCGAGAAGAGTGACCCGCTCGTTTATTGGCGCTAGTACTAGTGGAGTAGCTCGAACGCTGTTTAGCACGTGGAGATCTGGGTAAAACAGTAATTCTTTTATGGGGCCGTCCCCTTTTATTTTCCAAATCTTTTTTTATTCTGTATTTTATCTTAATTTATCGAATTTCTTTTTTTTTTTTTTTTTAATTTGTCTTCTTTATTTCCGCCCGCCTTCTTTTTTAACAGTCCGCCTGCCCACCGGTTTTTTTAGTCCACTGCCAAGCTACGGAGTATTTTTTTTGGAGCTTGCCGGCCATGCGCCCATTTAGGCAATAGCCAGCACTCAGCTTCTCTTGGCTGATGGTTCACATACGAAATAGCACTTTTGTCACAAAAAGAAACATGAAGAAAGAATATATATAATATATATATATACATATATAGCAGCAGTATTATTACCCTCCTTGTAAGAAAGCTGACTTTAATCCCTTTTGAGACAAACCTCGCTTCTTCTGCTTCTTTTTGGCAAAACTCGTGAATGAAAACGGCGCTTACAATATGCACACAGACGGCAGTTGAAGAATGGCTGCCGCCCTCCTAAGAATAAGGCTGAAACCGTAAGCCACGTTTTGGTGATTTAGCAGCCTTGCTCAAAAATGCATACAGTACGTTCCACCGTGGCCCATGTATTTCTTACAAGTCCACAAAGAGACTATTATGAATACAAAAATAGAGTACATACTTCGGGATTCAAAAAAGGAAAAAAAAAAAAAAAAAAGGCATCAAACCAGTTCAAAGAGTCACAGCCAAATTAGTCATGCCACGATTATTTGATAAGGGGGGCCACCGCAGTTGTGGGCTGATGCAACCCTGTATCCCGGGACCCGTATAATGGGATCCATAGAATAAAGGGAACAAACATTATATAAAGCGGCCCACAATCGAACAAATGCCCCCAATGCCAATACCTGTGCGGCAATGTCCGTGCTTCGATAGTCTGACAGGCAATGTGCCGAGGCAACAGGTCGGCCAAAGGCGAGATCGCTGCTGAGCCTTTTGAGAAAAGAAAGAAAAAAAAAAAAAAAAGAATTTTAGGAAAACCCACTTTTTGGCTGCCGCCGTCAGATCTGTCTATACATACATACTAATAAGCTACTAATACAGAAGCCGGACCGACGCCTAGTTGCTTCGCCCTACTCTTCAATTTCTCGGCATCTACCGAGAAGAGAAATTTTTCATCTCGTCTCGATTTTTGCCATGTGAAATACCTACCAAACGACTTAGCCTCTCAGCTTGTGATTTTTTTTTTTTCTCGGCCGAGTTTTCGCCTCACTGTGGAACTAGAACCGGTGAGTTTCACCGAGTTTTCGAATGACCCTTATCCACAACGGATCGTTCTCCTCGCATTCGTGTCGCTGAGAAGCTTATCAAGTCCACAAGGTGGTCCAATTAAACATGCCACCGTCCCATGAGTTAAAATCCCACAGAACATGACTTGTTCTAGAAGAACCACGGGCTGTGCCGAGGCTGTCTGTGCTGGAGTTTGAAGAACGTTCAATGCTTTTTTTTTTTCGCTTCTTGTTCTGAGAAAGCGTCGAGGGCCTTGCGACAAAAAAGCGGCATCTGACCGCTCGTGCCAATTAGACCTCGCCAAGTGTAGTCGACTGTTTTTGCTTTTTCTTACGGCTTGTGATTTCACTCTTGTTGTTTGCGTGCTTTATTTGCCGCCCAGACTTGGACACCAACGTAAGCCAAATACGAAGACGTCACTTCAAAAGGGAGAAAGCGAGGTATCAGCAGCATCTGCGGAGTCACCAGTGCAGAATCAAGACGGAAGGGATTCACTCAATCTTGCCCGACGGTCCGTTCGAGCCTATGATGTTGGCTTGGTTATATCTTTTGTCGAATTGTTCAAGTGGTGCTGCTCTAAATCGACAAATATGTTACCCAAGTACGCTAGTATACCATTTCAGCCCGACGTAAATTTAGATAAAACTGAGCCTCAAGGTTTGTAAGCAACACAAATATCGATTCAAAATCTTCAAGAACAGTATCTGTCTATTAGCCTATTCTCAAGGTCATTCTATTCCTGTAACAGCTCTGTTACCATGTCGAGACAACGAAACAAGGATTAAAGTGCATCACCGACGCATAGCCGGTTTCCGCTTTCAGCTAATACAAAAAAAACTCAAGGCCAATTTTGTCTCTAGTGACGTGAAAGAATGCAACGTAGCCTGTATGGAGTGCGTCCGGGTATTATCAACCTCTTTTTGCACAAAGTTACGCATCGCTGATGCCTCCCCATTCGTCTTCACTGCCTGTTCCAGAATCCGACGATGCATCCTCGTCCTCCTCCATCTCATCTTCATCTTCATCTTCATCTTCTTTTCCTTCATCCACTCCACGGAGCGAAACAGCCACCCCCGTGGACTTCAGCACCGGCATCCCAACAACATCCCGTAAAATCCGCCCATCATCGCCGCGGAGATATGGGCCCTCCCCTTCATTATCCCCGTCGGTATCAATAGAAGCCCCTAATGCATCGTTGCCGTCAATCGAATCCCGTACGAACCCAGCAACAAAGAAACCCATCACCCCTCTGCCATCCCCCTTATAAGAGCGTATGCATGCATCGGCGACTATCTCGTCACCCTCCGCGGCCTCGACTAATCCCCGGACAGGCCAATCCCTCATTCCGCTTACCTGATCTTCTCTCCGTAGGATACGCCATCCTTTGGTCTTTGCAATGTCTGATGCCAGGGCTCGAATGACAACTCTTTCATTCTCTTGAGAGTGGACTGAGCATGTCGAGTAAGTAATCTTTTTAGCTCGAGGAAAGCGAAATGCATGTTGCAGGAGTGTCAGTTGAAATGCAGAGAGCGCCTCAAGTCGAGCTTCCAGATCCTTTTCCGACTTCACCACCGTCTCGTTTCCATCGTCGTCTACCAACACGTTCTGCGCACGGTCTTCAACTTCATCGTGGCTTCTCTTCTTCTTATTCGCATTGGCGGTGCTCGGCTTCCCCTTTCCGCCACGGTTATCCGCCGGCGGGTCGGGGAGATGTAACTCGGGCATCGAATCTCGACCTACGATACCACTCCCTGAACAGCTCGGATCCAGCAGCAGAGCTCCCACATCCTTATAATTTTCAGCCATGGGATCGACTTGTAGAAAGTCCTGCCCGAACCCTATGCGCGTAATATCTTTCGATCCTGCAATCTTGACCATCTTCTCTAGCGTCTGGGCTCTCCTGGAGTCTTTCTCAAACGCGTAAATTGTCTGCGGCACATCTTCAAACTCTGGGCGATGATCATGAAGAATGGCAGCAAGATGTGTAGTCTTGTTTCCCGGTGCTGAACAAGCATCAATGACATCTCCATCCTCAGACCGCGGATCTAACAGATACGCCGGGAAGCATGACGCCTTGTCTTGTAGAATTATCTTTCCCGATGTGTAGGCTTCCACCTTGGCAAATTCCATCCCCGGAGAAATAGCAAGCAGATTCGGCACATGAGGATCAATGTAAATATGCCTGCCAGACTTGGTAACAATATCTTGAATGCTCTCGGCCCTAGCGTGTTTTGAAAAGGTCGTCTCCAATTGCTCTTCCACGCTGCTCTTGAGGGCGTTAACACGTACCCATCTGGGGTAGTTGGCCTCTTCACCCGCAGCTGCTCTTTCAACCTGTTCTCTCAAGACTTCCATTGTCGGGGCCTTTCTTCTGAGTCTCGCCAGCGTTAGTTCTGAACTCAGCCGTCCCTTGTGACGCTCAATTGACGCTCTCAGTCCATGGCTCTGCGGAAGTGCAATTCCTTTCTTGGCCAGTAATAAATCATGCACCAGCAACAAAGCCAATGTAGGCGTAAGCTACATAGTGAAAGGATAAGAAAAAAAAGTCAGCACTCACACGCTCACTATGCGGCGGCTCAGCGCTCAAATACACAAAATAAGGCGGTATGTTATATAGATGTTCATGGTACCTTTCTCTCCAGCTTTAAAAGCTCAGTCTTTTCAATGACCTCCTTCAACACTGGACTCCATTTTGCACTCTCCAGCACGAGAGCATATAGTTGACCCGGCGGCGCCTTGCCATTCTTTTTGCCAAACACTCGCGACTTTAGGCTTCCGCTTGAATTTGATGACGAGGACAGAATTTCTGCTGCCTCATGATAGAGAGACATTTTCAAAAGGGGGGTATCTATAGATTAATTGAGGATTTGGTTTAGAAGAGTTTTAAAAAAGGTATAAAGTGAAAAATAAAATGCTGCTGTGGGATGAGAGACCTCGTTGTGAAAGACAGAAAATATGGAATTAGCCGTGGTTCAGCCGCCAACCGACAGCAACGTGGGTGGGTGTCCGCCTACAAGTACTAGCTTCGTTTACACTTATACACTCCCAGATATTCAACATCAATACTCCATCTACAGTATATCACGGTTAAACCAACTCAATCTTACTTCTTGTTCCTTCTTCTTTTTGAAATTGCTCATAAACTTTTTTATTCAGACTCTATAAGACCCAGTCATTCATAGACCTCGATTGATAAAAGCTTTAAAATCCCCTCGTGGGAGGCCCCTTTAACTGATCTGACAGATAAAGAAAACCAAGAAGCGTAAAATATGTTTTCAAAAATACACGTGAGAATCGAAGTATCCAACAATCACTCCCAAAGTCAGCAGATATCATGCCCGCTGCTGACTTTGTACCTTTACCCATGACCCTACCACCATAAATTCACGGAATCACCCATGCAACGCTTAAAATACTCCAGAACACTCAGCTCATACAAATCCTAAATGCGCCAAACATAGCCGACGACACCTTAGATGCGGCGGCTGCGGTGGCGGCGGGCGTGCTCAGAGCGGCGGGAGTTAGCAGTGGTCATGCTAACGGAGCCGGTCTTGCTGTAGACGCTGATAGCCCAGCCTCCACCGCAAACCTCCTTGGAGTTACCCTCGCAAGGGGTGGCGCACTGAGACTCGGCGAGCTTGGAAGAGCCGACGAGCTCGTTGCCACAGTAGCACTGGCCACCGTACTCAGTAGCGGCAATAGAGAAGCCCTTGCCAACGCAGTTGGCAACGCACTTCTCGTTGGTCATGGGGCCAAGGTTAGGCAGAACATCACCGCTCAGAACACGGCCAATGTTGTCCTGGTAGCAGCCAGCATAGGTGTATCCACCGACAGTGGCAGCAGAGTTACCCTTGGTAGCAACAGGGGTGGAAGCAGGGGCTGAACCAGCAGTGACGGTGACGGTCTCAGTGACGGTGTGGACGTTGGCAGCACTGCACTGCTCATCACCACCAGCGGGGGCACCACCTGCAGCAGGCTTGGAAGTAGCAGGAGGGTTGGACTCAATAGTCTTGGAGCCAGCACCAGCGGCGGCCTTGGAAGTGGTAACAGGCTGGGCAGCGTTGACGACGTTGCTAGTGGCAGCAGGCTTGGAGGAGCTGGCTGGCTTGCTGGAAGCGCCAGCGCCAGAGGAACCAGAGGAGCCGGAAGAGCCAGAGGAAGAGCCAGAGGAAGCGTTGTTGGTGGAGCCAGAGCTAGAGCTGGAGCTAGAAGATCCGGAGCTCATAGCAGGAGCAGCACCGAAGCTGAAGCCGCTGAGGGGGTTGTTACCAGGGAGGGCAGTGAGGTTACCAGTGATCTGCTCGTTGACCAGAGGAGGAATGGTGCACTCGCCGCTGTTCAGGCCGTAGGGCAGGTCAGGGCACTGGTCCATACCAGAATCACCAGCGTCACAAGTGTCAATGATGTGCTGGAGGACATCCTCGTCCCAGGCAGCCATGAAATCGGCGTGGCCGCTGTAGCCGGTAACATCACCGTTGGAGAAGACGAAAGGCTGGGTGCCCTGGTTCTCGTCCCATCGGCCCTTGAAGGGCTGGGTGTCCATGTAGGCCTCGAAGAAGATGTGAGGAGTGTGAATCCAGCCAGCAGGGCAGTCCTGCTTGCCATTGCCGGCGTCGGTGGGGAAGGCAGTGTTGTTCTTGTAGTTGGTCAGGCCGGCGGCAGGGTTGTAGCAGGAGGGGAAGTGGATGTCCAGGCGGAGAGGAGAGTACAGGCCGTCGCAGGTAACGTCAGGGAAACCAGATCCAGCGCCCTGGTTGTTGGGATCAACCATGCCGGCCTTGGTGCCGTCAGAGCCGACGGGATAGGAGGGAGGATTGTAGGAGGTGCGAGGGCAGGTGAACTGGATCGGGTTGACGGGGCCCTTGGAGGGGTCGAGCTGAGAGCCGCCGCCGCCAGCAGGGCCGACACGGGTCATGGCATTGCCAGAGACCATCTGCAGGCCGGTGGGGAAGGCCTTGATGTCGTCGTTGGTGGCCTCGAAGAAGTAGTAGACGTTGGTGTAGTAGACGTCGACAGACTCCAAGAGGCCGGTCTTGGGGTCGTGGAAGTACAGGGTCGGGTACCAGTAGTTGGAGAAGTCACCCTTGACCAGCGCAGTGCTGCAGTTGGACTTGAGCAGGTCCTGGCCGGTGGAGGAGAAGCCAAAGTTGCTGCCGCCGAGGACGTTGTGGACGTGTCCAGAGGGACCGCCGGGCTGGACAATGGGATCAGCACGAGTGGTGACCAAGCCCTTGTTGGTGAATCGCAAAACAGCAAAGGTTCGGCTGTCCTTGGCAGCCATGGCAGCGCCAGTCATGGCGGCAGCGCCCGCGAGGGTAGAGAACTTCATGGTGAAAGAGAAGACGGGATGTGTGCAAATCGAGTGAAGCTTTCGACGAGCTGTGAAGGTCGCTAGGACGGTTGTAAATAAATGCAACGGTGATACCTGAGCACCTTTGAAAAGAATGTGTATGCTATAAGTGAGCCACGAAGGAATGTCGAATGTCGTTCGCGGTGAAAGAATGGATGATACAAAGAAGGTAAAAGAAGAAAGAATGCTATGTATCGAAAAATGCTTAAAGGAGAGGAAGTGCCCAGCAACTTGAAAGATGAAGCGGCCTGGAGAAGAAAGGAAGAAGAGGCTCGAAAAGGACCCGGCGGCCTTGGAGATAAATAGAAAAAAAGAGAGAGTGAGAGGTGAGGCATCTTGGATATGGACGATATACGGGTGGGGTCGAGGGAGTTCGTGCCTGTGCAGGTGCGTGTAAGAGCGAGCCCAGCCCAGAACAGCATGCATGGACAGGGGAGGCCCTGCTAATGCCGTTTGTGGCCAGCGCTTGTGGTGGGTGGATGCACAGAAGGCATGTCCCTGGGAGCCCCTGGCGCCAGCGAGCCGGGCATCCCACTGCAGCACGCACGTCCAGCACTGCCAACAGCAGGCAGAGAGCCAGGTTGAGCCCTGTGCTGGGATCCATACGCAAATGAGAAATAGATTAAAAATCATAAAACAGGATTGGTGCAATTATATTCCCCCCAAAGAGGCTCTGTCCAGGCAATCATGCCTCCTACGACGACAGGCTGGAAGAAGCAGGAGATGGAGAAGACGACGGTGAGCAGCTCGCAGCCACATGAGTCGCGTAAAGGACCAGACGCCTGTCACATCCAAAGTCAAGAACGGCAGCCAAGAGCCTGATAATGATGTATCAGCACACGAATACGCTTTTTTTTTTTAACCCCTCTCTTTGTAGACCTGCTGAGAACAATGTGAGCGCACAAGCAAAAAGCCCTGCAGCGTCACACAATCTCTCTGTTCAGTCCAGCCAACTACTAGTAAGTGCTTACTATCTCGTGGAACACAGACTGAATAACCTAGGTACCTACCTAGTATTAATTGCTTGCTACAGTTCCAAGCGATATTCGTCACCAGTCAAGATGCATATCAAGGTGGGTGACTAAATCCGGCCAAAACAAACAAGAACAAAACCAACAGAAACAAAACCTCCATCCCCATCCCCTGCTCCTTTCCAACCGCACTAACAAGCGGCTCTGGCTTTTTTGTTCCTGCATTGGCTTCCAGGCCTAAACCGCGACGGGGCACAACCGGCCGGCGCGTGGCGGCGGGGAGGGGTCCGTGGCTGTTTCAACGGCTGCATGTACATAGCACACATAACGGACACATGTACCTGCTACCCGGCACCCAGCGCGCATTGCCGCCAAAAGAAATGCCGCCGGCGCGCCGGGCTGTCCTGGCCGCGCCTGTACTGGCAACTTTTGGCCCCAAGGCCCATATACCTGGATTTTCCGAGCTCTTGCGCCCACTTTTGGCTTGTCATCTGTCATCTACTCCAGACTCCCGCTCCGAGGCCACCGTGCGCCTTGCTAGAAGGGCTAGTGCAAGGTACAGATAGGGCACTTTAGAGTATCACCGAGATGTTGAAATGAGGTATCAAAAGCCGTTTGCCAGCCAGCCAGGCTGTGGGAACAGGGCGCCTCGCCCTTTTTTTGAGTTGCGTCTAGCTGCTCTCTGCCCTCTCTGCCTTGTCGCTTATATATTACTTGTTGCATTAGCACGTACATTCTTAGTCTATTGTCCATGTGCTCTGCTTTGCGCCGGATACCAGCTGCTGCACGGGCACGCAGCGGAATTCAGCCCATCCCATATCATATTCCCGCACAGATTGTATGGCGGTCGCCGGCCACGTTTCTCTTGTGTGGCTGGCGCTAAATTCGCAGATCTGAAACAAAGTGTTTGCTTGGCCGCCTGACCGGGATCCGAGTTGCATCGGGCGAATCTTACTGGACGCCTGCTGGGCCCAAAGCGCCATCACTATTACATACTACATGCGTACAGTACTGTATGCTGTACAGACCACCGCTTGTGTAGTGCAAGCAGCGTTTCCCTCTTATCGGTGTGCTGCTGTTGGTTGTTTCTCGCTTTTGTTGTTTGTTTGCTGCAGCCGACTATTTGAGTGGCTGCAGAAGAAGAAAAAACTTTACATCAGCTGTGTTGGCCCCCTTGCATGTATTAGAAAAAACTTAGTATATTTCTTTCTTTCTTTCTTTTTCTTTCAGCTCTTATCTGTATGTGCCGTTTTCCGCTCTCCCTCCCCTCCCCCCCCCCTTTTTGATCTCCAAAAAAAAAAAAAAAAAAAAAAAAACCTCTTCTTCGGTGTCGGCAATGTTCATGACATATGGCATGTAATAGGACATGGTTTCGACCAACGAGGGGGTGATGGAGTCGTTCCACAAGACAACCAGTAATCACGCATCGGTCCACAGCTTCCAGAAGTCTTGGTTAGATGGCCAATCAATCTATCAGGGCGTCGCCGGTCAGGCCAACTGATTCTGCTGAAATTACGGATCGATGGAATCGAGCAGAGCGACAAGTCATCGGTGGTGATAACCGAATCCATCCATCTCTGGTCCAAGGCGACATTCTGTGGCCTAGACCGAACATGGCACGGGGCCCACCCATCGCCCATCATCCACCACCCATCAGCCTGTTTTTATATACCCCGTAACACGTTTGTTCCGAGGCTGCACCGTGGCAGCTTAACTGAGATAGGGGCCCGGCTAGGGCAGACTCTATATACCAGGAGTCTCGGGCATGCTTCCGGTCACCTGCAGGCAAATGCAGCGCGAGTCAACTGTAATTGTACCTGAATATGCATACTTGTGCGTAGTCGTCCATACGAGTGTGTCATGTTAGATACAGAGCGCTTGCGGGTATTACGTGCGGGTACTACAAAGGCGAGATACCCCGAACCCGAACGCTCTGCTGGGATGGGTTCCTTCACACGCCACCCATTGAACAGGGGGCATCTATCGGAAACGCGGAGACGTGGGTATTTGCGAGGTTTACTGCTGGCACCAGTGGTGACAGTACTCACATACTTGTACAGTACTGCATTCATCATGATACGATGAGCCTCCTTGCATTCGTAGCACAGCACAGGCAGTCCTGCATCTTACAAGCAACCTATTTTGTTGACAGGCCATGTTTGTTTCCCCTATCCATAGCTCCTCATCAGTCCATTCCACTCGCCATCTCAACGCCATCCTCTTTCAGACACGTTTTTTAAAGCCTCTCCAGCACAAAAAACTAAACACGGATTCGGAGCAATGCGATCCCCGTAAAACGCTACTAACGCGCGTCTACTCGCCTCTCACTTCTCCATTTCGTCCTCTTCCCACTACTGCACTCCCCATAATAATAACCTTTTCCTCCTATTCAACAACAAAAGGGTTAAAAAAAAAAAAAAATGCCGTTGCCCCCAACTCCATACTTACATGACAAGGGGTGGGAACGGCATGCCTTTGAAACGCACTAGCGCTGAGTGGCCGTAACGCCCTAGCCGATTGGCTACCGTGGCCGAGCAGAGAGACTTCAAGGTTGGCTTGAGGCTTACGCCTTATGGTTGGTTTATAAGATACCTTACTTGTACTGCCCAAGTGCCACTACTCGTGTGCAGTACAGTACTCGACTAAGAGGCCGAGCTTGTGTGAAAAATCATTTCAAGATCTGGACCAGGGGTTGCGGTCCGGCAAACTTTCCGTTTTCTCTTTTTTATGGTATTATGCTGGTGGTAAGACTGCCGTTGGGCACTAGCCAAACTCGCCAGCGGTGGACGATTAAGCATACGAGCGTATTGGTGAGCGTATTATTAGCAAGCGTAAGCAGAGCTACGTTAAAATAGTGCAGGGTAAACAGTAAACAGATCAAGCGGCTGACCACATTCACATTCTTGCTGTTGAACACATATAGAAAGAGAGGGGCACGTGAGCTGATGGTAACTCGTGGTAAGGTAAGTAACCAAGAACTATTTTGAAGCTTTGAATATCAAATACAGATACGTAATATGTAATCTTCCCATATATCCGCAACGCAAATCCTAGGGAAGACGATAAGCTCCATAACGATATTCACACGTCAAGCTTTTCGCCAAGCTCAAGCTGCCAAGCAATATTGCAAATAGATTCATGGCACAAAGTGCGGAGTAGTGCATCTAATGCCCCCTATTAGTTGTACAAAATGGCTTCTCACCCCCCCGCCTCCGGGGTAGAACTCGAGTTGCATCGTCAGCTTCAGTGCGGCACTATTCCATCGTACCTATATCAAACAATAATCTCGGAAAGATTACCGCTTTTCTTTTTTCTTCCTTTTTTTTAATATTCAGGTTTTTTTTGAACGGGGCCAAATCAAACAAGGGAAGAGCCGACCGAAGCGGTGTACCCCGTTCTAGAGCCTATTTCATATAACGCCACCAACTATCAAAAAAGCACAAAGGGGGCCAAGGCAAATGAGGCTTTCCACTCGAGGCCATGGCTGTTGTACAAGGCGCACTTGTCTTTCTACCCATGCATAGGTACGTGTATACTTGTACTCCGTTATAGGTAGATGGATAGTAATAGTAATCAACGTCCGGCCATGTGTGTGCTAATATCGAGCCCCCCGCAATTACTTCCATTCAATTTTCCTCCCCCTCTTCCCCTGGTCTTGGAATCAGGTGAGAGAATGTCATTCCTCATATAGCAGACAGCTGATATGGGCCCACGCTTGAGCTTCCCCTGTCTGCCAGGCGCTGGGAACGGCGCCAAGAGCCCACATGTGCGCGCTGGGTTGTTTTTTTCCTGGGTGCCGAATAGCGAGGGTATTCGCGTATGGTCGTCAAGTATAAGTAGTGTGTAGTGGTTCAAGCGCGCTTATAAGAGAGAGGTATTCTCTCCAAATAATATACCGAGAGTTACAGATACTAAGTGCGCAGAGGATAGACTTGGACATGTTGACATGATCAAACCCACTACGTACACAGATTATATGGAATCCAAGATCTCTACACCTAAAAGATAAATGAGCAAAGAGGCCCGAGCAATAGCAACTCCTTCACCTCTCCTCTCCAATATAAAATAGGAAGGCAATAGTAACCTCACAAATCGAAGAATGCTCCCACTCAGACAAAATATGCCCATAAACAGATACGCTCATAAGGTATGAGCTATAACTCCACACATATGATAATATCACAGAGAGATGTGTGCAAGCCTTGCGCATGTACGGAGTAAATGCATGTGAGATACTGCCATTATCAGATATACATCTAATAATAGCCGTGCTTTAGTAAGTACTAGCCCCAATCTTAGGGTGTGAACCTCAAAAGAGGACCAATTAGGAAGTTGGAATTGATCGGCGCTGTGCATTTTCGTTGATCCTACCAAATCTGTAGTTTTAGCGTCACGACGCAGCTTCATAAGGTAAGCACTTCGCTTCCAGGCTATTACCGGCCTGCCTAGCCTGGCCAAAGACTAGTCTATTCGTCTTACTTGAGGCTCTCTGTTACCGACGTTGAGTGGTAAGCCTAGGATACTAAAGACCTATGTTGTTGCGGGTAATCAAGTTACTGACATACATGGCTTGGCAACGGAAATGCTACATCTAAGTACTATAATTCCTTTCAGTCAACTGCAAATTCTACTATTCAATACTACCTGCTATCTATAGATTCATTTCTTCAACCCTTGAGCCAACGGTACGGCCCGAATTGTTTTCATTCCACCAATCTGACGACGAACTGAATGGATCATTCTCATACGTGCCAGTGCAAACATTTATACGGAGTGGGCGAGCAGCAAAGCCGCCAGAAAAAGTAAATGCCAAAAAGAGATAGCTATGAATCCCATGTTTGTATGGTAGGGGGATTATTTGTTAAATTTGAGGCTCTAAGAGCGTCTGACATTTAACAAACTGTCTCCTGGTATAGGGTATGAATTTGTCAGGGCATTACTACAAGTCACATAAGCTTAGTGAAAATAGCGTCTTTATTTCATGATATTTTGCTGAGGTTGTATTACCCCTCAATAAATTAGAGCATAAGCTCAAGCAATCGATATTTCTGCTACAAACTGCTTCCATGCTCATCCTCTCTGGGGAAGCAAGTAGCAACCTCAAGCTTGCCAGTCTCCTCATCAGCATGGAATGAAAGCACAACAGATGCTCCGTAATTAAGTGGATTGCCCTCGAACACAACCAGATCCTTGCTCTTATCAAGCCCCAGAATGGACTCGACATTTGAACTCACAAGCCTAACGGCATCATCCTGACTGATATGAGCGTACTTTGCAGCCCAGCTGGCCTCGGGAAGTAGATCATGAACACGATAATCTACTGGCATTGCTGCATATTCAAGTAATATTGTGAGCCAAGGTTTTTCTTTTCAACAGAAAATAGATGTCTTGGGTGAAAACTTACCAGTCTCGAAAATAGCCAATGCAAATGTGACACCGGCTTCCTTGAGGTAGCTAGCGACGCTTCTGGTGAGAGGAGGTCCAACCACCGCGTCGCTGTCGCGGAAAACATCGGGAGCGGGCCTATTCTCTGACAGAATTACGCTGATGTTGGCAGCAGCAAGATCTTTGGCCACCTTGTCAAGCATGTTAGCACCTGATTCTCTCAATCTGTATTTGCTGCGAGGTTATAAGGATATACTTACATATGGTGCTTCCTTGCCGCCCAATATCACGAGATTGGTGTCGGGAAAGTCCTTTTTGATGAGAATCAACTGAGAAATATCATACTGCGGGACCAAGAAATGTCAGCTGGCACCATTCATTCAAGAGCATTTGCAGCTCGGATTCACTTTACCTTGTTGTTGCAGTTTACAACGAGCGGTAGTTTACCGGCGGCTACTCGCCCGTACACAGTCTCATTATTCTTGCCCTTCCCGTCCTCCAGCATCTTACGAAGACGGTGAACCCCATTGCTGACCGTGCCCTCCGACTGCTTGGTGATATCACCAAGGGCCAAATGAAGAGCCACATCTCCCCGAACAATAGCCCCGTTCGTAAGACTCTTCTTCCCACTCGTGAGGAATTCGACGCTGACGCCCTGAACGAAGCCAGAGGCATCTGCTACCGGGAGCGAAATGGCTCTGGTTACTCCTCCGAGGCGCGCCCTCGCAAATTCCTTCCCGTCAAGCCAAAGCCCGTATTTGGCATAAACCAAGCTCTCAGGGTCTCCAATTCTCTGGCTCGAGGCTTGCCCGTCACCTGTACCTTCATCCGTGGCAATTTCGGTCATACCTAAAGCTCGGGTGACGGCTGTTAATCCTGGCAAGACATGGCCATTGTGCAGAGACAGATGGATAACCTTCTTTCCCTTTGCCTTGCATTTATTCTCTGCTTCTGTGCATGAAGCTGCCGAACCGAAACATGAGACCTCTCCGTCCTCAACGACGAGCTTGAGAGGCTCATTGTTACCCTGTGCCACTGAGGCCGCTAGCTCCGGATAGTTGTCAACAAAGGCCTTCTGAATGCCATCAATAATGAAGCCCTGGCCTGCCTCATACGCTTGCGAGCATGTCTGTTCTCTTTCCGCATCCGAGACCTCATACCGCATCTGTGGTTCAAAAGAGACGTTTGTATCTTCGGTGCGGGCCGCAGTAAAAGTCGTGTCCATGCTCTCTTTAACCTGAGCTTCGTCTAACTGGGCTCGTCCATCAATGAAGACCTGTAGAGGTGTTGCGCCGATTGACAGAGGGTGAGAATCCCATACAACAATGTCTGCATCGAAGCCAGGCCTGCAGTATCCAATGCGGAAGTCAAGATCAATTGCCTTTGCGGGCACGGAAGTGATCGACTGAAGGGCCTTTTCCTCTGGAAGCTTGAAGGCGTGACCGATGGCTGCCTGAGAAGCCAGATACTTGGCATTCGTCAAGCCAATCGAGTGATCAGACTTGTACGCTACGGGAATGCCGTTTTTATCTAGGATGTGTCCTGCATATAGGCTTGGAGAGTATGCCTCTGATTTGTATAGACTGAACTCTGCAAATATCGCAACAGTCACGTTGTCACCCTGCTCCTTGAGCAAATTGGGCACTTTCCAGGCTTCAGTCGCATGATGGAACCCGGAGACCCTATACCTAAACTCATGGCTAATCCGAAGCATGGTCTCTAGATCCTCCGGCTCATAGTTATGGTTCTGCACAATGACCTGTCCTCGAAGAATGGCCACCGTTGATTCGAGATCCAGTTGAAACGGAAACTTCCCATGACGATGGACGAAGTCAGCCTTGCGGCCTTGACGCCAGTTGTGGGCCTCGAAGATAGCAGAGCAGTAATCATCCTGCTTTTCCTTTAATTCCCTGGCTTTTTGCAAGTGCTCCCGCAAGTGCCAGGCATTGCCCAGCCGAGTATACCCATAAGTACGCTTTGGGTTTTCGCCAAATGCAAACTTCATATACCGACGCCGCTCGTCTACAGGGATTCCCCTCTCAAGGAGGATGTCTTCGACAACGGGCTCGGAATGCTCTCCAGAGTAGAGTGAATTCTTGACGGGGACACCCTCACCAGCAATGAGGTTTGCCGAGCCTGGAATGAGGAGCGAAGACGTGACACCGCCGGATAGGACCAGTGTGGCGGCTTCGTCATAGGCTTTTAGAGCATCAATCGCACGCACGCTCGGAGTGAATGCTTTGGTATCAGGATTTACCTCGTTTGTGTCATCGGTCATCTCGGCAGCAGGCCAGGCCATGAGGAAATGATGAGAGTGCATATCCACGAGCCCAGGAGTGACATACCGACCATGAACATCGTGCTCCACGACTTCTTCATTCGAAATGACTTTGAGGTTGTCCGCAGTCTTGTGAATAGCTTCAATAACACCCTTGGAAAAGACAATGTCCACAGCGTACGGAATGAAAGCCTCGCCGTCGAACAACGTCGCATTCTTCAGAACAGTAACCCCGGTCTGGCCATTGGTTTGTGACCACCGCGGATTGCTATTTCTAGAACCAGGCTCAGGCCTGCCGGGCACCCTATCCAGCCCTCGGCACTGGGCCAAGGACTCTTCAAACTGCTGCAGCAGCCTCGGCGAGACCTTGCCATCTTCCCGCGGCCGAGTTCGATACTGGCGATCAACCGCAAAGCACAACCAGAGCACACCTGCGGCCACCACAAAGCTTAGTCCCGTTCTGATGGAAAGGACGCTCCGCATGAACAGACGCCGCCGCCGACGTGATTGCCTGGGATACGCGGGGACCTGATATGGCGGCGGCTCTAGCGAGCATGAATCTCCGCTCTGGAGCAGCCTTTTTTCAGCCCCCTCATCCATGCGGTGTGATGTGATATGATGGGAAATACGGTACGATATATGATACGGCGGGCAGGAACACGGGCGCGTCGCAATGCCAGGGACCTGTATTCACGCCAATGCGAACGCGAAGCGCCTGCTAATTCGTAGTCGTGGCAGCAATTGCCACTCAGAAAGCAACTCAGAACGTAAGAATGCAGCCAGCAAGGCTGCGTGGTGGCCGTGTTGAGATGCAAGGAAGCTCTTTCTTGCTCTCCCCTCGAGGCCTTTGCTGCTTCGTCGTAAGCAGCTGCGTCAGACAAATATAGTAAGTAAACAACGCCAGCACCCAGATCCGAGTATGGGCCTTACTAACCCGTAAAGCGACGGCGCCCTAGAACTTTTGTTGCCGTTCATGTCCACTTCCGGGATAGGCAGCAAGCTCGCCGCAAAAGCTATTCCGCTTCAGTGGCGCGTTGCGGGGGGACCTGAAGAGAAGCGAGCCGTTTGCCTTGCAACCGCCCCCTGAGTCGCCCGAGGCGACGTGTTTGGTTGCAACGCCTGCCTTTCTATCCAGCGCAATTTGCGACAAGAGACGGATCCCCGAGGATGCGTGGAGGAGGACGGAATGGTGCTTGTAGCAGCATGTATCTGCCATATTTGCAGAATCGATGCTTCCGAGGAACGATGCCTCGTCGTACCGCGTGCGAACTGCTGGCTCGGGCACATGGTACTCTTGCTGCTTATCGGTGTGCGGGTGAATACCTCGACTCCTCGACTACAGCGAGTAGCAGGTACCTGCTGGGTAGGCGCCTAGCACTAGCATTTACTGGCCGGCCCGTGCCGACGCTTGGCCGCGCTCCACGCTGATTTGAACGTCCACGGGTGCGATAGACTGCGTACTACTACAAGGTAGCAAATCAGTGAGACACGACAGAATTCATACATGTACATACGCATGTATAGGACGGTGCTTACTGCATACCCAAATTGCGCCATTGGAGGTCAATACCCTTGCTGTGGCCGGCCATGGGCTGGGGTTTGAGAGTCGCCGTCCTCAAAATCAGACGATGGCGTTTTCCCCCCTTGGCGCACAAGCAAAAGGCTGAAACGGTCGCTTGTAGCCGATCCTCCTTTTCGCGCTCTGTTTGCCTGCGGTACTAAAGCGGTCTGATGCTCTCTTCGGCTTGTGGGGGTATGTCAGAGTCGAACCTTGAACTTGCCTGTAACTGCTAGAGAGCAATGATAGAGATGAGAAATCTGAAGAGGCGACGTTAAATATAAGAAAATAATAATAATGGAATGCGGTCTATCTCAGTAAAATCGCCGAGATGTCTCTTTGCTTGCATCTCGAGAAGAACATTTTTAGCCTGTTTCTGATATCCTCCGCGCCAAAGGCTCGTTGAGCTTGCCAATACTAGCAGTAACCATTGAAACTCCAACAAATCATCAACACAGGGCTGTAACCAAATGCCAAGTTAAATGACCCAGTCGCTCAGCCGTCCAATGTCTATCGAAGGCCGTCCAGCGACGTACTTTTCTCATCGTTTTCCCGTCTAATCTCTCTTTTCTCTTCCTCCTATGACGATAGACAAATATGTCCGAGACCCAGATAAATGCTAGGCTGTGGCTCTCGCTATTTTCCCTTCATGTACAATTATGCTTGATTGTCATTTTTNTTTTTTTTTTTTTTTTAAACTTTTTTTTTTTTTTTTTTTTTTTCAGTTTCGCATCTGCCGCCTCCTTCTCTGGCTTTGTGACGTTTCTCCATCTTCGTCGTCATCGTTATCTGAAAGGTCTTCTGGATTTCTGAGGCCTCTTCCTCTGTCATTTCCTTTCTTGATTGAAATGATGCAGCCTTGCTCTTTCAAACGTTTAGCCAAACTGCTGCTGGCTACCATGCCAGGAAATTCTTTGGCGCTGTAAACTTTGAAAGGTTCACTTTTGATCTCTGCTAAGATGGGAAAGTGTCGAACAGATCCAGCGCGGCCAGGATCTATCATCATCAGTGTAAATTTTAATCGGAACGAGCCCGGAGTACGACATGAAAGATCGGAGAAGCAGAAGAAGCAACCTTCCTTTCCATTCTCGTCCTGCCCCACAAACGGCGTCGAAACAAGAGAACCCATCAACCGTCGTTGATGTTGGTATTCTTCCGGCATGTAAGAAGAATCGCGCTCTCCTGATTCGTCGAATATGGCGCAGCTCATGACATAGCTCTCGTACCGTAGGTAGACCCTGACATCCTCTTGGGTGAGATTTGGGTTTGTAACAATGAGTTCCACAATCGGAGGCGGGTCAATGACTCTTCGATCTCTATCGCCGAATCCGCAAGCTCGGGCTGCGTTTGGCTGTTGGCGCATTTTGAGCTCAAAGCTAATGTCGCTCAAGAATTGGGCCTTATTTGAATTCAGCAAGTTGGGCACTTTGACCGGGGTGGCTTCTGCGCTCTTCGGACTGTAAAATGACGATTGAGCTACTGGCCTTGAGGGCTCTGGCTGAAGCGTTGATTCCATCATGGGTGTATCTTGGTCGTATCTTGGACTATAAGATGGTGTGTTGCTGCCCTCTGGTTCCCTAAAAGATTGTGGTGGTGGCAGCGGACGGTTCATGTGGTTCGTATTGGAGGGAAACTGAGATAATCGAGGGTCAGCAGAACCGTCGAGCCTCCCAGGCGCCACTGGCGGCAACATCTGAGGCGGTTGGACCGTGTCTGCCATCTGATGGTTCGGATAGTTCTGGTGAGTGACGGGTCCGGTATTGGGGACATGTGAAGGAGAAGTTAGGGGAGATGAGGTGCTAGGGCCGGCATTATTGTGAGGATAAGATGGCGGCCGAAAATATTGAGGGTGGTCTTGAGAGGGAGGTCGAAAGTTGTCTGGCGCGTAAGGAACTCCTGCAAGTAGGCCTTGTGGAGGAGGCAATCGCTGTGCTCCCAAGGCGGGGTTTGCAGAATAGTGACCCAGGCCGCCATGATCTGGCATGCGAGGCATATTGTCTAGCCCGTTGGGATTTCTAACATCCATTTCACCGGCGAAGCCCGAAAGTCTTGCTGCTGGATTATGATGGCCTGATAAGCTGTCTTGGGCGCGCCCTGGAGCCGAAGACATAATCAGCTCTGTTCCAGGACAAGCAGCAGAAAGAGAGAAGAAATGCAATGGTGGAAGGCTGGTGTGGACAAATAGCAGTAGCAACAATGCAATGTCGGCAGCTAAAAGTAGTAGTGCTGGTAGTAGTATATTAAGGCCAGCGCACCCTAGCTCAAGAGCGGACACCCAGACGAGCCAATGCAGTTCTGGTTAGAGATCTCCCAGACCCTCATTCCAGGGCTCAATCGGGATGAGTTCTTGAACCAGGTAGAGGGAACTGCAAGCTGCATGCCTGCAACCAAGATCGTTGCTGGCGTGGGTGGAGGCGGATGGATATGTACGTGTGTGTGGATGCGGGGCACCAAGGAGGAGTGTGTGTATATAGCTACTACTAGTACTCAGATTTGGCGACCGGGACAAGCGCGATGTTTCGGTTCGGCTGGGCTGCCCTCGTGAAAGTTGAGCGCAGTGCTGGCGTTGGGTGGTAGTAAGATATACTACCTAGTTGACAGGCACCGTGTGTTGATCCAAGTTTCTCCGCTTCACGTCAACCGCAGCAGAAGAGAAGCACAAGCAGGGAGGGGGGCTATACATGTGCATTCGTACGATCCGGGTTGTCGATGTGCCTCCTGCTTGTACATCGTAGGCCGACTACGGTCCCTTGTGAGACAAAAGACGCGCCGCCCCGATAACGAGAAGGTAAAAAGAGGCTGCTGCCGGCCGTATGGACCAAACTCTGACCGGGGAGAAACCTGAGAATAAAGGGCACGCTAGTATACTAAAAACAGTGTTGCCAAAAGAGAGAGAGTTGGCAAGCGACCTCTGTTGCTTAACTAGGAGCACTGAGCGACGTGTTGGTGCCAAAAAGCTGTGCTCGTGGGGGAGAAAAGACGCCCTCCAGCCTTGTTGACCAAGAAAGCGGTGAATAGGAGAGAAGGCGACGCCGCAACGACTACCGCTACTAGTAGCAATTGATATTTCGGGCCTCTTGTAGCTCTAAACAGCCCCAGGGAAGCAGGTGCTACAAGGGTAGACGAGGAGAAGACGGAGTGGGGAGAGCGGAAGAAGAGATACGGAAAAGCAAGTAAAATGCCGGCGTGCCAAGGGCCATGGCAGGTAGGATTAGTGCCAGTTGTCGAGAGCGTCGGCGCAGGACGACGAGAGATGCTCGATAGCGAGTCCGTACTTGGGACGTTTGGCCAACACCCTATATCGAGCACGCGAAGAGCGTAAGTCTCTCTCTGCTTGTATTTGTACGAGTGCATGCTCCAAAAGGGCCAACATAAGAGAAGCCCTGTACGTGGTGCTCCGCAGACACGCCGCAGAAACAATAATGAGACCACCCGCGCGAGCAGCCCAGCCGGGGGTAGCCAATTGGCGTTGACCAGGGGGGAGTGGACACAAGTCACAACTGACAGATCTTATTCCCACAGGGCGGAGACGCATCCTCCCATGTCACAGCATGGCTGATGTGGCGGTGGGTGAATCCGAATCGCTGGGGCCGCTGCGGCTTATTGCGCGTTGAATCCGCTAGGCGAGCTCTGATGATGCCGACCTCTGTTCGCTCATGTGTGACGTATGAAGTAGGCATTGGTATCACGGCCAAAGATGCTCTAAACAGCGCACCCGTACGACTAGTACTGCTAGCTCCGTACCTCTCACTCTCACAAATATGCGTCTCCCGCCTTTGAGGCGACGGAGATGTGGCGCCAATTATTTCAGCGGCCGTGCAATGATCCTGTTTTCGAGCATGTGGCACTGAGAATGGGGCAAGCAACTGTGCCCTCTCTAGGCTGCAGCGCTGGGCTAACTTTCAAGTTGCAGCTCAAGACGTAAAGCAGGGATGGTTGGCTGGCTGTTGGTGGCTTCGAGGACGAAACATAGGCCAATTCCAAGGGAGGCTGGGCTCCTGAAAATGCCCCGATAGAATATAATTCTTAGGTGGGCTATCTATCTATCTGCAAGCATTGCATGGCCAGGCCAGCCTCATGCGCGTAGGAGACGAAGATGCCGGCTTAAAGTCTCTGGATACTCGACATGGGCATCAGCATAGTTTATTCCGCTGCACTGCTCAGCATTGAGGATTAAGATCTAAGCATCCGGACGTACCACGGGCTACTGCCGTCTAAGAGTCCTCGATCCGGTCGAGACACGGTCCCGAGGGAAGAGACTCTTTGAGTTGGCGGATGCCCTGCAACCTAGCACTCTATGTGCTTGTGCAGGCAGGACGGTCATGGGGTGGGCAGCGCGGCTTGAGGACAGTTCTCTGCCCTTGGCCATCTCGAGCATGAGTATGGTACTTGATATGGAGTACTCTGCGGTTGGGCCACGTTTCGGTGTGATGGGGGGTGATTCCCTCTTTTCAGCGTGGAAAAAGTGGTCTGTGCTGCTCTTGGCCAGCTTCGACTCGGCAAAGCTAAGCTACGAAGGATTCGGTGCCACCAGTTCGCGATATCGTAGCAGCGAGAGAAGAAGCGATAACCGTCTGACAATATGGCCGCCAGGGGGATCGTTTCTCTTCCATGGTCCCGGCCAGCCTCGCAGACAGCTGGTGGCAAGGCACGCCATGTGCAAGAATTTTGCACAGCGTAGAACTGCAGAGTCGCATCCACAATGCATGAATGAGCACACCGACGCGTATCGTGTCTGCGCCATGGATATTATTAATGCCACCGCTCACATGGCACTGGTATCTTGACGGGGGTCTTTTCTTCTTTTTTTCTTTTCTTTTTTCTTTTTTGTTGGCGCCTACACATGTCAATTCGCTGTGGTGCAAGTCACACTCGTTAAGGAACATGAAGCGAAGGCGAGGGGCTAGGCAATCCATGAAGTTCTAGAGGACAATCCTTGCAACTGTTGGATTCTGCTCTCAGCCTTTTCATCTCCCTCCTGTTTCTTGACCCCCTTTGGTTTACCGTGCGGAGGATGGATCGGCCGTTACTTGCAGGGCCTAGCCCAACCGAATCGCAAGTACCTGTGACAGCCGTACGTAAAAGAAGGTGCCTGCTCCTGGAAGGTTCTTGACAACACTTGCCTCGTGCAGGTGCAGATTCAATGGAAGGAGGAAGGGGGTTGGAAAACAAGAGATTGGAAGAGCTGATTCCCTTTTGGAGCTCTCGGCTAATACTATGAGACCGTACTAGTATTGCTATCAGCCTGGAGGTTAGTAGGGCTAGTAGTACCTGTAACCGGGTATTAGGTACGGAGTACTAGTGGTACTAAGTTAGAGGAGGCATGTGGGAAGGTACCCACTACCTAGCGCTAGCCGTTAAGTTCCCGTGTAAGGTACGTAAAATTCAAGCTCATTCTTGCGATGAATCCAAGTTGCTGTACCTCGAGCTAGGAGGCGCTTCTCAAGAATCTACAGGTAGGTAGGTACATAGGTACCTAAAGCGCCTGACATTTTAGGTGCTCAGCAAGTAAGGTACTACTAGGTAGGTAGGTATTATCTACTACTAAAGTGCTCAGTAGTATTGAGTACCTGTTTCAGCTGGATGCTAGGGAGCTGCTTGGATAATGCTCCTCGCAGCGTTCTTGCGCTGCAAGCCTACACCTGTACCTGTACCTGTACAAGCCAGGGGTAGGCTTGGTATTGCGCATCTAGCATCGGATATCGTCCGTAGAGCTGAACCTGTTTCCATGTCGCGACAGGCCATATTAGTACCATGCTTGTGACGTGGTACCTAATACTACGGTATACATACTACGTACTAAATATAGGGCAACCTATAACCGACTCTCTTACTGCCTTATAATGGAGAAAGTGCTGCGGGGTACCACTACGGAATACCACGTATGTACCTTAGGACCCAGGTCGGTTCTGACAATAGTAGTACTAAGGTAGGAAACTACCTCTACTAGCACTTCCTTATGCATGATGCTGAAGCAGAAACTGCATCTTGATCCTTCTCATGGCAGCATCGCGCCATGGCCCTTGCGAGGGCGACTCGCAGCAGCGCCATTGACACCACTAGCACTATTCCGTGCTACTGCCTAGACGGCTACAGGCAGATCGTCTCTGGTTGACAGCCTCTATTCGCGAGGAGCGGGCCTAGTGCCCAGATGTGCAGATTCATGCTACTGCTAGCCGTATCCACCTGGTGTGCGTTTTGCTGCCACGCCAGAATGCCTGTCCATCCGCCGGCACTTGCGTCTCGTCATCGGACTCCCTTCCGGCCTCTCACCGCCAATCCAGGCCCTTTGCTTTTGATAGCACCTGGCCTGGTGCGGCAGCAGCAGCACTGTACAGCACTTTCTGTATAAATAAGGTACAGAGCAAGGTACCGGCGCCAGTGGATATCACCCGCACTGCATTTGCCTGGCTGCTTATCTAATAGCTCCAGGAGCACCGCTATTATACGAAGTATCCAGTAATGGCGCGCAAATGGCTTCGACAAGCTCCGCTGCGCTTGTGTATCGGGCATCGCAGCTCGGCGCAGATTGGGAATGGATCGATTCTTCCCGCTGCACCCTCTTGGGCCACATTCGGAGCTGCCAATGACAGGTCGGCGCATCTACTTGCGGTGCAGAGGCTGCTGACCTCGTCTAGCCGTGACATGCCGCCGAATGGGGATATCAACTCGACTCTTTTGCTCTCGCTTGTCGGCCGCCGCCGTCGAGGCTCCGCACCTGCTGGACGCGGCGCTTGTTGCTTGTTGCAGACTCCGGCCAAGCTCTCCATGTGCAGATGAGCAGTCAACTGATCTCACTTTACCCCGGGCAAATGCGCGAGCTCTACAGCACAGGCTCGCTGTGGCTTTGTGTGAAGAGCGGCCAAGTGGCGACGCTCTGTTTTCCGGCAATGGCCGAGACACCAGCTCCAACAAGGCTGAACGAGACAGTGTCTTAGACCCGGCCCTTGGCCAAGCAGAGACAGCACTGAGCCACCGGCCTTGTCAATCAATACGAGCTTTCGTTGCAAAGTTGCTCCTGTTTCTGCGTCTGGTCCTGCTCATGGGCATCCCTTTTGGCTTCTCCCCGTTAGCGCTCGCGTTTTCACTCTAGTTGCCAAGAACCGGGCCCGTGGATTTGCTTGCCCGGGCTGGCTCGCCATCCCCGTCCTCACGCTGGTGTGCAAAAGCACAGCTATGGAGCAGTGCTCCATCCAAGTCCAGCCTGCAAGTGGAAAGGTGCGTTCGAGGCCGCATAATGTGGCCTCCCCTGGCCGGCCTCTTCGAGCTTTGCTGGGCAGCCTTGCCCACAAGACTTCGTTGCATCGTCCCGTCTTTCGCTTTCCGCTTTCCGTCTTCCCCGGCGAGAAAAGAGGCCCTTTCGAGTAGGCTACGGGGCCAGGGACTGTTTTGCTGTGGAGTTTTAGGCGGAGAAGTGTGCCACGGCAGCCAACCCGTGAACTCGAGTTGCTTGTCTTCAAACTGGGACGGGCTTGAAGAGTTATCGACATGTCTCACACACCCTCTTCAAAAGTGGGAGCTAATGTAAATGGCTGCTTGCTGTCTTCCCCCCCCCTTCCATACATTCCACGAAAAATTTCCTGGCGCGCCCGCATGTCTCACCCATAAAACCACACACACGTGTCTCTATTTGTGGTTGTATAATGCACTACCAGTGATATCAGCCCGCCACTCATCACAAGACGGCACCAATAAGCTTGTTACATCGCCTCGGTGGCCGATACTCATGCCTACTGGCTCGCCTCAGACCAGCTGAGACTTCGCATTGAACATCATGAGAATTTTGCCAAGTCGACGTGACTTGAAGGGTCATGAAGGCATAGCGTTGCGTAAATTACATACACTATAAATGCCATCATCTTTCTGCATACCCATGCGAGCTCCACGCAAAGTATAGCTCACTTGTCGATGGCTAGCTGTATCCCACCGACAGCCTCTTTTTCCATTGGCGTGGTGCTTTTTGTTATTTTCTTCTTCTCTGATTTTCTCCCTCAATGCCAGTATTACTTAGTGGATTAGGAAAGCAGCCACCAACCAGCCAACGAATCGCTCAGTAAGTAGGCTTTGACACTTGAATTGAAGCTCCAGGAAGTTCTTCATGGGGCTATTGGTGGTGCTGACCGGTCACGGAGACGAAGACTTGGTAATCTAAGACAGTATTGAGGTGTGGCAGATGCTTACAGCGCCCGCAAGCAGCAGTCTTCTATTCTCAACGCCTTGGGGTCCAAAAAAGCCCCTTTTTTACTGCCTGGGCAAAGAGTCCTTTGAACTGCCTATTCGGTATGCATTATCGAAAACTATTATAGGCCTTCAGTTGAAATCGCACCGTTATATCCAACTCTTTTGTTAAACAGTGTGCAGAATATACTTCCTAGATGGCCAACTTTGTATGATCTCATTTTGACATATACATACCTGCACGCAAATGCGCCAAAAACACAAGAGCCGGTCGAGTAGATCTGCCGATCCCAGAAAAAGGCAGTGGAACAGGAGCACTAGTCATGGCACCACTGGAACCCGCTTGCTCTTCGCTGCTCCCTCTCTCAAGTCCACATTTGAGATGGTTAGCTGCCATGTATCAAATTCACCTTCACATACCGCCAGCAAGTGGTCTGGAAGTTGGAATCTCTGACAGCATACTATTATCTCACCGGGAAGGGGGGGCGCTCTACTTCAACCAGGCCTAGCTGGCTGGGCCTTCTTTCCCTTGCATGATATAGCGGCTTGAGACGAGACCTTTGCCCTGCGCCCAGCTGCGCTCGTGCGCGCCATGCCTTGTGCTTGACTCGGCATGATGACCTGTCAATTTGACGGCAGCCCTCTGGCTGTGATGGACCAAAAGTATATTAGCCGAAGAGCGGACACTTGCGGTGCGGCTGGTGCGGCTGGTTGGCAGGACAAAGGCATTCATTCGTCGACCAGTGAACACTGTCGTGCTACCCGCCCTAACGCAACGTAAACGAGAAGCGACAGTCAGGTTCGTCTTACGGAGCATTGTTTCCTCGCATTAACCCTTTTGCATTAGTGCTCTGGAAGGCGGCAGTTTCAGTTGACACGCCCATAGCGCTGCGTGTTGGGCAAAAGGCCATCCAGCCGACTGCCGTGTCGGCGCGTGAATCCTCTTGTGTGACCGCGCGGCTAGTAGTGCGCTTCTTCGTCGGTAAAGGGAGGGTAGTATGTATTAACCAGCTTGCTCGTTTTTTCTCCGTCGCATAGACTATCATAATACGGAAAATGCTATAGTATTGGCCTCTTACAGGTATATTACTTGCTTGGACACTCCTTTTTGTTTTCCATGTTACCTCATGAGCCAAGACACTGAGAGAGACCAAACCCAGGGTTGGAAGAGAGATAGGGGAAGCGATTCATGAGATCCTTTCCTGTGGCATCTCAACAGTGGTGCTAATTAGCAGCCCTGTTTATTATATGACCATTTATACTATATTTGGCAATCTACTTAGGCATATGTATCTGAGGGCATAGGCATTGCTGTTGATGATATTTCTTTGAGAGGGTGCCAGAGGTGAAAATGAACGTCCATGCAACAATTCACGTAATTTAACGTGATATCGACTTCATAGTCTATCCTTCTACAAATGCAGCTATAGATCTGATTTAATGTAATACCGTCGTCTTTATAGTCTATTTCTTCAACCTAAGCCGGTCTTTGATTACCATGACAAATTTGTCACTACAATCAGTATTTACGCGCCATCTGCTAGGCAAGTTGCAAGTTGTATCTGTCCAAATCGGCGCCGCTTAGGAGCATGTCTTCTCGTTTTAGTTCAAATATTGAATTTTATAAAGCTTTTATTATTGAGAGTTAACAACTCTCTTGTATGTATTACCTAATGTACGTTTTGTGTCAATACCTACTAATTCAAGATATATTGTGCCAATTTGGCCAAGTCCTCCTCGTCCGTCTCTCAACGAATGTTGATGTTCCTAGAAATCCTAGTACTGTTTAATAACAGTAAATATATAAGAATATATGTGTATGCAATATATATAGCCTCGAAAGGACAAAACCTCTGTATCCAAGGAAAAACAAATGCCAAGACAGAGAATAACATATGAAAGCATAATGCGCTTGACGGGTACCTTTGGTACGCGTTAGAGGTCAGGAGATATTGGTGCCGGGTATGTGTAAATGATATTAAAATAAAAATATGCGTTGTTCGTCGTATGTAAAAAAAAAAAAAAAAAAATCGTAGAAAACGTTATATTTAATTTTGTGAAAATATATCCAAATAAAAGGACCGTTTGTATAAATATGCGATATGCTTGATCGATATATATACGATCTTGAACAAGCATTTTGATGAGCAATCGCTTATAAGGCCGAAACAAGGATAACGAGTGTAGCACAAAGGGCAGCCAATGTAGTCGTATATATGGCTGGTCGCACGGCAATGACTCCTGATGAAGCTGGGGGTAGAGTGCCATTGACATAATTCGGGCCGCATAAAGTGTTCACTTGGCGGGCCGCAGCTTGGTAGACACCGGCGACTGGTGAGCTGCGGTCTGCGGAGGCAGAGTAATATATATCCATGGTCTGCTGGGTACACCAACTACACGATGGGTTGGAGCTACCAGGTAAGGCCAGACCGTAGGGCAAAAAGTAGAGGTAAGCGTCTGATGGCGTATTGAGATTCGTGACAGCGTTTGCAAAACAATATTGGCTCGAAGAAGGATCTTGGAGACAGGTTGCTGCATATAGCGTCTTGTAAGCTACCAGACCGTCGTATGCTTGCAGAACTAGAGTCTGGTTCTGCTCAACTTCAGTCTTGCAATTACCGGCCATGGTGAGGTTCGTCGCGGCTTGATCGAGGAATGTTGCACAAGACGACGAGTCGGCTTTGCAAGTTGCATCCAACACCCGCACTATGCTGAGAAGCGACTTTTCGGCTTGGAAGAAACCTGTCGAGGACTACCATATCCGAGTTAGCGAGATTCAAACCTTGTTTGGCGTATTCCGCATCTCCAAGATAGAAGATAAAAAAAAAAACTAACCTGGAGCATCATGGAGAGTGGATAGCAACTCTTGAAAGTTGGGTTTGATAGAAGATTCGATATGAACTTGGGACATGCGTCGGTTGAACCAGAACTTTGGAAGGCAGAGGCTGGCGTATTATCGAATGGCTCTGGCAACGGAGATGATGATGCCAATGCACTGTTGGTGGGCTTTGACGGCGTCGTGGTTGTAGTGGTGTGAACTGCCTTTGCATTTCTTCTCCTCATCTCTCCATTCTCGCGTGGCGTAGCATGGTTGCTATCACCACTGTCCACTTCTTCGACATCCCGTAACCCAGGCCGGTTGATATAGCTAGGAAATATATCAAGCAGTTCCTCCGAAGATTGTGGAGATGGGGGCGGGCTTGTATCGACTAATAGCGTGGGAATACGAGTGGAAGCACGCTCTGGCACTGTAGCAGCAGAGCTGAGGGTCGCCAAGAATGCGATGATGAGAAGTGAGAAGCGCATCTGGTACAATCGAGGTGTTGATGGATTGGTTTTGGAACGCCCGGCAGAGACGAATATTAGTGGATTAAACATTGTCATATACTGGTAATAATTTTGAAGATGGGATTCGAAGAAATCGTGGTAATTGTTGTCGTCCTCAATCGAAGTACGCCGGCTAGACCGTTTCTTTTCTCGATAGAGTTTACACGAGGTGAAGCTGGGGCCACAAATCAGGTCAGGCCGAGATTGAGCAATATGTCTTTAGTAGAGGCTCAGTCAGTAGAAGTGGTTATCGTGATGCATGGACCATTGCTCGACTTGGACCAAAGCGCGTGTTAGTCGAATTCGATCTCGGCGCGCCAAGTTGGAGAATCGGTTGCTGTGAGCACCTGGATCCCGAAGATATAGCTGGAGGCGACGACGATGCTTCCTTTGCTTTCCTTGGCGGTCTACCCAGGGGTTCTTAACCTGTTCTCTCTCAACTCCCCGAAACTGCGTCCTCTGCTACTGATGAAGCTCTTCTTGTGTTCCGTCCCTCCTCCACCCCCCGTTTGTTGTACCTCACAATATGAGAGCCAGAAAACAGACCCCTCGCAGGAAGATGGAAGCAATTGGGAAAAGAGCAATGGCGTGAAGAAGAAAGAGAGAAAATGAAGCTCAAGGCGAACGAAAGCACCTGCCTTGGTAGGCAAGCAAGACGACAAGGCAAGGCGAGCTTAGCGAAAGAGCTGGTTGAAATTACAGGGAAGGCACAACGACGTAGATCAAACGAGCGGATGAAAAGAGGAAAGATGTGCAAGGAAAAAGGCCCGGAGCAAGAGTGCAGACTGGCAACAGCTACGGAGCGGCAGCCGGGCCTTAGATAGGCAAAGAGGGAAGGGACGACGCGGGCCTGCAACGGGACCCAAGCTGCCAAGGCAGGCGCGCTGCTCTGGTATGAACAATCGCCCCGCCATCGACGGTGTGCGCAGGGCCTGAAGCGTGCAAGCCCATGCAGCTAGCGCCGTGGGCACGGGCATTATCACCAAAGCTCCGCCAGTAGTGCGCAGGATGGGAGAAAGTACGGGGTATGCAGCACCTGCGATTGGGCTGGGCAAGAGGCTGAGGGGCAGAGAAGAGATGGAAGGGCGAAGAAGCCCGCCCGAGCCTTGGCGTGTCGATTGGAGACGACTTGGCTTCATGCAGCAAGCGCTTCTACAGCACACGACGCTTGCTCGGCTGCTTGTGTCTTGCTCGTGCTGCTTCCCTTGCTCCCGGCCCAGTCGTCAAGACGAAGAAAGCCACAGCAGGCGGGAGAGCTACCAGTGCGCCACCTCCAGTAGGCGAAGGAGCGGCGCCTCCCCCTGGCCTAGTTTGGATAAGAGGCCCGTTAATAGCGCCAGGTGAGTTTAATTGCATCTCACAGTGTAGCGAGGCCGGCGCAAGCCACATGCGCAAGCTATTGGACTGAAGAGATTTTTTTTTTCTCTCACGGGGTGACGCCCATGAGTAATTGATGATGGTCTACAGTTGCAGAGTATAGCACCAAAATACGGACAGTATAGCAGCCAACTTGGATGACTATCTATCTGTGGTGAGCTACAACACAGCACAATACAGCACAGCACAATGCATATCTTCAACAGCCACCACCACCACCACCGTGCATGAACAGCTCAATGCACCTTGGTGGCGCTGCTACAACACAATGCAGCACCTGCAAGGCGACGGTAGGGTCGCACTACCGCGCTGCTTCGACTGCTCTAGAATCAGGTCAACATGCAGCCAATAGCGCCATAAAAGCTTGGCCTGGCGCTGCGGTGCGGTGCCACTCCGGCTAGCAGAAACCGGCTGCTCTCCCGCCTAGCTCGGACATGCAAATCCCTCCACCGCATTCACCTGCGGACTAATAGTATTATATCTCGATGGGATGTGGTAATATGGCTTACACGAGCACGGCTTGGGAAGGGGGAAAAAAAAAAAAAAAAAAAAAAAAGGCAGCCAGTTCCAGTTCCAGTTCCAGGTACGGCACCAAGTGCTGCGCCTCAGCTTCACTGGTCCATCCGCCAATTCGGTGTAAGAAAACCGGCAAGCAAAAACACCGCAAATTAAAAACGACACGTAACATGCCTGGCGCATATGAAGCCTATGCTGCGTCCAAACACGCTGCATTCCGTGCTTGCAATACAATAACATCGATTGATGCACATTGAAAATGCCCGGCAGCATTCCCATTCCCAATCAGTGATTCGCTCTGCTTCTTTTGTGCCTCTGCCGCCTGCACTGCTCTCCACCCTCGGCTCTTCAACGTGCCCGTTGTGCGACAAGCAGCACGCGGCGCCCCTGCTGAAGAACACGGAACGGCACCGCAATACTAAACAAGACGCCGCCAGTCACGCCACACTTGCAGCGTGCATCTCTCGCCCACCGCTTGCCGTCCAGCGATAACCCCCACCCGCTATTACGGCCAACCTGAACCGAGCTGTTGCCACATGCGGGAGAAGGATAGTGGTGTAGAAAGCGAACGCCACCAATTTTCCCGCGATTGGTCGGCAAACAGCCGCAATAAAGCACGGAGCTGTTGTCGAAGAAACAGAATAGGCACTATACTCGCTCGCCTTATCGGTATTCGCTAATAACGCGGGGGGGCAGAGCACAGCCCGATTCAAGAATTACCCCTGTTTCGCCTTGCCAAAAGAGTAAAACAAGGCAAGAGAAAACAAGAATCAGGAGCAAATCGACTCGTAATGCTCCGCGTCACCGGCAACAAAGATCCCTTTTCATTGATGGCTGTATCAGTTTCAGCCTGCCCTGTAAGTAAAATCCCTAGTAGTGGTAGGGCCAAGCTGCATCTCACTTTAGGTGACACCACATTAGTCTTCTCCATATTATCTATCTTTGGCCACTCTTTTTTTTTTCTCTCCCATTCAGCCCTTTCACCTGAAGATCACTACCGGGCCTAGTACGAAAGTAGTCATGGGCACTTTCAGGTACAGGTGGCTGTAAAAGTCCCAGATCCAACTCTTCAGCTGTAGATGAAACGCAGTCAGCTATACACGGTTGACTTGGCTCTTCTTCACTTTGTCATACCTAACGCGCCACAGTCACTTTTTTGCACTCCTGTATAAGTTCCTTTGGTGGGCATTTGTGGAAGAAACACGTACTTTCAGAACAAGAAAGTCGTAAACTTGTGAATTTTCGCTTGCTCTTCATTTCGAATAAGCACTGCATGATAAAAATAGAGAGTTTTATTAAAATCAAACTATAGATCAATAGAGCAAGTGGCGTGGTTCTGATATCCTACATACCTCTCTTCACCCACGGCGGTTAAACAAAAAAGAAAATAAGACAAAAAAAAAAGAAAGAAAAGAAAAAGAAACCTCAGATATACCTTTTGCGGTGTACATGTGTCCTTCTATATACTCATTCTAAGCCTAATATCCCATCCTAAGCCCCCCCCCCAAAACCTTTGGCAGTTCAGGGTACGCACTTGTATCATCCACCTCTGCATCTTCTAGCTGTGTAGTAGATACACAGAAGAAATATATTAGATGAGCAGCACATCCATCCAATCAGCGCTCTGCTACTATTTACGAGCTCGTTGCCAAACTCTGCAGCTTCACCAGCTCGGCGTAGCGTCCATTCTTCCTCATCAGCTCTTGATGGGTTCCAGACTCGGCAACACGGCCCTGATCAATCACATAAATGACGTCCGCCTTCTGGATCGTGCTAAGGCGGTGGGCAACAGCAATTGTAGTACGCCCAGCGGCAGCCCTATCTAGCGCATCCTGGACGACAACCTCGGATTCCGAATCGAGGGCGGACGTGGCTTCGTCAAGGAGCAGGATCTTGGGGTTGCGTATCAGGGCGCGAGCAATGGCAATGCGTTGCTTCTGCCCACCGGAGAGTAAGCCGCCCTTGCTGCCAACAAGCGTGTTAAATCCATCAGGGAGCGAAATAATAGTATCGTAAATGTTGGCCTCGCGGCAGACCCGCTCAAGCTGCTCATCTGAGATGTCTTCCTTTAGTGTGCCGAGAAGAATATTTTCTTTAATTGTTCCCGAGTACAGAGTCGGCTCCTGGTTCACAAGCGAAATAAATGATCGGTAGTCGGTAATATTTAGGGTACTGATATCTTTGCCGTCAACATAGACACCGCCAGCCAAAGGGTCATAGAACCGCTCCAGCAATGAGATAGTCGTGCTCTTGCCGCACCCAGAGGCACCAACCAAGGCAACGTACTGGCCAGGCTTGATCGTCAGGCTGAGACCTCGAAGAACAGCTTGTTCTGGCCGTGTAGGGTAACGGAAGTGAATGTCACGAAATTCAACTGTGCCCTCGACTTCGCCCTCTCTGAGACGTGCGCCCTCTTGCGACCAGGAATCAATTGTTGGTACCCGGTCAAAGAGTTTCTTCAGTGCCGAGGCTGACGTATGGGCCTTGCCCATGTCGGGCGCAAGCGAGAAGAAGCTTCCTGCCGACTGGGCACTGTAGATAATGCCCATGAAGCAAACAAAAAAGGTAAATAAATCGTACTCATGAGTAGCAAGCAGGGTACCGCCGTACCAAAATCCAAGTCCGAAGCAGAGGAAGACGGCGCCTTGAGCAGCGCCATAGACAGCACTCGAGGAAAGTATAGATCTCAAACCCTTGCGTCGCTGGGTGGCGATATCATCACGATATTTGCGCATGATGTCCTGCTCGCGAGTAAGGGAAGCAACAGTGCGGATGGACGAGATGGCTTCGGAAGCGTAGGCGGCGGAGTCTGCATAGGCGGTTTGTGCTCTGGCCTGGAAACGGAACAGCAAGTAAAACCGAAAGAAGCCACAAGCTAACATGACGGGGATTGTTGCCGTGCACACAAGGGACAATTTCCATCCAATAGCCAGTCCCATGATCATTGAAGATAGAAGAGTCGATAATGTCAGAAGGATTGTTCCCAGAGTAGCACCACTGAGACCACCAACGTTATTGGCCTCGGTTGAGAGCGTTGCTGTCAAGATGCCTGCTGAGTTCTCCTTCTTATCGTAAAAGGAAATATCCTGTCGAAGGAAAGTTCTAAAGATTTCGAATCTGATACGGTGAATAAGGTGCTCTGAACATGAAGCGAGTAATACTCCTTGGCCGGAATAGCAAATCAGCATACCGACAGCTAACACGATGAACATGATGGCCCAGAAGTATGCGTCATGTCTTATCTGGCTGATATTCGCATTCGGGTAGAGGGCATTTGTCAGAACGACAATTTCCTTGGATAAGAAGACTAAAATTGACGGTTTTAACAGTTAGCGAACATCCCAATGTAGTTACGAAGCCGAAAAGGGAATTGGGAAAGGGGGGGCGAAGCTCACCAGCAGAGATAGGACTGGCACCACCACAGAGTATGGAAAAGACGAGACCAGATATCATGCGCTTCCACTCATTACGGTTAAATTTGGCAATGAACTTGATTAGAGCCCAGGTGCTGTACCTTGCCTCTTTCTCAGTGGTATGTCCGCGTAGAACGATGCTTGACCGAGACTTTATGGTTGAACTTCGTTCAAGTCTGTTCCCTTCCAGTTCATCAGCATTTACGACTCTTGACCGCCTCTTGATTAGCATCTCTTGATGTTCATCGATAAGATCCAGCTCCTCGGGGGAGAGATCTTGGACTGCCGCGAAGCCTTGGGCAGATACCAAATTGTGGTAAGCACCCTTCTTCTCCACTAGCTGGTCGTGACTGCCTTGCTCTATAATTCGGCCCTCTGACATAACGACGATGTTATCGGCTTCCTTGATGGTTGATAGTCTATGAGCAATGGCGATGGTAGTCCGGCCAGCGGAAGCAGCCTCTAGAGCGGCCTGCACTATGCCTTCAGACTTTGTATCCAAAGCTGATGTTGCCTCGTCGAGAAGTAAAACTATACATAGCATATTAGCGACTGATATCTATACGAATGCAATAAAGAAAGGCTCATGCTATACTGACTTTTTGGGTCGCTGACGATAGCTCGCGCGATAGCAATACGCTGCTTCTGTCCACCAGAGAGAAGGAACCCACGGTCACCAACATTGGTTTCGTAGCCCTCTGGAAGGGTGTTGACAAAGTCATGGGCGTTGGATTTCTTTGCGGCCGCAATGACCAGCTCACGCTGTTTTTCCTCGCTTTCATTTTCGTGCTCGGTTCCAACCAGGCCGTAGCGGATGTTTTCAAAAATAGTCGTTCCAAACAGTGTAGGCTCCTGGTTTACCAGAGAAACCTGACGGCGAAGCCAGCGAAGGTTCAGCGTGGTAATGTCGTGCCCATCGAGATAGATTGTGCCTCCCACAGGGTTATAGAATCGCTCTATAAGGCCTATGATGGTGCTCTTGCCAGATCCGGATGCTCCCACCAAGGCAGTTGTCTTTCCTGCCGGGATATCAAGAGTAACATCGTCCATGACGACAACGCCAGGGCGCGAAGGATAAATATGCTTGATATTCTCTAGCCTGATGTTGCCTTGAACAGCTTCGATGATATCGCCCTCTTGGCTTGCCGAGTTGATTGGCGAAACACGATCAATGGTGTCGAAAAGCTTTGATGCGGAGCTAACAGCACAAGCAAAAGCTTGGGAGTTGGGCGCGATGGCATTCATGTTAAAAGCTCCCATCATCACTGTCATCATCACGACCAGAAGGTGGTTGAGAGATATCTCGCCTCTTAGGAGAAACGTGCTGCCTTGCCAGAAAGCCAGAGCATAGCTCATATAGAGGAGGAACATGATACCACCTATCATGACGCCAACGGCGGCTTTGATCCTGAATCCATAATACTCAGCCTTTTCCAAGTGTTTATCATACTGCTTGGACAACCGGTCCTGCAAGCCAAAGGCGACAGCAGTCCTGGCGGAGCTGAGGACCTCATCGGCCAGGGTGCCACCCTGGGCAAACGCTGTGGTGGACTCTGTGCTATTCTTAATCATGTAGCCGGAAAATAAGGACCCATTAATGAGAATAGCGAAGATGACGCTCGAAAGAATCAGCGTCAGCTTCCAGGAAGTGGCAAACGCAATGACAAACGCAGTCACAAAAGTCGAGATGGCGCCAATCGTGACTGACATTTTTTCTGAGATTCCGTCTTGGATAGTATTGGTATCGGATGTGATGCGAGTGATGATTTCTCCAGTGCCAAGCTTGTCGAAGAAGCCAATGTTTTGCCGTAGGCAGCTCTCGAGGTAATGCTCTCGGATCCTGGTGGAGATCTTCTCACCCACGTAGATGAATCCCACCGTGGCGATGTAGGTGACGACGAATTGGCCGACAGCGAGATATACAAAGTAGAGAACATACTTGGAAAGGCCATGGTTGAGCTCACTCTTGCCGATCAGGCCTACTGAATACTCGGAGAATGTCTTTTGGAGGCCACTGAAGAGTAGTGTCATCAGAGGTAGAGCAGCACCGTTGGCAATGGAGCAAATGGCGCCGATTATCATGATGAAGATGTCGAGCCCACTGCTATATCGGTACAGCGCTGCAATGCCCTGCTTGAGATTGGGCGTCAGAGCCTGTCGCTTGAGAATCTCGGCCTCATTGTCGGGCAAGTGTCGAAAGGGTTCTTCGGGATCTTGTTGAGACTCTTCCGCGTCGGCTTTCTTTTTCTCCTTCTTGGATTTCTTAGACTTCTTCTTCTCCTTTCCCCCGGGTTCTAGGTTCGAGATGACGTCTAGCTCTATGCCATCTTCAAGGTCTGTCTTCTTGACCTCAACAGATTCGTCCTTTGGAGGGCAATCCTCGGCGATAATCAACTCACTTCCAAGAGAAGAGCTTTCAGGGCTCGAGGAGCTCTCTGAGGTTAGCCGTCGGGCAATTGTTTCCGGCTTCTGGTCGGACATTGTGGAAGTTGACAATCAGCTCGCCGAAAGACGACGGCCTCTCTGTATCAAAGCGGCGCTCAGTCGTTTAGGTATTATTGCTATTGAACAAAATCCCATGTGCAAGTGAATAGCATGTCTTCCTTGCCAAATGTTTCTGCAACGCGACGCTGGCAGCGTCCACCAAAGCTTAGTTCAGCCTAGGTCATTGAAGGGACGGCAAGGGGTAAGGCGATAGACTCGTACACGCACGGGCTCGTTCTTTGTCGTCGCGGGAGGAGGCCTAGCAGCAGCAGCAATACTTGGTGTAAGAAATGCCTTTCAGAAGGAACTGCCGCTTATACACGTCCCTCGGGAGATGATGACACGCGTAGCTCCCTAGCAGAGGCTGGTGATCTCAGGGGACGTGCCATGGGCGCAACTGGCTTTTGTCTGCTTCGGCGCCACCAGCCCTGGCGAAAGGGAATACTCTACAGCATGTCTGGGGGTTGGGCCACCGAACAGCTCTCTGGACAGGGATAGTTGTCGGCATTCTGCAAGTAGCTCGAGCTGTGACACCTCCCAACGACGCAGTGAGCCGCCTCCATTCCACTAGCATCTGCGCACTGTACATGATCCGCTGGAGGCTGGTCTCGGGCTGGGCACGCAATCCTCTTGTGGCTTGCTCTGTTCTTGTGTTTCCTTCAACCGTTACTCACGTAATTTATCTTCATTTGTTGACCGGTTAAGAACTCCCATCTGTTACTGCATGTTGGCGTGGACTCAAAATAATTAGGGCTCGATGCCATATGAAGTCGTGGCCGTGGCGGCCGCACACTGTATACCATGTATGTAGGTAGGAAGCACAACTAAGACATTGGCTGCCATATCACAACCCACTGTGGCGCGCCACTCATGATGCTGGTTCTGAGACATGCGGAGCGGTTTGGTACGTAGTATTTCCGAAGTATACCAGATAGACTATAGACTGTCCAAGAGAAATGCCACGACTGTCCGCAATCAAACTTCGATCCCATCTCTACCTCACACCTAGTAAACTGCCTACTCGTACTTGGGATCTTCGTCCTGTTCAAGATCGCCATGGGGTCGGTACCGGGCCCGGCCGGTAAAATCGTATTAGCACAGCGTCGTGGTTCTTACTGGCTTGTCTTATTGCTTCGTACTCCGTAACCAAGACATGCCATCACAACATGACTCGTCCAGCCAGCCACCTGCAATTCTACCCTTTTCTTGCCTCTCCGTCTTTTCCCGCCTGGCTTCTTGTCCCCAAGCCAGGCATGCCTCGACTTCACCAACAAAAGGCATCCTATAACAGCAGATACCATTCCCTTCTTCGTCATTGACACAGCATTGTTGTGCCCAGCTTCCAAAGCTCCGTTGCAAGGGGCCACTGCATTGGTCCACCCGGCGTTGATCCCAAGTCCCTCGTAATATGCACAACCGCCACGTATTGCCTCTTTGAGAAGCCCAAGGGACAGTCAGCCGAGGCCTTAGCGCACCTTTGCTGCCGGCTCCCTACATATCCACTGCGCTCAAATCATCCCGATCCCAGATCGTCTGTGCATAGATTGGACAGCCAGCCACAGTAGGTTAGGCTGTAGGGCCGCGTCCTTGAACTATATGTAAGATGCTCGTCTGCCCATTAGGAATCTCTGTTCTCTGTCATTCATAGACTCTGGGAAATCCCACAGCCAGAATATGTGTCTTGAGGTAGCTATTTCATCCTGTTCCTTTATATTTTTGGATCTGGATTAAGCTTGTCTTAGCGCGTAATACTACGACTAATACTACACCTCCATGGCTGACACATCCACATCGGCTCTGTATTACTTGTACGCTTCAGGACAGTGCTGTACGTCACATGCTGTCTACCCGTATCAACTCGTGGCCCGGAAGAGGGGTTGGGTTGGTACATTTTACAACTGCTCCAAAGGAAGTAAACCATCATAAAAGACTGTTTGTCCATTATCCGCTAAGAATCGCCTTTGAGGCAGAAGATATGTATGTATATCGTGCTCAAAGCGGACCGTCCAAAATGCGGGACTGGGTGGAGGAGTACCTATAAAAGAAACACACAAAAGTGATGCCACGTTTGGCCCCCTATAGCATTGCGGACAGTAGCCTGCCTCTCTGCTCCGTACAGATTAGGCAATCGTCGATAGCGCCACCTCTAGCGGACAGCCCATCCGTCATCCTGACTCGTCGCTGGCTGGAGCAAACATGCTTAAATCTCCTTCTGGCCTCTAGAGCTGGTCTATTGGAGAACATCCACGCATACGTACACCCCAAGTCGCTCAGGACATCGTGTCCTTTCCTAAGGCACCAACGCTTTCCATACGCTCAAACTCAACCATCTACTTCCATCTCTAGCCTTCACTTCAACATCACGTCTCTCAGCACATTGCGCCATGTCGTAGCCCACAAGCCCGCTGCAGCTTTGCATATCCAAGAATCAATAACCTCAGTTCAAACAAACGCTCTTCAAGTCTAGCCGCAAAGAAAATCCAGCCATGTTCTTCGAACCTCTGGCCCTCGTCGTCTTCCTCCTTTCCGCCTTCCCCCTCCAATCTCTTGCTGCTCGACCCAACAAAAACGCAATCCTCCTCTCGGAAGTACGAACTCTTACCCTGCGTGGCAACGGCGCAAAAACTACATCTCGCCGCGTCGCACCCATCCCGCAACTTAAATGCATCTCCTCAAAGGCAGTCTGCGACCTCTATTCAATTGACGTCTTGCGTTGCACCAATCAAGGCTCCTCATATGGCACCGAGGACATAGAATGGAGCTGCACCGCTTCGCTGCCAGAAGAGTTCAAGCTGGGCAGCACCGACGTCATCTGTGAAGGTTACTCTTCACCCGATGATCCATATGTTCTCAAAGGCAGTTGTGGAGTCGAGTACAGGCTCATATTGACTGACAAGGGCGAGAAGCGGTATCCCAACGTGGCGAATCCGAATGGCCGCTGGTTTAGTGACGGTGAAGGTGGTACTGATTTGGGCGCATGGGCATTTGCCGTCATCTTCTTTGCCATTCTTGGATGGATAGTGTACTCTGCATGGCGTAACGGGACCGACCCAAGACAGCGCCCTCCTCGACGGGGAGGATATGGTGGAGGAGGCGGCGGCGGCGGCGGCGGCGGCTGGGGCCCTGGCTGGGGCCCAGGAAATGATCCGCCACCACCTTATCCCGGAACAAAGCCCGATCAATCTCAGCAAGGATGGACGCCTGGATTTTGGAGTGGGCTTGCTGGAGGAGCAGCGGCTGGTTACTTGGCTGGAAACCGAAACAATCGGCGAGAAGACAGGTACGCTTCACGGCGATGGGGTGCTGGGCCGTCGAGCTCACAATCTTTCTCTTCCGGCTCTGGTTCAAGTTCTAGCTCCTCTCGCCATGAGAGCACAGGCTTCGGCTCAACGAGTCGCAGATAGTCGCCTATTTGTTTTTTGTTTTTCTGTACTATGTAGGTATATACGTGTGCTATAAAGTATGAAGCACTAGAACATAGCAAGCACAAATAAGCAAAACATATCAAGCAATGGAGTCAGAACTGCGCCGAACTTGCGGCTACTCTCTTATCCAACCCAGCTCAATCCTCGTAGAGCCTTTGGGCAGCGACCTATTATCTGCCCATCATCCTCCTTCACATTATGTACAAGATTGGAAGCCCCCCTTCATATCCTTTTTGCCGGTAAACATACACTGGTGCTACATTGTCCAACATGCCGACCCCTATACCTTTTCTTCGAAAGATTTGGAAAACAAAATTGACACATAGTTGGTAGGTGTCATAACATCCGCTGCGGATCCGACCGCTAGCAACTCCCCATCCCCCTTTGCGCCTATAACACATTTGGATAGATCTCGTGACGTTGTCGATATAAATTTCTAGTCGTTCCTCCGTGGAATCATATGCGAAAAAAAATGGAAAAAGGTTAAAAAAAAATGCAAAGCAAACAGACAAAACACAAGTTCTCGAAAGATTCAAGACAAAACGTTAAAAATTCATTTTTAAAAAATTTTCTTTTTAAAAGTGAACCTGCATAACATCCATCTTGTCGAATGCTCTCGAACAACTAGGACACTTTCGCATACGGTTGCTTATACGATCATCCACACACTTGTTACAGAAGAGATGACCGCAGGTTTTGAGTGCAGTGTTCTTGAAGTTGGTGCGGCATACCGTACACAAAGCCATGGTCTATTTTCCACAAATGTTAGCATCAAATGGACGCAAAAGAAATGCAACGAAATGATAGGGGATAAACGTACTCGAAGCATGTCTTCTTCTTCTGATGAGTTACTTAGCGCCTTGTTCTTCCAGTTGTCTCGATCCTTCTGTATATGCTCGAGGCGGACCTTGATCTTCTCAACTTCGACCTCTTGCGTTGCGTTTCGCTCTCTGATGACAGCCGTTGATGCATCCTTCGCCTTTACCAGATTGCTCAGTTCGCCGACTTGCTTCGCAGCAGACTCCGCTCGCCTGGCAGCCTCGAGGCTATTGGATTCCATCTTCTTGTTTTCCGAAACAAGGGCTGCGTTGGCCTGCTTCAGATCCGCCACCTGCTTCTCCAGATTCGATAGCAAAGTCCGATTCTGAGATTCAAAGTCCTTCAGCTGAGCAATGATCTCAGCCGTCTTTCCGCTCTGGTGCCTCAGAGATCTGATCTCACTGTTTCGGTTGTCGGCGTCCTTTCGAGCGGAGAAGTATTTCTGATCGGCTTTGCTCTTTTCAGCAATTAGAATAGCCACCTTCTCTTCCAGAGCAGCGTAGTCGAGCACTTTCTTTTGAGCGAGATCCTTCATCTTCTTGTACGCCTTCTCCATTGCGGGCAGCTCCAAGTTAATGGAATTGAAATCCTGCTTCAGCTTCTTATACTTTTGCCGGAGTTCCACTTCCGTAATATCCTCGGCGTCGCCAGCATCGCCCATCGTTTCGTCTTCTGCTGGCTGTAAGCGAGCAAGTTCCAATTCTAGCGCCGATATCCTGTCTTCCTTTGCTGACACTAGTTCCTTGATGTGCTCCATTGCAATCTTCTCTTGCTCCGCATTTGCCCTTCGTTGCACATTTTCGGCAAGAATTTCATCGCGGGCAGATCGCACGCGGGTTAAATCCTGATCTCGCGCTGCAATATCAGCTTCGTAATCCTGTGCCACCTGGTTCATATCTGCCTCAAGCTGGGTTCGGAATGCCGTTCGCTCTGCCTGAAGCTTTTCGGCCTCCTCGCGAAGTTGCTTGTTGGTAGCTTCCAGGGTGTTTATTCGTTTGATAAGATCCTCGTTTTGGCTCTTGAACTGTTTGAAAACATCAGTTCTGATGTAGTCTTCGTCGGTAAAGGTGTCTCGTCGAGATTTCAAGCTCGTGTTTTCCTCCTGTGCAGTTTTGAGGTCCGCGAGAAGGGTTTCCAGCTGCTCTTTTTGCTTCGCGGCAGCGGCTGTAGCCTCTTCATACTTGACTAGTAATTCGTTGACAGTGCCATTTGCTTCATTAAGTTCCGGTGCTCCCTCAGTAGGTGTCGTAACAGGCCGCGTGGCATTAGCAAATGCTTGTTGTTCCAACCTTTGGACTTGGGCACTTTTAGCGCGATCCAATTTCTTTTCGGCCTTGAAGTATCGTAACGTTGCCGCATTAAGTTGCTCTGAAAGTTGATCCTTCTCTCCGCTTAGTCGGTCAAGTTTGAGGAAATACTCTTTCTGTGCGGCCAGAAGACTAGCGACTCTGCTCTCAAGCTCGGCTGTCTTGGGGGAAAGATGTTGTCGCTGGGCAGCGACTTGACTGAGCAGCGTTTCGGCTTTCGCTCTGATCGATTTTCCCTTTTCTTGTAAGTGTACTTGGAAATCATGTAAATCCTTAAAGTTTACGCTTGTGAGATAAGGGCCTTCTATTATGTAAAGGGTTAGAAAAAAATTGGATTTCAGTCTCGCCAATTAAGTATGAAGTAGAGACATACCGGTTTTTTCTGTGGGGGTTATTTTTGACGCGGCTATTAATTCGAGCTCCTCTATAAGCTATGCACGAATATTAGTCAGACAGCGACAAATAATACGGTGGAAATGCACATACCTGTCGCCACCATGCATCGACTATTCGCAAATGATCGTCGTGATGCACGGATCTTTTATGTAATTCTTCCAAGCGCGATTCGGCCGTCAGAGCCTTGCGGCTGTATTCTTGCATTTGGCGGTAGATCGCTCCCTTCGTATACACCTGATTATGCCCAGTCAGCGCCACGTTGTTCTCAAGGAGTTGGTCGTTGCGTGGAATGAATGACGCGTTGAATAGAATCACGATATATGCACCGCGCGGCAAGAGGATTGATATGCAGAGCGTATTACTGATTTTGAATTGTTTTTCTCTTGGATTTTTAGGAAGCAAAGAAGCCGCTAATCGCTCTCGCTAAGCAATGAGCAACATCACTGGCTTGGTGAGCACTATCATCCAGCAACGACGCCCCCAATAAGGGCTGTAGCTGACAGGGCGAGCGGAATTGATGGCGGGACAGCAACATGCCCAAGAGAACGAGGAGATGCAATCCCCATACCGGGGTGTCTCGTGGGCGGATGGGACGGGGAGTGGGATCATGCGACACTCACTTCAATCCAGGTTTCTTCCTTCATATCCGTGTTGTCGTCCTTGGCCTTGGAGCCATTGATGGCGACCCTCTTGCTGGGAGGAGCCAGGTCCTCAGCGCCGCTGATAGCGGGTCTCTTCCTGTCGTCCATCTTCACGAGCGTGGATGGACGAGGCGAGGCAGAGGGTGTCGTTGCCACAGGCATGAGAAGGCGCGTCAGGGAGGGCCGGCAGGGAGGGTGGAGGGCGAGCAGAGGGGAACAGGAAGAAGCAAAGAATACTCTCAGGCTGATGTCGTCCTTGGACTGCTCGCGCAAGCGTTCATGTGGCAGGGCGCGACGGTCAGCAAGGAGGAGATGCAGAGGCAGAGTCCGACAAGGAGTTGAAATTTCGAAGTTGCCTCGCAAAGCAAAGAGGCACGTCTGCGCGCCAAACCAAGCCTAGTGCAGCTCTAGCCTGATCGAGTTTTCTGCTTATCGGATGCATGTTTCGGCTAAAGCCCGGAAACGCTTGTCATGCACCCCACTTCTGCAACCAACTTTTCTGGCTTATCCGAAGAACCGTTTGGCGCATTGTAAAAAAAAAAAAATTGGCCGATTAAGATTGACTAACTTTCCTATCTTTCAAGCGCGGCGCAGCATCTTTTGTTTTTACCATCTACATGTCAAATGGAGTAAACCCAACCAGCGGCCGCGCTTTACTTTGCATGCCACACCACTAAGCCGAAATGAGTTCCATGTTCAAGAAGAAGGGCGGCCTTGCCTTCAAACCAAGAATCCCATCTGCACGACCACGCCCCGCGATCCCCGCCGCAGATGTTGAAACCGAGAAAGAGGTCATCGAACCGGAATCTGTATCTATCGCAGTAGTTGAAAGCCCAAGCCTCGACGCCCGAGAGAGTTCAAATAACGCCATCAGCACAAGCGAATCGGAAAACATCACCTCGCCAGAATCTTCTGATGCTGCGAGAGCCAGCTCCATTATCACATCTGAGCCGTCGACTCAGGATGTCTCTAGCCTTAAGCCTCAAGAGGACGTCCAGCTGCCCGAAGCACAACAACCAAGCGTTCCGCAAGGGTCAAATATCTCTCCCAGCACAACAGTAGAAGCTGCGACAACAGATGCGCAGCACTTAGAGCCGCCGAAGGCAAATAAACCAAGAGAGCCGCCGCCCATTGTTGAAGATCACAACATTGCGCCGGAACTAAGAGATCCACCACGTCCAACACAAGATATCCAGGACACTACGCCCGAAACATCGGCAGGTACAGATGCATCACAAACTTCACCACTTGTCGCTCAGGAAGTCACACCAGCATCTTCCACGGCGCCGAAACCAAGAACTAGAAGGAAAGCACCCGCCTCAGCAGCGGAGGGTGCTGATGGGGACGTGGACGCCGAGGCACGGCCAAAAAAGCGTCAGCGCAAGGCATCAGAAAACGAGAGTGGCACCGCCGCTGCCAAGCCTAGGCAGCGCAAGGCGTCTACTCAGGATGGGACAACAACACCCCGAACTAGAGCGAGGAGAGCTCGCTCAGTAACACCAGAGGACGCGGAAACACAGGTGGTGGATCTGCAGAACCTAAAAATGACAGACTTGACAAAAGATTTACATATTGGCAAAAAGTTCAGCCGCCACGACGAACTACGAGAGCGAGAACGACAAGCGAGAGTAAGATCTAAAGTCAAGAAGATGATGGGCGACACCAGCCGTGATGGGTCAGAAGCCCCAGAAGTACCAGGAGACCCGGCAATCAAGAGCAAAAGCGCTACACCAACCGCCGCGTCTTCACCAGCACCTGCCTCTGGTCCCCAGTTCCGAATCGTCGATGGACAGATCATTATCGATCAAAGTTCATTGGTCATGGATCGACATGCTCGTGCCGCAGCAGCACGAGGTGACATGGAGACGGTGGAAGAAAACGATTTCACTAGGCTCATCACCAGTAGTTCGTTTATGAACACTTCAAAATTAAAGGGGCCAAACATTTGGACCGAAGAAGAAACAGAGCTCTTCTACCGAGGCCTTCGCATGTTTGGAACAGAATTCGAGATGATCTCCCGGATGTTCCCCAACAAGCAGCGCCGACACGTAAAGTTAAAATACAACCGCGAAGAGCGCCACTGCCCCCATCTCCTCAACGCCGCGCTCATAGGCGAAAAGACGGTCCGGATCGACATTGACGAGTACAAGGCCTTTACGGGCATTGAGTTCGAATCCGTCGAGTCCATCGAGGCTGAGCAGCGCAAGATCCAAGATGACTTCGAGGCCGAGCAGAAGCGCGTCGCCGACGAACAGGCCGAAATCATGCGCAAGAAGCGCGAGGAGCTGTTCGCGGACGAAGACGCCTCGGGGAAGAAGAAGAAGAAGGGCAAGAAGGGGAAGCAGGCTATACAGTATGGGCTAAACGGCGAACCAATCATTTCTGCGGAAGCTTGAATCTGAAATTCATTGCGCGTTTTCCCCCCATTGGCATTTTTCTCTCTTTTCATTTTGCTTTTGCTTTCTCAAATCTGCTTTTCGGCATAGTATCGGCGTTTTAATTTTTAGAGCAACAAGGACATTTAGCTCAGGCAAAGGAAGGATATTTAAGGATTTTGGAAGGACAATAATACCCCTCAGATGTTTTATGAAGTGGGGTTTTCTTTGCGATTTGAGAACTACATGTACTTAGTTATGGACAGAACAAAGATGATTCATTCGTTCATTTATTCAGTATAAAAAAACAATACTCAAGAACTTACTGTTCGATTTGTTCATATATTACCATCCTAGATATCTGCGACTTACTCTTCACGACAGAGGATTAAAAATCCTAAATGAAATTTAGACACAAATCTGCTTTAACGACTTTTTTTGGTTTTGCCAAATTCGATATCAGAGTAAGTAGCTTCCATATAACCTATCAAAGCGTCCTGCATCCCGCGTCCTCGTCTCGCCTGTTCTCGTCCTGCCTTGGGTGCAATGGGCCGGCGCTTTCTTTCTTTCTTTCGACCAGGTCCAACCCCCAAATGATACTTGATTTTCAAAAAGCAGCAGCATTATTACGGCCGTTCGCCCCACGAGGTCATCCTACGCCTTAATGTTGCCAAATTATCAAAATAATCTTCCATTTGTCCTCCCATGTATTTCCTTTGCTCATTACAATTGAAACGCTCCAACAGCCTCTCAGCTTCCCACGAAATTATCTTCTTAGTTCGACGGTGGCTCATCGTCCTCTGGCTGATCGAAGAGGAAGTTTGCCGCAAGCTCCTCATTCTTATCGCAGGCAAAGTAGGCCTGGATGGCTTGGTCCCGGTCAAATCCAAGTCGGCATAACTGTAAGCTTTGTTAACAAGGGTATTCATCACTAGTACAGACGAAGGAATAATAGAGAAAGAATACTGACCCGCTCAATCGCATCACGCTCCTCTTCTGTAACAGAGATGGCCTGGGCACCGGGGGGCAGGGGAACGTCATCATCAGCATCCTCACCAAGGAGCTGCAGGAATTGGTCGGGGTTCGAAGCAATCAGCTGGGCAAGCTGAGGGTTGCCGGCACCGAGCTGTTGCAGAATAGGCTCAAGCATTTGGGGCTGCTGCTGAACTACTTGACGAAGCTGTTGGAACTGAGCATTGTGACGAAGGAAATCAAGGTTGCCCAGGTCGCCCTGTCCAGCGCCAGCGGCCGCGGGGGCATCGCCGCCGCCGCCACCTCTTCGCTGAGCAGCAAGATCAAACAGATTAACGCCACCATCGTCATCAGTAGCAGGGGCAGCAGCTGCAGTTGCGGTGGCGGCCTGCTGTTGGCTCGCTCGTTGTTGCTGCTCTTGTTGGATGTTCTCGGGGATACCCTTGGAACTCATGTTAGTGAAAATGGCAACCAAGTAATAGCTTTACACGGTACCCACAGTTAGAAGATATTCAACAGCTCTGTCGGGGTTGTTAAAGGCGGCACGCATAGCCGCCTCGATTTGGGTTCTCTCGAAGCCCATGGCTTCCATGTTAGCGATAGCCTCGGCGCGCTCGGCACCCATGGCCAAGCCAGAAACACCGCCGGCCGGCGACTCGACGGAGCGGTTCGGAGTCGGTGTTGCTGGAGGGGGGGGTTGGCTAGAAGTCTGAGAGGGAGCAGGGGGCACAGCAGGTGTGCTAGGAACTCGTTGCGCAGGAGTAGCTGGCGGTGCTGCGGCGGCGGCAGAGGGTGCGGCGGCGGCGGGCCTGGGCTATTGTGGCAAAGGTTAGACCGTGAAAAGAGCTATCATGGTATTCCGATATCAGGCTATACCTTGTTCACCATACAGACAACAAACCCCTTCTCCTCAATATTGTATGACTGAACGGTATCGTCATCCTTCAAGATTTTGCCTGTATCAGGTCAGAACCAGCGCAGCGCAACAGTGCGAAGGCAGGGTATATCAAACCTGAGTAGATGAGTTTCTGGCTCTTGGGGTCCCAGCCCTTCTCGGCCGCGATCTTCTCCTTGACGGCGGAGATCTGATAGAGAGCACCGTGGTTAGTAGTCGACTCCAACAAGGGCGATAAGCGACGATAATACGGGTAGCTTTCGCAGGTATGGATGACAAAAGACGTACTTGGTCTGTGGGCTCTACATCGAGGACGAATTTTTGTTGCTTGAGATCCTGGAGGAAGATTGAATGTTAGCCACAATGGATGAACGAAACCATCGACTGGAGGGAAAATGGAGATATCGTAGCCATGCTGAAGCTCGTATGATGCTCCGCGCAGGCCGGGCTATTGCTGGCGACATACTCGAAATGTGACCTTCATGATGGGCAGATGTGTCTGGCAGCGATGTGGCTGCGTCGGATGGGAGGGGAGAAAAAGGTCGAGCGGGATGCCTCGCTGTTGTCGTCGCAGGCGGGCAGCAGATACGAATGCGCAAGGGTCGGCTAGAGAGAGAAAAGCTATCGATGGAGATGGATAGAGGAGTGCGCCGCTGGAGGGCAGAGGCGACAGGCGGGATCGTATGTCGAGGCAGATTTGGAAGAGGTGGAAGTTATTCAGGCTGCGGCCCTGGGCTTTGCAGAGGGTGGGGTCAAGCGAGAGAAGCGTGCGGCAGTCTTAGTGGTGGGGAGAGCGGCAAAAGCGCTGAAGGACTCCACTGGGGACTACTAAGCTGCTGGCTGCTTGTCTGCGGTGGCTTTTGGGGCACATGCATTGCATGCAGCTGTATGTGCTTGGCTGCTTTGTATGACCACGAGGGCCGATATCTGGCGTGAAAGCTGCTACGAGACAGGCGGAACTAAGATGGATGCTCTATGCCTTGACAGTGTTACATTACTAGTGGTAGCCGCTTGCCTGTCTTTATTCTTACCGTTGTCTTGCACTGTCGACAAGCCGGGCTACGAGTTTAGCCAGAGTACCATAGTAGTGAGACTTGATTCTCAGCCACATCAAGACAACGAAAATAAAAGCAGCAGCGCCAGAGTCGCAAAACTGCCACTCTACCTTGTGTATACCTACCTAGTACCTACTAACCTATATGTGTATGGAGTCCTCCAAGGCACCAGCCATCAAGGGCCGCGTAATTTCGCATCTAGAGTTTTCCCAACGCCCATGTAGATTTGCATGCCACTGCAGTCCAACATCACTGATGACATACGCCACGACTGCCTGCTGCCTGGTCAAGGTACATCGAGTCCGGTGCATCGCGATATGCGCAGCCAAGTACCCCAACGAGCCGAGACTTAATACTTGGCTCCCGAGCCTCGGATTAGCCCATGAGTGTATTCTAGCGCCACTTGCGCCTTCTTGTGTATTGGTAGTGCTAGTCCTGCTACAGGCACAGGGAGGTACTCGAGAATTGGCTACTAAATAGTCACATAGAGTTGAAGCTTCCAATCACATGTCATTAGCCACAACGGATCGCCTATCACTTGGCATCCACTTCAACTACATCATAAACGCTAATACCAAGGTCAAATATGACGTTGCTTTTATTTGCTAAATATAGTCTGCCGACGAAGCGAAGTGAAGTCTAGAGGGATGTATACACATGCTATATGTGCATCCCTGAAGAAAGAGAAGGTATAATGGCAAGATCAATGAAAATGAAAAGGGCATCCAACGCCACGCTCATCTAATACTTTGGCCAACAACAAAATGGTATCAACGCCATGTTTCCATCCATATCCTTTCTAACGTATATTTTCCATTTGTTCCGGTGTTCTGGCGTCCCCCATGAAGTCGATAAAAATGGTTCGGGTTCGTTAAAAGATAAAGGAGGGAATAATAAATAAGAGAAAAGAAAAAAAAATCAGATACGTTAAGTCGTTAAAGGTCCCCTTCTATAGCCCAATCATAGTTCCCTGCGCAGCCATTCAGGCGCAGGAGGTGCCATGTCCATGTCACCTGCAGCCTGTTCGCTGAGATCCAGCTCAGACCGATACATTCTCAGCGACCTGGAATCATAGCCGTCGTGCCTGTTCAGGTTAGGAGGCGCGATCGGCAAGCTGTCGCTTCGCATGCGGTTGAGGGATAGGCTGCTCGACTGGCGGACAAGGACTCGTGCCGCATCTGGCGCCGCCATGACGATAGTGCCAGGCGTTGCAAAGGGATGCGGGTCAGGAGAGTCGGATCGGAATAGAGGATGGATATGAGCCTCGCTGCTGTTTGCGCCCGGCAGATCACGAAGCTCCCGTTTGATAGACACGGGGCTGTAGCTTCGGCTTCGACGGCGGGTTTGAATACGAGGCGGTTCAAGTTCGACAAAGGACTGCGGCGATGGACTCCGGCTGGCCACAGGGCTGGCAGGAATGGTTTCGAGTCCGCGAGGCTTGCTTTGCGTAGGTGTTGAAATTTCCATAACAGCCTCTCGGTTGTGTACGTCTACCGTTGAGGTATCCCAGGAATCAAAAGCGTCGTCACCCATGGTACTTCGGTTGGCGGTCGAATCCACCGACATGGAGCGGCTCCTCTCCTTTGAAGAGCGCATCTTTGACTTGCTCGAAACGGAGCGAATTGAATGTGATACATAAGTCACGGACGATGCGACAGTCTCAGCCATTGACTTGCGGTCAGCCGAATTGGAGCGACTTCGATTGCCCTGAGATTCCAGCTGTGCAGTGGGATTCGTCTCATCCGTGATAGGCATTGTCTGGCTATATCTGATGGTCTTGAGGTTAACCTTGCGCGATCGTCCGTTCTCTACGTCTTTGCTACCGTCTGCAGAAGTGAAAAAGAACTGGTGAATAGTATATAGGATTTGACTAGCAATGGCCAGCGCAAGTGTGATGGAAGATCCGATAAGAAGGTGTTGATTGTCTCCTCCATCGGCCTGGGCCAAGTACACCAGTGCAACGATTGAGGTCACTGTCGCAATGACGCAAGCCGAGATCTTGAGACCATAGAGGATGTTCCGTAGCGGCTTGGATCGCCCTGGAAATGCAGATAGAATATCGGCCGCGATAAGCCATGCCAGGAGGGCCAGAATTGCGGCTTCGAATGCCGCAGCGACACTTGATGTTATTCTGCCGGGTGATGACTGAGGAACGCTTACACTGATGGCAATCTGTGTGCACAGCGTGGCCGTCGTGGTGACAAACGTGAGCGCTCCCAGCGCAATAGAAATGATTCGAGGCATTGTTGACCAAAATGAGCGTGGCCAGCCCAAGAGGGGAAACCGGAAGAAGAAAGGATTGTTGTTTGGAAGAATTCCAAGCGGTATGAGAGAGAGGACTGAAACACAGAGGCTTGCGCCAAGCGGGTAGCCGATTGGCTATTCAGAGAGTGACAATGCGGGCGCGCACAGATCGTCAACCGCCAGCTCGACCAGGAAGATAAAAATAAAAAAAAGCAAAGCCCAACGATGGCAATGGACAAGAGCCAACAAAAAAATTCTCGAGGTGTTGGTGCGATCGATGTGATGCTGCAGCTCGTTCTCTAGTGCCCTTCTTTAGATCCGGCAGATGGTGGGAATCCGGGGCTTGTGATTTTTTGTGATAAGTGATAGCTGAGACAGGCGACAGTAGCCACGGCAAACGAAGGTCGGCAGGAAGCCAGGTAATGCTCTCATCGATTCGATTGAGCAAGCAAAAGGAGTGTTACAGCGGCTTTGGAGCAGGCATTCCGGATGGGGAGGTAGAAAGAGAGAAGCACCACAGGAGGGTGGATAGCCTGGAGAAGTGAAAAAGAAGAAAAAGAGCGAGAGGAAAAAAGGAACAAGACCGGTCCAGGATGAGGGGGAAGAGCTACACTAAAAGCTCGCAGAACCTCATCCTCTCGGGGAATACGCGTTCGGGGCCTGGCATAGGCCTTACTAAAAACGACTTGCGCGGAAGGGCATCCGGGCGTGCGTAAAGCAGGTACACCACGGTATACAGTAGGTGAGATTTTTTTTGATTTTTTTTTTCTCCTTCGTTCTTCTGCTGCAGAGGTGGATGCAGGGACAGGGGACGGGACATCTTGGGAAGGGCAACCTTGCATCGTGACAGGGGTATGTCAAACTTTGGCTCTCAGCCCAACCGGAGGGGGCCCTTGTTGTTTTGGCTGTTTTACATAAACAAGAAGAGAATAGACGGCGGAGCAGCCGGGAAAAGAATTTGCCTAGGCAGAGCACAAACGGAGCCGTCTCCTTGTTGTTTGCTTGGTGTTTATTACACGTTATTCTTTTTTGGTCATGCTGTAGCTTTTGAGCAGCGGCTGATGAACTGTTTTGAGCATTGAGCCCTTTAGATGCAAAGTATATTATATTGACAGTTCCAATAGATGGAAAACATGCTTTCCGCCGTTGCTTATAGAGCGAGCGTCAGCCGTTCCTGGCCGAGATGGCTGCATAATATAAAGCAGACGCAACGAGCAACAGCTTTTGAACGAGGCATGACCTGACAGGGCAGGCAAAGTTAAACTTAATCGCATGAACCCTCGCAACCACCACCTTTTTCCAAGTCCTTGCATGTACTTTGTATATACGAGAACATATTCATCACGAGACTTGACGTCAATGTTGTACATGGTTTGAAGTAAATAGAAGCGATTGAGACAACAAAACACAGCAACAGAGGCGAGTAAGTGGGAGGATGTGAAGGGCAGAAGCCATCTGTCTGAGGGCCAGGGTACGAAACCCCTGGGCGCAGGCACAAGTAGACCCTCTCCTGTGTGCGGTGAAAGGGTACCTGCGCGCAAAGTACCGAGAGGTCCACGGCTCTGGGACAGCGGTTGCGTCCCATTTTAGCAACCCGGCGCCACGGAAACTCCTGGCATGTAACGAGGGCCGAGGGGAGGGGATCCATAAGCATATCGGGGCCAAGATGACAGGTACCTGTACGACGGCAGCAGCGCTGAAGAGTACGATGTCCGAGGTACTGCTCCATAATTGCACACACTGTCTCGTTTTGCCGGGCTCCTCTTCTTCCCACTTGGCTCTTCGCCCGGTTGCTTCTTCATTCTCTCCTAGGGCTTGGTTGATTCCATGAAAAATCCCTGTTAGTTCCTCGCGTAAAAGCTTTTCTTAATTTTTTTGTCCTTTTGAGCAGGGCAATCGTCGCCCGTCGGATTACATCTGGGAATAAACCTAGCGCGGAACCTGGATATGCAAGCATAAAAGCCTCCGACGCCTGTACGAATCGGAAGCCCTAACCTGCATTGCCCATCTGCTCTGGGCAGCAAGGGCAGAACTTGGCAAAATTGATAATTCAGCCAAACGCCCATTGCCAGGGCAAAGTCCCCTACACGCCCCATATTTCCGTTGCTGTCCCGTGAATGAATCATGTCCATGTACTTTGTCCCATGCTCGCCATCTTACGTGTCATCAGCTCCCCATCTCAGATTTGTCCCCGTGGTTAAACCGTGGCAAGTGGAAACAAAATCCAGCCGTTGCCGGGCTGGCCTGCCCCCTGAAAAAAACACCACGTTTTGGAAGGGCGAAGAAGATGGAAGCAGAGAAAATTATTGAAAGACAAAACAAAACAAAGCAGCTTTCGTTTCAATATTTCGATAATTCTGATCCTATTTCATTTCCCGCAATAGTCTCCAGTCCCTCCCCAGACTAAGACGCGAAACAATTGCGCGCCGTCATGTAAACAAATTGGCCGTGGCAGCTTTTTCTTCCTGTTCCAAGGCACAGTAGCTCCAAACTCTGCCGGCGCCTCGGTGGAGAGCTGATTCCCCCTTTTGGCTCGCTCTTGGCCCGTTTCTGTGCCTGGGCGCTCAAAAGAACATTGCAAACCTCATAATGACGGCGAGCGCGGGCTCAGGCATGGGCCCGGCAGTCTCACATTGCGAACCATCTGGAGTGCGGGACGGGGTGCTGTCGACTCATCCCCAGAATGAATCTCGTTTGGACCTGCTCAGCCACGTGTGGGAGTGGCTGCGACACGGCGTGTTGAAGAATGTTTCTCGCTTCTGCAGGCGAGGCGAAGCCCATCGGTACCTGCATTCGATACGATGCTTCTTACTCGTGCACAGCCATATCAGCAAGGCCATACCGCTACTCGTGTGCATGCATGCAATCTCTCTCGTGGGTGTATGTACGTGTATGTACATACATACGGAGTACTGCTGCATGCATTGAATTAGATGCTATTGGTAAGCTTGAAAGGGGAGCCCGCAGTGCGCACCTTAGGCAGCCTAGAAACACCAATCTCTACTAGCAACGGTTCTCACATTGCTTGCTGTGTCGGCACTTGCACGTGCTTGCACATGCAGATACTATTTCAACAATCCAATCAGCACTTACAAAGCACAGTAGCACTCAAGCAACCGTCGCGTGCTGCCTACAGCCGATTCACGTCAGCAACATCGGCACTTTACACTTATACGAAGCAAATGCTCCGTACTGCACACACAGGAATACTGCCGCTTCAGGCAAGGGGCCTATGTTACTGCATGTGCCTGGGGGCCTAGGACTTGTCTGCCAAGTGGAGCGGCGCAGGCCCGTGGCTTGGGCCCCTTGCAGCTCAGCTTACTTGTGCCAGCAGCCGCACAGACAGCGCAAACAAGATTGGAGGGCCCAGGAACTTACCGTCACCCTAGCCAGCTGAGCAGGCAGTTAGCTCTGTGAGTGTGCGTAATAAGGTCGTGACGTATATGAGTACTTTATGCATTGCTAGCAGCAGGAGTATAATCTTGCACGATCTCGTAAAAGCTGATGATGCCGAGTAGGTACATGCTAAAGGTTGCTTTCGATATATGGCGTCCCTACCGCTGACAGCTATTTTTAACATTGCATGCAGTTTGCTCATAGCTTGTGACGTAAGCACGTGTGGATGGCCTCCCGCGGTGAGATCGACATTCCAGCGCCTGGTGTAAACGGTCAACGACAAGCGGCTGCAGAAGTGCATGCAGACCGCCAATTAACGCGGGGAGGGTTGATGAACAAAGATGGCGTTGACGCCTATGGCTTGCTTAACCTCTAGAATCTCGGGAAGAAGCTTAAATCTCGATCTGCTCTCTTGGTAAGTAGAGTCTACGGACAGAGTTATTGAACCAATATCACGGCAGCATGGCCCAGCAGCCCATTCAGCATAGGAGGCGTGTTGCCAAAAGAGACGCCAAGAGTACAACCACAATAGCACGATGCCAATGCGCTTGCAATCATGGAAACTGCAATGCCAGTTGCTTAAACGGCCCGACATCAGCATTCAGCCGATGAGTTTGGACCACCACGGGGTCTATCTCCTTCTTCTGCCCGGATTCCTGAAGCTCTCACCCTTTCTACATTCGAAGTAGTCCTTTCTGTTTCTTGGGAGCATACCAATAACAGAGCTTGTGCGTGCTTCAAACAATGTCACATGCAGCTGCAGCCCATTTCTGAGCACGGTGCTCTCCGCCGCTCTCGCGATCTTGACTTGTTTAGGCTTTCAACTAGTATCGAGATTTAGATCGTGCATAAGGTTTCAAATAGTCATCAAAGGGTGCAGCTGTCAATGTTCTTATTGCAGATGTCTTCTTCAAGAAGACGAGCATATAAAGCGTATGACAATACTAGCCACTTACCATCTTGAGGCCACAAGACCCAGGCACGTTCAACAGCAATTGCCAAGTACAATTTCCAATATACATTGTCATGCGTAAAAAGTACATGTATGTAACTTTTCCACTTCCACAAGATGTTGGTCCAATACTTGAATCAAACTCCGATGCCCTGCATGCAGCATGCACGAAATCTACATGTCCGGCTCTCCATGTTTCACATAGACAAATGATCGTCATTACGCTCAAGTTAAGTCTCGCATAAAAATCACCTCTTCTAGAGATATACAAATAACTTTCCATATAAATGAAACTGTACGGAATTATACAGTCCGCCCTTTTTTTGTCCTGGTAATCTTGAGAAGTCTCCTTTTCTTTTACCCTCGGACTTTGGAGATCCAGAACCAAAAAATATGAAAGATTACAAGGAGATTTGGTTCAGGATTGTTCTGGCACAAGATTGTTTGCTCGCCTAACCGGATGCTCGTCGATATTACCCAAAGAGTGATCAGCATCAGCCATCTGCGCTCTCCCTGCATCATTTCAAGGTCATCCCGTCGCTCCGTGCCATGGTCCTACCAAAGCGTCGGATCTCGCGTCGATCAGGGTGTCGTTTGGAAGTGCTCTCAAATACAGATGCTTATCTTCCATACATCTGGGGCATCGAGGGCCAACCACAGTACCCTTGGGACCGGCAGTAATTGCACAGATGCTCAAAGCTCGGATCAACAGCGCGCACCGTCCTCACCGTTATCCTTGAGTTCTGTGGCGGTGTTTTTACGATTTGCATTATCAGTATTCTGTGCGCGGGTCCGCCAATTTTGACCACTCTTTGGCCCATCGTAAGAATTCCTCTTTTGATGCCTTGTCATCTTTAGAATCTGCAGCCTTCTCAAGGGCAATTTCCGATAGTAAGCTGAACATGTCGCCCCTCCCATTGGAAGCGGCAGTAAACAGGTGCCTTTCTGCAGCATCCTTGTCGCTTACGCGAAGTAATTTGCCAAGCTCGACATCCGCCTCAACAAAACCGATGCCGGATAGTGACTCAAGTAATACTCGAGCTTCTTCATGCTTGTTCGTTTTGACCAATGATTTGCCCATGCATAGTTGACAGTTATGCTTCCATTCGAAGTCTGGGGTCCCCACCTGCAGTGCCCGTCGCAACGCTCTGATTGCAGCTTCGTAGTTCCCCTGTTCGTACTGGAGTTCGCCCTCCACAGTAAGAGCATCAGCGTCTCTTGCTGTCGAGACGAGTTGCTTGAATCGCGCCTCTACCTTTCGCAGTTGGGGGACGCGTCCGTAGGCACCAGATCGCACAAGATGCCTCGCAAGCGACAAAATAGAGGGCCGATAACCAGCGTCAGAGGCCGATGCCCAAAGCGCGGTTGAAAATGCGTCTACGCTCCGAGGACCACGAATTTGCCGCATGATGCAAGCGGCTTCGTGGATTACCTCAACAGAGAAGCCGTCCTCTTCAAATGGTATTAGTACTCAGTGACGCAAAAAGAATAAATTAGAGTCAACATGATACGTACTGCCTGTCAATGCTACGGACCATGGATCTGAGCCCCGACTTATTGCGTCGTGAAATTTTCTGACGCAATCATAATATTCAGTAGGGGGGACTCGATTGAAGGCCTCTCTGTTTCTCTCGATAACGGTTGCAAAAGAAGACATGGGGATCTCAGACAGGTTAAACACTTCAAGGGGTGACGGGCCGACTCTCTTCATCTTTGGTACTGCATAATGTCGAACTTGGCTATGGCTGCCAACTGTCGAAGCTTGCGGCCTAATCGGATATGCTGCGGAGGCGACTCTCAATGACCGTGCTGAAGCCATTAGAGGCCGTAGAGCCTTGCAACAGCTGCAAGCAGACATTATCTCCAGAAAAGGGGTTGGAAGAAGAAGCGTATCTCTTGTGAAGTGCCAATCCAGAGAGTCGCATGAAGAAAACAGACTGGGAGTTTAGTATCGCTAGTTGGAGTGAACAATTCACTGCTCTCAATAAGCGTCGCAGAAGCTAGTGATATCAATTGACAAAAAATTGAAAAATATACGAAATCCAATGTCTCGTTGGCTCGCAAGTTTCACAAGTGCATCATCTCCGTTGGACGTTCATGAAATCATACAATGATACATATGTAGTCTGGTTGGGACGGCAGTTGAAAGCTTGCTCTGTATTCGTTTAAGCGGCCGGCCAATCAGGCGCGCTAGGAGTTCGGCGGCCATCTGCCCAAGGGCCCCGCCGAAATTTTTTTGAATCTCGAACCTCAAGCAAATCACAAATCGACTGCATCAGGGTGAGAAGAAGCATAAGAAAAGCGCGATTCGAAAAAGAAAGACCTATTTGAGAAGAGAGAAAGAGCGGCCTACCCCAATTGATAATCAGAATTTGAAGGATTTGGCGTGATTGGCAAAGCAATTCGCAGTATCCGACGTGTCGGACTAGACACCAAACTTAGTGAAATTTTTCACAGCCCCGAATCTCATCGCCAACATGCCCGTTCAAACCCGGAGAAGGGCGGCTATGCAAGAAGCACCCGTAGAAGGAGGTGCAGGCGCCAGAAAGAAGTCAAGTGCGAAATCAAGCCCCGCGCAGAAGCTGCCAGTGAGAGAGAAGGAAGAAGAAGTGCCTACGCCAACCAAGGGCACTCTCAAAGTTTTTGATGATGAGGATGAAGATGAGGTGAAGGCTCCTCTTGAGTCACAATCAAATCCAGCTGCTCAAACAGCGGAGGCGGCAGAGGACGAGCAGGAGGAGGAGGAGGAGGAGGAGGAGGAGGATAGCGATGATGAAGCTCCGGAAGCTGTGTCTACGACCAAGGTGGCTGAAGAGATCAAAAAATCCGCCCAAGTTGCTCAACAGGCAGCTAAAGAGTATGTTTCCCTATTGCCAGTTTTTAGATCCCTTCTTTGTCTAATTATCCTACCAGACAAGCTGCTACACAAAAGCGCAAGCGTCAACTGCGTGATGAGCTTCTCAAGAAACAAGCCGAGGAGCGAAAGAAGGCAGATGAGGCCAAGGAAGAGGCATCCGCCATTAAGCCACAAACCAAAAAGTCTGAAGCCAGCAGCGGGAGGAAGCGAGTGCAGAAATCTGACATCCCAGCCGTTCTCCCCGCCGAGTTCCTGGAAGATTCTTCAAGCGAAGATGAGGACGAGGATGCCGCTGATGCCGCTTCAGGGCCGAAGAGGCGAAAGGTTTCCGGAGTCGAGAAGAGGCTCACACGCCTGGATTCTGGGCCCAAGGATGAAGTGGTCAACTCTACCGTGTACCGGGTGGCCAAGAAAACGGACGAAAGAATGGCGCCCAAGCTCAAGAAGCATACCAAGTCTTCCAAAGACTTGCTCTTGAAGCGAAACAGGCCTATTGCGAAATCTGGAACCGGATTTTTTAGAAAATGAAGTTTAGGGGCGGTGCTTCTTTGCCAGCTACGTGTGGCGATAACCGAAACATCACAACGTTCATGATTAATCAACTCTTCTTGCATACGCGGGACGTTTGCCTGGCAGCATACTACATGTCGACATATTCCATGTTAATAGGGCTCTAGGCTGCTATTAGAGGTTTTCAGATGCATCTCCGGAGTGCCACTTCGAAGAGCAGATGAGACTTAGCGTGTACCATCGATGCTCTTCTGTCGAATACATCAACGGCATCAAAAATTATTATGCAATTAATATAAAGTTGGGTATGTAGGAGTTTTTTTTTAGGCAATATACTATGTTAAATAAATACGGAAAGACAGCGACAAAGGCAGACGAGAGCCACTCTTACAGGCTACCAAGCCATTGCTTCGCAAAAATGCTTTATGTAGCTGATGCATTCTTCAAATCTTCACGAAGAACATAAGTATAATGTACATCACCGTATTTCAAACAAAACTCTCCACTATCTCTCTCCTTGAGATAACTGTGTTTATGTATCTGCAATGCTAGAGCTCACAGCTAAAGGGTCTTCCTATTTGGTCAATGCTTATTTCTTATTTAAACAGGTGTAGCCCATTTAATATTGAGGTAGATTATTGCATACGTCACACTGAAATATACTGCGTAACATGACCTAATATATACCATGCTATTGCTCCTTTTTCTTTCTCCTTTTTTAAGTTAAGTGAAAGAGTAGAATGCTCGAGAGTATTCCACTCGCAGATATAAGCTTTTTAGCACGTTCCCATTTCGAGGGTATTCACTGTCGATTGAGCAACCTGAAGCAAAGGAGCCTTCTTTGTGCCCGTAGATGGCTAGCTGCCTGCAAAGTCATTCGAACTAGTAGGTGGTAGTCAGTCGATGGCATATCCATAGAGTTTAGCTCTGCAGACGGCTCGAATTCTTGCTTATAAGCAAACCCTCTCCTTTCAACATACTATACCTCAGCTTTTAGACGGTAGTACGTTTAGTGGCTTGAGGTCATTTGAATCGGGCGGGACGCCAAACGGGTAACGGGTGTAGCGCGACTTGGAGTCAGTTAGAGATTCTTGAGACGGACCAGTCCGTGCCTCTTTACTTTGCTTCCCCCGCTGGCCGCGTTCGAACTGGGGGTTAGGGAAAATAATTGCGAGGGTAGCGCTCATCCTTGCTAAAAGAATGGTTGATTTCTATCATGGCGAGTCATGCTCAGACCAAATGACACATCACTCTACTGCCATGAGATGAAGTGGGGGATATGAAGTTTGATGGACAACCTAGTGTCTCTTGGCCGCAATACATGCTGCCCACGGCAGTTAGGAGAACCCACCGGACCGATATGCCGTCGGCCGTTGGAGGCGTTGAAGCCGATGTCATGGTAGAATTATCGCCGCTTGGGTCGGAAGTGCAGATTCACGCCAGAGGGCTTTACATACATTGCTGCCTAAACCCTGGCCGTCGGGAGTTTTGCAAACGCGCCTAGCGCTTCCTTTTGACCTATGTATCTTGTCCAAGAGCGCGGCGATGTGGTCTGGAACATGCATGCTGTCTGTCGCTTCGCAGACGCTGCTACCCTAGAACAAACCAATCCAAGTAAGGAGTACTACTCCGTAGACGGCTTGGACTATATCAAGCATCGTATAGATTTTGCTCAGCTTTGGCTCACGAGTCAATCATTGCGGCTCTAGTGCCTCGCTTAAGGCGCGACGGCGATTCATAGCCGCCGCTATGGCAGACATATACGGCACGGACATGATGCTATAAACTGAAGGGGAGGCATTCTGCCTTGCGGTTTTCGGCAGCGGCGCGAAAACAAAGATTTGCTGCTGCAAACGAAAATAGGTATCATCGCGCAATGTAGTCGGCCAATATTCAACGGCACCATGGCTATGCTCGCAGAAGTTAGCCGAGCTGGTTCCTGCTCGTCGGAGTGCCAGGAAAGTTTCCAGCAGTGTTGCATCATGACGAATGCACCAGTACACATCAGGAGCTTAGTTCATCCGGAGACCATGCAAATCTCTGCATTATCGTAAAGCGTAGGCAGGTGCCTTGCAGAACATCGTTCGACAAATAATCCCTTGCTCAAGTCCCCTGGTCCAAGGGCAATGCGACCTTCTTGGCGGCCTCGCGCAATGTGATTCGCCAGGACGTGGCCAGGTCCTGAGCCATTGACTCGGCTTGTTTCTTCCATGTTCCGGTGCATCATCGTGATTGAAAGAGGAAAAAGTAAAGGGCAGAGAAGGAAGGGGTAGCAAGTAAACAAAGCCATGTGGCGAACTGCCGTGGACTAGCTAGCTAAATCATTTGGAAATGACGCCAGCCATTGCAATTCAGATTCATGTGTGGAATTGTCACAACTCCCCCGCAGCTGTGAGTTCTTTTCGTGACATGTTGCAACACAAATGCCGTCCCGTTATACCACAACCAGCAAGTAGTATCGGCATGACGGGGGTGCATTACTCGGGACAAAGGTGAGGCTAAAGGTGAAGGGTGGTAAAGACGTTCTCTGGCAACTGATACGTCGCGGAATTGCCCCCAAGCGCTTCACGCTATGTAGGAGAACCGAGCCGGCTTCCGCCTGCGACGCTGCTGCCAGGAATAGCAATAGCAGAGCTGCGTCTTGTAAATGGTCACCGTAGCCCCCAAGGCCGAGATGATGCATGCAGCTAAGACGGCGGAGATATATCGAAATGGTGTAGCTCAGCGAGCTCTAGGGACGCCACATAGCCAGGCGTAGATGCTATGCCACATTAAGCTGCATTCCAGATTCTTTTTGATTCTTAGTTTCTTTTGTGACGACTGCATGTGTATGCGCAAGTGCAGCACTACTGCAGCCTTTGTCCAGGATGAAGTAAGAAAAAAATGACCAGCGGCGCCGCACACCACGTTTGTTTCATTTGGGACATGTGGAATTGGAGACCCCAGCGGGTCCAGGCATATGGAATGGGTAGTGCTAGTAAGAATCTTGGTCCGCAGATTGTCCATTCTCTTCTGGTTTCTTCGTGCAGCCCGCCAAGTCAGCCGGGTCGATTCTTTGGAGCTGAGTGTGGAGGAGGAGTCAAGACGAGCCATACCGGGTTTTTGCCCAACCCTAGCCATCCCACTGCCATGGTACTGTTCTCGTAAATTGAGACTCGGAACGAACGCAGCAAGTGATGAGTACTGTAGCATCCCCAGCATACGAGGACACAGAATGCAACTCTGCTGGGACATCCGCGGCAAACCCCCAGGCGATGCATATTAGCTGCATGGACCAGTTTCATGAGCTCATGAGCGCCAAGGGAACTGCCAGGATGCTGCTAGTGCTCCGTCACAGTGTCTCTTTCTTCTCTCTCCTTTGGCTAAGCTAACCTGTTTGTGTTAATGAGCGAGAGTCTCTCTCAAAGTCTCAAAGACCGAGTCTTTAGGCATTTGCGATATAAGAGATATGCGAGCCCTGATAGTAGTAACAGCGTCAGAAGGGCTTTAGACTCAACAGGTATGTCGTTATCGTGCCATGACTCGGCGCCTTCCATGCAATTCGACCGGTTGAAATCGAGTCTCAACTAGCGAATCGGCGGACTACTCCGTAGCAGCCTTACCTAGACATAAGTGTGTGCGGGTAGGCCGAGTGAGAAAAAGACGCAGATAGTTCCAAGCGCAAGTACAGATTTGGACATGTGCGACATGCAGCGCCAAATCTCTCGATCCCACTGGCTCGATCTTTGTTCAATGTGAGTAGCACCGCAAGCAGGTTCGGCCGAAGACTGGGATCGGAAGGATTGAGGGCAAATGTACATGTATCCCCCGTCGTCGTCTGGCTAACAACAAATGGCTGGTCACCTGTGTGCTCCCGCGCGTCTGTGTGTCTGCTGCTTTAGCGCCTGGCGATATGAAAAAGCAACTGCGCCAGTGCCCTGTGCTACACATACTATTGTCTATGAAGGCAGAGCACCGTTGAATTGTAAGGCAAGCTCCCGTGCTATTGCCGCTACCAGGTCAATTGGCAGCTGGAGCAAGATCATGGCAGAGTTAATGTCATAGCTCACTGGGTTCGCACCGCGGGCCGTCTCTGTGGCTGCTCCGCAATAGTGAATCCTGAATCTGGAAAGGCGGTCGTCTCCAGGGCTATCTTATAAGCAACGACGAGTTGCCCGCTTCTCTTCGTGCATTCATAGGCCGACAGAGCTCGCCATATCCACAGTTCGCCACGCGAGGCTAAGATAGTTGGCTTGAGACGCAAGTTTGAAGCTACCAGCACTAACTCACATGCCGGAAGCCATCCGTGAGGCTTCGGGCGAGCCCACGCAGAGTACAAGTAAGCCTGGGATAATTTCTTCAGCCATTGCAGTCTCGGCATACGCGATAAATATTGGGTAAACAAAAAGCAAATGCCTTGGATAGTGCGGCACATAGTCGTACAGCTGAGATGCTTTTCTTGCTCGGTACAAGGCAGCCGGGGACTCTGTGACGTGCATTAAACGCTTCCAAACAAACTTGCCTTGGATTCTACTGGCGGAATCCTATTGGTGCTTGCATCATAATACTCTTCCCCCATCGTCTATGTACCCGTAATAAGAGCGCACTGGCTACGGAGCCCACCGGCAGGATGGGTACCGGTTCACTGATTTGTTTTCGCGCAGTGCTATTATCAGTGAGCCCCCCCATCATGGCGCACTTTACCACGAGGAACCTGCCCCATATTCGTGCATGCTTGGACAAAGTAGGCTACCTGGGCCATATTCAACTCGCCCTGTTTTTTGGCACACCTTTCGTGCCTCTTGAACTGTGTACTGTAGTCCTGCTTTGATGCTCTAATTTGTAAGTCCGAGTATGTCAAATTCTGCAAGCGAGGACACTCCACGCAGGAATCCCATCTCCATCCTGAATGTGGTCGGTGCTATTCCCATTAGGCGTCTGGAAATTAAAGCTTTAATAATGGGCGAGGCCAAGTGCTGTGCGGCGGCATGCTTGGAAATTATTAACACCACAAATCTTTGCAGAAGTGCATGAAATTAGCGTTGATGGCGGACGAAAAGGCTAGCACCAGCAGAAGATTAGCGTCAGGTTGGGCATGCCCTGATGAAATGTGCATTTGGGAATTGGGGACAAACGGCGCGCTCTCCCCACCACCATGCAGACCATATCCGGTTCGGGATACGGTGACAGGGGCTCGCATGAATATTCAGGCAGGGATTCCCAGCAGCGGAGGAGAAGCCAGGCACCCGGCGGCCAAGGCGAGTGGCATGGCCATGCGACGTCCGGGTCAGAGTCTAGGTCAGAATCTGAGGAGGGATGCCAGTTCTTTAGCATTTGTCGTCGTTGCATCGGCCAGTCTCCGCCATGCAGAGCAGGCAATCAGGCCATTCCATTCCATCCATCCATCCATCCATCACTCCCCCCACCTCTCCCCAATCGGCAGTCTTCTACGATTTGGCAAAGGTGTGATGGTATTATTAGCATGTCTGTCTGTGCCTTTGCCTGTCTGTGCTCGTGCCCACTTGTTAGCATGTCTGTGCTCTACAGTATGCCGGGGCCTGCTCTTACTCTGGATGTCTGGCTATTGGCCAAGGTTTGTCGAGTACTACATCGCACCTTGAATGATACGGCATCTGACAGTTTTCTCCTCCGTTGCTGTCGTGTGGAGGCCCAAGTACGTTTAATCTCGCTCGGACCGTGCTGGCCCAGGATCTGCAGCAACCCGGGCTCTGTAATAGCTGTAGGTATGCCGCTGAAAGGGTCTATGGAGCCCTGGAGGCATGAGTTGGCATTGAAGTAGATGGAAAAAGAAAAGAGGGAGAGGCAAGAGGCACCGCATATGTGCCCAGTGTGATGTATACCGTATGTTGTTGGTGAAGCAGCTGCATGCTGCTAACCAAATCATCGCCGTGGCTAAGATGTCGACCATCAACCAACAGAATACGGCGGTACCTGCTGGCTACTTCTGCACGCCATCGACCGCTACCAAGGTTCCTGGGCCCATCGCCATTTCTGGAAGAACCCTGGGCTAGGAGTGCAGCAGCAGCTCAACATCGCCGCTTGGCCGCCGATATCACACTGCACCAAGTACTCCGTGCAAATCCCACCTGCATGCGTGTAGTCTGTAGTGATATTATGTACTGTAGTATATGGTGGTCGGCCATTGTGACCAGGCCTGTAACGCAGGAACCAGCATCAGCTGCAGCAAGAGCCCGGGGTTGTAAGAGGATGAGCACGACTGCAGAGAGACTACCGGGTACCCAAGCTAAGAAAACTAGAAGGCAAATTGTCCAGCCCCCCTTTTCCCTGGTTCCTGATGGTACGCCGTCCATGTAGCCGCAAAGTACCTTTTTCTGCCGGCAGGCCTCAATCTCTTTTCTCTCGGATCTTCTTCACTTTTCCCTTTTCCCTTTTCCCTGGTTCCTGGTTCCCTCCTCACCTCCTCGCTCTTTTCTGTCTTTTCTTCTTCGCCGCGCTCGTCCATTCCTTCAGCCCGTCAGCGGCGCTGCCTCCAGAGACCGGTAGCTCGAGCTCTGTCTCGTCTCACCCCGTGCTATAATCGCCAGCGTCCCGATCTAGGCACCGCTATCTTTTGGGCTTGCAGCCATCAAGCATCATGCGCTCGCGGTCCCCGCTCTCTCCAGTCTAAGAGCCAGCCATTGTCGAACCAGGAGCTAGAAACGCATCTGCGTGCACTTACTTTTTTCCCTTTCCAATCCCACCTCATCCCATCACTGCTGCTAGTAGTGCTACTGCGACTGCGACTACTACTTTACTCTTTACCTGACGGAGCGCCTTTCTTTTTCTTTTTCCTTGTTTCCTTGTTTCCTCATCCTGCGCTGCGTCTGCCACACCTGCTCTGCATACAAACGCTCGCCTCTTCCCCACCTCGGTGCTTGTCGTTCCTTCAGGATCTCTTCTCTTTCTTACATTTTGCCTTTTCGCCGCGGCCTTCTTGAAACGCTACGCCCAACCTTACGTCGATCCAAAAACCCACTAGTCAAATGTTCAGCAACTTGCGCCGTTCTGCACGCACTGATTAAGATTCAAGAGGCACTTGCTGAAACACGCAAGAGCAGTCAAGCAAAAGCAGTCAAGCGCAGCTCTTAGACTTCGATTATTGATTCTAGCCTGTGACCCACCCCAGTGGCTCTCCAATGTTCAGCCGAAAACACAAGAACCAGCACTTCGACGGTGTCCGGAGGAAGAACTCAGACCTGTCACACGCTCTGGGGGATCTGGGCATCATCGCCAGTCCGCGGTCAACAAGATCGTCCAGCTCTCGGTTTAGGCCTGGGAGCAGTGCAACGACGGATGCTCCGTTCCATCTTGAGGGTACGCTTCTCATCTCTCACGCCGGCTTCATATACGCCCCCCCCTTATACAGTATATGCGTCGCGACTCATCCCCCTAACCCCCCTCTTTGCCTCTCCTCTTGCCTCCCCTTGTCGATGGCTGCTTATGCCATATGTATTATTTAACAGAGTCACTAACCGGAAACCCATCCAGGCCAATCTTTCAGCAATTCTCCAGCAGCACGCAGCACCGCCTCTCTGCAACGAGGGCGGTCTGTAAGCACTACCAGCACCGCTACATCCAGAAGAGTAGGGGGCATCGACAACAACGTCATGTCGAGCAACGCGGATCGAAGCCGCATGCGGCGGGACAGGACATTCGTTGGAAGCGAATGTGCGGTTTGCGAGGAGCCGCTGGAGCACACGCTACGTGGCGAGCGTATCCTGCAGTTCTCTTGCTCCCATGTCTCTCACGAAGCCTGCTTCTACGAGTTCATCCGTGAAATGGAGGCGCAATATTGCCCAGCCTGTGATGCTCCGCTGCATCTTGACTCCAGCCGAGGCGGCAATGTCCTGGACATCAGTTCGTCATCTAGACGCACAGAATCGCAGAATCATGCCGCTAATTCAGATGTAGACAAAATCAGCAACATGGTTCGTACTGCCGGCACTGAGTCAAGGGCTGATACTGTCACGCCAGCGCCCGCCTGGGAGAACCAGGCAGCGAGACCGCCTAGTGTTGACAGCGCCCAGAGGCGGCCCATGGTATCGAACTCAAGTATTGGAAAGGGAAGTCATCGCGATGGTAGAGACGCTAGCTCGGATCGATATGGATCTACAAGGCATACTCGCAACGACAGCACCGGCATGGCTTCATCCAATGGTTATCCAGAAACAGCACAGAGCGGCTCTCAGTGGCGCCACGAATATGATGTCCAGACAATGGAGACGACACCCAACAGCCCCCGTCCAGCAACGAGGAATCCTATTCCGCCCCCGATTGTTACCATTCGCTCCGAATTCCCCACGATCAACAGATCTCGCCAACAGCAGACGCTCACGTGCCTTGTTACGGTCGAAGTTCCGGACAACAATTGGCGACCAGACCCTGAGGATATCGGCTCGCCGGTGCAGTCGCAAATGGGTGTCAACCCAGGTATTACCGAAACTGCCCCCCCTCGCGCAGTATCGCCCTCTCCGACGCCGACATCAAACGCCACGCGCTTCTATCCTTATGAGTCCGCCGATGTTTTGGAGGAAATGACGGAGAATCTACGCAGCCGTGTTGATAACTGGCATGGCCTAGAGTTCAACCGGTTCGGACAATTGAGGCTCTGCGGCACGCTACGAGTTGGCAAGGACAAGGTGTCATGGCAAGAATTGGAATGCTACCTCTTCTCTGAGATGCTCATTTGTGTCAAGGAAAAGAAGCTCCCACCCCAGTGGGATGACAATGGCGCTCAACGAAAGCCAGCGACCCGCTGCACACTCAAGGGATCTATTTTGATAAAGAAACACCTCAACGACGTGACGGAGACCGGAGCTATCGATGAGAACGTCCTGACATTGAACCTGTCTGTGGCCGAACTACCCCAGTTCCATCTGAGATTTGACAATCGAAACCAACTCAAATTGTGGAACCAGGCTCTGCTAGACTTGCACGCCGTCGATTTCCCTCCTTCCCTTCGAAGCCCTGATTTGGATCGCGGCGAGATGTCTGAAACGGACGAGGATGGAGACTGGGGCCGAGCCGGCCAGCAGCGTGTTTCCTCCATCGCCTCTTCGTGGGGTCACAAGTCCGCAACGACAGCACAAACCGAGTATACCAACGTACCGACCAAGGCTCTTCGCCTTCCTAGCACTGTTCACGTCCCAATCGACGTTGTTGTAGTTGTCCCCATCTCTTCGTCGATGCAAGGTGTTAAGATCAACCTCGTCCGTGACGCCCTCAGATTCATGGTTAGCACACTCGGCGAAAGGGACCGTATGGGCCTTGTTACATTTGGCTCTGGCGGTGGCGGCGTGCCTCTTGTCGGTATGACCACAAAAGCATGGCCTGGCTGGTCTAATGTCTTGTCTTCAATCAAGCCCGTTGGACAGAAGAGTCATCGTGCCGACGTGGTTGAGGGCGCTAATGTCGCCATGGACCTTCTAATGCAGCGAAAACACAACAACCCCATTGCCACCATTTTGCTCATCAGCGATGCGTCGACATCTGACGCTGATTCCGTTGACTTCGTTGTCTCCAGAGCAGAAGCCGCAAAGTAAGTTCAATTATACCTCTGTGCACCCATTTCCAGGGCAGATTATCCTAACCAGAAACGCTATACAGGATCACTATTCACTCTTTTGGCCTGGGCATGACCCACAAGCCTGACACCATGATTGAACTCTCGACAAGAACCAAGGCATCTTATACATATGTTAAGGACTGGATGATGCTGCGAGAGTGCTTGGCTGGTTGCTTGGGTAGCATGCAGACCCTGTCCCACCAGAATGTCAAGCTCAAGCTCAAGCTTCCAGAGGGGTCACCTGCCAAGTTTCACAAGATTAGTGGCGCTCTGCAAATCACCAAGCGAGCAACAGGGCGAGATGCTGAGGCATCGCTTGGCGACCTTCGATTCGGTGACAAGCGTGACGTCTTGGTGCAGCTCGTCATCCTTCCCGATACATCTTCTCAGGAGCAGCTCCCTCCAGATCCTTGGGACAACATCGTCTCAGGTTTGGAGGCCCTAGGTGGCCCGATGGATAGCGATACCGAGAGGACTCTTTCGGTGGAAGAAGTTCCACTTATCCAAGCTGACCTCACCTGGGGCGATATTTTGAGAGACGGCACCACTGCTCCAATGCCCCGGCCGTCTCTGTTGGCCATTACTATGCTGCCAGCGAGCCATAGCCAGAAGAACCGATGGCAGAATGCGCCACCCATTCCTCCCCATCCCAGTGTGGTCCAGAGGCGGATGGAATTGCTCACTTCGGACATGCTCACGCGTGCACTGACTCTCGTCAGCCGAGGCCAACACGACCGTGCCCATACACTATTGAACGAGACCCGCTCTATCCTCAAGGGCCTTGGCAAGGGTGGCCTGCCTCCTGTGCCGGCTCCAAGTAAATCGCTACCCTCGACACCGCACCCAGGCCTCGATGGGTCTCCGGCATCCGGAACACCAGATCGGAAGCGCAGCCCATCTCCAACTTCGGCAACGTCATCCTCTGGGAATGGTTTGCCCGCTACACAGCTTGGCCCCCCTCCTCAGCTTGGACGGTCGCGGTCCGCAGATGGACTGGCGCTTGGCGTTGGCATCGATGCTACGACGGTTTCTGCCCTTGACGCTGAGCTGGAGAGCAGCCTGGAATGGATTAACCACCCTGCTGTATTCGGCCGCGATAGCCGCAAAGCGGTCCTCCAAGCTATCGGCGTCATAAGCTCCCAGCGCGCCTTTACTAACCGCAGCCCTATCGAGAGTCTATGGGCCGGCCGTATCAGCGGTATCAAACGTCTTGCAGAGCGCAGCCGAGAATGGCGCGAAGAGGGAGGTGGTGAGGGCGGAATTACAGAGGAGGCATGATTCAATCAACTATTTCTGGTCATGAACGAATGACAATCTCGTACGTTTCGTTTACCAGCATGGCCATGGCGTTTGGGGTTCTTTTTTGTCTGCTTTTTTCTCTTCCCCCTTTCACAAGTTCTACGACGACCCCATGGATTTTTCCTCCCCCTAAAGCCTTATTCGGACTTCCCTTCGAATATTTCGACGTATTCACGACATTTCCTTGCACAAGATATCGTATTTATCGACTTACTTGGTGGCATTACCATGAAGTATTAGAAATCTATGACGCTCCAATTCGCCTCGCAAAAGTATACCCCCTCAAGACATACTCTCTCTACTTGTTTGTGACGAGAGATGTTGATTTCGTGCTTGTTCTTTGCTAGTTTCTTTCTATATTCCCCCCTTTCTCTTCCCCCTTTGTTTTCTTATCTCAGCTCAGCTTTGTCATGCCAGATGATGGCGTTTGCGATTTGCCAGTTACCACGCTGAGCGATATCCTTTGGGAGAAAAAATTTTCTGTGCATTGCCTGCTGCTGTCATCAGAAGCAACTCGATTTAGATTTTGTGTGTTTTTTTATTCTTCTTTTTTTCCCTTTTCTTTCTTCTATTTGGAACGATTTGGATGGAATAATGGGGGAGGGTATCAAGTCTTCGGGAACACTTGGCGGATAGCAAGTTGTGCATTACAAACGCGTTTTATGTATAACATACCTATTTCTATTTGCATGGTATCACGAGGAATCACTGGAATGGATGGAAGATGGATTCTATTCAAGATTTAAGATAGTTTTGTGCTTCTATGCTGAATCTATATCTGACAAGTTCGTTTTGCAATCGAACTAGATTGACTGTTAATTTGTTTCTGTTTCCACCAAACTATATGTGCTTGTTTATATATTTGTATGATTCTCTCTGATAGCAGCTCTACTTGTCGAAGAAGGCCTCGAAACAGAAAGACGAATGATGAGGCTGAAATGTTATTAGCATTTCGTCCTCCCCTCTTCACTTTCCTCTCCCCATTCTACTGTAAGTAAAGAAAATACATCAGACATCTATTATACCCTGCAATGACAACGCTAACCAATTGATGCTGAAGATATATACATGGGTAGCCGTCTGAGACTTTTACTCCTGCTTCTCGACCGGGTTTGCGAGGGCATCCAAGACCTCCTTGAAAGACTGGACGATCTCTTCCCCGTTCTTCTCCTCCCACTCCTTCTTGGAAGCATCTCCCAGCTTGCCCTCGCCCACAGCGGCGAAGGCCTCAGGACCAACACCCCCAGGGAAGGCAAGCTGAGGTCTCGTGGCCGAGACCCTGAGGCCAACGCCCTCGAGCGATGTCTTGATCTGCTCGGAAGCGAGCTTGCCACCCTGGATGCCGTAGGTGACGATGGACACGGGCTTGCCGTCCCACTCGTTCTTGAGGTAGTCAATGGCGTTCTTTGTGCTCCCCGCGACACCGTAGTTGTACTCGGGGGCGATGAGGACGTAGGCGTCGTGGGAGGCGATCTCAGCGGACCAGCGCTTGGAGTGGTCGTGGATGAAGGAGCCCCTGGCGGGGACGTTTGCGGGCACGACGGGCTCGTCGAAGATGGGGAGCTTGAAGGCGTCTAGGTCGACGATGGAGAAGGTCGATGAGGAGGAGGAGGGGTGGGCTTTGAGGATGTTGTGGACGAGGGCGGCGACGTGAGGGCCGACTCGGGGTTTGCGGGTGCTGGTGATGATGATGGCGATTTTGGAGGCCATTTTTGGAGAGAGAGATTGTATGGGATGATTGAGAGTTTGAAGGTGTTTTTTTATTTATGTTTGTTCTTGTCGATTTTCTTTTTTTTTTTTTTGTTTATTAAAAGGATGGGTTGCTGTTGTGATATATACGTGTATGGAAAGGGGCTGTTACACATTACAACTACGGCAAATAACATCTCCATGACTTTCTTTTTCATGAGTCATAAACTCTCTATAGATCTTTTCCCATCTGGAAAAGGAGAACAAAGCCATAATTCCGTCTGTTGCTATAGAATACTCATCATTTTGTTCTTTTTTTTTTTTTTTTTTTTTTTTTTTCGCTTTTCATATCCTAATTCCGCAGTTAAATGAGGCTCCTAATTGTGGATGAAGGCGCTTCGCCAGAGCTTCAGCCAGGCTAACGGGATTGGCAATACACGACTCAAAGCGGTGCTCGATATAGTTGTCAAAAAAAAAAAAAAAAAAGGAAATGAAAGAAAGAAAGAAGGTTCAAGTCAACTGCGGTTCAGCTCAATCTATGGGGCGAGGGAGGGAGAGGATCCTGGCGTTGTTGCTTCTGATTCGTCGAAGCGAGATGCCATTTTCGACTTCAGCCCTTTTCGCACCTCACAAGCGCGCGGGATGGGCGACCAAAAGACAAGGAATCAGGAAAAGAAATCCTTTGGATTGTCCACTACTGCCAGGGGCGGTGAATCAGTTCGGCGCTGTTTGCTCTGATTGGTGGTTTTGCCATTGAGAGCTGTAATTCCGCAGCTTCGCTTCCGCGCGGATTTGCCTAGTCTAAACGCCAGGTCCATCCTGCATTATCCGCATCATGGCGGAGTTACACGCAGCTCGACAGCAACGCTGAGATTTCGACATATTAGCCGCCAGATCGGCAAGATAAATCTGCATATTCGGCTAGTGCTCCTAGATTCTCTTTCACGCTGGCAGTGCGGCACCGAGATCAGATTAAAATTCTATTTTTGTTTCTTTTGTCCGTTATATCATATTACACATAGCCTGCCTCAAAATGATCCGGGATTATCTATGCTTTTATATGCCCCTCCGCCACCCTCCTTTGTGCCTTTTAACAAACTTCAGCTCCTTTAGTCCTCATCCCAGTTCTGTAATAGGTGTTAGTATTGTTGTAAACATTCACGAGGATCAAACCAAGGGGTTTAAAAACTTACAGGGTTGGGGCCAGGAGGCTTCGGCCCACCAGCCTGTCTCGCCACGATAATCTGGTCGACTGACAGGACGGTGCGGGCAGCCTCAGTAGCGAGTCTAATAGCCCAGTCCTTGGACGCCAACAGGTCGACGATGCCCTCCTTGGTGGCGTTCAGCACTCCATTGCCCTCCTCGTTGTCTACATCGACACCAGCATCGCCGCTCTCGCTCTTGTGGTGGGCAGCGTACAGCGTGCTAAGAACCTCTGTAGCATCAAGACCACAGCTCTCGGCCAGGGTACGGGGAATGACCTCAAAGGCCTCGCCATACTTCTTGATGGCGTACTGGCTCAGGCCTGGTGTCTTCTCGCCTTGTGCCTGTATCCTTGCGCTCAGCTGAATCTCCGTAGCTCCCGCTCCGGGAACCAATCTGTTGTCCTTGCTGATGGCCTTGACAACGTTGACACCGTCATCGACAGCTCGCTCAATGTCGTCAAGGTGGTTCTGGGTAGCGCCACGGAGCACTATGGTAGCAGTGCGAGTGACTTCATCTTCTTGTCTGAATACTGTAACGCGGTCACCGCCAATCTCAATCGTCTCGACAACATCGATGCTGCCCATCTCGTCGGGCATGGGCGCGCCCAGTCGAGCAAGCGGTGTAGCGCCGACGACTCGGCAAACTCGTCGCAGTTCAAACTTGCTGAGGATTCGGATGCAGAGAATTCCGTAGCGGTTAAGGTAGTGCATGGCCAGGTCGCCGACTCGGTCACCGCAAACGACCACTCGCAGGCCGGAGTCGTGAAGCTCCTTGATTGCGGTTTCCAGCTGTGCCTCCTCGCCCTTGGTGAAGTCCATCATTTCCTTTGCGTTATGTAACAAGACGGTGCCCTTGGTCTCTGTCTGGCTTGTGTCGATGGGGCAGGTGAAGACGCCGACCTTGGCACGGGTGGCCTTCTTAACCGACCCATCAGGCTCCTTGGGGAAGACCATGCCCTTGACGACCTTGCTCTGGTCCAAGCTACCACCCATGATCTTGACTACTCGGATGTTGTCGACGTTGAAGTTGGCGGGGTTCTTGGGCAGGACAGCCAAGACGGCCTCGGCCACCAGGCTGGACAGGAAGTCCTCGTTTCCGTTTTGCTTGCTGGCGATGACGGTCCGCAGAGCCTTGCTCAGCTCAGCCTGGTCTTGGATATTCTCCACCTTGTCCACTGAAAGCTCGTTCAGAGCCTCCAGGGCAATCTTCTGGGCCTTCTCGTAGCCGATGACAATGTCGGAGGTCTTGAGGCCCATGCGTAGCAGATCCTCTGCCTTTTTCAGCAGCTCGCCAGCCAGCACAATGACCAGGTTGGTAGCATCGCCCATCTCGGCCTCCTGCTGCTGAGAGGCCATGACAAGGAGCTTGGCGGCGGGGTGGACAACGTCGAGCTCGCGGAGGATGGTGGCGGCGTCGGAGGTGAGGATCATCTTCTGCAGGTGGTTGATAACGACCTTGTTGCGACCGTAGGGGCCCAGCGACGTCTGGACAGTCGAAGCGATGGTTCGGCAGGCGTCGATATTCCGTAGGACGGCGCCATCTTCTGAGTCGTAGCTACAGGCACGCGAATTGTTTTGTCAGCCAAAGTCCAGGCTCAGGCTTCAATGGACGGAGATGGCGATGGCGATGGCGGGGTTGGCACTTACTTGTTGTAGCCGCTCTTGAAGAGGCCCGCGTTGGGCGCGTTGGGGATGTTGAGAGACATGGTGGGCAAAATATGGCCGGATCAGGGGATTTTGCCTGTGTTGTTTCGTGCACCCGCCCAGACACACAAGGATGGGGAGTTGGCGATGTTCCCTTTGGACAGCTCCTTGGGAAAATCTTGGGGGTAGTTTGCTGGTAGCCTGGGGGGGCAGTTTTTGTGGTGCTTAGCCAATCATGGCCGCTTAGGAAAGGGTATTATTCCGCTGCGCTGCCCCTCCATCGAGTCGAATAGGGGGGGGTTTATATGGAGTACATGCTTGTATGAATTGCTACCCGCTGGATAGAAGGTGGAAGAAAGACTGCCGTGTCTTTCATATTACTAATGAACTGTGTATAAACACGAACCAAGAGAACGCTTTCATAGGTAGGGAGCTGACTGTGAAGTCTTTTCTTTCGAGGAGTTGCTCTTCCAAAGTCATGCATTTACGGCGGTTACTTGGGCATTATAGTCTCGGTCCAAAATTGGAAAGCTGCCTACTAGAGGTGTTCCACAGAGGGCAGACAGATGCATGATTGAGTCACTGTGCTTATGGATGATAAAATTTTACTTGTATAAAAATTCAGATGGGTATCGCAGCTTGACGTTTCTACGCGCAAACCGTCAAAATCGTATACAGGCTGATGCTGCAAAGACCCATGCTGATGAACATGGCCTGCCGCTGATGGGCGTTGTAGCCCTGCCTCAGCTTACTTAGCTTCCAGCAACTGCCCAGCTGCAGTCTCGCACCGCCCCCAAAAAGTCACCCGTCCTCTCGAGGTACCTACTACGCCGGTGCAACCGTCCTACGCAATACTTCTCTTTTTTCTTCTTACAAACACGTCCGTCACTAGAGACATCCTTAGATCAAGTATATAATGTGCTGCAGTCATCACGACTCATAGAATTGCTCTTTTCTTATCCGTTTCATTTTTTATTTTCCCTCCTTCTCTTGGTTATTGCGTTCTTTATTCCATTTTGTTTACTTGTTTGACTTCGCTCTCGCCGCTTGCAAAGCCCCAATTGAGGCGCTCTCCCGTACCATCCATTCACTTGCACGCGTTGTTCGCGCCTTGTGGAGCGTATCCTCAAATTATCTTGTCTGTTTTGGCACGCCTCCCGCCGCTGCGCTGTACTGCGTACATTCCGTAGATTGGCTGTCGTGACCAAGCCAGAGGTATATTGTACTTTTGAGCGTTTGCCCATCCGCCCGGCGCATCGCTCTCTGCCTTAGATTATACGTACCTCGACTTATCATCATGGCGCCCCAGCCTTGTGAGTTCTAAGCCATTTTTTTTCTTGTCTCTAATTCCTCCCTTCCACAACGTACAATTCTTCCTTCTCGGCCGCATCGCACGCTCCATCAGCTGCTGCGCCGCGTCTCCTGCGAAACTTCCGACAGCATCGTCAATCGCCCTCTCTCGGCTCCATCCCGCGCCTCGCTGCATCTTCGCATCGCCATTGTCCATCAGCATCCTCCGGTCTTCTCGTCACGATCCGCGCCAGAGACACCACAATGCCCGCCAAGAGAAAATTGGTCGCCGAGGCTAACTTTGAGCCAGCCAGCGTGCCCTCTCCGCTGCCACCGTCCGTCGAGGAAGCCTATCGACGGAAGTGTGTTCAGCTGAAGAATCGCACAAACGAAGTCGAGGAGGCCAACGATGCTGCCAGGCTGCGGCTCGCTCGCATAAAGCGCCAGGTCGAAAAGCTGAGGATAGAACGGGCGTTTCTCCTGGAGCAATTAGCCAAGCGCACCAGCACCAACGTCGAAGATTCCGAAGGCAGCCCTAGTCCACCTCCCACGGTATGTTTCCTAGTAAAATTCACTTGTGTCTTTCTCATATACGTCTCTGGTTGCAATCTTTCTCTCTTCCTACTCCTTTCCATCTCCTTCGACAGCACTGCGCCTTTGCTACTCCTCCCTTTTTTGGCTTTCGCCCCCGCCAAACACCTTTTTTCAGTGTTGATATTTGAGTGCAACGAAATAGGCAACCACATTCGATATCCCAGTTGAGGCGAATGCTAACCCCCGAAAGCCCAAGGATAAGCCGTTGCGCATTAAGAAAGGCCACCGCAAATCCAACGCGCCAGCAGATACCGACGCGAAGCAGAGCGCTACAAAAGAGCCCGCGTCCCCGACTTCCGAGTCCAATAGCCAGGCCAAGGGTTCTCGTGCCAATGGCGTGTCTAAGGCCTCCAAGGAGTACAAAGACCCCTTTGAGCTCTACTGTGAAGAAGCCCGACCTGCTCTCGAAGCCAAGAACAAGGATGACGCCGACATGAATATCGAGGAGGAGCTCACGCGTGCCTGGGAGGAACTGCCAGAGGCCGAAAAGGAGGAATACCAAACCAAATTCGACGAACTGAAGAAATCTCGGGAGGAGGAAGACAAGACCGCTGCTGAAGCTGAAGCTGAAGCCGAGGCTGAAGCAGAAGCAGAAGCAGAAGCAGAAGCAGAAGCAGAAGCAGAAGCAGAGGCCGAAGCAGAGGCTGAGGCTGAAGCAGAGGCTGAAGCAGAGGCAGAGGCAGAGGCTGAGGCAGAGGCAGAGGCTGAGGCTGAGGCCGACGCTGATGTTGACGCAGATGTCGAAGCTGAGGTTGAGGCTGATGCCGATAACGATACTCCCAAGAAGGGCATCAAGGCCGAACCCCAGGCAGAGAAGCCTAGGACTCATGACGAAGACGTAGAGATGAGCAACTACGATACCGAGGACCAGGAGACTCAGGAGAAAGATGGCGATGAATAAACGCATTTAAAGAGGCAACTACGCGGGCTTACGGGATGGGGGGGTTGAAGACATGCGCGGAGGGCGTTTCTGGTACAATATAAAGAGGGCTTCCTTTTTTTTTTCCTTTTTCCTTTTGCCTTTTCTATTTTCCTTTTCCTTTTCTTTTTGTCGTTCAATGGCAATGTAATTGCTACTGGCAGCCACGCATTTCATGAGAGAAATCGCGGGTTTTTTTTTTTTTTTTTTTTTTTTTTTTTTTTTTGGAACTTTGGATGCATGTATATTAAATAGTCTACTAAAAACCGACAACACGGCCTACATTCAGATGAAGAATGCCAGTCCTCTTAAGTCCCAAGAAATTGTCTTATTTGCATTATAAGGATGCTAAAGTTCGCTTCGCCCAGAATATCAACGCCGCCTCACCCATGTGACCTACCCGCTGTACTCCGTGCAATCATAATAAATGCAAACATCCTATCCCAAGCATTACGTCAAATTTCCCAACAGAGCTCCATATCCATTACCACCCAACGAAGTAGAAAAAACAAGGCAGTAAACATCCCAATCATTCTCCAGCATACAGATCTACAACAATGTTTATCGCAGCCACCAAAATCTCCATGGCAATCAAGATGATTACTAGACAAAATCAGTCAGCGTCACTATGACCCATGGCGAAATAAGAGATGATAAGAAAGGGGGCTAATTCGCTATCGGTCTTTGACATACCTATCCACTCGAGCATTTCGCCATGGCCGTGAGTCAATTGGTCTTTGAGAACAGCCAGCAGGTCGGCAATTACATCTAGCCGCTCTGTCACCAGACCAACTCGTTGATCCATCTCAAGATAGCTCCGGACTGCTTGATAGACCGGTTCTAATTGAGGTTCTACCCAGAACAGCTCGGGAGTATCTAGCACAGAGCCGTTGAGATGGATGTTGATTCTCAAGATGAAGAGTTCTCCGATCTGCATGTTGATTTGTTTCCGATTCAGGGCCACTTTACCAGTCAGGGCAATTTGAGTTGGGATATCCTTGCAGGTATCAATGGTAGAAGCGATGAGTTCTTCGAAGAGTGATGTCTATTAATGAAGTCGATTAGCATGCCGATTTTTCTCCTCTTTCTCGTGTCACTATCGTCTTTGATAGGCTCATCTTACCTTGACGCTCTGTGCTAATGCGTGTGAGATGGCAAGCTTGGTCATGTAGTTATTCTTGTCTCTGAGCGTGATAAAATCATTGTAAATTCGCGCTTGGTATTCCCTCGTGTAGTAAAAGTTGAAATGCTCCGTCTCAACGTCATCAGGGGCCAGCTTCTCGAGTTCAAATTTGGAAATGTCCTTCAAAAGCTTGGCCTCTTGTACTTCCGTCATGCCCCATATTACTACCACTCCATAGTCAAACAGGAAGATTTCTGGCGTATGGACCTGAATGTCAAAATCAGGGACCGTATCCTTGATGGGCAGGTCTTCCGGCATGGTAGGTCCTAGCAGCTCTTCGCTGGGGAGCTCGCCCGCTCCCTCTCGGCGATCGTCAATCATTAACCCTTCCCCATAGCCGGGTTCCTGTTGATCGTGATGTTTAGGCCTGTAGTCCTCCTGCCCAGCCTCGCCGTCTACTAGTTCGCCTCCGGTAGAGTGGCGCCTTTCCAGAGTCGGCAAGGCGAGGTCATTGCTGCGATGACTTTTTCCGTACATGTACGGCGTGTATATACACTCATCGATAAGCTTTGGGTTTGCGCCGCGAGTTTTCCCTCGCCCTTTGAGAAATCTCATGAGCCCGTCCATCTCATAGCGGTTAGCTGTGCAGTACGCCGTGACACGCGGCAGTCGATCTCGATCTGCCTTTCCAAGCCGCGCAGCATCTCTTCGCGCCGTCGGGTCCTTGATTCGCGTATATTGAGAATAGACATCTCTTCCACTTTCCTCATCTTCGCCCTCGTCGCCAAAGTCGGGATTTGGCAGCAGCTTGAGCTTTTCGGTCTTCTTCGTGCTTCTCTGTGGACCAATTTTGGGCAGCCCCTGTACCGAAGCAATCGCAGGGACGGGTCCCTGGCTATTTCGCCGGCGGAGTTTGCTGTTCAACGCTGCCAGCATTGGCGGGCCGGCGCCGATGCTGCTGCTGCCCTGGAGATGTACATTATGGGAAGCATAGCTCCTTGGGAGGCGATGAGGCTCTGGCTCGATGGTTCGGCTGACGGGATTGGCGCTGAATGTGACTGTTCGTACGGGCTTCGGTCGAGGGGTTTCGGACGCGGGCAGCAGAGGCGTGGTCTCGCCAGCGTTTGCGTTCGCGGCACCAGGAGACTCCATTCCGAATGCAAGAAGCTGATAACGAGAGACTTGGGCGAAAAGTAAGGGCTGCAGCGGCTGAACGAAGTCACTCCAAGATATCGCGTTCCGTGAGTGACAGGGCTGTAAAATATGCTGATCTGCTCATAAGTGTGAATATCGCTTATGTGGTAAGGCTGATGACGGCATTGAGAGCGATTGGCCAAACAAGCTCACAGCAGATGCCAGATGAGGTTTGCGTGGGCAGAAAGATTTGAGGCTGCTGGCCAGCACCTGCTGCTCGATGACGGAGTCCAGTCCAATTTTCCTGCCCAGATATTCGTCGGTAGCGGTCTAGGCCCACTACCCACTATGGAGCGCTAATTTTGTCTGCCGCATCCTCCAGAATTGGGGCCCTCACTTAGGGGGATGGTCGGCCCCACTAGAGCTTCGTGGTGCAGACGGCACCGTTAGCCGGATTGGAGGCAACGGCAGCGTGGAAACACATATAAACAATATTGACTCTCTCGGTTGTCTCCGAGATGAAATGGTTATAATGCATTTCATGAGTACAAGTATATAATACGACAATAGCTGAAATCGAGAAACCATACATCTATTAGATACATTCGAATGAGGAAACCCCTAAACTTGGGAGCTGGACACATCCATTTGAAAAACTGTTTTCCTATCAAGGTCAGCTTGCCAGACCAAAGTCGCATACATAGGCCAAGGTCGGTAAGGTTGATTCAGCCGACTACAGGCACATGGTCGAATGGTAAAGTGAGCTACTCAGACTCATTTGTCTTGGATCCGTGTCTCAATCTTCAACCCCCCCTCATGAGCCCGATCGACGATGCGCTGGCCGAGGCAGCATGGAGTATAGAAGCCTCCGCCCAACTCAAGGTCGCCTTCCAAAACAATACGTGCACCTTCGCTGCAAAGCATTGCCGTTACTGCATATGTCTGATAGTTAGAGTCACAGCTATGATACCATTGATCTGATGGGGCTACTAGATAGTTTCCACTTACGCTGATACATGCTGCCATGATACCAAGCTCGAACAAAGGCTTGCTTGTTGACAGGCGATTGCGTATCAGGATTTGCTATGCCGCGCCACTCAACCTCTTCCTTGTCCATGTCTTCTCTGGAGGGGCCGGTTCCTGGCTCTGGAGCAAATTTTCTGGCTATCGCTCTGACAGGCGCTATTGATAGAAGCAGAACTGCGACAGTGAGCAGCCAGTGCGTGAGAATGCCTTCTAACCAGTTGCGAGGTTTGCTATATTCTGCCCAGCAAAAGTTCGGCCCGTAAAACTGGTCTTTCCGGCTAGGAATTTCCGACAAAAGCCCCCACGAGCGTTCTATTACTCCCTGGTCGGTAGTACCAGTCAAGCCCGTGGTCAGAGTTCCAAGGTTAGGGACATTGTGAATACCGAACAGCTTTTGCCATATGGAAGTCTCGCGTCTTTTTGGCTCAGCCGGATGAGGCACAGGAGAATGAGCATAGGGCTTCCCAGACTCGAGCAATTCGCTCAAAGTGAGATTGTCGAATAGACTGAGGACAGTAGAGATGGTGCCCCCGGATGGTGCCGCTCTGGACAGGGAACTTTCAGCATGTTGTGTACCATGAACTAGGAAAACACGGATTAACTTACCGTAAAGTGTGAAGCGAAAGAACGACGTCTTTGGTTTTGGCATCCATTTCTTTGCCAAGTGTATTGGCCAAAGACCAGGTACAGAGGTCTGGAGGAGCAGACTCAAGGCCCATCTGGGGAATTAGAATAGCACCGCTCTCTTTAGCGGCTTTTTCATATTTCTTGATCATTTTGTAGACCCAAGCTGCTTCACCGGTTGCGTCAAAATAGTGCGTGCCGGCCTCCACGCATGCTTTCACAGCTTGCTCTCCATATTGGCTGTAGGGACCGACAGTTGTAATCATCACACATGTCTTGCTCGCCAACGCACGCATCTCTTCACTGTTGTCAAGATTGACAATTTCAATTTCTTATTTTTGTCCGTGTTAGTGCTACTGTGTCATAGTGACGTATCATAATGGTAAAACTCCAGAGGTGGCCATAACTGACCTGGTAGATTTCTATCTGAATGTGCTGTTTTGCAACTGTCGACGATTGCCTGAAGCTTTGGCGCGGAACGACCTGCAACGGCCCATTTCGCATTGATGGGGAAGTTGGCCGCAACGTACTCTGCTACCACACGACCGGTATACCCTAAGCCACATGTGAGCCATCGCTACCCTTCAAATATCATACAGTCCCGGCCTCGTATACCAGTAGCTCCAAAGACGACCAGGTCATAGAGACGATTATGCTCCTTGAATTGCATGATGGGGGGGTAAAAGGGCTGCGAAAAATGATCAGGATCACTAATAATGGAAAAGCGATCCAGAATATCGTCAGTCTTGCTTGGTGTTGTCACTTTTGCAGAACATACAAATCGGAAAAAGAAGAAAAGTCGAAAATTCAGTGTAGATAAGGAGTGCGCTTCTCAGTTTCATGTACCATTCTAATGTCTCTTTTTCTCGGAGAAACTATTTTAAATTCTAAAACAGGGAGGCCCGACACATGCCAATCAATGATGCCTCGATTTCTGCTCAGCCGGCGCAACCGCTTGCGGATGGCCCATGAGGCTCGACTGGCGGTGTCCTTGGCCGATGGCCATTACTAGAAGTAGCTAACCCGCATTTTCACCCAATCCAAGCACGCAGAACGGCCACACGCGGAAAAGGCCTGAGTAACAGTCACGTGATCGGCATCATTGTTATCGATTGTGTGTTGTGAGAGAAAAAAATAATAGCGGGGCTTCGCTTGGCCATCCCTCACGTGCGTGCCCTAAGGAAAATCACAACTCGACGTTTCTAGCACATTTTCGTGAGAAGCTCGCAACCGAAGTCAAGCACTCAAACTTCGCCATCCCTCACAGAAATCCGTCAAGATGACCAAGCGCACCAAGAAGGTCGGCGTGACGTGCGTATACTCTTTTCGACATTATAAACTGATCAAATGAATCTTTGCTAACTGATTGTCTACAGCGGTAAATATGGTACCCGGTGAGTCTTTGAAAGATACCCATCAGCCTTGTCCCCAACCCGAAATATCGACCTCGAGCCCCGACGAAACGAGTCGCCAATTATCTTGCACGACCACCATCTACAATTCTTTGCGAAGAGCTATCGGATGTAGAGATTCTGTTCATGGCAGCCTCCAGGGATATCCCGCGAGATACTCGACGACATTCAATTCTCGTGGCCGGAAACAAACCTAAGACGAACTGGAAACTAATGCGGCTGGTTATAGTTACGGTGCCTCCCTGCGAAAGCAGGTGAAGAAGATGGAAATCACCCAGCACGCCAAGTACACCTGCACTTTCTGCGGTAAGGTCACTGTCCGAAGAAAGTCCACCGGTATCTGGAACTGCCGCTCCTGCAAGCGAACCATTGCTGGCGGTGCCTACACTGTTGCGTACGTCTACACACCACCACGGAGATCTCCAAGATCTTGCGAATTTCAAATTGCGGTTCGAAATCAAATACTGACCTTCCTACAGCACCCCAGCTGCCGCTGCCATGCGATCAACTCTGCGACGATTGAGGGAGATTGCTGAGGTTTAAGGCGTTTTCTTGGTACAAATGGTGAAGGATTCGGCTTTGCTTTTCGGTCTGGTGTATGGGGGACATTGTTTGCGTGCATACACTACGAGCTGACGAAAAATAAACGTCGACGCTCGATCTTTGGTCATAAACACCGGTCGATAGGCAATGAACAAAAAAAAGAAAATTGCATTATCTCGGACACCCGAATAACGAATGATTAATGATGCCACGCAGAGCCTCGAGCGACTTGTGAAAGATTATATGTTGGATAGGTGACTGTTCTTGGGCTGGGGATGAGTCGGGGCGCTTTTTGATTCTCCCATTGACTGAATTTCTTGCGAATTGGGAAGCAGAATACCACTATTCGCCCAACTGGAAGAATCTGCAAACCAAACAGCGCACTCTGAGGAATATTGTAGACACGCCAGTGCGTGACATGCTCATGCACGGTTTCTCACGACGTCACATTCAACGACACAACGGCATCATTCACCGAAGTGGGCAAGGCCAAAACGTCAGCAGCAGCTTGTCCATACCGACATCGACTCATCTTGATCCACCGGCGTAGGTCACAAGGGTTCTCACCGCGGCACTTTTTCTACGCGAGAATCACCTCCCATCAGAAGGCATCTTCTTGGCAGCACTTTAATAGGTACGTGCTAGGGAAACATGTAGCGTAGCAGTGTCCGTAACCAAAGTCCCACTGGCACATCACCCGATCGCAGCTGGAACTCGCAGTGAAACTTGAGATGAGCGAAGCGAGTTGCTGCGAGAGAGACATCTCGGGCATTTTTCTTTTGGAAACTAGAATAAGCATGGATATTTAAATTTCTCGTGGGTTGGTTCGCAATCTACCAGTTAAAAGCAAAGCTCGCCAAAACAGCCTGAAGTGGGGTGTATGATATAGTATAGAATCAACGGCATACTGTCTGGTGCTTTATTACACTCGGCTCATGGGATCAATGACGAGCCTATAGCGCCAGGGTGTGGGTATCGCCGGAGAGATGGCACAGCACAGCACTTCGGAATGAAAGCGTATGCGTTGCCTTGCATTATCACAGGAGGGCCGCCGCCACGCTGCTGATGGATAATATGTGGCCAGTATTAGCCTGCTTAAGGTAGGCAGGGGTGTCTGGCAGAAAAATGTAGCCCACAGAGCATGTCAGATAAAGCTCATATACCTAGTCCTTATTACCTATACATTTCATGCACCATAGTAAACTTGTTCAAACAAAATCTAAGAATATTTATTGCTACATTCACGATGCCCGTGAAGGGCTACATTCGGCTGGCTGAAGAGTGGGACACGCACCTGTTTTACGCTACGACTAACTTAATAACAGTCAGTCAGGCCAAGACGAAACACGGCTCTCCAGTTGGACGCCGATTGCCGTGCTTAGTGTAAACCCAGGCCGAATTCCAATAATAAACGTCCATCTCTCAATCAAACATCCGGCAAACTATCAGCATGCACTGGCCCTTTCATTCCTCTGCCCTTGCCAACTGAATCTGACTCGCCTCTCAGGTACTAGACGCGGTTACAGGGCATCACCGCGGGAGAGCAGCTCCCCTATCTCAGGTTAATAATGCCTCGAATAAACACTAGGAACAGGTCTCGGGTTTCGACTTGTTTGGTCTTCCACCTCCAGGCCGTTCCGTATTTCCTCAGCGGGCCCAATGTACAGTAAACACGGTAATATCCCGTCCATCGTGTTTCTTCTACCGCTCACTATTCCGTATTAATGGAGCTACCGCTGCAGCAATGCCCTCCCACCTCCTACACGCCGCCGCTACCTCGCCAGCCTGCTAGTACCACCTGGGCAATTCTCCCACCAAGAGATGCATTCTATACCATGCCTCTTTCTACGACATCCGGACAAGCAGGTGCTCTTTTCGCCTAGTGCCATGTAAGGCAAGTTACAGAGTCAGTACGCCTGTATAGGTTAGTACCAACTAAAGGCAGAGAGGTGTATCCATACAGTGTTTGCTTCCAATGCCTAATAAAAATGGGTAATAACCGTTAATGAATAGGGCCTGCCTGCACGTAAACAGCGCCAAAAACTTGGTCAGCGTGCGGCCATGGCTTTGTCGACCAATTGCAGATTTATGTTTCAATCACCCACGCCTCAGCACGTGAGACCAACGAAAGCATATCCGCGCGCAGTTGCATTTTCGTTTCCGCTGAGAGCCCAAGGGAACCTTGTGGTGACTTGGTTCTTCGGTAGCGTCTTCTGTACCTACTAAACATGGTGTTAGTACTAGATAGCTCAGTCGTCTTTTCGTGTACATTCAGTCATCTTTTGTTTCTGCTGACAACTCTCTCATGGGCTGTTGATGAGGCGGGCAGCGAGGCTCTTGTAGCCGTAGACCACAAGGAGGCGCTGCTGCAGCTGCAAGGAAGCGAAGGAATGTGCAGGTAGCAGTAATACGGAGCTCTGCGAATCTGTACTTTCGTATCTACCAGAGCTGTGACTCGTCTGGATGTACTCACACGCAGGTACTACTAACCTACTAAGTACCTATAGCGGCACTGCACTCCGCAATATGCCTGCGTTCTTCTTTTCTCTCTGCGGCATGCAGAAAGTCTCTCACCGACGATAACGATGACGAGCCCTTCGGCTCTTGTTCACACGTCCAAGACACCGGCTGCTCCAGTTGCCCAAGGCAGCCTCAAGTCATCTAGATACTTCTTTATGTTGGTCGTATTGTGTATTAGCTCGCCGGCCGGTTGTTGATTAATATATACGAGGTCTGACGTCCTCCCAGTCACGGGCTGGTACCTGGAGGCGGTACCTTGTTGTCCCAAGGCAGCCTCCAGCTCCAGTATAAAGAGTGCCGTACCTACTACTGACGTGTGGACTCGTGCTAAGACAAAAGACAATTGGAGCATTGAACAAGAACAAAAAGTGCCTGCGCTCCGACGCACTTCGCCTCCCTGCTTGCAACGAGCAGCTATACTCGCCTCTTCACTCTGTGGCCGAGCTCCCAGCAACTCTCCGTCCTGCCACTAACCGCTGAGCAAACTCTGACGGACTCACCCCAGACAGGCCCGAGATCCAAAATCCCCCTCACCGTCGCCCTGAAATTCTGCCATCTGCCGCCACCACCAGCGCAATCGCAGGTGATTAACAGGCGTGGCGCCTCCAGCGCCGGGCCTCGCTGATTGGCCCCGCTCAGACCCCTAACAGGCCTGCGCTAGCTCGCCAGAAGCCCGCCTTTTCTGGGCTGTCTCCAGCTGAACTCTCTCTCTTTCACTCCTCTGCCTCTTGCTCTGGTCGTTGCACGAAAAAAAAAAGCCCCAGAGGTACCTACCTTTCCCACCGTGCGCAGTACCGCTGCCCTTATTGCACTTCACCACTAATACATCATATTAGCCTTCATACCAAACCCAGTTTCTCGCTCTCTTTTGCAGCACACGCCACAGACCAGCGCTTCCCACGTTGTTTCAAAAACAGCTTTTGTCTACTTCTCTTTTTCCTTTGCCCCATCAGGCCCTTTTCTACCTCGTTTGTCTTTTACATGTGTTCATCAGTTTCTGGCGTCTGTCATCACAATCGGCATCATGTCTGAGCCTGACCAGTGTATCATATGTTTGGATCCGCTGCCGCACCCCTCGTCCTCGACGCAGAGCAACGCGGCCGCCGTCGACACCGCTACTGCTTCCACTTCCGAGGCCGCTGAGAGCGATTCCAACTACCTCAACATAGTGGCCGCCCTCGATGGCTGTGACCATATAATTCACGATGCATGCATCCGCTCCTGGGCTCAGAAGACCAATACTTGCCCCATCTGCCGCAAGTCCTTCCACTCGGTTCGAGTCTACAACGGTCTCGATGGTAAGTTCAGCCACTGCTATAGCTACAGCCCCTCTGTGTACAAGTACCTCCACACCCTCGCTGTGCCAAATGCCAACTGACATGGGGCAAATTCTACAGGCATCGCCATTTCAACCTACGATGTCGAGGATAAAAAGCAAGTTGCCGAATTCGATGTGCAGCAGTGGCTTGGAGAGAACCCTGAAGAGGAGGAGGAAGAATCCAATCCATGCCCCATCTGCGACTCGGCAGAGCGAGAAGACATTCTCCTGCTTTGCGATAGCTGTGATGCAGCCTACCACACGCACTGCATCGGCCTCGATTACATCCCCGAGGGTGCTTGGTACTGCATGGAATGTGCTCATCTGTTCCAGACGACAGACGAACAACCAGAGTCGGGAGCTGCGTCGGAGAACGGCGAGAGGCCTCAAAACACTATCCCTCCAGCTCCTCGATCTAACCGAGGCTTCCACGTCCGCACCCGCGCTCGTCTTAGGCGGGCACGCCGCCAAGCACGCAACCTTGAATGGCAGGGTGCCTGGGGACAGTTCTCTGGCCGCTTCTTTGAGATAAGCGAGCTGGACCTCGATAACCATGACGACGAGGATGAAGATCTTGGACGTTATCGCAGGTTCCAACAGCTGGATCGGCGGGAGCTGCAGCGGTGGCAGCAACGAATGGACATTGCACAGCGTCTAGGTGCACGAGAGTCCTTTGCAAGCAGTATACCGCCTCGGATTAGCGAACGCCTTCAGCCGGCGCCACCGCCTGTTGAGACGAGGGAGGAGAGACAGGCCTGGGGTGCGTTGGATCGTGCTCGAGAGGCCGAAGGTACCAGCAGTCCAAATACTCGCAAACGAAAGGCTCGGTCCGTGACGGCTTCACCCATCGAACCGCCCACCCAAGAACCTGAAAGAAAACTCAAACGCCCACGAACCAGACGTCTTCCCACGCACGGGGAAAGCTCAACTGCGCTTCAGCCAGCGGCCAGCTCATCCACGGGAAGACTACCCAACGGCTCTTCCCTGAGAAACAGCAATGCTGGCCAGAACGACGCTGAGCCAACTCTTGTTGTATCCTCTCTGCTCAAAGAGCTAGAACCAAATGCTCATTCCGAGGATGAGGCATCCGGCGTAACCTCTGGCTGGCGTCCTTTCCATGAGGCATCTTCACCAGCTCTTTCCCCATCGCCATCTGCCTACAGCAGCCCTCGCGCTCTTTCGCTAACGCCACCTCCACTACCCAACCTCAACGGGCGACCATCGTCTCCAACTCTATCTCTCAGCACGCACATCGAGCCGGTATACCCGCCTGCAAATTACTCACCCACAAATTCCCCCACAAGCTACTCACCCACCCGCTTCAGCAGCAGCGATCACAGCGATTCTGAGTCGCGCCCACCAAAACCTGAGCCTCGAACTGAAGGCCGGACCGAGAATCGGCTTGAGAGTCGACCTCTGGAGCTTCGCCAGCCCCGGCCACGACGTGTGCATCAAACGTCACCCGAGTCCAGTCCGACGCGGGGAGACGAGAACTCAATGAGACATACCATGACGACAGAAGAAAAGAAAAATGTCAATGAGATTGTCCGAAACGCCCTCAGGCCGCACTGGCGGGCTCAGAAGTTGACTGAAGAACAATATGCAACAATCAACCGTGATATCTCACGAAAGCTTTACGACGAAGTGAAGGACGCGTCCTCACTTGACGACGAATCTCGACGACAAATCTGGGAGAAGAGGGTCACCCAAGAGGTGGCTCGGGCGATCTCCGAACTTCAAGCCTGATCACGGGTGCACAAGCAAAATAAGCATTTGGTCTGGCGTTTTAAGGCTTTTGTCGGCGGTCCATATCATGGTTTGATACCCCCAGCCTCGTTGACGGCGAAGTGCATTTTATTTAGGGACACCGAGGTGTAATAGGAGTCGGGCATTTGTTTTTAGTTCTTGTCATACTGATAGCGCTTGTCGATCCTGCTACGGCGCATTGCGAATCGTGCTTGAATATGTATCGTACTTTTCATACATGATGCTTTTTTTTTTCCTTTCTTCTTCTTTGGGCGAGGATTCTAGGGTTTAGAACCAGCTGAATGAGATAGTTTGAATTCAAATCGATTCCAACCACAATATTCTAGTGGGGGGTTGTGCACCTGACTGCAGAAGTTTTTAGCCAACAGGTCCTAATAACTCGAGAAGTTTTACCAGTCTATATTCGACAAGAGGATGGAAATGCCGTTAGCTCTTCTCGAGGCATGCAATGCTATCTCTGTCTATCAGGTCTTGGTAATAAGACTAGAAGAAGATAGAAAAACATCGAGGTAACCGCTGCGATGATTGCCGGTATATGCTTGCTTTCGATATCACAAAGATTAATACGACAAGGAACAGAAAAGAAAAAAAGGGACAGTAAAATGCTTCATTCATAGTCAGTACGAGAGGGGGGTGGAACACTGAGAGGGAAACAAAAAAAAAAGTTGGCAGTAGAAATTTGCGCCAGAGGCTCTCATTTAGATTTGGATTTGTGGTAATAAAATGTCAGCAGTATCTATCTAACAGAACCCAGTGGGAAAATAATAAAAGGTGCCGCTAGCGAAAAAGACTGCGTTGATTCTCTCTCGGCACATGATAAATGATCAAGACGCTTTGGGGGTGTAAAACAAGACTTGACGATAAGGTAATAGTGCCTTGAGAAGAAGGAAAAGGGAAAAAGAAAAGTGAAAACAAGTTTTTTTTTGCTGTGGGAATTATCTAGCTGGGCAGCGCAGTCGAGATATTGTGGCCTGAGGCACCAAGTCTATACAACTGAGACTTTTGCTGGATTATGTAATCGCTTTCAAGCATTGGTTAGTGGGGTGAGGTACGTACTGGCGCTGGATGGATGGAGCAAAAAAGTTCGAGGCGCAAGGACATCACGGACAATCAAAAAGGTGGTGCTTGGCTTAACAGAGAAGCCACTTGCCATTCCGCCATGATGGCCGCGTCAAGTAGAGGCAGCAGAGCCTTTCGAGGCATCTTCTCTTGTAAGAAATCCTTTATGCAGTCGCCAATTGAGACGGGAAAAGGACTGATAAACAAACCTGTACATGTAGCATCCCCCACAATCTGCTCCAGATGCGCAACAACACGATTCTACTCTGCGACTGCTGCGACGGAGACAAAGGCCCCTGTCACTGATGCTTCTCCCCCGGCGGCCTCGACTAAAACACCTTATCCTTATGATATCCGCTCTGGTCTCGTCCTTACACGGCCGCCCCTCCTGACGAGGACCCTCCACCCTTTCGAGAACGCCTACTTTTTCTACCAGAAACGTCTGGAGGAACGTCTCAACACGCCTTTTATTACAAGCATATACTTCAAGCCTGATACAGCGGCACAGCTGGATTGGAGCCTGAAGGTCCAGGAGCGAGGCGGCACGGTGGCCAAGGAACTGGGAACGTACCACGGAAAGAGCTCCAATGCTTGGGACGACGAGCTAAAGGTCGGCGACCAGCTGAGCTCGCAGGAGAGCGTGCTCAACAGCCTGCTCAAGGATGCTGCTGCGCGTGTCAGTGACGATGCGGAGGTCATTGCGCCCGAGGATGTCGTGCCTGTTGAACGTCCGGTGGAGAGGCTGTCTGAGGCGGATAAGAAGAACGATGTGAGGCGGCTGGATCGCCAGATGGAGAGGACGCTCTATCTTGTTGTCAAGGGCCCGGATGGATGGGGTTTCCCTGCTGATGTTCTCAAAGATGAGAACCTCCACGAGGTACGTTGATTGAAAGGAGGGGGTAGTTGAGAAGGGGGGGGTTATATATACCTGTATGGTGTAAAGCTAACATGAAACGAAAAAAATAATAGGGCGCCAAGAGAGTATTGGATCAAGCCGCCGGTGTCAACATGAACACCTGGCTTGTTGGCCGCGTCCCCGTCGCCCACCTCGTCCAGGAACCCGTCATGGGCAAGAACGGCGAAGTCCAAAAGAAGGGCCGCAAGACTTTCTTCCTCAAGGGAAGAATCATGGCTGGCCAGGCTGACCTGAAGGGCAACCCATTCGGATACACAGACTTCAAGTGGTTGACGCGGGAGGAGCTGGAGAAGGAATTGTCACCGGAATACTTCCGTGGTGTCAGGAATATGATGGCCGACAGGTAAGATAAAAGCTTGAGAGAAAAGGAAAAAGGAAAAGAAAATAGAGAGTGAGGGAGGGCGGTTTTTCTATATATGATGATGAAGAAGATATGCCTGAGATTTAGATTTGGCTATCTACGTGTAACATTACCAATTGTATAATTTACACTTTTATTATACACAAGCTTCGCAGCGACTGTGCATAATTCAATCTTTGCTCTATTTGTCTATCATATTTTTTGCAGTATCTGTGAACCGCTCATCAGAAAGATGACGAAACTATGCAATCAATAGTTTAACGTTGCCGCCAGACGATGTACTGTTTGGCTTCTTTTAACACATCGTTTACGAAACGCCAGTGCTCATGTATATATCGCGGTCGAGCTGTCTACACGGGAACAATTGAAAAACATTTCGCATCAAGCTGGCCAGAGCAGCCAAGACTATCCGGGTATAATCTCCAAACGTCAGCCTACTCTACCTCAACTATATATAAGTTTTGTTATGTGGAAAGGGCTACACCAAAATAGTAATTTCATAACATCAAAGAACCCTCCACACATTAGCCAGCGTCATCTCTTTCGTACAAATTATAGCAATATTCATTCACCGACCCTTCAAAATACACATGGGCTGTCCACTATACCCAACGCCGTACTCCGCCCTTCCTAATTTTCTTTTCCAGATAGTCAAATACTGTTGGTATTTGATGTTCAGTCAGTCAAGCGTCATACTATGACATATCAACTCTCGCTCGCTATGTATTGTTCTAGTTTGGCTTAGCCTGTCCCTCAACAAAGTTGAGGGCATCTTCCGTGCTAACACAGTTGATTGAACTCGTCTTGCTGCGGAATGTAACACCATAACACTTGTCTGCAATATGAACAATCTCGGGTCGGAAAGTAGTGCAGATGAACTGCGTGCCAGCCTCGTTGGAGATGGACTCAAGAAGCGAAGCAACAGCAGTACGGTATTGCGCATCTAGATTGGCATCAACTTCGTCGAAAATAACCATAGGGCTGCTTTCAGTTTGCTGCAGCGCAAAGATAAGACAGAGAGCACACAAACCTGGAGAATCTTACAGTTAGCGGCAACACAACTTATGTTTGATTCTGCAAAGGTGCTACACTTACTCTTTTGACCACCACTGAGCTGCTGAATCTTTTGCTGTTCATCAAGATGCTTGGAGTTGAATGACACGCTAATACCGACACCAATGTAATTCTCAACGCTGCCTCTAGCTTCTTCGTCTGAGTCTTCAGCATCCTGGCGGCGATCTGTCTTGCGCTGGATGACCAGACGACCATGACCCGCCGGGACAAGCTTGCTGAAAATAGTGGCAAACTCTTTGGACACCTGTTTGAAGGTACGCTCAATGGCCTCGTCCTTTCGTCGATCGAGGTGTTCCACGAGCTCTTCAATGGATCCTTGAGAATCGTCCAATTCCTTTCGGCGCTTCATCAGCTGCTCTTGCTGTGTTGTGAAGTTATTGTATTGCTCAAAGGCCTTCTTGTTGACGTGCTTATACTTTTTCAGTGCTTCGTTGACCTTCTTCAGTTTTGATGTGATCTAGCAAAACAATTGGTTAGCTCCTTTCCGTCTGCCTCCCCGACTATCGAGAGAAACAATAGGATGCTACGACTTACGGTGTTGGCTTGCATGTTTTCATATTTATCAAAAGCTTCCTCGGGTAAGACGCCCAGCTCCCGAATATTCTTCGCACACTCTGCCGCCTGTGAAATCAAGAGAGCCTTTCGCTGCAGTGTCTTCTCCATCCTCTTCTGCTGCTTCTCGATCCTCGTGGAAATTTCCAGTTGGATCTGCTCACGGTTGATCTTTTCTGATTCAAACTGCTCCAGGCGAGTATTGAGCTCGTCGAGCTTAGCCTCGGTCTCATTCAAATCAGCTTCAACAGCCTTCAGAGCTTTCTGGGCCTTCTTCAATTCTCGCTCAGTTTCCTTCAAGGTGCCAGAAGCGCCACCGGATGCAGAGTTTTCAAAGGCTTGGCTGTTGAGCTGATCGAGCTTCATCTGGAGATTTTGCCGCAAGTCAATCTCCAGCAGCTGCTTCTGTCTTTCGAGAACTCGTCGGGCATTGCTGATATCATTCCACTGCTTCTGGAGTTGCTGGACGGTAAGACTTGATCCTTCAAGCTCTCGCTCCTCAGCTGCCGTAAGGGTCTTCTTGAAATCTGTTCCTAATTCAGCCTCATGGGCTGCAACCTCTTGCAGGAATCCATTCATGTTCTTCTCAACTGCGTCCCGCCTCCTGATGGCCCCATCGAGACGGTTTCTCTCGTTCTCGATATGAGAAGACCTATTCCGAAGCTCATGCTTCAATGGCTCGAAGCCATCTTCTGCTTGTCTAAGCCTCTGCTCAAATTTCTGAACTTCGGACATTGCGCCAGTAATTTCCTGGTCTTTGAGCTCAATCTGCCTGCGAATATCGCGAGATTGTTCAACAAGGCGGTCAAATTCTTCTCTCCACTTGTTAGCGGCTCTTACGGCATCGAGACGCGATTTTCGGGGATCAATATAGCCACCAGTCATGGCACCCCTCTTGTTGGAAGTGTCACCCTCTGCGGTAATACCATCAACCCCATGACTCCTGGCATACTGAGCAGCCACAGCAAGGTTAGGGCACACAACAACCTTGCCAAATACCTGCTGGAATGCTTTCTCAAACCTGGAGTCGTAGTTGATCTTGCTCAAAAGAGGAACTGCGTCATTGGAATTTGGAAAGTTCACTTTGCGAGGACGAAGCTGAGCCAGCGGCATGAATGTTACTCGACCGCCATGTTGTTTGTACATGGTGTCTGCAAGATAAGTAGCAGTATCGGCATTGTCCACGACATAGTGGAACAAGCTGGCGCCAGCAATTTGCTCGACGGGCAGCCGGTATGCATCGCTGACATCCAGAAGGTCTGCCAGTGTCCCATAGGCACCTGGAATATCTTGCTCCTGCTTCAATCGACGTATGGTGGCCAAACCACGAGCGGTAGCTCCGTCTACCGCATGGGCTAATTCTCTCTCAGCGTGCTCTTTCTCTTGCCTAGCGTTGGAAATAACAGTGTTCAGCTTGTCATCCTCTCTCCGAATCAGCTTTCGTTCGTCGTTTAACCTATCCAGCGTCGCTCGTGCCTGGGCAGCTTGGTCTACCACTTGGCCTCGGTCTCCGCTCCAGTTGGCTAAACGTGAGCGGAGTTCGGCAACCTCTCTCTCGCCCTGTTCAATTGCCTTCTGCACTCTGGCAACCTCCTCATCAGCATCTAGCTTGTTTGCCTTTTGGGTGCTGATCGTCAAGCTGAGTTCTTCAATTTCCTGCTTAAGCCAGGCATCTCGCTCGGACCGATTCTTAAATCTGGAGCCGCGGCTTTGCTTTGCAAAGAGACGTGATCTTGATGCCTCAACAGTATCTAGCTGCCTTCTGACCTCATCTTCTTCGTTCTTTGTCTGTGTATACTTTGGAAGCAGCCGCGCCAGCTCCTTTTCCTTGGTGGCAATCTCATTCTGTACAGATGCGAGTTCGGAATCGTGGCGTTGCCGAGCCTGTTCCAGAGCAGACTGTCCTTCTCTTAGATTCTTTACTTTCAGCTCAACCTTGGCCAGCATCTTCGCATTGTCGCGTCTATCTTCCTCCTGCTGGCGTCGATCAATTTGCAGAAGCTCCAATTGTCTCTGCAGCTTGTGAATTTCGACATCGATCTTGGAGATAGCCTTTTCTCCTTCCAGGAACTGGGCACGGCTTGAGTCTGCATTATCAAGGCCGTCCTGCCTAGCACTATCAATTTCCTCCAGGGCGGCCTGAACAGTGGTTTGCTCTCTGTGGTGGTATGCGTATTCCAGACATTTCCTCTCCCTGTCTTTCTCTTGGAAACCACGCAGCTCTTCTTTTTCCTCTTCCAGTTCTGCCAGTCTCTCCTTGATATACTCGAGAAGTTCGTCAATCTTCTCCCGCTTGTTGTTCGTCTCATTCATAATCTTGAGTGATTCGGCGCGGCGGGCTTCGTAAACTTGGGTACCCGCAACTTCTTTAAGCAGATTCAATCGCTCAGACTCCTTCATATTTGTCAGGGCAGTGACGCGGCCCTGGGGCACAATATAGTATGGATTAGACCGTGAAAAGCCTGCCGCCTCCAGCAGGTTGGTAACGTCCGTCTTGGTCACAACCTTGCGATCTACTGAGTATTCGTCCTTCTTGAGACCGATGGTGCGTCGCAGCACAACTTCCTTGCCTCCGGTCGGAAATCGATCGTCGCTATTGTCAAAGATAATTTCAACATAGGCCGACATGACGGCCGAGCCCGAGCCTTCGTGGAGAAGACCCTGGCGCTCTTCGCGGCTCATTTGCGTGTATGCATCGCTGAGGACGAAGCGAATCGCCGCGAAGAAGTTACTCTTTCCCGATCCATTACGACCGACGATGACGTTCGTCTTGGGGGAGAAGGGTTCAATGACCGTTTGGTCCTTGTAGCTAAGGCGATAAGTCAGCACATGCACCACCACCACGATGTGTCTCTTGGCGGGGTTGCGATTCCACACCTTTTGAAGCCCTGGATGATGATTTGCTTGATATACATGGTAGGCTGCGCGGGCGCCGGTGCGCAACATCCAAAGGACGAGGAGGCTGCAGATTTGAGATTCTGCTGGGAGTTTGCGCAAAATCAATGAAGTGCAAGCGCTCTACCAGCATGCGATGCGACGCGTCTCGTTTGGGCCCGCGATTAAACACAGGCTCGAGGTCGCGTTGCACTACCAGCCCATCTAAGATTAGCGCCTAAAAAATAAGGTGTCGATGGGAGCTCTTGGGTTGCAGAGCTGCTGAGTCTGGACTGGCGCCTGGAGCACTGGAGCAGTGCTGCCACTAGTGTTGTTTTCTCACTACCCTACAATGTGTATGCAACCAGGGAAATATTACCATTCAACCATGATTGACTGTGGCTACAAAGGAAAAGAAAAAGTAGAGTTGATATTTATTGACATTAAGCGGCTATGGACTTTATTGAGTAGTATTTACGAGTATAT